GCTTCAAACATTACTTACATTTATACAATAGTTACGGAAACCGGTGCATAAAAATTAAAATTGAATTTTCTTTTCTTCTAATGATGATAGAAAAATTTTACAAAATGTATTTATTGTGTGGAATATTGCATCATATAATAATTATGCTGAGCCTCGTAATACATTACGCCATACTGAAATTAGTGGAAAAAAGTGATTTTCCATTTTGTCGGAAATTCGTCATATTTACCAACTATGCTAATTTCATAGGAATGATGCCTAGTTACGTCAATTCTTATACAGCGACTCACGAAACTGAGCGAATGTTTGATTAATTTTACAAAATGTTTGATTTATAAGACAAAACACTCTTGAAACTCTAACATACAATATATCAATAGAATGCTTGTTTTCTAAGGAATTTAATGATACCTTTGTTGATGATGTAGCTCCATCTTTCGGGGAGAAAAACAATTTTAAAATCTGACTATGCATTCGCTCAGTTTTGTGACCATGTCTGATTTAACTCTTGGGCAATACCACAAGTTGGTATTCAAACTTAGAAAGCCTAAATAGATACCAATAACCTACCTAACGGCACACTCTGCTTACATAGTATTCCCGCGTAAATAAATATCCTATATTACATAATATTAGCAATTGTTATTACATAATGCGCTCAATTACCGTTGAACAACTTAACCGTATAGTTTCTCTCTTGCAATCCGGTCAAAGTATCCGAAGTGTTGCACAACAGACTAAGGTTAGTTACAGTACAGTTGCCAAATACGGAAGGATTCATTGCTCCGACAGAAATGCTGGAAAAGGTGGCCGTCCTAAAAAGTTGTCTGAAGCTGATAAGAGATATTGTATACGTCAGGTTACAAAAGGCCGTATAGACAATGCCGTTAAGGTTCAAAAGCAATTATATAAGGATCTCAGTGTCATGGTTAGTGCTCAGACAATTCATCATACATTTCGGGAAGGTGGCTTAGGATCTATAGAAAAGCCTAAAAAGCCGACTATTAGTCAAGCTAACGCAAAGAAGAGATCAGCATGGTGCATGGCTCATAAAGATTGGACTATAGCCGACTGGAAACGATTTATTTGGTCCGATGAGACCAAAGTTAACAGATACAACTCAGACGGGCGTGTTTGGGCTTGGATCAGGGACGGTGAACAACCTCAACCTAGGCATGTCAAGGGCACAGTCAAGCATGGTGGTGGTAGTGTCATGGTTTGGAGCGCCATTTCTTATGCAGGAACTGGATGGTTATGCAAGATAGAAGGTAATATGGACAAACACTTGTATAAAGAGATTTTAGAGGATGAACTCGATAAAACAGTTGATTATGTGTGCGGAAAATTAAATCTCCGTAGAGATCAAGTAATTTTTCAGCAAGACAACGATAGTAAGCACACCTCAGATGTTGCTAAAGAATATCATGCATCTCAAGAATATCAAGTAATGAGCTGGCCTGCACAATCTCCAGATCTTAATCCCATAGAAAACATGTGGAGATTATTAAAAATTCGACTAAATGAATATAATACACCGCCTAGAGGCATCAACGAATTGTATGAACGTATTATCGAAATATGGTACAATAAAGTTACTGTAGAAGAGTGCCGAAAGGTAATAGAAACTATGCCTGATCGTATTCAACAATGTATAAAAGCCAAAGGTTACTGGACTGACTATTGATGCCAAGTTTCTGTATTTGAAATATTTTTTTTAACGTGCTCACAAAACTGAGCGAATGCTATCATTGACTTTAAAGCCTTGTAACATAGCAAATACTTGATTATTCTTTAAGACAAATATATTAATAAACTCGTAAAAACCTCACCTTTTATTCCAGTATATTCACAAATACATCGTATTAAGAAATAGTTACTATATAAATGATTATGTAATAAAGTTGTGAACATTCGCTCAGTTTCGTGAGTCACTGTACTATACTGGACTGTCTAAGTATAATGAACGTATTGCTGATAGATTCTTGTCATCACTTACACGACCTGTAGAGACAGTGATTAGGATGTCCATGGTAAACACCGGAGATGAATTTGGTTGGGCCGTTGAACGTATGACACAAGTTGGTAGAGATATCCTTGATGATGACCCACAAACTTACGCAGAGTCTACACAATGTATTATGAGGAATGCAGACGATGTTCGTGGAGAAAAGATGCTTAAGAGGAGAAACGCTTCCTTGGAAAACTAGATGGATTACCATCTGTTGATAAGATAAAGATAACAAAAAGAACAAGACAGAAATAAATCTATAAAAACTTTGTATAAAACTTTTATTATAAATTGAAAAATTAAAATTGAATTAGAAAAAATTCTAAAAGATGAGTGCAAAGATAGATCTGTCATGAGCTGACTTATAATGTCATGTTTCATGATTAAACATGCGGATCATAAATTCATTTAAGAAATTCTATCCTAACTCTCTCTTGATCCGCTCCATCTAATAATATTAAAATCACTAACACTTCGTTGTCAACAATATACCTAATTCGGTCGTAACTAATACTTTTCTGATTCACATCCTATCCTCAGACCTCTTTAACAATTCTTATAAATACCCCATCAGTTTAAATTCATAAATAAAATAATTGACTTTAGAACTATTGTTCGGTCTCGTTGACTCTTTTTTGTCTTAATATTATTTTTTTATTTTCTGATATTTTTTATTTGATATTTTAAAAGAAATATCACAAGATCCTTATTTATATCTTGTGGAGAATGGGTTACTTCGCGACAGGAACAGAATCAAGATATCTTGAAAGAAGAATATTTTCCCATAGAATGATTAAAACTATTGTGTTTGAGCTCTCTAGTCGTTGCCCTGATGGAGAATTAATCTCAGTTAGCTCACTCTAATAAAAATTAAATTATTTGTGCTCGATCATTTTTCTTGAGACCAAATAATGAGATCTGGTTTGTTCGTACTTGTGAATGATATAGGAAAGATACTTTTGATATAGATTTCTTTGTATTGTATTCATTCATTAATGTACTACTTGAATGAATATCAATATGTTATATAGTGTATTCAGTTAGAATAAAATTATCATAGATAGTATATGACTGTATTTATAAATTAGTATATTAGATAATAATATAATAATGTGTATATATAACTAATAGGTACAGTCTATAATTCATATATGTCTTTATCATTAATAACTCTTTACACTAATGTTTGGCCTATCATTATCTGGTAACGTTAGTATTTATTATAATATTATTATTTTTCTCATCGCAAGAATGTCTTATATAAGCTGAAATCAAATAATATTGTATGCATAAAGTGTACTACTAATAACTATAAATATCATTCGAGTCCTTCATGACTCTGATCTGTATATTATAAGATATTATGTAATACATCATTATATACACAACACTGATCTATACATGATAAGCTACTATGTGATACATCATGAAATACACAACAGCCTATGAGGAATACATTTCCCTCTTCCATCTGCTATCGCCTCCTGACCGTTCTTCTCATCTATTTTTTTTCCTGAATTATCTACTTATCAAGTCTTTGCCTATATTCAACACTCTATTTAGTCTGCCCATTACTGTCAAGTTTTCCAGCATGTACCGTTTAACTTTAATCATGTTTTATTACCATCTAACCGCCTTCTCATATCTAATGTATCCTCCCAGCTTTCTTTGAACCTCACTAATTTATGAATCCCTCTATATACCGTCTTCTTTTCCTCTCCCTCTGTAACAGGTGACAATTTGAGGACATCAAATAAAAACTGGAGTTTACTCCCCCATGAAAAAAAAAATATTATTCTCTATTCTCAAAGATAACAAATGTATACAAGTTCTACGGTTATTGTTAATTTTTTTTTCTCCCAAGTTATGTATATATGATAAATCACGGAAAATGTTTTCAATCGTGTTTCCACTTTTTGGATTAATAAAAACCCTTCATTGACCCTGACAGAATTGTTTACACATATATTTATCGCTAGGATAGTGCTGTTGTCTTTAATTTTTTCTCATAACATGATATAGATAGTTTTTATTATGAGTATCAATGTATTCCCTTTTATTATAACTAGCTTTTTTTTTATATATATATATCGAAGCTTTTACTCTTGCTTCTTCGAGAGTTTTTATTTTTTATTATTAAATGTAGACTTTTCTTATATAGATAAAAAGCCTATAATTTGAGTTAAAAGGATACCTTTTCTTCATTGGAGTTTTTAGCATTAAGGCTTTACTTGTTTACTATTAAAAAAAAAAAAAAATAGCGTGGATTCTAGTATCATTGTTTCATATTAAAAATCTGAACATTGTATGTATTCTTAGACATCCGTCAGTCTTTTCCCTCCCCCTTTACTATTATAATAACAATTTAGAAATTATTTCATCATCAACGTACTATATGTTTTTCTTTCTTTCTTTTCTTTTCTCTTTTCTTCATTACTTGATTGAAGAAAGACTTTCCTTAAAAGACATTTGTGTATATGTATATATTTTATTTCATATTGAAAGAGATGTTGGAAGAAATAAAAATTATTCATTAATTATCTTTTTCTTACTAATGACATTGGCCATGTTGTGTATTTTACTTAATTTTTATTGAATTTAACTCTAATGGGTATAAATTGTAATCAGATGTTCAATTGCTAATGTATTTGTAATTAGATCAGATTATATATTTTTAATTAAATTTAAAATTATTCTTGGAAAAAAAATGAATCAGTGAAGAGAATGAAAGAATAAATGTCATTCTCTCTCTTTTTTTTTTCTTGAGCATAGTTTACTTTATTATTAATATACATTTTAGGTATTGATTCATTTAAAATCCTTCTTCATTGCATCCAATTTGCATTAATTTAATCAAGTGGATTATATTCTCTAAATTTGATTTTTTGTCCTTTCCAAATTTAGTAGTTACAGTCGCATTAATGTTCTTTTGTGTGAGAAAAATAAATGACTAAAAACAAAAAGGTACGAATATATCTTACAAGTGAACCAAAAAAAAAAAAAAAAAAAATAACTTTTCTTTTATATTCATAACGTCAACAATGCTTTCATTTCCAAGAACTAATTATGTTTTATTATCCAAGCCAGAACGCAATGTCTTGTTAATAACGATCAATCGACAAAAACAATACAATGCTTTGAATTCGGAAGCTAATTGGGAATTACATCACGTAATTAACTGGGCGGAAGAAGAAGAATCAATTTGGATCATTATTGTAAAGAAACTTGTAAAACCTGATCAAGAGAATACAACATAATTTTTTTTTTTTTTTTGCCCCTTCCTTTTCTTAGATTACAGGTGCAGGAGATAAGGCATTTTGTACAGGTATGGATCTTGTCAGTGCTCATAATGATAATACAAATCTAGGTGGTTCTGTATTGCCTCCTACAGGGTTTGGAGGGCTTAGTAATCGTCGTACGAGTCGTAAACCTGTTATTGCTGCTGTCAATGGATATGCTTTAGGCGGAGGTATGGAAATGGTTTGTTCCTGTAATATTGTGATTGCCACAAAAAGATCTCAATTTGGTTTACCTGAAGTGAAACAAGGCGTTGTCATTGCTGCAGGCGGTCTGGCCCGTCTTGCTCGTTCCGTAAGTTATCAGTTGGCATCAGAGTTAGTATTGACAGGTCGATTTATAATGGCTGAAGAAGCAAAGTCATATGGACTTGTAAACGAAGTTATATCAGATGATAGAAACGTAGTTGATGCTGCTTTAGTCTGGGCTAAGCAAATTACAGCAAAGTAAACAAATATATATACCTGTATTTTTTTTTTCTTTATGAATCCATTTTTTTTTTGTATTAGTTCTCCTGATGCAGTTTTCTTAACAAAACAGGGACTTTTATTAGCTCTTGAACGAGCTTCAATGACAGATGCTACTACAGAATGGATTGAATCGTCTGAAGCTGCTGCTTGGAGAGAAAGTGATAACCTTTCTGAAGGTTTAACAGCTTTCGCTCAAAAAAGAAAGCCTCAATGGAAGAATCCGATTAATAAACCCAAATTGTAACGCCCTTTTCATCATTTTACAAAACTATATATTTATTCTAGACAAATAAATATCTAATTATGCGTTATTAACTTTATTAATAAATTTAACAAGTTAGTAGTAGTAATAGTAATAATAGTATATACACATATATATATTTTACACTTGAACATATTTCTGTAAATTTCGATATTCTTTACTTTATTTTATATTTCTCATTAAATGCCAAATAAAAATATAAAATTGTTTAAGCTTAATGACACTAGTAATAAGACAAAAAAAAAAAAGGTGACGAAAAAGCTTTGCAAACTTTCGAGTTGCAACAATTTAAGTCTATTTGAGGTATATAACGTTAAGTATTAACAAGCTATTCAATAAATACTTTATAATTCGACTATCAATTTTTTTTTTTAGATATTATTAGAGAATAGATCTAAAGACTTGCAATATGCTTAACCATGTACTAGTTATCACTTTATCAATAAATAGCAAGATAAAAAGAACACACACACACACATACATACATACTATTACTATATACACACATATACATATATGAATATTTATAAAAAAAACTTAACCCGTATTATTTACAGCAGAATATCAAAAATAAATATAAAATCAACCCCATTTTTAAAGACTAAATAAAAAGTTTAAAATAGCTAAATAAGCTTATTTATAACCAGCAATTCGATTCGCCTAATAATAAAAGTATTATTATGACTTCATTATCTACTTTAATTTCAGGTACAAAAAAAAAAAAATTCCGCCTAGTAGGGATGATACGTGTAACAATATGTTATTTTATTGTATAAATAGTATTATTTAATTAGCCACAACCATCGCTGTTTTTTTCTTTTTATTCTTTTTAGGACTATTAGGTGGAGAGATACGAATAGGTTTAGTCGTAGTAATGGGTTGTATATATTGAAATAAGGAAACTGTTTTAGATTGTTTCTTTTTATCGTAAAGTGTCATGATATTTCCATGAAATCCAACTCGATAAGCAACAGAATCAGGGTCAATCCATAAAATAAAGTCACGAGGTAAATAGGCATGAATTAGCTTGGCAGAGCATGCCGTTTTAATACAAGCTATTACAAAAAGAAAAAAAGAAGAAGAATCTATGAGTATATAGTATCTATCATGTGCTAAATATTACCTTCTACTAGTATAGGATCGTACTCATCATTGAAATTAGAAATGGCTCTATAAGCATTCCCTTGGTAAGGTTTATGTGGATCCCAATGAGCTGAAAATCGCTGCTTTAATAACTCAGCTAGTTGCGTTTTAAAATTGGTAATCATGTCTGAATCTACTTTGGAATGTAAAAGTCGACCTATAAAGTCAACTGCTTGAGATATTTCTATTTGCATGAGATATGTATGTAATGAGGGAAAAAAAATAAAATAAAATAAAGTAAACAAATAAATAAATAAATAAAAAGTAAGACAAAGCGTATTTTATATCAGCAGCAGCAGCAGCAACAACAACAACAACAATAAATTTTATGAAATGACGTTATTATGTAAATTAAACAGCCGGCTTCTTTATTTATATTAAGTTTAACCTCTTTGCCAACGTTAAAGATAGAATGGCGAATAGGATAAGACTAAACACAATCCAAAAAAAATACAAAAGATTATCATAATCTTTTCCTGGTACCTTCACATTCATTCCTATTATAAACGAAAACATGAGTATTACTTTCTTTCTATTGATAACATTCTTCATCTTCTTTACCCCAAAGACCAGTAATGAGATTCATTGGTAATAATACTGTCGCAAAGATAGTCAATCGTCCAATCACATGATTAGTTGAATTCGATGTCTGTGTGAGTTCAATGGATATTCGAGCTAAATAATTCGATTCAGATCTTGTTAAAACTGTCTCATAATGACTCAAGTTTTGTAACATGGTTAAAATGTGATCTTGTACATCGCCCAAATAAAGTCCTACATCGGGATAAATTCGCTGATGTTCTTCTCGATCATCTTCATCTATCCATTGTTTCCTTTCTTCCTCTCTAATGCGTTTCATCAATCCTCTTACAACATCTATTTTCGTCCCCAACAGACGCACCATCTGAATTACACGTTTACGACATGATCCAATACGTAAAATCATATCAGATTGATCTGTTTTATAGAGCAGTACAAGGTCGTCAATGGCGTCTACTTCAGATTCAATCTGTTGAATAAGAGGTGCAAAGCTATCGGTGATTTCATCAATAACTGCATAGTTGATCCAATCAGGAACAATTTCAATATAATCTTGGAGCTGCTTGACACGTTCTTGAACATGGTAAATGTGAGGTACTTGTCCAAAATGAAACTATATATTTTAAACGAAAAAAAAAAAAGTTAAAATTAAAATTGAAATTAAAATTGAAATTAAAAGGAAAAAAAAAAAAAAAGCGTTAAAATACATTTTATTTATTTTTTTTTTTTTACAGTCAAAATGTGTTTCTTGGTTACAATATTATAAAATGTTACAGGCTTTAGTAAATGAGATCTATCATGTAAGAAGGCTCGATATGAAATAAAGAGGTAATGTCGAAATACATCACATTTTTCTCTTATTTCATGCGACATAATATCTTCAGTTGTAAGTGGATGTATATGAAAGATCTACATATTTTTTATTTTTTTTTTTTACAAAGCTCTTTATTATATACACACATATTTATACACATACATATCAGGATATAACTTACTTTACTGATAACTTTCATTTCATCCTCTGAAGGGGATGTAATGTCGATCCAATAGTTTTCTTTCGTCAAAAGATCCTTTAAAGTAGAATTGGCTGGTAATTCGAGCGTCATTAAGCTGCTGCCTCGTAGACATCCTGTATCTGGATGATAATAGACAAATCGATAGTCACCATAGTTTTGTAAGATAGGTTGCTGTGCTAAAGAAATTGCATCATCTTGTTGATTGACTGTCTTGTTATCTCCATAAAGACTAAATAATGGTTTTTCAAAATGTTGGTATTGTTGTTGTGTAAACAAGGATAATGCGTCCAAGTTAATTTCTTTACTAGGTAAAATCCGTTCTTTATTTATGGCTTGTATCTTTGTCGATATAATACTACTTTGGTGGTCTTTATTGTCTGTTGGATAACAGATATCTTGCTCAACTGATTGTGATGTTCGATTATAGAACAATTTATCGAGGTCCTTGGGTTCAGTGTTTAATAAAATATGCTCATTATGGTCGTCATTGTGATCATTAATATGGGATCGAAAATATGAATAATTGATATCCATTAGAATAAAGAAAAGAGTGTAATTAGATTCATTGTATCTTTCTTATAATAGTGTTCAGGAGAAAAAAAAAGGGAGGGGAATAAATATAAAGAAAAGGGAGAAAATAAGAAGGAGGAGAGTTTGCTGACGTTTAACATTATATGCATAACTACTGCTACTGTCAATCTTTATATAATTTTCTTGTAATATGCAGATATATAGGCCAAACTTATGATCTGTTCATAGTTGAATAGTCAACATAGACACGTTATATTACCATTTTAATATATTCGAGATGGTGTATATCAATAGAAGACCATATTCTAGAAAATATAGCCATACATTATATTGAAAAAAAAAAAAAGGGGACTGTATTCCTTTTTTCATCAAAGAAAATCTTATTAGTTTACGTATACAAAGAATTATAGAAAATTGTTCAAACAAGAATGATGAACTAAAAAAGTATACATACATACATACATAATAGAGCCAGACCTCTAACACTGTGATATTCCTTTTTTTTCTTCTTCTTCTCTTTTAAAGACTAGGATTCATATTATTACTGTTTCATACACTACACTGGGACGCTCCTATAACTTTGATCTTTAAACTCAACTTTATGTAATTATATCAAGTCACATAAAATGCCTATTTACCTCCTAAAAATTGTGCCTTTTTTTTTTTTTTTTTTTTTTTTTTTTTTTTTTTTTTTTTCCAATTATTTAAAATGCTCTCGGAGAAGGACCTTACGGTTATTGAATACAGCAACAAAATTGATCGACTACTCAGGATACATACAGTTCGCCGATTAACTTCGATTGTGGTAGAATGGCTCAATACACCTGAATTACAACCAGCGAATAAATCAACAACGCCTGAAACTTATTCGAAACTTACAAAATTAGACATTATCGACAGAATAAAACGTATAGATTGGGTAAACAAGGAAAAAAAGAAAAAAAAGAAAAAAGGACCAAGGTTAACATTTTATAATTCTAACTAATTTAATCCTTAATAGCCCAAAGGATTATGTGCAATACAAGTAGCTCAACTTGATTTAAAAGGTAGAATATATATATATATATTCACAAGCATGATCTTGTATTGATCCACTTTTTTTTTTTTTTTTTTTTTTTTTTTTTTTTTTTTTTTTTTTTTTTTTTTTTCTAATTAGGTCTTATTTCAGAAGAAAGAATAAAAAGATGGAAAGTTGGAAAACTTACAAAAAGTAATAATAATAATAATAATAATATACTGCAACTGAATAACTTATCTTTTCCCCCACCTTTTTTTTTTTTTTTTTTTTGGTAAATTAGAATCAGGTCCATTAAAATTAAATTTAGAAGCATCAACTATCCATAATTCCATTGAACAGTTTCTTTCTCAATTCTTTTTTTGTGTAAGTTGGATTTATCCTCTTTTTATTATTATTATTATTTTTTTAGTCTAATCTTTTTTTTTTCCCGCAAGTATGTTTATACAATGCACCATAAAAAATCTGATTTATATTGGATGCGTATTCATATTTATTCAACTCATGAAAGGACAGCACTTACGACAGATGCAGTTGGCTACGTTATTTATTATCCAATGACTGAGTTTGTGATGTGGTCAGGACGATGGAATATGACAGTTGCAAGTTATGTGATGGAATCTATTACAGACGCCTTTAGGGCAGACCGTATCCTCTATCAGAATATCAGGGGTAATGCTGTCAAATATTTATCACATCTAATTAAGATTCGTAAATCACAAGGAGTCTTTGCTCAGTTAAGGAATAATGAGGTGGATTCAAATCCTTTAGACATTAGGCAAAAGATAGCAAAGACGGATGACGATGATGAGGCGTATGTTAATAAAGGAGAACAATCAAGACGTATCAAGCCTGTAGATGAAGAAGAGGTACAGAACAGAATTGCGCTTGTGATGCAGAATTTTGGATGGGAGCCTATGTATGGTACTACATCAGTAGATATCGATGTTAGATTACCTTTTAGTTCACAACAAAAGACAATGGATGATGAAGAGGTTCGATTTGAGATTAATTTGAGTGGCAATAGTGTGCCGCAGGGAGTAAAACAATGTATTAAAAATGGTCAAATTGAAATGCCAGTAGTATCCTGGTTAGAAAGTATAGGTACAACAGGCATCACTAAACTATATGTGACTAGAGATGGTGCGACTGAAATAGAACCAGAGGAAGAGGAAGAGATGAATGAAAATAGGGTAGAAAGTATGGAAACAGAAAAGGATAACGAGCTTAATGAAAACGAGAATAGCAGTGAAGAGCAAAAGAGCATAGACGAAGCGCTTGAAGAAGATGAAGTGATGGAAGAAGGAGATGATTCTATTAACGACAGCGATGACCAAGACAGTATCATTCATGATCAAAGTGATAAAGAATCAGTTTTAAGTGAATCCTAAGGAGTCAATCGACAGAATAATTGTATAATATTGGATAAATCAAGACTACTGAAGAAGAAGATTTTTTTTTAATGGAAGATGGCTTTTTTCCCCTTTCTTTTGTTTCTCTTCCATTATTTCTGAAATATATAAATAACAAAAGAGGTTCTTACACACTGTAAATAATATCACTACTTTACCTTTTAATATAAATAATTGTACGAAAATAAAACGCTTTCCTTTATTTTATTATGCTTTATAATCCAAATTAGAATATTACCATTTATTGCATACGAGAGTAGCAGTAATAGTTAAGAATTCTCATCTATTATAAATAGAATACATTGCCGAACAACTCGTTTTGATATTCGATACTGAGATGCCTATCAACTAATGCTAATAAATAAAGCTTGTTGTTTGTTAACATCCCATCCTATTGTGAACACGTTTTTTTTTTTTTTTTTTTTTTTTTTTTTTTTTGGCGATAATAATAATAATAATTTTTAAAAAAAAAAGCTTTCTAATTTTTATTTTTATTTTCTTTTTCTTTTATTTTTATTTTTTTTACATAAACAAAATGTCAGAAGAACATTTCCTAAGTACGACACCTGTTCATGTTACTCTTCAATCACTTCAAAGACAAGTTGATCAATTGAAGAGAATCATTAATAAACCCGGTAATTTTTCTTAAAAAAAAAAAAACTTGTAGATCTTAATCTAAAACTGGACTCAAATAGATCTTGATGAAGGAGCAAAAGAAGGAGAGGATGAAAAAGAATTAAAAAAAGAAATTGAAAATTTACGTACAGCGAATACAAAAGCAGAATATAGAATTCAAATGTTATTACGTACATTACAAGAAAAAGATGAATTAATCAAAAAGCTAACAGTCAATTAGAGGATTTTACAATATGAATATTTTAATATGTACAAATAAAATAAAATAAAATATATAATATCTATATCGACTAGTGTTATTCTTCTTTCTCTTCCCAAGTGTTTATTTTAAATCAAAAAAAAAAAAAAAGAAAAGAAAGAAAAAAATGGGAGGAAAGAAAATTAACGATAACGACGAAGAGAAAGAGTATTGCGACGCTTCCAGGTGGCACGACGACCGGAACCCTTGGTGTTGTTGAAGCGATGACCCTTAGCATGACCACGAGATTTCTTACCGATGGCAGTAAGACCACGAGCTTCACGATGCTTGTGAACAGGGTTCACGATCCAGTTGATACGAGGATCACGACGAATAGCCTTATGAGAGGGATCGACCAAGATGACTTCATAGTATTTATAGGTAGCATCTTGATTAACCCAGTAAGAGTTCAAGACACGCAAATTGGCACATTTACGACCCACACGTTCTTCAGCAGTGCTTCTAAGGGAACGTTGATATTTGAGTTGACTCACACCTTCGTTTACAGGTTTACCATAAGTGGCACCCTTAGGAACAGGTCTCTTGCGACCTCCACGACGAACTCGAATGCGGTAAATAACATAACCTTGCTTAGCCTTATATCCCAAACGACGGGCTTTGTCGGGACGAGAGGGGCGTGATGCACGATGAATAACATTCAATTGTCTAACGAGGGAAAAAAAAAAACACAATCGAAAGGCAAGCATGTCAGTTTTTTTACAAGTTCAATTATAGTTCATTGGATGAATTTATTAAACTCTCTTTCTCAAAGAGAAAGAGGCGTATTCAAGCCTAAAAAAGAGAGAATCAAAAAGATTCTGAATTGTACCTGTATTCCCAACATCTTACACGAAGCAAGAAACGAGAAACATCAGATTGTTTCTTTCTAGCAAGTTCTTCAAGGTATTTATAAGCTATTTAGTTTTTTTTTTAAAGAGAAAATGGCATAAAATTAGTAAATGATGGATGGCTAGATGGACATGAATTATGATAGTTTACCACCCATGGTGTGATATCAATCAATGAATAAAGGTGAAGCAGTATAAACAAAAAGAACACATTTTATTTATAAAAATTATTTAATGTCCGGTCCGGGAAAGTGGGCTTTTCTTTTCTTTTTTTTTTTATACATGTATACACATATAAATATTAATTTTGTTGTTGTAAATGTTCCTGTAAATCTTCTATTCGTTGGTGAGGATGGTAATAGTGATAATAAAATCGAGAATGATTTATTTCAGTTTGGTTTAAATATTCAGGTGACTTGAAATAATGTCTCAAGTCATGTATATTTTGGCCACTAAATACACAGAATGTTCTTCGTTGTTCTGCTGTATATTCTTTAGGCGGTGGTCGAGAAAATCTTCGGATGGCTAGTTGATTTTGAAAGGCAGGAATATAGGATAAACTTAGATGAGTAAGACGACGGCAATGCGAGACAAGCATTGAAATAGCTTGTACTGAAAGTTGATCACAATAAGACAAATGAATACGTTCAAGTGTGGTGGCAGTGCGAACAGGATGTGTAAGTGTCAGGATACCTTGGCTAGTGATACGATTACAACGAACAAGTCCAATACGTTTCAGTTTAGGTAGTGTTGATAAGGCTAGGACCGTTTCGTCACCTAATCTCTGGCAGCTGGCGAGATCGATATAACGAATACGGTTACAACGTATTGCAAGTTGTGTAATAGCTGCATCCGTAATATTTCTACAATAACCTAAATGAAGATAATGAAGAAAACGTCCTAGACGTGAAATGAATTTGACAGCTTCATCAGTGAGATGGACACATTTATTAAGTATAAAGTTACGAATCTTGGGAGCTGCCATTGTGATGCAGTCAATAGCTTGATCAGTGATGTTGACATTTGTCATCTCCAGAATACGAAGTTGATCAAAATAATATTCAGGATAGATAGGCTTTGTATTTAGTGCTGACCTAATAAATCCCTGATCATCCAAATTCTCACAATAATTGATTTTTAATTCTCTCAATTCTCGACAAGAAGAAAATATTCTCAAGAGTGATTCGTTTGTGATTGCGCTATTGACAACATCAATTTCTAAAAGAGCTGGGCAATGAGTAGCAAGTGCAATAATAGATTCATCACTTAATAATTTCCAATTAGACAAACGAATCTATGTGTGTATGTTGATGGGGTAAAAAAAAAAAAAAAAGTCAGTAACTATTTTGCATGAATTTTACTACTACTACTACTGCTACTACTACTACTACTACTACTACTACTACTACTACTACTACTACTATTATTGTTGTTGTTTTTTCATATTTACTCGTCTTAAATATTTACAGCTTTCAGCCAGTTTAACAATACTTTTATCTGTGATTCCTAATAATTCATCGTCTCTGTTATTTACACTAATATTCAATCCTTGCAGTTGTTGGCATGTCTCGGCAATAGCCAAGATAGCTTCATCTGATAAATGTTTAATTTCAGATAGATCCAATGATAATAAATAATGACCCACATTCTGTTTCAAAAAGTGAATAAAACCTGGATTTGTAATATATGTGCAGCCCATAAAGGCCACACGATCAAGATATTGACACCGACTTAGCGCTTCCAACGATTCATCATTGATATAGTCAGTTACTGCAGATAAATTAAGACGTCGTACGAGAGAGGCATAAGGCAGATAAGTATGATTAAGAGAGATCGTTTTAGAGAATTTAAGCCATGTTTGTGGTTTTAAAATAATGGGTTTATGCCATAATAGTTGTAATGAATAATAACTCCATATTCGACAAGCTAATGCGCATTCTAAGATATCTCTTTTGGAAGAACAAGTATATGGTTCAACAACATGTTGCAAGATTTGAAGTAAAATTTCGGAAGGCAATTCATTAATTAACATTAAAGTAAATAATAAAAAAATAGAGGGAAAATAAAAAATAAAAAAAGAAAAAGAAGAAAAGTAAAGAAAGTAGAATGACGACTATGTACTACCATCACCAAGTTATTTAATCAAATCTCTGCTACAAATTATTTATTTGAAACCATCACTTAATATGCTGCATATAATATGCATGTAATCATCTAAGCCACTTTAGTAGTATCATTCTAATTTATACACATCATCTATTGTGAAATCACCTTGTCTTGTTCTTATTAATGCTGTTACATGTGCACATGTCTCCATTTGAGTAGCCATGTCATGTACAATACTTCTTATATATGTTCCTCCTCCACAAACCACACGTATTTTACAACTATTTTCATGAAAATCTAATAATTGAATATCTTCAACAAATACTTGACGTGTCTTGATAGGTTCTGGTAAATCTAGTTTCAATCTTGCATAGTCATATAGCCTTTTACCTTGTAGTCGAACAGCTGAATAGCTTGTATCCAGTATATGAATGATACATGTAAATATATAAATATGTAAATATACATAATATTAGATGTAAACTTACAGAGGAGGTGTTTGAGTGATATGACCTTTAAACTTTTGCAAAGTATCTTGAATGAGTTGTTTATTTAAATGTTCTGTTTTACATTTCTGAATGACTGTTCCTTCAGCATCATATGTATCTGTTGCTTCACCAAATTTAGCTGTAACAATATATTCCTTAGTGATTGTAAGTAGAGCTATTATTATTTATTCATTTATTTATTTATTTATCATACCTTGCTGCATTGAAGAAACGTTGAAAGTTGCTTACAACCATCGCCCACCCCTAAAACTAATGGATCGATTAATGTAAGAACATTATTATTATTATTATTATTATTGTACCTAGAACGCCTTCAGCTAAAGGATCCTTTTATTTTATTTTATTTTATTTTATTTTTTTGTTTAATTAGTTTTTTCTTTTTACTTGTGTTTTATGAATGATTAAATTACCAAAGTGCCTCCATGACCTATCTTGATCATTTTTTTTTTCTTTATATAAGGGGCAGAAGAAAGTTGGCTTTCATTTGTTTTCTCCCATAGTAATTTAGATAATTCAACTTGAACAGCATCTGTTGCTTTTCTTGAAGTCCATCCTCTAGGCTTATAAACAGCAAATATGCCATTTAACATGAATCTCATTGGTTCCAAACTTGCCATTTATTGTGTGTGTGTGTGTGTCAATAAAGAGAATATAAATTATTAGGAAAAAAGAAAAGAAAAAAAAAAGGAAAAGAGTGGGGATTGATTTGTTATATATATATGTGTGTGTGGGGGGGGAGGAGGAGGAGGTAGTTTCATCATGAATAGGTCCCCCTCTTTTTTTTTTTTTTTTTTTTTTTTTTTTTTAATTTCAGAAGACAACAATTCCCCTCCACACACACACACGCACATACAGTCTTTTTTTTTTTCTTTTTATCTTACTGCTAACTTTATGTCATCTTCATTTCACTTTATTAATCAAGCATCCCCTCAACACAAACAAGGAGATGCAACATTGCCGACTGCTTTACTTTTGTTGGATACTGATGATCATTCACCTCCAAAACATAAGCAGCCCAAGTGGACTTCCTCATCTTTATTTATTTTAGAAGAAGCATTTGATGATATTAGTTATTCTCCGTCATCAGATAAGGATCATTCACAACAATCTGAATTTCAATTCATCAATAATCATCAAGATAATAAAGACAACAGTACTTTTCCATCTTTTTATAAAGCAAGTTCTTTAGAATCGAATAGTTTCATGAATCAGAGTAATATTAAAGAAAAAAAAAATAAAAGTATAATATGCATGATACTACTACTATTACATAAGGAGGAGGGATATGTTAAAATAATCTCATTATAAAAGTAGACAAAAGCAATAAGAGCTCATCGCCATCACTTATGACTCCCTCTCCAAAAATGAAACAATCGAAGCTATTAAAAACAGATAATGAAATGAAATTATTACACACTTCCATCACTTTTCAGAAACTTGAAAAACAAAAGCAAGAAGCGTTTGAAGCGATAAAAAGAATATATCAACAACAGAACGAATATCCTATCATGATAAACCAGGTAAAATAAAAAGTTGCATGCGTATAAATAATAAATAAAAAAAAAACTTATACATTCACATAGTTGAAAGAACTGAAAAGGCAAATACAAGAAGCTGTCAGTCATCAGGATTTTAATGCTGCTCAACAGTACAAACTACAAAGCGAGTTGATTCAATCTCGTTTAAAGGACATGTTGATAGGAGGTAGAAAAAGTGAAAATGATTTATTATTTTGGAAAGAAAAGATGGAAAGATATACAGGTGAATTATCACAAAGAATCATTCATGATTTAGTGAGCTGTTATCATGATATTAAACAAGAACGAACACGACAGCTGAATCAGTATCTAAATCAAGATACTATCATCACGGCGACTACGACTACGACGACGACGACGACAGCCTTACATCATACACAACAGTTACTTGAACAGGAACGTATGGATCTTCAAAGTGTTCAATCCGAGATTGTATTTGATTTAGATATATGGAAACAAAATGAGACAGATTTAACAAGCAGAATGGAGGAAGTGGTGCAAATGGATATGGAACATAAATCACAACTTGTCACTAAATCCAAGGAGATAGAAAATGATATCCTTAAACTTCAAAGACAATTAGAACAACTTGAGATAGAAAGACAAGAGACATTAAAGGAAATTAAGAAGGTGGACAAGCAAATAGAGATAAAACTAAAACCATTTGAAGAAGAGAGACAGCAGTTTGAAGAAGAGAAAAGATTAATTGAATTAAGACAAGAAGAGATAAAGGAAAAGATAGTAAGGAAGTTTAAATATAGACATGTATATGTGTATATGTGTATATGTGTATATGTGTATGTGTATGTGTATGTGTATGTGTATGTGTATGTGTATGTGTATATATGTATATGTATATGCGTATATGTATATATGTATATGTGTATATGCATGTGTATACATAACATTCAGATAGAGCCTATATTCTTCTTTTGTATATGAATAGTTCATGTTGGATATAAAAGATAATGAACTTGAAGCAGAGATCAAACAATATCAAAACGAAATAAAACGACGTCAAGATGAAATTGGTTCCATTGAAAATCAAATAAAGGAGTTATTAGATAAACAAGCCCAATACAGTCAAGAAAATAAAGGACTTTCTGAACTTGTACAACTCATTCATCAACATCAAACTTTACATATGACACAATACCAAGAAGATTTAAAAGAGTAAAATGAAGCAATAGTCCATACAAGTCCTATTTAACATACATCTATTTATGAGACTTTTTTTTTTTTATTATCTAGAGATCAACATACCTTGCAAAATAAGAAAAGAGCATTAAAAATACTTCAGGAGAAGGAATGCAAAGATGAAGAAAGATATCTTAAATGGCAAGAAACGGTGATAAAGCAAACTAATAAATTAAAAGGGTTAAAAAAGTGTAAAGAGATTGCTATCGATAACGATGAATTTGAAAGAGCTGCTCAACTATCTTATGAAATAAACTCAATTAATCTGAAAGATATAAAAGAAAAAGAAAAGATGGCAGAGATACAGGTACAAAAAATAAAAGAGGATATAAAGGAAATGAAGATAGAAATAAGTCAGTTAACAGTAGAGATTTCAAACAAAAAGGACAATTTTGGTACTATTTATGATTATAGTTTATACAAACTAAACTAAACTTATTTAAATATAGTAAGGAAAATGGAAAAAGAATTAAATGAACTAAAAGAGAAATTATTGAAACTACTGTCAAATGAGGAAAGTGTATCCATGGTAAAAACAATGGTAGAATTTGAAATTGAAACTGTAAACATGATACTATCCAATTGTCAAGATTTATTTTTTTAAAATAAAAAAAAAAAAAAAGATAATGCGCTAATAATAAAAGAAAGAGAAGTATGATGATGATGATGATGACATACAATATAGAAAAAAGGGAGATGCATATAAATGAACATATAGAACATATAAACATAAAAGAAGGGGGAGGAGGAGGAGGAGTAGGAAGAAGAGGATATACTGTGCTTTTTTTTTTCTTTTGAAAGTGCATATAATAAATAGATTATATAAATATTATAAATAAAGGAAGAGGGAGTAGATGAGAGGAGATGTATAAAGTAAAGTAAAGTAAATAAATAAAAGAGGAGGAGGAAGAGGAAAGGGTTGGGTATGTATAGGTTTAAGGATATAATAATGAAATTCCACTATCTCTTCTTATTGATACTAGGGAAGAGAGCTTGTAGTGTTGCTTTTCATTAAAGAGATCTAAACTAGATAAACTAGGAAGGCTAATATTAGATGACCAAGGGTCGATAGGGGATAATCTTGAATGAACAGATGAACAACTACTTAAGTTATCCTCAAAAACAGATAAAGCAGGCGTAGTGGGTGGAGACCAATAAGGTGAGTCTGCTGTGCATGCACAAGCAGCTTGTTGTTGTTGTTGTTGTTGTTGTTGAAGCATCACCTTACGTCTTTCTTCAATAAAAGGTTGCCATTGTAAAGAAGGTCTTCTACCATTTGTTGTATGATCATTTTTCATATGTTTTGTTAAAATCGTTTTACGTACAAAACTCTTTAAACAATCATCAAATGGACATTTATAAGGTCTTTTCCCTGTATGCGTACGCCTAAAGAATGAATAAATGAGTATTGTATATACATACATATATATAGGTTATTTACCTATGGCGAGCGAGAGAACTACTATCACTGAAGCTTTTGTTACAAAGTGGAAATTCGCATACATGAGGTCTTTCACCAGAGTGTGTACGCATATGTACAGTTAATGCAGAACGCTAATACATGTATATTGTTTTAGAAATATATAAAATACATCAGTTTTATATAATGTGTACCTGAATAAAACTTTTTCCACAATCAGGTAAACGACACTGAAATGGTCTATATTCATATATAAACAAAGTTAGAATAAAAGAATTGACACAAATAAGGTACAAAAATAAATAAATCATTTCTACCTTTCATTTGTATGAATACGCGAATGTCTAACTAAATCAGATCTTCTACCAAATGTCTTTTTACAGTCTTTAAACGTGCACGAAAAAGGTTTTTCTAAACCAGGCGTAGTTTCGTGATGAACCAGTTCCAAAATCTCCATATATTTATATAGGTATATTTGTATATTCTTTTTTTTAATAATAGCGGTATTTATAATTAGAGTCAGTTGTCAAGACAACCAAACAAATTTAAGGTATTGTTTTTTTTTAAAAAAAAAAGGAAAAAAAAAAAAAGAAAAAGAAAAAAAAAGAAAAGAGAATAGAATAGAAAAGAAAAGACATATTTATATTCTTTCTTTCTCCCTTTTCTTGATTTAACTCACTCCTATAAAATTTACACAACAGTTTAAAAAAAAAAAAAAGAGTTTGTATTTATTAGGAGAAATGTAATAAATAAACGATCAACTTGATAAACCAACAGCTTAGAAAGTTACTTCCTTTCCTCTCCTATTCATAATATGTGTAGCCAACGTTTCACATGTTGAATGCATGCGTTGCAATAAAATAAGCTAGTCAAACTCCGAAATTGTCTGTTCACTTCATAATTTCCCATATTCGTCCATATTTCTTGTCGATCAACATGAGAGTCTTTCTCTAGTAAATGACGGATCCATTTCCGATATCTATTTTTGGTACCCAAAAAAAAAAAAAGGTTTTGTTAATAAAGTCTATCAAGTGAAGAATTCCGGGAGAGAAGAGAGGAGGGGGAGGGGAAGAGGAAATACATGTGTGTGTGTTATATCGAATATCAACTTCATGTCTTTAATTCTCCTTGGCATAAATTAAATTTTATGATGTGAGATATTTATGTTAATTAAGGAGTTATATACATGTATATATTTAAAGAAGAACTTGCATATCATTATTCTGTATGGCCCTTTTCATATTATTTACTTTATACCCACCTATTTATATTTGTATATGTATTCATATACTACATGCTGAATTGATAATCATTTAATAAATGACTTGTTATATGTTCTAAAATACATGTGTAATCATGCTAATAACTACTTTAATAATGATGATTATCATGTAAGGAGGTTCACAAGTAGAGGAGATAGATATCAAATCATCTCATTCTATACTTCTTCTTCTTCTTCTCCTTATATTCACTGACAGACAGTAATAAATTAGATTATGTATCTTTTTTAGAATAAAGGTTCCCTGCATATCTATAGTATTTTCATCAAAGTTATTCTATTATGATGATTTATAGTGGCATAACAGAACATACATGCATACATACATGTATAGGATCATCTTCTAATCTCACTATTATGAAATAGGTACACGAATACACTACTATTTTCTCGGAATGACAATCCCGATTAAAGTGTTACTTAATATGACAAGATAATATATAAATGTGTGTATGTATTTGTATATTCATATAAATGTATTTATATATTCACACATGTGTATTTATGTGTACATTCTTATTTAAAGGGGGGGGAAAGAGGAGGAGGAGGAGGAGGAGTAGAGAGAGTAGAGAGGCAGAGGGACACGGACATTCTGATATATACAAATAGACATATATTTTTTTTTTGGTAATACGATAAGGAACATGTGTAATTAAAATGCTTTTCTTTTTATTTCAAGAAAATAGGATATATGCTTTCATTTCATTACATAATCATTATTTGTTATTTTTACAATTCATCTCATTTATATTGAACGCGGTCTATGTAGACTGTAGATAGTACTTGTAGACAGATACTATTTCAGGAAACAAAGAAAAGGTAGTTTTAAAAGTGAGACTATTTGTTCGTGGCATATAAGATAAGAAAATAAATTAAATACAAGTTAAATTATGATGTTTGAAAGTTAAGGGAGGTAAATGAGACAACACATCATCATCATGAAGTATAAAAGAAGAAGAAAGAAAGGCTTAATAAAACTATGAGCGTTCTATTTTGTTAATTTTAAAATACGCATACAGCAGAATAAAGTATTTCCTAGTTTCTATTGAAGCCTAATTTTTATTTTTTATTTTATTTATAATAACTTATTATCCAAGTTAAATCATTACAACGATGGTCTAAATTACAATTATGTTCCTTCTACTTTATATGATACATGTTGAAGTATCGTTCACGATAATTCATCATTCCTTAAATATTATAATATCAAGTCAATGAATACACATACACATACACACTATAGAGAATAGTATAGCTGTTAACCTTTCTTTTGGGATACAAATCGAGTTAACCTTTAGTATTTCTGATAATAGGATAATAACTTGATTTTATTATTATTATTATTATTATTATTATTATTGTTTAAAAGGCAATAACTCTAACTTAAAATGTAACATTCGTAGTTGATATACAAATAGATGTAGTTACAAGATATTTAGATTTCTTAAAGAATAGAGAAAATAAGTGTTAGATTAAATCCACAATATAGATATTTATAAATATATATATGTGTGTGTGTACATGAGTGTATGTATAGACTGCTCAATATTACACTTTTTTTTTCTATACATGTGTAGGCTTTGTTATTCGTTATCATAATTATTTCTGCTATTTCAAAGATGCACAAGTATGTATCTTTTCTGAACAAAAGGAATTGACAGCATTTTTCTTTCTGCTACAGATATATATATATATATTCTTTCTTATTTTAACTTTTATCTATTTCCTTTCTCTCTTTTTATTATTATTTTTATAAAATCAATATTTTCTTTTATCTCTTCTTTTATCTAATTTTATATACACTAACTTTATCATGAACACAATGATAGAACGAATTCGATCCAAAATGAGGCAAATTAAATTTCAAGAAGACACAAATATAGAGAAGAAAGCAGGGAGGAAAATAGTTTTTGACAAAATGAGTAGATCTATCTCTTTTACAACCTCAACAGCATCAACTCATAGTGACGCATCTATATGTACAATTCCTTCACTTTCTTCAAATTTTTCTTGTTTATCAAGTAGTAGTAGTAGTAGTAGTAGTAGTATTAATAGTAGTAGTTCTACAATAAGCAGTCGCTTATCAGAAGGAATGATTCGTGATAGTAAAAGTATGAATCATCTTCAAACAATAAAAAAAAGAATCATGACCCTTGATCAACATCCTATAACTTCTAAAGTGCAAGCTCCATCTAGATACAAGATATCTACACAACATATGTTTGGTACTCCACCTACATCCTCTACTCATATCGTAAATCAACAATTGACCCATTTTTATAATCAAAGAGACATGAATCATAATCCTACTTCCAAAATTGCTCCTTTGAAAGAGATAGATCAAGTAAGTTTTTTTTTCCCCCTTATTAAGAACTAGAGTCATGAATTTATTCAATCTTTTAATAATAGATGCTTACAGACTTGAGGAAAGAAAATTTTGATCTAAAACTTAGACTCTACCATTCTTTATATAATAAATCTATATCCGAAGATGATGATACATTCTATATAGTCAAAGACAGACTAAATCAAAGAAAGCAAAAGAACGATACAACACATTTTATGACTGCAACATTTATATATGAGCAAATAGAGACAGTAAGTTTATTATTATTATTATTATTATTATTATTACTTACCCAAACTTGCCTTTCTTTTTCTACTTGAATAATAGATCCGTAAATTGAAACAGGAATTGAAAATGAAGAATGAAAAAATACGCTATTATGATCAACGAGTTCCTAAATTAAAAGATTTAATCAAGAAAAAGGAACATCAAAAACTTGAGCTTATTTCAATTTTAAAAGATTTTAATATTCCCATTCCTCAAATATAAAGTAGAAGAAGCTAACTGTGTACTATTACTCCTCTTCATAAATATACAATAAAGAGTTTACACTTTTATGTTCATAAGCATGTTGAATGTATCTGTTCAAGTATTTCCGTTTATACATTGTGTAACAGTAATAAAGAGAACGCTTCTTTTATCTCTTATACATTTGCATACATATTAGTTGTGTAAGGTTCCTCTTTTGATAAGAACAAATGAGTTTATATATTCAAGATTTAAATCTCATAAAATACATTCCATTTATCCTTTGTGTCAAATAATAATAAAAAAAAATATTATTTAATAAAGAAATAGTATCATTTGAAGTGATACCATCATGATGACTATTTTATATTGACATATGTCACTTTGAAAGTATTCTACTCGTTTTTTTTAAACTTTTGTCATACCAATTTGCGGCCTTTGATATACATATAATCCCCTCCAGTTGACAGCCATTAATATCAAGTAGTAACAATAGACATTATAATGAGAAACAACTTATTTGAACCTAATAGAGTCAAGTACAGAACAAGTTGAGCCAAACTGCAGAGCACACAGATAAAATAATAAATAAGGGAAGAGCACGGAAGAGTTACAATGATTTTTTTTTTCAGAAACTATAATTCTAGAAACTAAAACATCTTTTTGTCTGTCATTTCATTTTTTTTTCCTGATATAGAATTCTATCTCGGTTCACGTTTCTTCATCAGCCGGAAAAAAAAAAAAAAAGAAAAAGACTCAATAATCACGATTCTTGCTTGATTCAGTATAGCATATGAATGCTCTTTATGAAATTAAAGGAGTTTATATAGAATGCCCCCCTTTTTCGGTGGCTCCCCACATTTTACGTTCTTTATATAGGCAAATCTTTCTTTTTCATAGGGTATTTACTTTCTTCGATAAGAAAAAAAAAAGACTTTTATGATTAGAAGAGGCTTTCCTTTTCCTCTTCTATAACCCCACTTTCTCTAGATTCTGCCTTTTGGGTACAAGATATGCATGCATTTCAATAAAAAATAAAATAAATAAAATAAAATGATGGCGTGGCAAAGTCATGAGCCAAGAACACGCTCTAAAATCCTTAGTTAAGGATCATGAGTGCCTATCAGGTTTGGGAGTGATCAAGGTAAGGAAAACTTTTAAAATCAAAGTCTATTGGATTCGACCAGTTTCACTCATTTTATGACTCTCCCCCCCATACCTTAAACTAACCAGTTAAAGATGTTAACAGCAAATAAAACTTATGATTATTCATCACCACCACAACAAAGATAAGCTAATACAAGAAGCATGTATATACAGAAAATGACTGCTATTATCACCCTTATACACATCTATTAATATTTTGTGCTATATATTATATCCATAGTGTCCACTATTATGTAATAAAATCTATCCTACCCCTCCTTTTTTTTTTCTCGCGATGTTAACAATGATTATTATTAAATATTGTATGTTGAAGGGGACGGGGAGGGAATATAATAATTTAATAACTCATCTCCTTTATATTTGTATCATGTAATAAACGATCATTTTATTTATATAAACAATCATGATCATAACAATCTTAACTCCAAATATCACATTTATACATATTTATATACTTTCAAAGCATATTATAGTTTCAGATGACTACAGTAAAAGGAGTATTTATCAAAGAATTCAAGCTATTATTGACTAGCAATCCTTTCAGATCAAAGGACTCTTTTTTAAACATAGATTATTATAACTCGATTAACAAACACTAATGCCCTCCCATCCACTTTTTAGTTTAGAGTAGAGTAGCTTTAAAGAAGATATATATATATATATATATTCATTTAACCTAATAGCTTGCAATTATCAAATACTGCTACCAAGCTATGTGTCAATCATTGTAGTAACTCAGCTTGAAGATCAAAAGACTGATTATATTTCAAAGGTAGCCAAATTAAATGGTAGTGGTAGTGATAGTGGTAGTGGTAGTGGTGATGGTGATGGTAAATGTGGCAAAAGCCGAAAAAAAATAAAAGTATTCATTGTGTACAACATGAATATGTGTCACAAGTTATCATGTTGTTCGGGACAATAATGGCTCTCCCCTGCATATTTTATAGGAAAATATCCCCTTTTTTAGTGTAGAAAAAAAAAAAAAGAGAGTAGTAGTTCATTTTATTTTATTTATTCATGTATAATGTTCTCTTTTTTTCTTCTCTTTTTCTTTTTTCTTTTTTCTTTTTTCTTTTCTTGTCTTCATCATGAAACTTATTGAAGAAATAATCGATCTTCCTATCTCGACTACTAAGCAGCAGCCATCACCTATTCATAGTAGTAGTAATAATAAAGTAGTTGTAACACTCATTACAGATAATATCATAACACCTACAATAATAATTCCTTATTCTAAACAACAACAGAAACAAATATCAAACAGTAATAATAATGATATAATCTTCACGTCTCCAGCTGCTACTAAACCTGTTTGGTAACCGGAATCTTAAATTCAATATTAAAAAAAAAAAAAAGAGAATTAGAATTTCTTTTTTTTTTACACACATAATAACCATCATTCATAGTCAAAATAAAGAAATACTAAAGCACTCTAAAGAAGATGATCGCATCCTATCAAAGACAATATATAAAGATTGGCCAGATACTCATTATGAGCAAAAATTAATAGCAACAAAGTTGAAAAAAAAACGGTCATCTTTGTTATCTCATGTTTCGTATGACGTAAATGAAGCTTCTACAAACATGAAAAGTAAAGAAGAAGAAGAAGAAGAAGACAATGATGAAGATGAAGAACCACCTTTAACACCTACATCAAAAGAAGATTTGAATGGTATAGTAAGTTATAATAATTAGTTATAATAATAACTCTCAGGTATTAAAATAAGGAGAAAAGTATGAACATCAATCATTACTACCCCCTTCTTTTCATTATAAAGAGCCGTCTACTCCTATTCCTTCCAAGAAGTATGATACAATACAATCAAATGTAATAATACAAAAGGAGATGTTTCACCATTCAAAACAGATCATAGTAGAAGAAGAAGAAGAAGGAAAGAAAAGGAAACAGAAGCAGAATAGATCATCATGGCTCAGTAGCCTATTTCAAGATTTAAAAAAGAATAGTCATTCTGTAAAATCTTTATTATTTCCTAAAGAGAATAAAAAGAAAAGGACATCCTTAGTACAACAACGAAAACCAAATATAGATCATAATACACTGTATCAATTATCCTATCTGAAGCTTTCTAATCCACGTCGACCTCTTTATCAACAAGTCATGATATCCAATATAATCTATCGACTTGTCTCTCTGTTATCTTCGTCGTCTTTGTCGTTTTCGTCGTCTTCGTCGTCTTCGTCTTCTTCGTCTTCACCTTCGCTTTCTTCTTCTTTAATCACTCTGTCAAATCATAGTCATCCTTCATATCAACGAGTTACTGCTTATTCCAATGAGTACCATCATCAACCTTATGTGATACCTTCATCTCTTTTATTTTCGAACCTTGATCAAGATCACACAACGTTTGTTATTGAAAAAGGAAAAAGACAAGAGAGTGTAGCCAACAAGAACAAGAAATATAAACCAATTAGGAATACTGATTATAATCCTTTGTTGGTCCAAGGCAATGGGATGTAAATGTTTCAAGATGATAACCATTTTTTTTTTTTTTTGTATATAATAATGTAATAGAATAAAGAAGGAAAAAAAAAAGATATGTGTGTGTATGTAATAAATACTATGATTTTGGATTCAGGCGCGGTACTTTAAAGAACGTCCCCATCTCTCTCTCTCTCTCTCTCTTTAACCACTTGCTTTCTTCTTCTTTATCATCAGCTCATATTGTAAAAGAAATGTAGGTGTTCTTATCCGCTGTTATTATTATACACCATTTTTTTTTTTTAAAAAAAAAGTCATGTTTTAAAAAGTATGATGCGGAGTGTTAAATTTTATTCTATACTATACTATTACGGATAGGCTGAGGAGGATTCTTTAATAGCCATCAATTGCTTTGTTCGAAAGCTTTCATAATGAATCAAAGCTGTTGTTTCAATCAAATCTTGTAAATGAGTACGTGTTAAAAAGTTACGAAGTTGGATAAATTCACAATGTTCAGGATCTTCTACATTAATGATTGCACCACCACGCGTCTTTCTACCTCTAATCACCTTCTTATCATCCGTAGTTATTATATCTCGTTCAGACCCGATAATAGCAAAGGGAATTAGTTCCCAGATACTATCATTCAAGCTCTTTTCTATTTCGTCATCTTCTTCATTTTCATAAGGATATAATCGAATATTATGAAATTGAAGTTCTGCTTTAATCTATATATATACCATGTTAGTAGTGTATAGAATTTTATTTTATTTTATTATATTTTATTTTTTTACTCTTTGTTTAAAGGCATTTCTTTCTTCAAATGTAAGTGAATCAGATTTAGCAATCACAGGTACTACATTGACTACTTCAGTTAATTTTTGAAGAACAACAATGTCAATTGGTTTAAGTCTAATTAAAATAAAGAGTAAGTAAATCAGTCAGTCAGTCAGTCAGTCATTTTATAAAGATCTCTTTACGAATGACCAGAAGGGGTAATAAAGAAAAGACAGCAATGAACACGGGTATCAACAATATAACGTTCACGTCTAGCAGTTAATTCCTTACGAAGATAAGCAGAATGTTGATCTTTGATATATCTAATAATAGGTTCCCAACTTGGGGAAAAAAAAAGTATGTAAGCAAACTATAAATAAAAGAAAAAGAAAATCTTTACCAGTTATCATTATTTACTTGATCACCATAACCAGGTGTATCCACTATATTAAGTCTTAAACGAACTCCATTTTCTTCAATAACTATAGGAGGGAGGGACGGGGATTAATATTCCTTTTATTATTATTATTATTATTATTATTTATTATTTATTATTTATTATTTATTATTTATTAGTTTTACCATGAGAAACAGTTTCAATTTCAGTCGTTTGTCTTGCAGATTCAGAAGCTTCAAGTCTTCCTTTACTGTCAATCAAATGAGATGCAAAAAGAGTATTTACAAGTGTTGATTTGCCAAGACCCGACTGACCTTTATAATTATTATTATGATTAATAATATAGTATTATTATTATCATCATCATCATCATTTTTTTTTTTTTTTTTTTACCAACAACCATAATATTAAACTGAAATCCTTTCTTTAATAACTTTTTTTCAATTTGTTGTGTAATTGTATCGAAGCCAACATAATCATTCAGGAAAATACGCTATTTTTTTTTCTTCATATAAGACAATATGTATGTAATAATAATAAACTTATCATCATCTACCTTTTGTGAATGGTTGGAATCAATAGAAGGTGATGCTGATGAAACTGCAGATGTTGACATTATTTAAAAATAAAAAAAAAAAAAAAAAAAGAAATAAGGACAAATAAGCTTTGTAATATATTTTTGTGTATTAATTATAAAACTTGTATTATACGTGTAACATTAATATGATCTACTACTACTACTACTACTACCCTCATGAATAGTAGGCAGTATTATTCCCACCACCACTTCTTTTATGACTTTGATAACATTGAGCATCTTTTATTTCTATTTTAATTTTTCTTTCCCCTCCCAAGAGAACATTATTTACAAATTACTTGATATTCCTGTCATAATTGATTAGTGAATACCAAAATAAATAAATAAAAAAGACAGATACTCAAGGAGACTAAGAAATGTTTCGATAAGAATAAATATACATATTAGTTGCAATCAAACATTATTTTCAGTACAATAATGTACTTTTATTTTGATTACTAGTATTTAATGTCTAATCCTGACAAAGACTATAAAATCACCTAGTAATTTCCTTCCTTCCTTCTCGGGAAGAGGCTTTTTTTTGTTGTTGTTTATCAAATGAAAAGGACGTTAGTTGCATTAAAGTCGGTGAGCATTTAACTCAAATCAAGAGTGTATTTTGTAAATCGCTATGGTCTTTCCCGTAAAGCATGTCTTTTGATGCTCCAAATGTAAAGACTTGATTGTGTTTGACTATATATTAATTTATATATCAAATTCATCATAATACCACTCTTCTCTTCTTCCTCCCATTGACGAAAACAATGGAGAAGGAGACCCTGAAGGAATCTGGTCAAAGTGAGATAGCTTGGGTTGTAAATTACAATGGTTTACCTAGAGTTATTGAAGTCTTTTAGCTAGTTTATAATTTCTGAATGAAGAAAGGTAAAGTTAGCTCTAGTTTTAAGGAGATCAATATAAAACAGAATGGAATCTGGATTCCCTTCCCACCTGGATAGTCTTTTTTTTTTTTTTTTTGAATCAAGCCAATAATTTTTAAATTTATTACAGGCTTTCATTATTTATTTATCTATCTACTCTTGCTTTCTACTCTCCTTCCTTTCCACATACTGTTTTTATTATTAAATAATATAGTTTATATGTCAAAAAAAAAAACAAATAATTTACACATCATAAAATCCCTTTGTGTTCTATCTCCCAAAGGAAAAAAAAAAAAAAGAAAAAAAAAAAGAAAAGAAAAAAAAAGAAAAGAAAAAGAAAAGAAAAAAAAGAGAGAAAAAAAAAAAAAAAAAAAAAAAGAAAAAAAAAAGGCTTTTAACCTATTAAATTCATATGTTCCAACAAAAAGATCTCTAAATCTTGCCATCCACCACCGACACGTATTAACACCTTATTAGCTTTATTCCCTCCATAGATCATCAACTTGCATGTATATAACTTTTTATTAGTACTACCATCATTCCCAAAGTAGTATTTACCTTGATTGTCTTGTGTGTGTTTTTTAGAACATTGAATTGGGACTGGACTTCTATTGATGATCATAGCAATCTCAACATCTAAAGGATCCTTTGGATTGGGTCGATACATGTGTGAAGAAGAAGATAGTGGTAGTGGTAGTGGTGGTGGTGCTGTTGTTGCTGTTGTTGTTGTTGTCGTCGTCGTCGTAATACGGGCCATAGAAGACCGTGGTCGAAATTTATTCGGCGTTTTAGGTCGTGGTATCATTGAAGGTGTCCCGCTACGACGTGAGGGTGTCACTGATCTTTTATGAGGTTGTGGTGTAGCTGAATAAAAAGTGGTTGGTTGTTTTTGATTAGTATTTCGAAAATGGTGAGTAGTAATAGTATCATCATCATCATCATCGTCATCACCACCAACAACAACATTCACTTCAGGTAACCTAGAATTGATAATAGTGTTTGTAGTACGTTTACTATGTGAGGGACTGATGGGACTTGTCGTTCGTCTGATCATCATGGGTGAGCCTGGTGAGTGTCGTAAGATGGGACTTTTAGCTTCTGTCAAAAGGGGTGATGGGCTTGCCTTATAAGGACTTTTACTTCTTGACATCACTGGTTGTTGTTGTTGTTGTTGTTGATGATGTTCATCCCAACGTTGTTGCATCAAAAGGGGTGACCTATTGTGATAGAAGCGTGGTGCAACACTTCCAGTGCTGTCACTTCGATCGCTTAAACGTGAGGATCCATCACTGTCTGAAAACTCACGTCGACGTACATGTTCCATGGTTGCCTTCAGTTGTTGCCATCTTGCCAACATAGTACCATGTCGTTGCATGGTTGTCGTGTCATTCCGTGTTGAGACACGAGCTGAAATACCGTTGCCCAACATCATAAGCATATTTGTAATCGAGGGTGCAAAGCATTTATATTTTGCCTCAAAATTCTTTTCAGATGCTCGTGTTCGACTCTCGTTCAATGCAGACGCAGCCCTCTCAAGTCCATTCATCATATCATCTAATTGATCCGCAATCTGTCTAAAGACCATCAACCATCGATCTTCTTTGAGCTCCAACTTGAGTTCATCAATATCCAACCGTAGATCCTCCCATCTATCCTGTACATATTGATGTTTGCGTGTTAAAACACCTGTAGGATCCTCAGGTGGTGCTTGCATCATTCTCACATACACTCGTTCTACCTCTCCAAACAGCGGGACGACCTTTTGATCAATCACGACCAATATATTTTCCTGTGTCGTTTGTCGTTGACGTCGTTCCTGAAATTCAAATATCATGGTCGAGAGATCATCGATTTGGGCTAGAATCGTCTCCATCTGTACACGTAATGTGTTTTTAGAGGAGGATTGATCAAGTCGTTGTTTGACAAAGGCAACATAATGTTGGAGTGAAGACCATTCAGATTGAAGTTTAGTTGCTGTATGTAATGGTTCGTGCTGACAGTCAATCCATTCAGTAAGACGTTGCATCAAGGGCTGCATCTTTTGTTTACTAAGAGTGATGATTGCATTAAGAAGCGGGGTATCTAGGAAGGGCTCATTTTGTATAATACTTTGTTCAATACTGAAGGCTGTCATGTGAGCTGTTTCCAACCACTGTGTCATACGGCTTAGGAGCTCTCCTAAAGGCCCGTTGATGGTTAGCACAGTTTCGAGCTCGCTAAGGTCAGGAATATGATAAAGTGGATGATTATTGTCTAAATGGTTGTTGCTTGATGCAATTGAAATCATTCGTATATTAAACTATGAATTACTACTATACATTAAGGTATTTGATTTATTTTATTTTTAAAGAAAATTGTTGCCTACCTGATGAATAATTTGTAAAATTATAGAAAAAAAAAAAAAAAGGGATGTCGAAATTACAAGAATTTATTTAACAAACAAACACACTAGAGAAATGCTGTTTATAGATAATAAGTAAAAAAAGTGAATTCTACTAAAAAGTAAATTGACATGAATTAATGTACATGTATATAAAAAAAAAAAAAGAAAAAGAAAAAAAAGAAAAGAAAAGAAAAAATATACATGAAAATAGTATTACAGGCACTAGCTAATGTATGCTTTGAAACTGAGTTACAATTGTAAATATTATCATGTACCTGAAATATCACGAGAGTTTTCTATTATGAAACAATTATTATAGAAGAATATCTTCTACTCTATTTCTTTTTATTATTATTATTATACATAAAGCTTGATTAATTCATCAGAAACACCTGAAGGAGTCAAGACACCTAAATCAGTTAAAAGTAATGTAATGTATTGAGGAGGCGTATAATCGACAGAAGGATTTGATAAAGCCAAATCATCCTCTGTTGATATATTTCCACTCAATGATTTCCTTCTTGAAGTAAATGTGACAATTTCAGGAGTTTCTGAGGGAATATCATATTGATTTAAAGGATAAACACGCACAAATTTATAGCTAAAAGAAAAAGGTGAATAAATGCGAACAAACTTAAAACTAAAACTCTGTTATTACCTTTCTGCAACAGCATAAACTGGTTTACTTAATGCATTTGCTACTAAAGCAATCTGGAATGTACCAATCTAATTAAAAGATATTTAATATACAAGAATCGAAATATATTCAAAATTTTACTCACCTTATTAACAATACCACCATTTTCAACTACCCCTTCAGCTCCCACAAATACCATATCTACTTTATCCATAATATATCCTACAGCAGAATCCAAAACTGCTCTACAAGGAATACCGTGCTTTCTTAAAGCAGAGACTGCCTGAATACTAAAAAACATATACATACATATATAAATATAACCACAATTAAGATTATATATATGTATATATATATTTTTAAAAAGAAAAAAAAAACTTACCCATCACCATTAGGTCGACCTTCTGTCACATAGACCTTAAATCGTTTATTTTGTACATTAGCAGCATGACACAGTACACTCATAATAACACGCGAATAACCTTGAACAAGAATAATTGCATTATCATGAACAAACTGTGCACCAATTTCAGCTGCTCTATCTCTTGCAGTTGCTGCCTTTTCCAAAATCAAACCAGCTCTAGATAACAAATTATTTTTAAAATCTTCAAAACTGCCTGCCTCCTCTGAGAGCTATAGTCACAATGAAATAATGATTAAATTTGTAGTGTTTAGCAACTGAGCATAAAAACTTACGGAAAAGTCATGTGAGTTTCTTGTGACAAAACGCATAAATAAATCAACACCTGCCAAGATGGCTATAGCAGCTTTATGTTGATTTTTGGGCTTGTTGGAAAGTGATTGAGAATCTTGACGGATCGATTGGGCTGCTTTTTCTAATGTTTGCATAAATTCTGACATTGTAGGAGCTAAATAATAATAATAAATTAAATGTAATGTTGACATTAGAAGAAAAAAAAAAGGGGGGAACATGAATGAACAGTTGTAAATATTATTCTTTTTTTTTTTTTTTTTTTTTTTTTTTTTTTTTTTTTTTCTTCTTCTTTTTACCTTTACTGTGTTGAACAAATTCTGTCAAAGCTTTAAAAATGGCAACAGGTGTAGATAATTCCTATTTAAAAAAAAAAAGAAACCATATTAAAATGCGTACTTTATTATCATAATACTAATCATTACTGTGTCATTTAAAGATGATTGATATGCAGAAATGACATCGAAGCCTGTATTTGCTGTAGACATTTTAAGGGAAAAAACAAGGCAGAAAAAAAAAATAAGAAAATTTTTCTACATGAACCAAAATTTAAAAAGAGCGCGGCTTGTAAAAATAAAATAAAAATAATAATAATAACAATAACAATAATAATAATAATAATAAAAGCAAAGATCTACAAATAAGACAATGTATGAATAACAATGCTGAACATTCATTAAGCGCATCATATAGTTTTATACAAAATATGAAAAATAAATGTACACATATAGAAAACTAATTCGTGTTAAGCTGGATATGATAAAAGAGTTTTCAATTAAACATACATCATTTATAATAAGATTTCCAAATGGGCTTATTTCAGATGCTTAAAATTTATCATCAAGGTGAGAAACTTTACTTTTCCTTTATTTAACTGAAAAGAGCACAATTCTGCATAGTATAATAATATACGAACAATAATGGATTAATATTCAGTTGTTTCGTTTACAAATGAATTATAATCATGCAATTAGTCTGACTAGCTTCCGTTAACTTTTTTTTTTCTTTTTTTTCTTTTTTTTGCTAATCTAACCACAAGAAATGTCGTTAAGAATACGGCTTTAAAATTATTTATCAATATAATAATAATAATGTGGCGTCTGATGAAAAACTACCGTCCAGTCAAGATAGATCTACTATCTTACAAGCTCAAATTATTTATTCATCTTCGTATCTCTTCAATAATAAAACACTGTTATAAATGTCTCTACAATGATGATATCAATCCAAGAACTATTACTACTGATACTTTAAACCTAATAGAATTATTAATACTGATAATAGCTCTTCACAGAAACTTGAATCTTCTCAAATCTTTCCTTTTAAACTATATGTTTCATATTTCTAGACTTTATGTTCTAAGCTTACATTATCCAGATACTATTATATGTATATGCAGATAGATCTATGATCACAATGTGCTATGCAGACATTCTAAAACAAATTATAGTCAAAATCGGCTTTATTATAAAAGATCAAATATTAAGCATCCATGATGTGACTTGTAAAAAAAAATCCATTCAAAACAAATGGAACGTAGAATATATGAAATGACTTTCCTCCTTCCCCTTTTTTTTTTTTTTTTTTTTTTTTTTTTTTTTTTTTTTTTTTTTGCAGAAAAAGATGAATTCAGAAGAATCAACTACATCTTTACAACACTCTCAAGTACAGCCACAACCTCAACAAAAAGTAGCAACTCCTGCTAAAACTACTAATACTAATACTACTACCACTACTACTACTACTACTACTACTACTACAGAGCATGAAGATACTGTAATGGATGAGCAAGTCAAAGTAGATAAAGAGCGAGAAATGGCTGAATTACTTGTGACCATAGACAACTATACACCAATTATACCTGATTCGGTAATTGATTACTATTTAAATAAAACAGGCTGCGAATGTGATGATGCGAGAGTGTAAGAGTCGATATATATATATATATATGTGTGTGTATGTGTGTGTATGTGTGTGTATGTGTGTGAATGTGTATATGTATGTGTGCACGTTTGCTTATTTTTATTTATTTAGGAAAAAATTATATGCATTAGCAGCACAAAAACTAATCGCAGACTTGGCTACAGATGCATTACAATTTAATAAGCTAAAGCAAGGCACCTCTCGTAGTAATACTAGTAAATCAGCCAAGGTAAATTTAAACTGTTTGTTTATGTGTTATACAGTTAAATAATAACTTTTTGTTGAAAAAAAAAAAAAAGGAAAAGGAAAAGAAGACTGTATTAAGTATGGATGACTTATCTTCCGCACTAGCTGAACATGGATTAAACATAAAGAAACCAGAATATTATGACTAAGACAAAGAGTTCACTTTCCTTTATGTATATATTTTTGCATGAGAAAAAAAAAAGGGCTTATAGCATGTGGACATTATTATATAACTTAAAACGTACGTCATAATTATTCAAATATAAATAAATAAATAAATAATAAAAAATGATTGATCTGCAGCAACAAACAACAACAGCCTATTTTGTTTTCTTTCTTTTACATACATACATACACGACATGCAAGTAGCTGCTAACTATGCTAAAAAACGATTCTTGGGTCCAGTCACTGACAAGATCCATAAAAATCAAGTGTCTTTTGAAACAGACCCTCAGGTCCTAGCTGTCTCTCAACAAATTGCTGACCAACAACAACGCCACTGGTATAATAAAAAAGTAAAAGCTACACCTGATCTCATCTTGAGCAAAGAAGAACGTAAAATATTGAATAAAGTTAAGAAACGAGCTTGGTACCTTGATAAAGGCTTTCATTGTTGTTGTTTTAATATCGGATTGGATGGTATTGTAGGTCTAATACCAGGTATTGGTGACGCCTTGACAGCCGCTATAGCAATGCAACTGATAAAGACAGCTTCTAATGCTAATTTACCAAAATGGCTTATTGCCAAGATGATGGGGAATGTGATGCTTGATTTTCTTGTAAAAAAAAAAAAAAAAAAAAAAAAAAAAAAAAAAAAGATAATAATAATAATTTATCTTTACAAGTGATATATTCTGATAATACATTTTTTTTTTTTTTTTTTGTTCATATAGGTTGGATTAACACCAGTAGCTGGTGACTTGCTAGACATTCTCTTTAAATGTAATTGGCGTAATGCTTTACTTTTAGAAGAATATTTAATACAGCGAAGAATGGAAGAAATTAGAAGCGAAAAGGGGAATAATGATGTTGTACTTAATGATGATCATACTGTGACAATAACAACGACTGAACCGTCATCTTCAGCACAGCAACAACAACAATCTATTACATCACCAAAACCAGCTGCAATTGTTAGTCATCACCACTCTAATAATGGGAATAAGCCTCCTACTCTTGATGATGAAACAACAACAAAGGACAAGCATAAATATGGTACTTTCTTTTGATAAGCCACTAATATATCTACCGACACTACATTTACTTTAATTTTTATATTTTATTATGCATTGATAATAAAGCCTTTTTTTTTTTTTTTTTTTTTTTAATGAAATAAAATAAAATAAATGACAACCAAAGAAGAGCATCAGCCCAAATCAATAGCATTTACGGATCATATATTCGATTTTGCTTTTCATCCTTTAAATAATTTAATAGTTGTTGGACTGATTAGTGGAAAAATAGAATGGTAAAAAAAGAGGGAGATGGATTAATTAACCCACTCTCATTCAGTTTTAATTATTCAATAGAAAAAAACAGTTCTTGTTGGTCAATACAGGCATCCAAAAAGTCCTGTCGAGGTGTTGAGTTTACACCTTCAGGAGCCCATCTGATGTCTATTTCAAGAGATAAGTCAATACATGCTCTTGATGTATCTACAGGAAGAATGTTATACAAAATACCCAAAGCTCACAAGTAACACAATACTCTTCTTTACAAACGACATTTTATTTACTCATATCATTGTTAGATTTGCGATTAATAAGATTTGTAATCTCGATACCCATTTAACAGCTACAGGTGATGATGAAGGTATAGTCAAGGTAAATGCAAGGATATGCTTCATTTCTTTTTCTTTTTTTTTATTAAATAAAAAAGAATAAAAAAATAATATATGAATAGATATGGGATATGAGGACATGTAAGCCACTTCAAGAATATAAAGTGCATGATGATTTTATAGCTGATATGAATTATTGTAAATCAAGGTCAAGCTTATTAGTAGCAGGGTAAATGATAAAGACGAGAGATTAGTTTTTATTTACTCATCATTAACCATAGAGGAGATGGTTTACTTTCAATTTATGACATAAGGAAACCAACAGACAAAATCAAAATGACAACAGAATTAGATGATGAATTATTGTCGATGGAAGTTATTGATGTAGCTATACGAACTATATAAATGCATGCCCATTCAATAATTCTTTTTTTCTTTTCTTTTTCTTTTTTTTTTAGAATGGAAATAAAGTTATTGCAGGTTCACAAAGTGGAGCATTATACAGTTGGAATTGGGACGGCTGGAAAGAATCAAGACGAAAATGGTTAGGACATCCAAGTTCTGTTGATGCCATGTGTAAATTGGATGAACAAGTGATTTGTACAGGAGGTAATGATGGTCTATTACGAATGATTACAGTCTTGCCTCAATATGGCTTTGAAGGCATTTTGGGGGATCATGGAGAAGATTTTCCTATTGAATGCATCAAGTTGGATCACAAACAAAAATATTTAGCAAGTTGTGGACATGATTTAAAGCTCAAATTTTGGAATATTGAATTCTTATTTAAAGGAGATAATTCGAAGAAAGAGAAGCGAAAATGGATCGTTATTGATGATGATAGTGACGATGATGAAAATGTCAAAAATAAACAAACCAATAGAAAACGACAGAATAATGAATTTATTCGTAACATTACGTAATTTTTGTTTAAAATAAAATTAAAGCTTAAATTGCCGTGAAACCTTGGTGAAGGGGATGGGGACGGGGATGGGGAAAAGGGGGAATAAAATAACAATGACCCCCACTCATTTTTAAATTAAAAATGATTTAATTTTTATTCTATTTCATTTTATTCCTTTACTCCTTAAAACAATGGCAGAAAATAAAGAAAAATATGCTACACCTCGTTTTACCAAACATACCATGAATAAATTTGATCCAGAGGATACAAATTTAGATGGTATTTTAGCTAATAATAAGAAATGGGCAGAAGAAGTCATGAAAGAAGATCCCGCATTTTTAAAGAATATTGCTTTAAAACAGCAACCCAAGATTCTTTGGATTGGTAATAAAATAAAATAGATAAAGAAATAAATGCTCATTGTTGTTATAGGTTGCTCGGATTCTAGAGTTCCTGCTAATGTCGTTACGAGCTTACCCCCTGGTGAAGTATTTGTACATAGAAATATCGCCAATGTTGTTACACATGCTGATCTTAACTGTTTATCTGTTCTACAATATGCTGTTGAAGTACTTAAGGTAGAACATATCATTGTATGTGGTCATTATAATTGTGGTGGTGTCACTGCTGCACTTGGTCATCAACAATATGGTCTTATTGATAACTGGTTAAGAAGCATTAAAGATGTGTATAGACGTAAGCAATTAAAAACATATAAATCGATATATACATATATACTGACCCTTCAAGTCCTTTTATATATATACATACGTATATAGTTTATAAAGATGAATTGGAAGCCATTCAAGACGAAGAAAAACGTCTTTATCGACTTATTGAATTGAATGCTATTAACTCTGCAAAGAATGTTTGTCATTCAACCATTGTTCAAAATGCATGGGAAAGAGGACAAAAGTTAACTGTTCATGCTTGGGCGTTTAATATAGAAACAGGTATTGCAAAGAGATTAGAATGGATGGCTAAAGATAGAAATAAGGTGGATCCTATTTACATCACCACTGAGTAATATAAAGGGACAGTTATTATTTAATTTGTGACAACTATAAAATATATCTAAAATAAGAAATATTACATAATAAATGAACATGCCTCCTACATATGCTTTAAACAATAAAATTTTTATTAAATTTGCTCATATTAGATCATCAATGAAATAAAAGGAGAAAAGAAGAAGAGAATAAAAGGCGTAAATAGGACTCTATTAAAAAGATTGGGGTAGGGAAGAAATGATCAAGATTATTACTAACTAGGTTGTGAAAGCAGTGAATGAAAAAAAAAAAAAAAAAAAAAAAAAAAAAAAAAAAAAAAAAAAAAGGGCGGTAAATAACCTGCTAATAGACAGAACCTAGGGAAGAAGGGTATTATTAACAATTTTAATATAAAGGGTGTTTAATGAAAATTGTTGTAAAATAACAATAAAATTAAAAAATAAAAACTACTCCTTATTAATTGTATAAAATATATAAAAATGCTACTTTTTTTTTTTTTGTATATAAATACATACATTTATTATTTTATATACATTCAAAATGATTAATAACAACAACAAAAAGTTAAATATCTTGATTCAAGTGTTAGAGAAAAATGATACTATCAAAAATAAAGAAGTCTATAAAAGAGTCATTGAATTATCACAAAGAATAAAATATCAAATCAATAAAATAAATCAATTACATAATCAACAAACAGTCGTTATTCATAACAAAAGAAGACCAAGATGTTCTTCATTCTAAAAAAAAAAAAAAAGCACAATAATATAGATATTACACGTACACCGAAGAAGAAAAAAAAATTACATGTTTTACTTTTTGTTTTTATTTTATTTTTATTACAAACAAACTATTTATATGATAATAAATAATATGACAATTTTTATTAAATGCTATAATATAATATTAAATGATAATTGTTAAATGAATTGTATATGAATATATATATATGTATATGTATATAAATTTATTTATTTTATGCTGCATATCCATCTTCTAATAAACGATCTTCTTCAGCTTTTACTCTCAATTGTGTCTTTCTGACCTCATGATTCCAATCTGCTGTTAACAGAAATAGGAGGGAACCTGTAGCGACCAAGAACAAAGCTAACGTTAAACCTATCCAAAGACCCTTGATACCCCATCCCTTGACAAATGTTAACCAATATCCAACTGGGAGGGCGACAACATAATATGAAAATAAATTCACCCAGGCTGCAAACGACTGACGACCCATACCACGAATGACACCACCACAGACACCAGATATACCATCTGCAATTTGAAAGAGGGCACATAGAGGTATGATCTGTGACACTAATCTAACTACATCTTCATCCGATGTAAACAGGTATCCAATTCGGTCTCTAGTAAGCATAAAGAAGGTAGAATTAAGGGTACCAAAGAAGACAGCTAGACAAATCGTGATGTAAGACGCAATCTTGGCAGTTTGAGCAAGACTAGCACCCAGGGCATTACCGATACGATTAGAGGCAGCGACAGAGACACCAAAGGGAATTGTATATGTCGCTGATGCTGTCGTTAGAACAATCGACTGTGTGGCCAAATCATTCGTGCTTAAATAACTGGCAGCTAATGATGAAAGTTCAAATGCCCACCATTCGGCTGTAATCATCAATAGAGAAGGGATAGAGAGCTTCAAGAAGGGCCACCAGTCTGTCAAACATTCACTTGACCAACCACCCCATGCTTCCTTGCCCTTTACAAACCTTATATAACAAACGAGTAAAATGAACATCAACCAATAACTAAAACTCGTCGCTAATGGCGCACCCATGAAACCCAACTGGAAGGGAGGTAAATAGACCAAGGTATAGTTGAGAACCAAATTGAGAGGTGAAACGATCATCAAGACATAGGTAGAGGCTTGCATGATACCTTGTGCTTGAAGAAATTTTTTAGTTGCTTCAAAGGCAATAAAAGCAGGTGCACCTAACATTAAACAACGCAAAAAGACACCTGCATGATAAGCTAAATCTGGATCTTGGTTGAGACTCAGGAGTAATTTGGTACAGTTCCACCATAAAATCGCAATGGGTATAAACATTAAAGCTAAAATGCAAAGTGCTCTTTGAAGGTGAATTCCTACAAGAGTTTTGTCTTTAGCCCCTGTCCATGCTTGTGAACAGAGTGTATCAAGTGCAGTGGCTGTACCGAAGGCTATGGACCAAGCAGTGACACTAGCAAACATACTAGCAAGTGCTGCGGCAGCTAATTCTGTCGGACCCTATTAAAGGAAAAAAAATCAGTATTTTGTTTCAGGCAAAATGAAAAAAAAAAAAGTATATTATACCAAGTGACCCAAAGTGAAAATAGAGGCCATCTGTAATGAGTTTTGCATCAAAAAAGTAAATATAACGGGTAAAGCATTCTTAAGAAGCCAACGGAATTCGTTAGACCATGTTGAGGTATCATCTTTTTCGTTATTAGGAAGCTTATTAATAATTAAAGGTGTTCTTTCTGTAGGAGTAGAAGATAAAGAAGAGCTAATGGAGAGATTGTCTCCTTCTTGTCTATTGGAATTCATGATATGCTCAATCTACTGTTGAGCCAAATGTCTATAATAAATTCTAATATAAAAAAAATCTATAATAGCTCGAATTATATTTTATCGTTAAGCAACAAAAAAAAAAGAATTAAAAAAAAAAAAAAAAAATATACTACACATATAGTACTTAAGAACAAAATTCAATCTCCCTTATAAGTGAGTCAAAGAGAATTATTATTGAATTCCATCAAAAATACAGTCACGAATTCAATAATGAAGATGATAATTGGATAATGATTCAATTTTGCTTGTTGGTGAACTATGATACATATATTTCCTAATTGAATAAAAATAGGCAACACATTATTGGTACAAATGTAATGCAAATATTTGAATTGAATAATATTATCATTCTTGTGGCTTCGATAAAATATTTGTATTTGTATATTTTATTATTAATTAGGTGGCAATTTAAGACTTCTTTTAACCACATATCTTAGGGGGGGGTATTTAATAAATCTATTAAGAGTTTACACTATTCTTATATATGGCTTATCTTTTTTTATTTATTTATATGGCACTTATCATCAAAGTACAAAAACAAATATCAAAGACTGTTAGAAGATGTTATTTTAGCCTATATAAAGTTGCGCAAATAAAAATAAGTAAATAAATTAATAACTATAGATACAAGAGTAGTAGAAAATATTCCTCTTTATCCCTTAATAATAATAGCTGCTTTTATGGATTTAGTTTTAGTAAAATCTCTACATGATTTTTTGTACCTATTTTAAGTCGAAGGAATAGTAGTTTTGATTTGATAATATCTTTCATATTTCGGAATAAATGATCTGGGCTTATTTCAATACTATTAGCAGTAACATCATTAACTTTAAAGGGATAAAGTATTTTGAATTATCCCGATGATCCTTTTTTTAGTCATCATATAGCCTTTTGACTGACTGATAGATAGTAAACTCTTTAACAGAGATAAGAGGCTAAAAAAAATGCAAATAAATGTATTATTACTTTTATTGAAGAAATTATACAAAAGAATAAAGCCCTTTTTTTTATTTTGGTGTTATTTACCAACTATAGTCTTTCATTAAAAAGAAAAGTCTCTAGTTATATTATTAATATTATAGAGTATATGTTCTATATAAAAAGTTGTGAATACATAGTGTAAAAGAAAAATACAGTTTTTTGGATCCAAATTGAACAATTGCAATAAATATCTAGGCACTGATTTTTTTTTTTTTTTTTTTTTTTTTTTTTTTTTTTTTTTGCACACTACAGGTAAATGGCATTATTCCTCTTTCTAGCAATAGATAGAATGTTTGCTTGTTTATGTTAAGCATATAATAATATTATCTGCAAATAGACCCTATATATGCTCATACAATTATTTCAGTTGAATAAACTGCTTTTTCTATTATGTTTTTTTATTATAATTATTATTATTATTAAAAAAATTCTGTGAAAGTTGTTGCATGCTTAGCCGCTAATTTAGGATCTCCGTTCGCCTCCTTCAGCAAGTGTCGACGAATCATGTCAAGACGCTGAATGGCTACCTTCTTTTCATTTGACTCAATCTTTGTAGCTTCCTCTTTAGCTTCTTTTATGTATTGTCCTAAACGAGGTATTCCGTATAAATCCTCAATATAGTCGCAAGTTAATAAATATTCTACTATATCTTCGGCAACTAAAAACTGTGATAGCCTTTCTTGTTCAGCCATCACATGATCAACTTGATGTTGAAAGGTTGTAAAAGTCATTGAATTTGGGTCTAGATCATCATTATACACATTATCAGTATAACTTGAAGAATTTAAGAAATGAATAACATTAGCTCCATCAGTGACGAAATGGGAACTTGCTTGTTGAGAAGGTGTCGTAAATTGTAATGTATTTAGTGAAAACGATTCCTTTTCAAAGTTAATATCGTCATTATTTGTTATTTTGGGAGTTTGCTTTGTTCGAAAGTTACTTGTTGTATTTGACTCTTGCTGTTGATATTGATTCAAATTCGATAATGTTTTATCATAACGTAGTGTACTACTACTACCACTGGTCGATTTATCTACCCAAGATTGCATTGTTTTGCTGTAAGGAGAAAAGGAAAGAGATAGGGTATCATGTGATTCCAAGCCAAATTTAATCCAATATTTTCCGGTCTAATTATTATTTCTTCAGTGTAACATATAAATGAGTGCTTGTTGTATTTGAATGTTAGATTAGATTAGATTAAAAGATACAATTCAGATATGTATATACATTTATATATGTACAAAAAAAAAACTACATATATATTTTTTCCAATATATATTAAAAAAAAACAAGTGAAGAAAGATAAACACAAAACTATAGACTTGGAAGTTTTTATAAAAGAGGAAAATCCTTATTTTCTGTCTCCTTCTTTATTGGCATTTTCTCCATCATCTTTACTATACCGGCTACGTATTTATCTACGCGCTGATTTGGTATATCACCTGCTTTTTGTTGAGAAAATGATCTTCTATGAGGTATTTTTAATCCATTAGACTTGTTGAGAATAGGTCCTTTTAATAATGAGGATTCGGATGGTTCTGTCAGCAAATCATTTGTTGTTGATGGCTGTCTTTTGGAACTTATATCATGACTCATACTGCTGCTAGTTTCTATTTGTTTTCCTTTACCTTTTCTGCGTATCTTTGGTACAAAATCTGGAGGAGGTGGTTTACTAATAGCAGATGGCGATATTGCTTTATTTTGTTTTATAGCAGAAGCCATTATTTGTTTAAATGTTACCTCTTCATCCTCTTCTTTAATGGTAATTCCTTTAGATGATAAATTAGTATTATAACAATCTTCTTCATTTGTCGTCATCATCAGTTCTCTACTATTTTCATTTTGCTCATTACAAGTCGCTATATCAGAAATTTCGTCTTCTTCAATGCTGGATAATTGCATTTCTTCTACTGATACTATCATTCCTTCTTCATTTTCAATCTCGTCATTAGTTGTCATCTCATCTCCCTCTATATTCTCTTCAATATCTGAATCAGGTCTTGTGATTATCAAGTGCTTATTGAATCGCCTTAACATATACATATGCTTACATGGCAGCTGTCTCTCTTCAAAATCTGGGCACTTACAGCTAACCATAGCACCAGACAAATCACAAGTGATTAAAAAATAGGCATTGCTAGTTGATAGTGATTTCACTAGCCATGATTGAGGGGACACCTTGACGATCATCGATTTTAATTCCTCCATTGATAACTTATTTGCGCGTTTTCTACGTACACTCGCTTGACTTTCAAATATACAATCAGGTTTATTCACTTCTTTGTCATCCATATTCATAACGCGCAAATCTGGTCTGATACGTTTTAACAAAAACATATGAATACATGGCCTATTTCCAAATTCAAAATCATCACATTGGCAACTCTCAATCACGCCATCACAGATAAGAGGTATATTATTTCCACAATGATAAATAAAATCATCCATTTGATACGTATCTGGGCCTCGTTTTCTAATCAACTTTGATAAATAGTCCTTTGGTATTTCATTAAACGCAATATGCTGGCGTAATTCTTCAGGAGTAAATGAAAACTTGTATTGGCGAAAAGGACCACGCCAAAAACGACCTGTCCAGTCACGTATAAACTTCATTTTCCGATAATCTTCATCTGAACGATCTTCTTGAAGAAATCCAAACTTATCCATCTCAGTCATGATCATCTCATCGTAAGATGGCATGGGCTCTTTTCTTACTGATTTTAATAAGAAACTTTGGATCGAGTTTTGAACATATTCAACAACTGGAAGGTCTGACTGATAAGGTATAAAAAGTTTTCGTTCGATAGGATAGCTGGGATGTTCAGTACCTAAAGCATATTTGACATTAAAACTATTGAGTCGTTGAAATTTGGCTACCATATACATATGAATGCAAGGATTTTGACGATGTCTGTTAAAATCATCACAACTACAATAGTTAATCGTCTTATCAGTGGCTTGCACTTGATACCAGACAGGTGGTGCACTGATAGATCGAACAGTCCAATTGTTGATGACAGGTGGTGTCATATCTGTGACTTCTAAAGAACTAGAGTTGATCATTTCTCGTAATTTATCTTCATCAAGACGGTCAAGTATCTCCTTGTAAGTTTCTATACCACAACAAAGACTCATCTGATTTTAGAAATGTTACTTTTTCTTGAATTCAAAGTTTTTTTTTTAAAGAAAAAAGAGGACAAGGAGCATAATATATTTATCTCGTACAAATATGTTATAACTTCAGATCAAAAATTTGTAAAAGTTTATTATGAAGAAAAATACTTGTAAATTTACTTTCCAACTACTGCTGTTATTATTTGACATTTTTTTTTTAAAAAAAATCTATTTTAGTGAAATTTAGCGAATAAACTAGTAATTCAAAGATGACGCATTATCTAAAGTATAGAAAACGCCTAAAAAAAAAAAGACACCAAACAATTATTACTGTAAAGAGTTGCATTAAACATAGCAGACATGATAGTAGTATATATTATATGCACTTATTAAATAGCGTATTATTATGTATTATACCTACTTTATTTCTTTATAATCGCCTTTATTTTTATTTACAAAAAAAAAAAAAAAAAGAACACGTATTATAGTCTATTGAAGAAAAGATAATAAGATAAAAAAACGAATCAATTTAGCAACTAAACCAAGAGTTTATTTTGGATGAACGAATCATTATTCGAGAATTTAATTTCCCCCTTTCACCCCCACTTTTTATCTTTTATTTTACTTTTTTTTTTTTTTTTTTTTTAAAAAAAAACACTGAGTCACTATTTTTTTCTCACGTGAACATACTATTTCTTTCCTTCTTTCAAGTAAAAATGTTTAAATCTTGGTTGCAGCGTCCAGAAACAAAAAAATATGCAGCAGATGGTAACCATTATTCATTATCATCAATGACTATTACTAAATTATTAGATTAGTTGCTGTATTTGCATTATCCCAAGTTGCAGTTTATTTTGCTTTCAAGTTCATCATCGGTTCTTTAGATCCTACAAAGTCAAAAAAACAAGAAGCAAAAGCGAAGAGTAATCGAGTACTTGGAAAACTTGGAGTAAAAAGAAAAAAAAATGAATAAATTATATATTTTCACAACAGAGATTTTAATTTATTATTTGTAGGTTAAAGATTTGAAATTAACAGAATATGAACAAATTATTGCTGCTGAAGTTATTCATTCAGATGAAATTAGTGTCAATTTCAAACGTAAGTTATTCTCTTCATTATTTTTTCTTTTCTTTCTTCATTCTTATTTTTCTTTTTTTTTTTATTAGAAATTGGAGGGCTTGATCACATCATTCAAGATCTTCGTGAAAGTGTCATTTATCCTCTATGCTACCCAGGACTCTTCACTTCTGCTTCTGGTCTTTTAGGAGCCCCTCGAGGTGTCCTCCTTTATGGTCCACCCGGCTGCGGTAAAACAATGTTAGCTAAAGCCCTTGCAAAAGAAAGTGGTGCTACATTTATCAACATTCATGTATCGACCTTAACTGATAAATATTACGGCGAATCTAATAAGTTAGTAGCAGCTGTCTTCACGTTAGCTAAAAAACTTCAGCCTGCTATTGTCTTTATTGATGAAATTGACTCATTTTTACGAGAGAGACGTAGTACAGATCATGAAACGACAGGTATGATGAAGGCAGAATTCATGTCACTTTGGGATGGCTTGACAACAGCTGAAAATAGTCGTATTGTTATTTTGGGAGCAACGAATCGACCTAATGATATTGACTCTGCTATTCTGAGAAGAATGCCCAAGAGGTTTTCAGTAAGATTACCAAGCGAGTCACAAAGAAGAAGTATTCTAGAGCTTGTAAGTTGTGTGGAACAAAGAGAAAAGACATGAAACTCATTATCATCATTATTATAGCTTTTAAAGGATATAGATTTAGCACCTGATTTTAATATGACAGAATTAGTACAGAGAACGGCAGGCTTATCAGGAAGTGATTTAAAGGAACTTTGTAGAAATGCAGCCATGATTCCCATACGTGAATATGTTAGATCTATTCAACCAGTTACAAAGAATCAAGACGCATCACAGGACTTGGTTCATCTCGATATGAATACGGTAATAAAAGTAGTAGTTTTATTATTGTTATTATTATTATTAACTATGATAAATAGAAAATTCATACAAGACCATTATGTATACAAGATTTTTATGCTTTTGATGCTACTAATGAAAAGACATATAGTCAAAATTTTGAAACACCAGAACAAGAAAATCTTGATTAAGTTTATATTATCCTTAGATGATGTATATAATAATAATAATAAATTTATAATATCTGCTGCAGAATTATTAAAAAAAAACAGGGGCAAAAACATAATAATGTAGATTGAATATCCGCCGATATTTAACTTCTTCCGGCGGGATAATTAGGGTCCGGCCAGAATAAGCCAAAGCGTTTTATTTGGATGCTTTGCAAAGCAAGAAGTGGGGTATCATCATGTAGGCTGAATAAAATCCTTTTCTTTTTTTAGTTTGTATCCTTAAAAACAGGAATCCATCATGGTAAATAATCCAAAAAGAAGTGCATCCATTCACCGGGAACATCGATTTTTTTTTTTACATTACAAAAGAAATCAATTTCGAAATTTAATTAATGACTCAATGATGCACATTACAACTTAATTGACAACAATTCATTAATTCATTTGTTTTTTTTTTTTTTTTTTTTTTTGAAAATAAAAACACATAGACCTGTAAGAGAAGAAATAATGGGCGTAACAAGCACGGACGTGGCCACACCAAGTTTGTCCGTTGCATCAACTGTTATCGTTGTTGTCCCAAGGATAAGGCCATTAAGCGCTTCACTATCCGTAACATGGTAGAAGCTGCTGCCGTCCGTGACCTTCAAGAAGCCTCTGTCTATGAAGAATACACTATTCCCAAGTTGTATGTCAAGCTTCACTATTGTGTTTCTTGTGCCATTCACGCTCGTGTTGTTCGTGTTCGCTCTGCTGTCGACCGTCGCAACCGTCTTCCTCCTCCTAGATTCAGATTCCAAAAGGTAAATAAAAGAGCATGTGTAATACATATATATACATATATGTATATTAAAAGAGGGACTATAATAAAAATAACTAATTTGATTTTTTTTTTATTTTTTTGATAATTGTAGAAGGCCAATTAAATTAATTCAATTCATTATTAATAAAGTTGTAAATCTAAAAAAAAATAAATAAATAAATGTATTCTATTGAGTGGCATTGCCAATTATTCGAAAGTTTTATGCAAAAAGATAGGATATTACAATGGGCGAAAAAGTGATAATAATAAGAAGATTTTTTTTTTCTCAAACTGAGTTCGCTTTTCTTTTTCTTTTCCTTTTTTTGCCACTTTTTTTTTTCTTCTTCTTTTGTAAGAAAACCTTCACTCTCTTAACGATGGACTTACTGAGCCAGTTCCAACTAGGCCCTCAACAAAGTTTTAATCTACAAACATTTCCTACAACAACGACACCACAGGTTCTCAATCATCCAAAATTAATTAAAAGTATTGCCATCGATCGATGTTCTAATTTCATTAGCGCAGGCGCTAATGGTAATGACATCAATCTTCTTTCACAACTTTATAGAGCACGCACTAATTCTAATGATTACATCTCGATCATGGTCTATAGTGTACCTGATCTTAAACGCATTACTTTCGAGGAAGCCATTCAACAAGACTTTCGCCCAACTCATGTAGGGGAATGGTTTGGCCCATCTTGGTCTACCCATTGGTTTCATGTACAAATCAAGATTCCAAAAGAATTTGTTGGTGAAGAGGTACAGTTGATTTGGAATGCAGATAATGAAGCCATGATCTGGAGTATGGAAGGGGTCCCATTACAAGGCTTGACGGGAGGAGGTAAGAATTAAAACAAAAACATTTGCACACACACACATTCTTTTTCTCTCTTTTTCAATAGCATTTATAAATTGTATACAAAAAAAAAAAAAAAAAAAAAAAAAAATGATGTTTTATAGCTGGAAGTGATGCTCGTCATGAATACATCTTGACGACAAATGCAGAAGGAGGTGAAATTATTCAACTTTATATTGAAATGGCATGCAACGGTATGTTTGGAGCTGCAAATGGACTTATTGGCCCACCTGATCCCGACCGATTTTTTAATTTAACTGAAGTGGTAATAATATTCAAAGAATGAATGTATACATGTACGTATGTATGTATGTAGATTACTTATATGTAAAGTATATAGGATCTTGTGGTGCCCAATAAATTAGCTTGGAATCTATTGTATGATTTCCAAATCATTTTGGGAATGGCACGAGATTTTCCAGAGGATTCTTTAAGAGGAACACAGGCACTTTATACAGCGAATAATATTGTTAATGCGTTTATACCTGATGATGATAATTCAATTTTGAAAGGACTAGAGATTGCGCACGAGTTTTTAAAGTTAAGAAATGGAGAAGCACAGCATGAGATTTATGCTATTGGACATTGTCATATTGGTACATGTATAAAAGGAATTTATAAGAGAAAACATGAAGGTTAACATTCAATTTAGATACGGCATGGTTATGGCCATTTGAGGAAACGATCCGAAAAGCAGCACGTAGTTGGTCTTCACAAATTAACTTGATGGATCGATATCCAGATTATAAATTTGTTTGTTCACAGGCACAACAATATCAATGGATAAAGGAACGCTATAACAAATTATGGGAAAGAATGATTGAAAAAGTAGCCCTTGGACAGTTCTTACCTACTGGAGGTGTAAAGGATCTATAAGCTAATTCAGGCAAAAATAAAAATACAAAAATCGATATTAATATTAACTTTTAAATATTAAACTAGACTTGGGTTGAAATGGATACGATTATGCCGTCTGGTGAATCACTGTGTAGACAATTTTTGTTAGGGTAGAGTGGTAGTATTAGATTATAAAATAGATGCATATATATATATGTGTGTGTGTGTATAATTGATGAATAATATCTCTGTATGTATAGTCAACGATTTTTCGAGCAGAACTTTGGTAAACGTTGTAAAGTATTTTGGTTACCTGATTCATTTGGATATTCACCACAGTTACCTCAGCTGGTTAAACTTGCAGATATGGACTATTTCTTTACACAAAAGTTATCGTGGAATAATGTTAACAAATTCCCATTAACAACGTTTTGGTGGATTGGATTAGATGGGTCTAAAGTATTGACGCATATGGCACCCTCAGAGACCTATAATGCCCAATGTACACCTGAGGAATTAGTAAGAAGGTAAAAAGCATGATACAATTTATATATATTTAACTTTATTTTAGCCTTATGAATCATCGTGATAAGATGTATTCGAATACAAGTTTATTGGTTTATGGTAATGGTGACGGAGGTGGAGGACCTGTAGCAGGAATGATTGAAAGATTAAGAAGAATGAGAAATATTGTAAGTATGATATGAATGAAGGTAATACACCTATTTTTACAATTTATTCTTTTTGTTTTTCTTTTTTGTTTTTCTTTCAAAGGATGGGTTACCAAAGACAGAGATGGCTTTAACGACACACTTTTATCAACAAATAGAAATGACATCTAAGGAATTACCTTATTGGAAAGGAGAATTGGTAAGAGACATGCCCTTTTCTTTTTCTTTTTTTTTTACGTTAACTCTTTTCTTTTAGTATTTTGAATTGCATAGAGGCATTTATACAACACAAGCCTTCTGTAAAAAACTAAATCGAAGTTGTGAGTTCCTTTTACGAGACATTGAGATGCTTGCAACATTTGCAATGTTATTATATCCAGATCAATTTCAATATCCACAAGTAGAATTTACAGAGTTTTGGAAGTTGCTTAATTTAACTCAATTTCATGATGTTATTTCAGGATCAGCTATTGAAATGGTCTATGAAGATTGTTTACAGATGTTTACTAAAATTGATGTCTTGGGCAAACAAATACGATATGATCTATTGACACTTTTATTACATGAAACAAGAAAAGAATCCGATAAACTACATGTTTCGACCATGCCAGTCAATAGTTATGCAAAGTCATTAGCTGTCATTAATACATTAGCTTGGGAAAGAGAGGCTGTTGTATTAGAGGTTCCTCTTAAAGAATTTGATGATACTAGCATAGTGAAACAATTTTCCGCATTTGGTCAATCTGGTTACGTCTTGGTGACACATATTCCTGCAATAAGTGCTATAGGTGTTCCCTTATCAGTCCCTACATCTATAAACGATAGCGAACGAACCAAGGTACAAACAGATAGCCAAAGCAACATTATGATGGAAAATGCCCTCATTCGAGCCACCTTTGATCAATCAGGTCACCTTATCCATCTTTATGACAAACAATTAGAACGCGAACTAATTAAAGCCGGAGAACGCGGTAATGTCTTTCGGCTTTATGAAGATGTTCCACTCTTCTGGGATGCTTGGGATGTTGAAATTTACCATCTTGAAAAATACAAGACAATTGAAGAAGGATCTGTCCAGATTCTTGAACAGGGGCCTCTTCGAGCCTCTATTTTAATTGAAAAGGAAATCTCAAAGACCAGTCGTTTACGTCAAATTGTTGTCTTGAATATACACTCACAACGTCTTGACTTTGAGACCGAGGTAGATTGGAATGAAAATCGACAGTTCCTTAAAGTTGAATTTGCCTGGGACATCATGACAGACCATGTGAATTATGAATGTCAGTATGGATATGTACAACGGCCCACTCATTATAATACAAGTTGGGAGAGTGCGAAGTTTGAAGTAGTGGCGCACAAGTATGCAGATATGTCTGAGTATGGTTATGGTGTGGCTCTCTTGAGTGATTGTAAATATGGCTTTTCAGCTTATCAAAATTGTATGCGATTATCACTCTTAAGGTCCCCTAAGGCTCCAGATTCAAATTGTGATGTAGGCCATCATTCATTTAAATATGCTATTTATCCACATCCAAACCATTTCTTACAATCCAATGTTGTTCAAGAAGGATATAATTTCAATTCACCGTTGATTACGAGGTAATAATAAACTTAATTTTTATATTTTTCATGTAATATACATATTTACATATATAATATAGAGTAATAGCCGAAGATAAAACATTCGATTTAAAATCGGCTCTACCTCAATTTCGAATTGAGAATGCACCAAATGTAGTTTTGGACACCATTAAAAAAGCTGAAGATTCGAATCATGTGATAATGAGAATCTATGAAGCATATGGAGGACATGCACAAGCTCGTTTAATAAGGTATATAGAATGGAAATAAAAAAAGAAAACATTATTATATACTAAGATAATATCCAGCTCAAAAATCATTACACGAGCTGTAAAATGTAATATTCTCGAAGATGATATAGAAGAAATACCTATTGAACATCATTCATACAATATAAGAAAACGAACGTTTAGTACCAACTTGCGTGTTTTAGATGATGATGTGCTTGAACTTCAACAACAAGAGCAAGAACGAAAAATGAATGAAGGTTTACTTGTTAAATTGAAGCCTTTTGAAGTGATCACTCTTAAATTAACATTTTAAAATAAAATAAAATAAATTATTTTGTATTATAATAACAACATTAAAGCTTTTGTTTCAAGAGTTTGGGTCCATCCACAAGGATACAGGGACCACCCAAGATGATATGGAGGGTATCTTTATGAGTAGTTGCAAATGCTCGAACCTGATCGTCTTCAGCACCAGGTTGTAACCAAAAGTAACGGAAGCCCAAATGATATGCCTCTTGAAGGATATGAAGTGTGACGGCAGGAGGAGTGACGATAGAAAGCGATGTTTGTGAAGGATAAGGAAGTTCATGAATCGATGCCTTTGTAGTTAATCCTTCAATCATGTGTTCTTTCTATACTTAGTATCGTTAAGTAAAGGCTTACATATACGATAATTGATATCTATATAAAGAGAGAAAATAATCGTTGTTATTCTTGTTAACTTACAGGATGAATAGGAGTTACGTTGAGATGATTTGATTGATACCTTTTTTTTTTTTTTTTACATAATATGAATAAAGGAGGCGACTTTTATTTATTTATTTATTTATTTATTTATTTATTATAAACTTACCAACGTAAAACTCGATTTCCAAATTTTTCTCGAGATGTGCTTGCACCTACTACAGCAAAATAAGGATTCTTTAGAAATTGATGACTCATTGATGACATGAAGGAATAATTAGTAATAAAAAATCAAGAAAGAAAGAAAAAAAAAAGGGGGGGAGAGTAGTTTGTCGGATTATTAATTTTATATGTATTTTTTTTTTTTTTTTTTCAGGAAGACATTTTCACTGCTAAAAAGAGACTTCATTTTGTTTTATTTGACTTTTTTTTTTTTGTGCATATCAAAAAATGCTTTTTACATCCCAATGCTAAAGTAATTTAGTAATTTTTCCTACACCTTTTGTTCGCCCTTCTCTGAAAATCAATCGAGTACCGACTGTTAAATATTCAGGATTCTTGACAAATTCAAATACAACTTTAGCACGATCTCCAGTCCGAAGTACTTCCTTTTCAGTTGTTGTTGTAAGAATAATACTAGCCGTCTGTCTAACTGCACCACAGTGGACCATTGCTTGATATTTGGATTTTATTGTAGTTGAATGATAAAGTACTAACACTTCAGCTTCAAATCGTCTTGAACAATGCGGTGATGTATCAGACGGTAACAAGACTTGGCCTTTACGAACCGTATTTCTCCGCACATTTTTGAGAGCAAAAGTAACAGACTGACCGGCTTTAGCAGCTGGTACCGCCACTCGTTTTCGATGAATTCCTTTAATGGTTGTTGTCACGAATTGACCATTATAATCAGGTCCTAATTGAACTTTGTCTCCTACATGGATAACACCCGATTTAATAATACCACTTACAACAGTACCCACAAAAGGGACTGAATAAGTTTCATTGATTTCGTATAAAAATGGTTCTGTAACGGCATATTGAGTTAAAGAAGGCAAAATATTTAAAAAGTTGCGAACAAGATCGAGCCCCTGACCTGTCACATTGCTAATTTGAAAAATAGGACAAAGTCTTTCACTAACAAAGTTTTGCTATTATTAAAGAAGATTTAGTTGTTTAGTCAAAAAAAAAAAAAAAAAAAAAAAAAAAAAAAAAAAGAGGGAAGCTCATGATAATGTTAAATATTTACAGCAGTCATAACAACGTCATGATTATTCTCAATAAATAATGGTATTTTACGACATGATTTGGACTTGAGAATGGTAGCAAGTTCTTTTAATGTTTCTTGAAGTACATGATCAGGACATCGATCAATTTTCGTAATAACAACCAAAACAGGGATACTTAATGATAAGGCCAGACCTAAATGTTCCTTGGACATACCAATCATGCCTGCGTTGGCGCCTACCATTAACATGGCAAATTCTGGGGCAGATCCAGTCATACCAAACACAGTTGTTTTTAAATATTTTTCGTGACCTGCAAGATCAACAAAACTCAAGACTTTAGCTGCCTTTCGAGTAATTTCTTCCCATCCTGCAGTTAGTTTTTTATTGGTGCTAGTGTGTAAAATAGGTCTTGAGCATGAGTCAAATCCGAGAATTTCTCCTCCTACACTAGAAGTACGACCTGATTCAATTTCATGTTTGTGACGAAAGAGATTAACACGAGCCTTTCCACGACCATCATCTAAAATACCCTTTGTGAGGACACCCAGCATGGTGGACTATAACACATATACACACACACACAAAAAAAAAAAATGAATTTTTATGTAATAAAAAGGAAAAAAAATCAATGTACCTTGCCTGCGTCTACATTTCCAAGAACAGCGATACGAATTTCCAATAAATTCTCAACAGATTTAGGTCGTTTTCGAATCATTAAATGAGCTACTGTGTTTGACTGTGTTGTTGGTATATGAGTATTTTCGTTAAGATCATCTATGTTTGCAAAGTCTGCATCTAAAGTATCTGTGACTGTTTTAAGAGTCGTTAAACAAGTTGCATAATCTTCTTTAGTCAAATTCATATTTGTTCCATCCTCTAACGTATATAAAATAAAATAAAAAGTAATTAAACAAGAGTATTACATATACCCATAAAAATTATTCAAGTTACCTTCTAAACCTATTTCAAATAATGTCTCTCCTCGACCCTCTTCCATACGTTTAGAAATCATATCCGTCAAATGATTTATATCTTCTTGTGTTGGATTTAATAATGTTTCCTATTGAAAGAAAATAACAATAATAAAAAGTATAAATATACAAGTTGGGTTTTTTTTTCAAATAATTCAATATATTTATAATACTTTTAGACTCTTTTCAGTAGGATCATGTTTAGAATGTTTAATTAGATTATCAAGTAAATCGTTGACATTGTCATGTTCATTTAGAGAAGTCTTATAAAGCGCAGAAGCTAATAGAGTAGCTTCATCCATCATACCTTCATAATGTATATTATGGTCATTATCTTTGTTAATTGCCATAATCTTAAAGATAAAATAAAATAAAATAAGATAAAATAAAATAAAATATCATTTTACTATTATGCATAGTTTTATAAATGGAGGTCGATTTACTGAGTTTAAAATAATTTATATAACAACAAGGAATAACGAAGAACATGACAGATTTGCCGCAGTAGACTATTTATTAGAATGGATAATGAGTCATGGTGTGTATTATGACTAAGAATATATAGGATACAGCATAATAATACTGGTTAGAGGAAAGGAAAAAAGGGGCCAATAGCATGATTTTTTAACACTCAATAAAATATAGAAAACGAGGAATGGGCTTCATATATGAGATTTGAGAGATAGCCAAAACACACACACAACATTAAAGAAAGAAGGCATTTATTACTATCTGTCATGAGCCGACTTATAGTGTTATGTTTCTTGATTAAACATGCAGATCATAAATTTATTCAAGGAATTCTATCTATATTTTCCTGAAACTTTCTTGATCCACTCCATCAAATATTATTAAAGCTTCTAAGATTTCATTATCTATAACATATCTTATTCAGTCGTAACTAACATTTTTCTGATTCACATCTTATCTCAGACCTCTTTAACAATTCTTATAAATACCCTATCAATTTAAATTCAAATAATATATATATTATAATAAAAAGACAAAAAAATGTCAACGACAATGGATCTATTCTTACATCTCGTGTGATGATGCCCTGCTGATTTAATAACACCAGCACTGGAAGAAAGACTGAGTCTACTTATGAAAACTCATTTAGAAGGACATCGTGATGCTCAAGCTATATTAACAGCTTTACATAATGAATGAATTCATTGAACAAAACTTAAAGAAGATACTTTTAACACAGTAAAAAACTGTCCCGATTGTCAAAACATAAATATCATCCATTAAAATCAATTTATGCTAATGCTCCATGGAATCACATTTGTATTGACGCCGCTGGACCCTATAACAATATCTTTACAAGGAAATAACTACACCCTTCTAGTTGTTGGTATATTTACTAGATTTTGTGTACTTGGAGCAATCCCTGATAAATTATCCTTAACAATAACACTTACGATAAGAAATATACTATCTATCTCTAATGGGAAGACCTAAAATTATCTATTATATATGTATATACTACTTTATCCTACCCAAGTATAATATTATTGTAGCCATCAACAAGTTAAATGTTATTCAGAAACTGGACAAGAGCATTTATTATGAAAATATACAAACAAGCAATTTTATGCATATTAAAAAAAAAAAATCTCTTTCCCCTCATATTCAACCAATTTTTTTTTTCATTTACCCATAAAAATTTTTTATTTTTTATCGAAAATAAATTTTAGAAAAGCTTATTTATCAAACTAGCTACACCTCCTCCACTACTATGTTGTTGTTGTTGTTGCTGTTGACCTCCACCACTAAGACTACTCAAAATACTCATAACTTGACCTAATCCACCACTGCTTTGTTGTTGTGGTTTATTGCCCTGTTGTTGCGTCATAAATAATTTCATAGCCATCATAGCAGCAGATTGAAGCATTTCTGACTTGTTAGCACCACTTGCATTACCACCTTGTGCCTTGAATAATTTCATAGCTTCACCCATAGCTAAACCAATCAATTGATTTGAAGAGCCACCACTTTGTTGTTGTTGTTGTTGCTGACCGCCATGACCACCTGAAAACAACTTGAAAGCTTGCATAGCAGCTGCAGAACCTAAATCTCGTGACGAGTGTCCGCCTGGTTGTCCATTATTTTGATTATAGATTTGATTATAAGCATGTGCAGCTGTTTGTGCCTCATGTTCATTCATTTGTTGCTTTTGTGGAGCATCGTCATCATCTCTGTCGAAGACCTTGCTAAGAATAGAGCTAAAAAGATTTTCCTCTAAAAAACGAAATAAATCAGTTAACTATTGATACAATTTTTAGTCATTATAACTTACTATCATCATCATCATCATCATCATCTTGTTGAGCATGTTGCTTAGCTAATCTTGCAGCTTGAGAGATATCAGGCTTTTGATAACCGTAGTAGGATTGCTCTGCTTGTCCATAACCATAGTTATGCTGCTGTTGTTGTTGTGGCTCACCATAACCATAGCTTTGTCGTTGTTGTGGCTCACCATAACCATAGCTTTGTTGTTGGGGTGGTGGTTGACTATAGCCATAGTTTTGTTGTTGTTGTTGTTGTGGTTCACCATAGCCATAATTTTGTTGATGTTGTGGCTGACCATAGCCATAGTTTTGTTGAGAATTACCGCCTGTTTATTTAATCCATACTTACTATTTTTTTTTTATAAACTTAAATATATTTATATATATAATTTACCTTGATAAGAATCAGATTCACCTCTTTGATACATTTTATTTGTTAGTAAACAAAAGAAAAGAAAAGAAAAGATTTAAAAAAAAAAAAAAAAAAAAAAAATGAAATTTATTTTCTTTTGGTTTACTTCGCTCTTTAGTAGAAATAAGGTAATCATGAACGCATGTTTGTTTTACAAAAATATTCCATTTTCATACTGAGCTTAAAATTTAATTAATAACATTGATTTATTTTAACGGCACAAAATGTTCAATCCGAATCAGTTCATGGTAGAATAGAATAGATTACCGAAAAAAAATAAAATAAAATAAAATAAAATACTGAGGTATCCTTTCATAAGGAATGTTGATACTAAAGCTCTATTAAATACAGAAAATGATTACCTTAATGATTCTCCTGATCGGCCAAATGAAACATGTAGCAATATAGTCTTGGTTCCTAAAGCTGACGAAGATTGCCTATCTATCATCATAGAGTCCTGAAGTACTGTGAATAAGATATTTATGAAGAGGGTTGTCATATACCGCATTCAAGCGTATAAAAGATTGGATACAGAGTCAATCATTTTAATAGTATGCACCGAATCAGTTGAGGACTCTGCCAAAGAAACTTTCAGAAAGTGTGACGATTTATCTTATTTTACAGCTGCCTATGATGCGTGGGTAGACAGATAGTGTATTATCGATAAGAATAGTGCCCAAAGATCATATTGCCCGGGATTCCAATTTAGATTCATTCGTTGCTTTTGGACTATTCTTCATAAGCCGAGCCATCTCAATAAATCTGGGTCTGAGAAATACCAACTCAACAATGGATATTTTATATCATATATCTCTTGATATATATGGAAACATTCTTGATCAGGATACTCGATCTGTAAATGAACTAAAGCAATTGAATAATACTTATTGCGCACAATTATGAAGACATTCTATGACTCTTGAACGACGAGCATTACATCAAAAAAAAAAAGGTAGCATTGCAGAACATGTACCATAGTATGTCAAATATGTCAAGGAACAAAAAAAAAATCTGATAAGCTTTATACGGAGGAAGACCTCAGGGATTATCAGAAAACAAAGTCTGACGAACCAAATAAGGAAGACATCTATCAGCAATAAGCAATAGCTTCTGACTATGAAGAAAGAATGGGGTTTATTAAGAAGCTCAAACAAGATAGAACTGAAAAGGATAAGACGATGAGCTGGGAAATTAGTTTCTTTGAAGGAGCCCAGAAGTTTGATTGGAAATATAAAAGACCTCAACAGTCTTAAGGCAGCTTGTTATGATTGTAGTCGGCTTTATAACAAAGTTAATAGAAATAAACCATTATTTATTAAAGCCTAAATGGGTTATTCAAATAAAACTGGTATATTGTGTTTTATGATATACTATTTATTCAATATTTAGTTTTAATAATAGTCGTTTTTAGAATATTCGAGGATTGATAATAATGAATATGTCATATATTATGTAATGATTAGTATTCTTCAATAGAATTATGACTATTATATGCAATTATATAATTGTTTATAAGTTATACATATTATATACAACAATTATGTAATAATAACTCGTAATGGTAGCTATATGAATAATTGGTATTGTTATAGCTAGAATATTTCACTACGAATTAATGTAGACAGACATGTTACTTACTTCAAACGCAATGATTTATTATAATAACGACAGCTCAGGAAGAAAAAAAAAAGAATAAACCTATTTTATTGAGAGCAGTAATTATTCGGATTCTTTTTATTACGCTAATTTTTGCTTTGCCAAGATCATATTTTTATTAATATTATTTACAAGGTAAATAACCATCTTCATTTTCCCTAGTGCAATTTTTGCATTATCTTTTTCTTCAATAAACTATATAAAGCTTTCATAGACTTGTCTTTATATATATATATATATATTCTCTATTTTTATCTTTTTGCCATTCAAAACACTTGCAATAAAATTAAGGTAATGGTCAGTAGCTGTAGCTGTCGTTCTTCTTGCTGTCTTTCTTTTCTTAGAGAGTATCCTTGGTCTTCTTAATTTTATAGTGATTACGCCATAAGAAAAAAATAGCATCTAAAATTGTTACTGTTTTAGTTCTTGTTGTTAGCTGACTAACTTTAGCTTACACTCTTTTCTTTGACTAGGCTATCATTCTTTTAAGATTCACATAAAATGCAAACTCATCAACAAAAAAAACACAATTACTTTCAAAATCCAAGCCAACCTTCTTCCAACGTTGAGTTCAATTACATTTCTTTTCTATGCTTGCTTGCTTGTTTTCAGCAGAGCTTCTTTCTTTAGAATAAAAGTGTGCTTTATCTTTTTCTTTTTAAAAAGATAAAACATACTTTTCAGTGATAAATTGATGAACTGAGGTCCTTAGAGACTTTTTAAAACCTTAAACTTGTTAACTAGACTATCCATGACTTGATCCGAGATCGCAGAAGGGAAATCTCTGAACATTTGTTCCAAGGACTGCTGACGTTTGAGACATAAAGTGACTGGTCTGTTAGCTTTTCTTTTATTTTCATCAGATTGTATATTATCTTCAAATCTATCCCAGTCTTTTTTCGAACCAGTTGTAAGCAGTACGACGAGCCATATTTAGCTCCTTTCTGACTTTATTTGGTGTTAAGTCTTTATCATAAGTTAAATAAAAGAAATGCTCATTTATATCTTCGCTTTACCTTTTATAAATGACTTTTTGTTTTTTCTTACTAGGGGGCATGATGTTTTTTAACATCTCCTTGGCGTCCCTTTGCTCTCATTCAGGATGCTTAAGATCTAAATATTCATCAAAGTTGGTAATACTGTCAAGAGGGAATTGTTCTTCATCATCAGCTTCCATATGAATACCATTGTTACAAAACTCATCGACAGCATCGCCTTTTCCATCTTCATAGCAAATTTGTAAGCTCATTTTTAATTAGATTTAATTAATTAAAAGATCTCATTACTTCACTATTATTATCAGTGTCAAAAATTATTATTTTATTTTATTTTATTTTTTTTATTTGTGCTGAATTTAAAATTAAATGTGTGCCAAAGAAAAATAAAAAAATGTGCTTATTATTTCTAAAAATGTGCCAATAGTTTTGGGAAAAAAGTGTTCTGTAATGCTGTATTGATATGGTGCACACAGCATATGACGCTCAGAATAAAAATACACATATTTTTTTTTTCTTTCTTTTTTATCTCTATTTTTTTTTTTCATCTATTTTTTGAAATCATGAATCCCGAATAGTAAGTTTTTTTTGTTTTTATTCGTTTCCTTTTTTTTTTTCTTGGTCGAAACGAAAATATTTTTTTTTCTTTTACTGTTTAAACTAATTATGTTCTTTACTAATTTAGCGATTATCTTTTTAAGCTTTTACTTATTGGTGACTCTGGTGTAGGAAAATCTTGTCTTTTGCTTCGTTTTGCCGATGATACTTATACAGAAAGCTACATTTCAACTATCGGTGTTGATTTTGTAAGTTTTTTATTTATTTATTTATTTATTTATTTAAGATGACCTATTTTAAACATATTTACGTGTTCTTTAAATAGAAAATTAGAACTATTGAATTAGAAGGCAAGACAGTTAAACTTCAAATCGTAAGAAACATGAAAATAAAAAATAAAAAAATATTTTGTATTCATTTTTCTTATTTTAATTAGTGGGATACTGCTGGTCAAGAACGTTTCCGTACTATTACCTCATCTTATTACAGAGGTGCACATGGTATCATTGTCGTTTATGATGTTACAGATGAGGACTCCTTTAATAATGTTAAGCAATGGCTACAGGAAATTGATAGATATGCTGCTGAAGGAGTAAATAAATTGTTAGTTGGCAATAAGAGTGATTTGGTTGATAAGAAGGTTGTTAACAGTGAACAAGCAAAGGAATTTGCTGATTCACTCAAAATACCCCTTTTGGAAACTTCTGCCAAGGATGCTACTAATGTTGAGCAAGCCTTCTTGACTATGGCTAAGCAGATTAAGGATAGAATGGGCTCTACTATGCAACAATCACAAGCTAAGACTACTGTTAAAGTTAGCCAAGGCACTTCTCTTGAACCTAAGCAGAATGGTGGATGTTGTTAAATTGTCTTGGTATATATATACACATATATAATTTTTTTTTGTTTTTTTTTTTTTTTTTAATAAATATCCTTCATTGTTGAAATTTTAATTTGAGTGAACCCCTTTCTTTTTTTTTTTTTTTTTCACTAATAAAACTCGCGCACGGACATTTGAATATTTAAGAATTTTAGTCAGACAGCTATGCAATATCATCATTTACATTTTTAGTGATTTCATACATTTTTATTTTCTTCTTCTTTTTTTTTTTATTTTATTATCTCTTTTGATACAAACTTCTAAAAATTAAAAGGCTTTTTTTTTTAGCAAGTAAACAAAATTTAGATATCTTGAGTTCTCATATATTTCTGATCAATGCAGAAGAGTAAGTGTTAATTATAATGTAATCACTTGCTAACATAACTTGTATTAAAATTCCTCAAGATATAAACTCAGAACAAAGGCCTGGGAAACCTATTACTTTTATTTCCAATCCTTCTTTTAATGCTGAAGAACAGGGACCTATTAGTACTACTACTACTACTAACAGTCCTACTGGACCTGAATATGTAATTGATTTAGGAGAGGCACTTAGGAAGATGCCCAACAATCGTCGCTCTCCTTACAGTACTGGTATAGTAGATCAACTGAATGATGCCAACTACGAAATGAATGGTGAAAAAGGAAGTGATAAAGACAAGGATAACATATTCTTTAAACGGTTTATGAAACGCCATCCCAAGTGGATCTCAAGAATAGGGGTTGTTTTTATGTTTGTCTTTTTGATTTCTATTCTTCTGGTCTTGCCGTTAACAATTGCTGGTATCAATAAGAATCGCACAGATCAACAGTCTGCAAATGATTTACCTTCCTTTACGACGGATCATGACTCTCCTATTTCCTTTGATGACACTGCTCGAGTTAACAGCTTAACTCCTCCCTTGAATGAAAAATTCCGTTATAATGCTGAAGATCGTATTCGTGGTATTAACCTGGGTGGCTGGCTAGTACTTGAACCCTTCATTACGCCTAGTATCTTTGAACAAACGATGACTAATAACACGGTGACGATCGTTGATGAATGGACTCTTTGTAAACAATTGGGGCCCATCGAAGCCAAAAGTCAACTTGAGAGACACTATAAGACCTTTATTACTGAGGCTGACTTTAAGAAGATTGCCATGATGGGCTTTAATCATGTTCGTATCCCCGTTGGTCATTGGGCTATTAGCGTCACTGATGACGAACCCTATGTTCCTGATCTCTCCTGGCGATATCTTTTGAAAGGTATTGAATGGGCTCGCAAGTACGGACTGCGTGTCATGGTTGAATTGCATACAGCACCGGGTTCTCAAAACGGCTGGAATCATTCTGGACGTCAAGGTTCTATTGGCTTTTTGAAAGGTACGAATGGGACTACGAATGCTAAACGAACAACAAAGATCGTTAGTGACATGGTAGAGTTCTTTAACCTTCCTGAATGGTCCAATGTAGTGACCTTATTTGGTGTCCTGAATGAGCCGGCCATGATGTCAATTCCTCCAGAGCAGGTTAAAAAATGGTACCATACAGTTTATGATCAAATTCGTAAGGCCTTAAAGGAGACTCTAGGTCCTCTTTTATCTTTTCACGATGGTTTTATGCCTTTAAATCAATGGGCTGGTTTTTTTAAGAATTCTTTTCAAAATACTATCTTGGGTGAGTGTCAAGATCAACCTTTATAGTGTTATTATTTTCACTAACAGCCTTTTTTTTTTTTTTTTTTTTTTAAAAAAAAAAAACCCACTCGCATAATAACTATAGAGACACATTTGTATTTAATTTTTAATAATGACTTGGTATCGATGCCAAAAAAAGTTCAATCCGAATTCCCTTGCAATGCATGGAAAAAAGATCTTCAAGAAGTGTCTACAAGTGTTGGACCTATGATGGTTGGCGAATTTTCTCTTGCTACGAATGATTGTGCCAAATACCTAAACGGTATAGGTTTTGGTGCTCGATATGATAATACTTATGAAGAAGATAGTAATCCAAATTGTCCTAGTTGTACCTGTAAAGGTGTAGATGACTGGGAAAATTTCACAAACGATTATAAGCAATTTTTGTTACAATTTTTGGAAAAACAAATGGATGCATATGAATCAAGTCTTGGATGGTTCTTTTGGACTTATAAAACCGAAGATCACGTAAATCCTCACTGGGATTATTCCCTAGCTTGGGAACAAGGATTTGCTCCTGTTGACGTTAATGCAAGAACTCATTTTTGTTAGTTTTTTTTTTTTTTTTTTTTTTTTTTTTTTTTTTTTTTTTTTTTTACCTTCCGATTTTTTTCTTTTATCTTACCTGGATTGTTAATATTATATTTGAAACCTCTTTGATAATTAAATGAAATATTTCCTTTTTTTATTATTTTAGTATTCTATTATCGATTTTTTGTTTTGCTGCTCTGTAGTGTTAATATGTCTTTGTATATCGATTGATATAAAAAAAGCAGCTGTAGAGAGAAGTTAGTAGATTATGAAACTGATAAAATATCAAATGCAATAAGTGATAAAATAAGAATGTACTTTTCTAGTTTTAATTTGAAACAAGTATAGATCTTTTGTTTATTAATCATATTTGTAATTCTAGAGTTCTCCCATAATGACTACTATACTGTAGAGGATATTATCTACGCGTCAATTAGAAAAAAAAAAAAGAAAGGAGAGAGAGAAGGAGAGGGAGAAAGAAAAGACCTTGACATTATAAATATTTATTCGCGGTGATATGTGATCTTTAATTCAATCTACACCGTCATCATATTATAATGATTATTAATATTTGAATAAGCCATAATAATTTAATACAACTGCATAATTTCTTTTTTTTTTTCTTAAAAAAAAAAATACCACTATAAATACCTTTTATTTTTATTAAATATGATACCAATAGCCAAAGATAACAAATCAATCTGTTCTAATAGTAGTTTAGCATCAAAATCAAGGTCAAATACAACAAAAATAACACCCTCACTTTCATTATCTAGTTCAACAGCTATTCAGCCAATGTCAACCATTCCAGATCCACTATCGCCAGTGATTACATCATCCTACATCTATCCTAATGAGACACCACCTACACAAGCTGATATAGACATTGTCCGTTATACTTGGGAGCGCATCTTAGAAATCCGTCTAGATGGTGATGATCCTAATGTCTCATCAAGTCATTTATTTGGATTAGCCTTTTATGATGCCCTATTTAAACTTGATCCTTCTCTACAATCCTTTTTTACCAATATTTTTCAACAAGCTCGAGCATTTGCAGGTATAATTTCTTATATCGCTCGTGCTCCGAGCGTAACAGCGTCAGCTAATGATAAAGTTATGACAATACAAGAAATAAATGCACGCAAGAGGAAGGAGACGAATGCTAAAACGTTTCCCGAGTTAGTGACAGCTACTATAAATATCAAAACGGAAAAAGAAAAAGAAGAAGAAGATGTCGAGCTTTTATTACACAAGTTAAGGATGTTAGGTGCAAGACATTACACTTATAATGTGAGATCGCAGCATTTACTGTTAGCAGGATCTGCCATTTTAAAGGCACTAAAAAAAAGATTAGGAAAAGAATTTTTACCAGAGGTGGCGGAAGCCTGGGCAAAGGTAAATTTCTATATAGCATAAGCCAGATCTTTGTTCTTAACTATCATTTGTAGGCATATGCGTATGCAGAGTACCATATGATGATTGGGTTAGAATCTCAAGCAAACTGGGAAAAAGGGAAAAAGGATTCAGCAAGTTTAAAAGTGAATTCAACATCGAAATCAAGCTGTTTAATTCAATAAAGATGTTATTATATCAGTATAATTATCAATTGTAGTATTCCTTCTAGCAAATACTATCAGAATAACAATGTATGTATGCATGCATGCATATATAAATCAGGTAGGAGATATGAATACTTTTTTAATCTTGCTAGAATATCTTATCCTCCTGAATAAAGGATAATAGTAAACTATTTATAAATAAATTAGTGTTAGCATATTTTGTACTTTTTTATAACACGAATTATATAATATGAGAAAGGTTAAGATATAAATTACAAAAGTGAATGAATGAATGAAGAAGAGTCATTAGTGAAGGTATTTTTTTGTGTTTTTTTGATATTATATGTATTGCGTCTTTTCATACATTCGAGACAATCAATGATTCTAAAGCAAAATATGAATATACTTTTTTTTTTATTGCAAGTTTTGTGGAGAGTCTACACGCTACTGATCTATTGAACTTTTAAAGAAGCTTAGGATTTACTGAAAGACATTAAACAATCAAGAATAAAATAGTAAAGTTTTAGTTGTATATCCCATTGTACATTACTTATTTAGCTTAACTAATTATATATGTATATAATATTGTAAATCATACATATAAATATCTGTTGTGTATATAGGCTTATAATAATTTGTAATGGCTTCATATCATAACATAAATAGCGTTATAAGTTATGCGGATAAAATATTTCGACATTTGAATACAGAATAAGATGGATACACATCCTATCTCATTTAATAACTCAAAATAGTATTTACTCATAATAAGCATAGCATATTTTTATATAGTATATATAAAGCGCATAACATGAATAATAGTAAAATAAAATGGCATTCCATTACACTGCTTAATATTTATCTAAATTAATAATGTTGATTGTTGTAAACTTATTTTATATATGAGTATTAGTTGCAGGTAAGTTATTTGAGTTGGATATATATGCATACATGTATACTTTGTAGTCTTTAGGTGTCTAATGGTTACATTATTATGTAGTCGAAAAATGTACCCTTCTTTAAAAGAATTGGCTTCCATAAGTTTAAGACAATATCGAGGTTTCGAGAAAAAAAAAAAATAAAAAAAAAAATAAAAAAAAATCAACATTTATAAAACTTATTTTTATTAAATATTAGATAACACAAAATGTTATTTTAATAATAATATATCCTTATTTGTATATTTTTTTTTCTTGATCTACATGCATTAAAAGCATGAATGACATAATATAAATAAAAATAAAAGAGCTTGATAAAACTCTTTCATTAGGAATTAGAATAAACAAGTAAATGTATAAATGTCCTCCTTAACATACTCTTGCTCAAGAACAAGTCGGTCTTATCCGCTATTTCAATTCGCTTTTATAATTTTGTTTCATAATTATATGATGACTCAGGCTGGTATATTATCTGTTTTTGAATGTATATTTGTATCTATTTTTTGATCTTTACTGTTCCTTTTTTTTTTCTTCTTCTTCTTCTTCTTTTCAATTCGTAAAATATGGTTCAACCTAGTGTTTATATCCGTAAAGCCACTATCACAGACATTCGATATAAAGAGGAAGCAGCTAAGGTAGTCAATACTGCTTATCGAACAGAAGGTAACCTGTCATTATATACCTATATATGATATATAAAATGAATTAACTTTTTTTTTTTTTTTATAAACAGAGGGATGGACAACCGAGAAAAATTATGTTGAAGGTGAACGTATTACAGTGGATAATATGGAAAGATGTATTCGTGACAGTGGCAGTCCAAATACACTCTTTTTCGCTTTTGAGGAAGACCAAGTGATAGGTACAGTCCAAATACAGCCTCTTAAAGACCAACCTGAGGTAGCTGAGATTGGGTTATTTTCAGTTTCACCTATGTTTCAATCTCGTGGTATTGGAGGTCGATTGATTCGTACAGCTATTGAGGAAATGAAGGCTATGGGCTTTAAGGAGGCTCTGTTACATGTCCTCGAAAATAGATCTAGTATTATAACTTGGTATAAAAAATTAGGGTTCGCTGAGACAGGTGAACGTATTCCATTTATTTGGCCTGAATTATTGAAAATTAAAGATCTTCATTTTGTTATTTTGAAAAAGTCACTCAAAGAAGATGATCATTAGAAGAATATAAATCATCTATAGATATGTCCTAGATTAGTTTATTTAGAAGATACTACATAATATACTCTTATTTCCATTATCTTTTTTTTTATAAAATAATACTCTAGATACTACTCATTTATTCCTTAACTATTAATTATAATAAACCTATTCTATTTCATTTTTGCATCCTTATTGTTAAAGAAAAATACCTTCTTTTTAAGGATAATAATTCTCTTTTTATTATTATTTGAATTACTAATTCGAATTCAGAAACGAATATTTTTTTTTTCCTTTTTCAGCTGCGTATAAAAGATTAGAAGAATACCTTTATTGTTCTAGATATTTCGTTCAATAAATTCTTATTACTAGTAGTCATGTTATGAAATAGATAAAAAAAAAATAGGTTTCGTTTTTTTCTTTGTTCTAATGCTTATGTAGTTAGAAGGTAAAACACTAAAGTAATGCTTGCTATATAAGTGGATCAAGCAAATATGAAAGATAGCTGTGTGGATATAAAGTTAAGATGATTAGTATCAATGCTATCAAAAAGTTTAATTTTCAAAAAGCAGTAGGTTATCGATTATATGACTAGATATACTTGACAATTTTGAAAATTTCTACCTGGCTGGAAATGAGTTTCAATTATCCCAAAGAAGCTGTGTATATGGAGGAAACATAACCAATATATTTATATACATATATAGTTCATGAATTTAAAGTATATATTTGTATACTGTCTAGCTGAAGCTTAATGAAGGTAAAATCTAATAAGCATAGTAAAACTGATATATGTGCTTAAAAGAGAAAAAAAAAACGCCTAGAGACTGATTGGCCCCTACTATCTGTGAGATATAAAGTATTTAACAAGAACACTAGTTTTACTCAAACAAGAATAGCAATAGTGTTGATTGTAATTATTTAGTGTAGAGCATTAAATATACATGATTTTATATTTAAACACTATATACAATTTTAGTTTAACTATTAACAAATTTACCGTATTTCAATGTTCATATATATAATGTATATGACACCTATTTTTGGTTAATGCAGGATAGAAAGTAAGTTACAGATAAAGAATTTATACCTAAAAGATCATTTAAACCTAATCTAATAAATACTTTGTATTTATCAAGCATTGCACACAAGTAAACCGCTAATAAATGCTTTTAAGAGTAATGATTCATTTTGATATCGGTTGTATATCTTTTGAAATTTTGTCTAATTTCTCCATTCAACTAGGCTATGAATACTGTTGTATATAATGTTTCTTCCTGTTGACTTTACCTTTGTTTGATTTCCCTCCCCCCCTCAAATCCTTATGTTTAGCTAGCTTATGAAAACAAAAAAGGATATCACTCCTATTACTAACTAGCAAATCTTAAACTATAGCTACAAAATGTAAACAAACAGAAATTAAAAAAGGAGGGCAATGTGTAATACGCCAAGAGAAAAAATACATTTTTATCACATGTTTCACTCGGAATTATTATTTTAAAGGTAGAGGAATAATATTTAATTTAAATAAGTTTGATGACTCTTTCCCTGTATATTTGTTAATTTTCTTTGCCAGAGAATATAATGAGAATAAAGAAGACAAAACAAGTAAAGAAGATACTATACATATTTTGCTTAGTTGCTAATAATAGCTTTTAACTTTTTTTTTTTTTCTATAGAAAAAGGGGGGTTCAGTTATTTTCAGGAACGAACATATTACATGTATCTAATAAATTAGCTTTAAAAAGAATAAAAAAAACATCTTCTTGACCGGGATAAAGCACATTAACCAAGTAGTTTCAATAAAGAGTAAGTAAGAGGAAGAACGAGAATGATAAAGAGAAACTTTTTATCATCTTGTTTCTTCTTATACTTTATTATCTCTTTTGCCCTTCTTGTTTCTTTCAGCATAATACTGCTTTTTTCGACTACTAAATTATTGCCATACTAATATATCTTAAAGTGATTTTCTATAGGCCTATAAATTATTAATTTAGTTTGAAATTTCTTAAAGAAATTAAAAGTCCTCTCATCTCCAACTAGCTTTTATTTTTATAAATACACTTTCGCTTCTAATCTCTCTCTCTCTCCCCCTTTTTCTTTTCTTTTCTTTTTCTTTTTCCAACTAATTCTACATATCATGACTGATAAAGACTTAACATTGCTTGATATAGCAGAAGAAGAACAAATTAGTCTAGTTCAAAACTCAACAGCATCTGATGGAGAAGATGTTTTAATGGACAATACTCATGCCATTCCTAATCAAAATGCTGTCAAAGAATCATTTAATAGTGAAGAGCATCCCTTAGCTTCTCTTGAAACACAAGACCCTTGGGCTGAACAAAGAGTTGAACAAAATGGAGAAGAAAGAGAACAAGAGACAGGAATAAAGATAGAGGATGTATTTGAACAACAACCTACTAAACAGGATGAATTTGTGGATAGTGATACCTCTGCAGTTAAGGTATACAAAAAAAACAGTAGAATAGTAGAGTAGAAAATGTAATAAATTCAATCTATTCAAGTAGGGCTTTCAAAATGTTTTAGATAGCGATAAAATAGATGATTTAGTTGTCGTTGGGCAACTTCCTGATTGGCTAATTGGGGAGTATTTTACTGTAGGTCCTTGTACTTATGATATCAAATATAGTCGTAAAGTGGAAATGGATGGTGAATTACAAAATGTTACTGCTATCTACACATTTGGACATTGGTTTGATGCGTAAGACTTGAATTATAGGATTAGATAAAAGAGGAAAAAAAAAAACGGTTTAGGTTAACTTACATACATATAGACTTCCATTAGTGAATCGATTTGATTTAAATGGTCAAAGGAATTCAGTTACTTTTCGAAATAAATCAACAAGTAAAAGGATGGTAGAGAAGATTCGATCTCATCATGGATATGCACCTCAGCATCCTGCTGGTCTTTACATGTCAAATACAAATCAAACTGTTCTTTCAAAATTCTTAGGGAATTCCGCAAAGCCAGCAAAACCGGATGCCGAGCCATGTAGTGCACGTGTCTTGACTCATATTCCAGGATTAGAAGGAAGATTATTTGCACAAAATCATGCTAATCATGTAATTTTTTTTTTTGAAATATAAAATAGTATTACTGTTTAATTAATATATATATACATGATGTAGATTCAAGAACTAGATCCTTTTGATCTGAAACCTACTCGGTTATTTACTTGGAATGACGTTAATCCAAAATTTAAGGGCACAAGTTCTTGTCCTAATGGTCAATTTGATGCTCGAACTGGAGAATATATCAATTTCGTAATGGATGTAGGATATCAATCTGTCAAATATCATTTCTTTTCCATTTCAGATAAAAATCCAAAAGGTTCTATCATTGCTTCTATTACAGCTCCTATGGCATATGTGAATACATTCTCCATCACTTCCAAGTATATCATTTTTGTAAAGTCTATACACATAGGGTTAATACCGCCCTTTTTTTTTTTTTTTTTTTCTAATTCATGATATCGTTTTATATATATTTATAGGTTATTTGCCCTCTATTGGCCAATACAAGTGGTGTAAAATACAATTGGAACGAAAGTATCATGGATTCATTTTCTTTTAAATCTTCTGAACCTACTTTGTTTTATGTAATTTCTCGAGAAAAGGGAGAGATAACAGCCGTTTATCGTTCAGATCCTTGTTTTGTCTTTAATCATATCAATGCATATGAAGAACAAGATACTGTATTTGTGGATATGATTTGTTACCCAGATGATACCATTGCACGTCAACTTACTACACATTATCTTCGTCATCCACAAGAAATGAAGCCATCTCGTCTTGTAGCATCTGAAGTAAGACGATATGTATTAACCAATATAGAAGAAGAGCATATCAATTATATGGCCAACTATAATAATATATCCAAGACACCCATTAAAAATCGTCTTTCATCCGTCTTTAGTATGTTTTCAAATAAGAAATCGACCCAGCCTGAAGAAAATAATACATCTTCTTATTATAGTGAAACGACAGCCAATAAATGGTATTCTTGGATACCGATTGCTTCCTTTAATAAACGTATTCAACCCTCTATTGAATTACCACAAATAAATCCTAATTACAAAATGCGCCCATATACCTTTATGTATGGTCTTGGATTTTCAGCTTCGAGTTCACTAAAGGAAGGTGCTATTTGGGACAGTATTGTAAAAACAGTAAGTTTCTAAATTCAACCAAGTGCATTCTATTTGGACTTTAAAATATATATATATATTATATGTGTATACGAATATAGGATATGAATACAAAACAAATTGTTGGCTCTTGGCATGAAGACTTTTGTTATCCAAGTGAAGCTATCTTTATTCCAAGACCTTCTAAAGGGGCTGAAGATGAAGTCAAAGAAGATGAAGGTGTCCTGGTAAGTGTCGTAATGAACTCAGCAAAGGCAACTTCATTTTTATTGGTCTTGGATACAACCACGATGGATGTCCTTGCTACAGTGAATTTGGAAAGATTAATTCCCATCAGCTTTGCTCATGGCTCTTATCGACTTTAAGAGATAATAATAATAATATAAACAAATGTTTATTTTGCTTTTTTTTTTTTTTTTTTTTTTTTTTTTTTTTTTTGTCTTTTGTGAATACAGAGTAATTATAAAGAGAGAGAGAAAAAAAGAAAACTGTATAAAACTATTACATGCATGTATATATTTCAAATCATAATATATACATGTATATATAATATGTATATATTTTATTTCTTGACTGTATAATGTTAGAAGGGTTTTAAATGATGATTACGTTCAAGTGACGTATAATTAAAGCCATGGTATAAAACAAAAAGAGAGATATTTGCATTATTTTCTCGCCTTTTTTTATTTTATTTTATTTTATTTAATAAAACAAAAAAAGATGAATTCACTTGCTTCTGGTAAACTAATATATGCTTATACAAGTAATATGATATGTAATAATAAACGGGTATACTACTTTTAAAGAGAATAGATGTAAAGAGGATGAAATGATTAACAATAGTACTGGACATGGTACGGTCAATGTCCCATTTTCTCAAGAAAGTGATACTAGTCAACAGTCAAATCAAAAGCAATCTACTACTGCTAATAACGTAAAAGACAATCAAGAGCATGAATCTACTGAAGGTTCCTTTGGACATACAGTTAAACATGGACCTTCCCCAAGAACTATTAAACGTGATTTGGATAATGTTTAAATAAATAAATAAACAAATAAAAAAAAAAGTTGCCTTGTTTTTTCTTTTAACAGCATCCTCCTTTATTACTATTATGATTACTATTATTATTATTATCATTGGAACGTGCTGTAGATAAACCTCGAACGCTAGGGGGTCTTAATTGAATGCGTTCACCTTGTGTAGGGCCATTTATTGCTTCATTTTCATTATTTTCGCGTTTTCTCTTTGGTAAATTATTATAAATTGTATTAAATACAGTAGCAAAAGCATTTTCAACATTAGTGGCATCCAAAGCTGATGTCTCGATAAATAAAAATCCTTCTTGTTCTGCTAATGCTCCACCTTCTTCTGTACTGACTTGACGACTTGTTTCATTTAAATCTAACTTATTACCTACTAACATGATTACAATGTTTGGATCAGCATGGTCACGTAATTCTTTAAGCCAATGTTCAACATTTTCAAAAGAAGATTGACGTGTTATATCTAATATAAAATATTAGTTTTCTTTTTGAGACAAAAACTCTTTCCCCACCACCACCACCACCACAACCCTCTCCTCATATGATGTGTATGTGTGTACTTGTATTTACCGTAAACTAAAAGAGCACCAACAGCACCTCGATAATAAGCACCTGTAATAGCTCTATATCTTTCTTGTCCACTTGTATCCCATATTTGTGCTTTTACTGTATGATTATCTATTTCAAGGTTTTTTGTAGCAAATTCGACACCAATTGTACTCTTTGACTCTAGATTAAATTCATTTGACTTTATTAAAAAAAAAAAAAAATGAGTTTTATTCATCCTTTCAATTATTCATTTACAAAAAAAAAAAAAAAAAAAAAACTTTACAGTGAATCTAGATAATAAATTAGATTTCCCAACACCAGAATCACCAATCAAGACAAGTTTAAAAAGGTAATCATATTCATCATCAGTCAACATTTCGAGAATTTTATTAAAAAAAAAAAAAAGGAAAAAATAAAATAAAGGAAAATGAAATAAAAAGAAATAAATTAAAATTTCTAAAAATATAAATTACACTAATGGCAGGAAAATGAAAAAATAAAATAAAATAAAATCAGACAGCAGCACGGACATTAATTATAATATTAGGGCGTAGTTGTAGTAAAGATTCCTAATTCTTTCTTCACATTTATCTCCACGTGGGGAGGTTACAACAGCAGTAATAAAAAAAATTTTTTTTTTCTTTTTTATACATATTCATGATGAAGATCTATTATTTGGTATTATACGTTTATTTTATAATATCTTTTTTTTTAAAGGGAAAAAAAAAATTCCACGTTCTCTTATATTACACGTGCTCTTTTAATTATCTGCTGTTTTAAATACAAATAGTTTTTTTTTATTTTATTTTTTTATTTTTTATTCAATATTTTTAAAATAAATGAATAATGTAAATATTATATGACACTTATTTTAAAGTAAAACATGAAACATAAACATACATTTATTGTATAAATATATGATTTGTTTACTGTGTACAAGCTTGCTTTCTTTTTTTTTTTTCCTTTTTTTTTTTATTATTATTATTATTATCGATACTTTAAGCTCAGACGTTTTTTACATAGTAAACATGTGGTTCCTGTCTTTTATTACATACACACAAAAAAAAAGATATAAATATAGGGGGTGAATAAAAAAAAATTAGGAGGAAACGAGTTAAAGATTTTTATCATTTTTCTTTCTTTTTTTTTTTCTTCTTCTCTTTTTTACTTTCTTCTCTTTTTCTTCTTCTTCTTTTTTGAATGATATTAATAAAATAGACAATACAAGAAAATGCTTCATATTCATAATAAATCAGGCAAGCAAATCATTGCCACTGCAAAAGATCTAGAACGAAATGTAATATTGTTTATTTTATTTTATTTTTACAATATTTATTGTTTATTTATTTATTATAGCGTACAACAACAAACGATAAACGAAATTCTAAGCAACAAAATCCTCTTCGTAAATCAAAGTCTTTAACGACAGAAAAGACAAATTTAATGGTCGATATTACATTAAAGAGAAGGTCAACAGGCTGTATCACCAGACAATCTTCCTTTTATACAACGTCAAACAATAATAATCATACCAAGGTATCATCAAAAAAAAAAAATTATTTAATTTTTGTCAGTACACTCAAAAAATAGAGTTATTATAGGAAGTCTGGAGACCTCCTGGATTTTATGAAATTCCTAATGTTTTCGGCTCAGACTGTTTTTTAAAACCAGAACCTTACAATAGTAAAAACACGTTTTGTTTACGTGAATATCCTTCAACAAATAATAAGTCTTCAGAGAAGAGACGTTGGTATCCTGTCGGTCCAACTCATGAAATACCTCAATTACCTCCTTTAATTCGTTCTGAAAATCAATTTGAACGTAAAATACGAAAGGCATTATCACATCAACAAATTACTGTATCTACTTTGGATCCTCGTAATAAATATACTAATTTTAAAGAAGTTGGCACTGGGTAAGAATTCCTCTTTTCTCTCTCTCTCTCTCTCCCTCTTTCTTTCTTTCTTTCTTTTCCTTTTGTATTTTTTAAAAGATTAACATTTTTTTTTTGTAATAAAAGTGTAAATGGCTCTGTTGTACGTGTTGTTCACAAGTACAAAAAAAATGTTCAACTGGCTATAAAAAGATGCAGATTAGATCCCGACCACGAATATAAAGCAGCCATTGTAAGAGAACTCCGTATTATGGCTTCTGGTCATACTAATTTGATTCGTTTACGTGAAGTGACTTTATGGCGTGATGATATCTGGATAGCTATGGATTTACAACGTTGCTCTGTCTTTGCTATCCTTTGTCAAAGAGGATTACCCGAAGAACATACTATTTACATTACTTGTGAAACACTCAAGGCACTTCATTTCTTACATTCAAAAGCATTTATTCATCGTGATATTAAATGTGAAAACCTATTACTAGGTTGGAATGGTGAAGTGAAACTAGGTAAACAAACAAATAAATAAATAGATAGATAGATTTCATATATACAAATATATATATCGATACTTACTTACTTCTTTTTGTATTGTATGGTATAGCTGACTTTGGTTTGGCTACTCGTACTACAAAACGTAATCGTGACCGACTTGGTACAAGTAAATGGATGGCACCCGAAGTAATTCGGGAAGAATATTATGATGAAAAAATTGACATGTGGTCACTTGGTATCACCATTATCGAAATGATGGACCGTGTACCGCCTCATTATCTTATCAAGGATGAATATGAGCTCTTTACAACCGTCTTAAATGAACCTAGCCCTACTTTTACTTATAGTTACCCAACAATGTATATGCGAGGCTTGGTTGCTTGGCTATTAGATGAAGTTCCTGCTACTCGTCCCTCTGCAAAAGATGTACTTTCGGTAAAATTTGCATATAAACATACAAACAAACAAACAAATATTTACCTTTTTTTTCCCCTTTGTATGACATGTATATTTTGTGTAGGAAATTGACGCTCATGTTCAAAGTAAACTTTTGAAATGCTCTTCAGCTACTGAACTTACAAGATTTATGAATCATGTTTTACCTTAAGAATACATTCTTTTTCTTTCTTTCTTTCTTTTTTGAATTTATATGAAAAAAAAAAATTAATATTTATTTTTATACCCTTTTATTAGTTCACATATGCCCCCTTCCACCCTTTACCTTACTTTTATATAAACATATATGAAAAAAATATCAATTACTCGCTCTTTTTCTTTTTTTTTTTATGTATTTACAAACACGCTTTACATGCTATATTTAAAACAAACACCCTTTTTTTTTCTCTTTTTTTCTCTTTTTTTCTTTTTCTTTTTCTTTTTTTTTTCTTTTTTTTTTTTTCTTTTTTTCTTTTTTTTATACATACATATATTTTATAAATATAAACATAAAATTATCATACAAAACAATAAACAAAATTTCTATAGTTAAATTTCTGCAACATAATTGCCTAGAACAAAATACATATAGATTAAAAACACACGCACGCGTAAATATAAACAAAAGAAAAAAAAAAAAAAAAAAAAAACTTACCAGGAAATACACCAATAACACCATTTAATCTTCCTTTCCACCAATCATTTGTATCTGGTGTTCTTTCAAGTACTTCAATCTTATCATCTTTCTTAAAAGATAAATCACCTTCTGCTTGTGCAGTATAATCATAAAGAGCGACCACGAATTGTGATGTAGGGGGATAAGCTTGTGGTTGTTGATAGGAGGGCTGTCCTTGATAAGAAGGCGGCTGTTGTTGTTGTTGATAAGAGGGCTGCTGTTGTTTACCATAAGAGATAGGTGTTGAATCTAATGTGACATCATTTCCTGATTGTCCATAAGCTGGAGGTGGTAGTGGAGCCGTCGCTGCAGATGTCGTCGTAGTATACATATCCATGACAGGAGAGCCACCTGCTGTGGCTGCTTCTGCACGTTTCAAAGCAGCGCGTTCCTGTAATGATAACTTTGAATGATTCGTACCACCTGAAACAGCCAACCAAGCTTTTCCACCTGACTTTAATAAATCTAAATTTTCATATTCACTGCGTACATCTCTTTGTGATTTTCGATAATTATAACCTTCTTCAATACCCATCGTATTTGTCACAAAGGATCCCAAGTTTTGATTCAATAATTCATAACAACGTGCATAGATAATGCCATAAATTCGACTTTGCATGTTATAAAGGTTCTCAAAGACGGGATGAATAAATTGAGCCTTGAGTTGAAAGAATCGAGGCAACTCTTGCTTTAGCATATCGTTGAGGTAGTTATAATCTTGAGTTGCTGTTTCAAGTTGTGATTGAACTTTAAAGATTTGTTTTTCTTCACTAAAGCTTCGTTCTTGTTTATTATTCAGTTTCTGAAGGGCAAGTCGATGACGGTCATAATCAATCAGTTTATGATTACGTTTGGTCATCGTTTTGGAAATAAGTTTCATGATTTCTTCAAGTTCAAGAAGAGGACGAATGATATTTCGATCAACAACGTCCAATTCTGGTAAAACTTCATCACGACAATAGACCATCGCTGCTTCGGCATCATTGACGGCTTGAAGTTGTTGTGCAGGTGTCTGTTGAAATCTTTTTTGAACTGTACCCTCGGGGGCTTGTGTACCTAGACTGGCATCATAAATAACAGCAAGATATTCTGCCATAGCTGCCTGGTTAGATAACAATACTAAAAAAAAATAAAAATAAAAATAAAAAAATGAGCGTGTTACAACAATGATATAAATAAATATAAAAATGTATATTTATATAAATAAATATGTGTATATATTTTTTTTGTGATTATTATTACCTGAGACACTATCTCGAAATATTCTGGCGTCCTTGGCAAGTACACCAACAATTTTAGAAAGGTCATTAAATTGCTTTTCTAACTGTATATATTCAGCATCCCTGGTTGCTTAATGAGTTATATCAATTAGTTAATAAAGAAAAAAGATAAAAAGTTACATATTTATATACCTTCACTTTTCTTTGATAATATTTGATAAGGTAATCTGTTGACTGCTTTTTGAAAGCCCTAAAGAAAGAAAGAATCACATATTTTAGTAAATGTAATTTATCTTTTTTTTTTTGCTTATTAAAGGCTTGTTCTGAAGGGATGGGGGAAAATGAAGTTCACCTTCCAACTCATAATGTAATTTCAATTAATTTAAATGAAAAAAGTAAAAAAAAAAAAATGGAAATTAAAAGAACAATCTCCCCCAAAAATAAAATAAATAAACGTAAAAACTCCGTAATTACATGACTTCGGAGTTTTATTTATTCTCTTCCTCTAAACAACAATAAAGAGCATTTTAACTTTTTTTTTATGCAAGTGACTCGCTTTATATAAGATAATAGTTTTTTTTTTCATCAATTATGATAAAAAAAAATTTTTTTTTCTATAGATCTTATTTATTTTTTATTAGATTACTAAAATAAAATGAATAACACTATCCCTGCTGATCTTCAAGTTGTTTGTGAGTTTGCTTTACCTGAAATCAAACAAAATTCCCCACAGATGAATCAAGATGAAATTTTAATTGAAGCAAAAGATCAAGTTGATGACAATGATTCAATAAAACTCGAAGAAACTGCTGTTAAAGTAGAGACAACGCAAGAACAAAACAATCAAGATCTCATTGCAGGCAATGAAGAAACAGTAGTAAAACAAGAGACCTTAGTAAGGATTGGAGTCGTGTATTAGAAAGTATCTATAGCTTATATTTTTTTTCTTTTCTTTTCTTTTTTTACAGAATGATACCCTAGATGCTGCTATTGCAGGAGAAAAAAAAGCAGATGGATATGAAAGTAGTGATTTGGATCTTTCATCTTCCGATGAAGAAGACAATGATGATAGCGACGAGTCATCATCCAGTGAATCAGAGAGTGAAAGTGAAGATGATAATGAAAATAACGATAAGCCAACAGTGAAGCGACAAAAAGTTATTTCTAATGAAGAAGAAGAGGAAACGTTTCCTAATGGCATTGTAAAAACAGCCCATGAAATTATTGAGATCGTTGTTGAAAAACCTCAATTTGAAATGACACCACAAACAGAAATTGTGTATGCAGGACAGATCTTTCAAGTCATTGATAATGTGGTAGTTGTTTATGCAAGGTCTGGTAGTGAATATCAAACACTAGATCAAGGCTCTTTGCTCGTATATGAGGATCGTACAATTTTAGGCGAGGTCTTTGAAACATTTGGACCCATCGTAAGACCCTTCTATTCGGTCAGATTTAACCATCCTCAGGATATAGATCGTAATCTGGCCAAGTTAAATGCACCTATTTATTATGTACCAAGTTATCAAAAGACTAAAATTGTAGAAACAGAAAAATTAAAGCAGTTGAAGGGAACTGATGCAAGTAATCTTTATGATGAAGAAGTAGATGAAGATGTACGTTTTTTTTTTTTTTTTTTTTTTTTTTTTTTTTTTTTTTTTTACATTGTTTATATATTTTAACTTATCTATACTTTTGTAGGAAATGGAGTTTTCTGATGATGAGAAAGAAAGACAATATAAACAAAGAAAGAATAGAGAGAAAAAGATGAAAAAGAAACAACAACAACAACAAACAATTAGAGTAACTAATGACTTTGATTCTGAATTAATGGCTTATGAACAAACAACACAATCTATTCCTCCTCGTCAACAACAAAGTTATGCTGATATTGTAGATTATTCTATACCTCAGCCACCACCTCATTTTCAAAATCAGTTGCCATCCTCTCACCAGCCACAATCCTTTTATAACCAGTTACCACAACAACCTGTTCAACAACATGAAAGGTCAAACGTCAATCATGTTCTTTCATCTTTATTTGCTCAACCACCTCCTTCATTATCTGATTTAGAAAAACAGAACCAGTAATAGTGTGTTTTTTATTATTATCATTTCTTATCATTAAATAATCCTTTAATTTTTTTCATCAAGTTTGCACCTTTAATATGTGCTTCTTCTTCTTCTTCTTCTTCTTCTTCTTCCTTTTTCTGTTCTTTTGGTGGTAGTACCATACTATTCAAACCAGCCTGTAATTCTTGAATAGTTTTTAAATCGAATTGAATACCAGCAGCCTGAATATCTTGACGTAATACTTGTATACTTTCCTTTATATCAGGATCATTCATGATTTTTAACATCTATTTTATCAAATTGAATAACCTCTCTCTCTCTCTCTCTTTATATATATACAATATTATTTATTTACCTGCGCAAAACTAGGTTGTTTGCCTGTTACATCAAATCCTTTCGATTGTAAAAGACTTGTAAAATCCACTAGACGCTGCATAATATGAGGATTTTTTTTTATTTTTTCAATAAAGGAATGATTTGTGAAGTCAGTTGCCATAAAACGTTTAGCTATGAAGGGAGTCATCATAGGAAGAGAAGTCGTTTGTCTTGATGGTATAGAACGATACTGAACCAGAATCCGTTTAGATGCCATAGCATTCCATTTTGGAAGGAATCGTGTAATCATGGCAATTTAATAGAATATTTTTTTCCTACAAAAAAAAAAAAAAAAAAAAAAAAAAAAAAAAAAAAAAAAAAATACGTTTGACGATGTTTTGTACGTTAATAAAAAAAATAAAACCGGGGAATTTATATTATTTGTAAAAAAAAAAAAAAAAAAAAAAAAAAAAAAAAAAAAAAAAAAAAAAAAAAAAAAAAGTCACAATAACACTTATTATAAGATTTGAGGAAACGAGCCAGCTATGATTACTTGTGGTGTATAATAAGAAATGATGAGTGGAGTACACTTTTGCATCTTGCTTGAAAACAAAAAAAAAAAAAAAATAGGATGCATTTTATTATTACATCACAGAGATAGTTTCATGCGTGTGTTAGATAAGATAAAATCCAAAAATAGAGAAACATCAGTGCATAATTATAAAATATATTTCAAATCCATGATTATTTTTTTCTTCTTCCTCTTACTTTAATTAAAAGAGGAAAAAGAAAAAGAAATGGTTAAAAACCAACTTATGCGTAGTATTTCACTCTTATTTCAGCCTTCAGCGTCTACCAAAAGATGGTATGATAAGCAAATAAAACTCAAAAATCCATTTACATCCAAGAAACAACGAAAAGATCCAGCAGATGATGAAGTACTTTTATCAGAAAAGTTTTTAGTATCAGACGATACTGATAATGATAATAAATCAATTCATATTGTAGAGCATTCGACAGATAAAAATTCTTTCGATATTCATAAGCCTATCTTTTATTACTTTCATGATAAGCATGATTTACAGTCTTCTGTATCCTTACTATCAACGGATTCATATGACAAAAAGGTGGAGGTTATTTTGACAAATGAAAATGCAACACTATCTGATCTCAGTCACTTGTCCTTTTCTACTACGGCTAATGACATAATTCATCATGAAGTTGTTATTGTAAAAAAGAGCCACATATCACTTTTAGGAGAAATGGTTCAAGGTATTCTATGTGATGCAATCTCAATTGCCGATAAAGAGTTTGAACAGGAAGAAATAGTACCGAAACAAGCTTTAAAAGATTAAATATGTATGTGTATGTTTGTATGTATCTACATATATATATATTTATATATGTATTTATACTGTTTTGTATATGTATGCCTTTTATTTTTAAGTGTGTGTGTGTATTTATTTATAGAATTAGGTACATAATGCATTAATTCATTTCTTTTTTTTTAAACCAATTAGATAATAAAGTAAATATAATGCTTTATTATTCATAATAAAATACAAGTCATTCTTCTTGAATATGTCATATATGCTTTGAGAAGAGAAGATAAAATTTGTACCTGAGTTTTTTATTTTATTTTTTTCGAGTAGCAGTAGATTATTTTCAAATTCAGTCAATTCTTTTTAATATTTGTTTTTTCGAACAAGGTGCACAGCATAAACTAGAAAAAGAAGAATATGATTAAGGCTTCTTTTTTTTTTCTTTTCTTCTACATCAACACATCACTTACTGCTTCCAGGAACAATAGCAAGACACGTCAATGCAATATTAATAGCTATCTCACGACCACAACCTATTAAGAAGATGAGCACATTTATAGTCATCTTTTTTAACATTTGATTTACCTTTTTCTGAAAAGACACTAAGAGGAGGCAAGATGACAGCTGTGTATAATAAACAGATTAATATACTTCATCTTGTGTTATACAGTAGCTTTATTTTTTTTTTTTTTTACCTGTAAAGATTTTACAAGTACGAGAATGAGTAGAAGCCATAAGAACTAAACTTTATATATATGAAAAGCCAACTAGATCAAGAAAAAAAATAAAATAAAAAGAAGACTTATTCCTTTATATACTTCAATAGATTATACAATTTCCTATAAATGGAATGATATGTTTAAATCCACTATGCAGCTTTTGTATATAAGACTATATTCATTATAAGCCTATATATTCTATTATTCAAATAATGAAAGTTACAATAACAGGACTATATAATGAATAATAATAATAAGAAAGAGATGTATGTATTTGTTCATGACTTTATTGCATAGTAAATAAAGGATAATAAATTATAACTTTAAGTTTCTTCTGTTTCAATTACATTCTAATATTTGTTTTTTTCTCAATGCAAAAAAAAAAAAAAAATCTGATTAGAAAGCTCATGATCTACTATTTTATTTTGATATCCTGCCTGCCTCTTCTCTTTCAAAAAAAAAAAAAGAAAAAAAAAAGGAGAGAGGAGACAGACAAGCAAGCAGACAATACACTCACTCACTCACTCACTCACATATATGTATATGTATATACATGTATGTATGTATGTATATACATCAAATTCCTCATTAGGCATTACAAGAGAAAACTAAACAATATCTTTCAACTACTCTGACATGTTTATTTAAATTCTAAAATGATAAGCTACTCACTAACTAAGGCAAAGAAAAAGGTGGTGCTACCATTTCCTTTCTTCTCCGATAAAAGTCAATTAGACTATTGATAGTAAAAGGAATATTTCTATTGGTTTTTTATTATTCATTTTTTTTTTTTTCTTGCAGCAACTCATTATCACCACCACCCCTTTCCCTTTTTTTTTCCATTTTTATTTTTAGTGTTAATATTTTTATTTTATTAAATATGGTTCAGCCTACTCTTTGTATTCGTAAAGTAACCCCATCTGATATTCAATATGCAGAACAAGCCACAAATGTAGTGAATAAAGCATATCGTTCAGAAGGTTGGTTGATAACAACATACATAACATTACATCTTATACATATTTATATATGTATCTATTTTTGTCAGGAGGTTGGACGACAGAAATGGATATTGTTGGGGGTGAACGATGTACTGTGAAAGATATGATTGACTTTATAAATACAAGTGGGAAACCCAATACACTTTTATTTGCTTTGGAAGAAGATCAAGTTATTGGCACTGTACAAATCCAATGTAGTATCACCTCCGAAAAGGAAGAAGTAGCAGCTGAAATTGGACTCTTTTCAGTGACACCTACTCATCAATCCCGTGGTATTGGGGGTCAATTGATTCGTGCAGCCCTTGTAGAAATGCAAACTCAAGGCTTTCACTTTGCTATTATGCATGTCCTTGAAAATCGACCTGAAATATTACGTTGGTATAAAAAATTAGGATTTATAGAAACAGGTGAACGAGTCCCATTTGTTTGGCCAGAAATGTTAAAGGTCAAAAAGGATCTTTGCTTTTTAACTTTAAAGAAAGAATTAAATTAAAAAAAAGAAAAGAAAAGAGGGGCATAGATGTGTATAAAATAAAATAGAAGATATGAATTCATTTAGACTGTAAGCATTCTATTTTTATTTTGAGAATAGAACGTGAATGATTTTGTTTCAGTTTCTTTTTGCACAGAAAATAGAATCAAATGAAACGTTTTACAAAAAAAAAAAAAATGTCTTGGTAAAATAAGAAAATGTGATTTTACTTTAAATAGGGCAATTATTCATCTGATTGTATTCAACGAGAAAACTGGTCATTGTCTGAATAAAAAAATAAAATAAAATAAAATGAAAAAATAAAATAAAATTAGAAATTGCTCCTTTTTTATTTTATTTTTTTTTTTTTTAATAGAGAATATTCATCTTTTTCTTGTTGCATAAAATAAGGTAAAATAACAGAATAGAGGATTTCGTACTCCAATAACTTATTTTATTAATTTTTAGAGAGATAAATTTTTCATTTTTCTTTTTCTTTCTCATATCCTTTTTTTTTTCTTCTTTTAAATTGACCAAATGGAATCGAGTAAAAAAAGAATTAAACAAATTGAATCATTAACCAATGTCAACTCTACCTACTATTGATTCTTCTTCAAATGAGCAAGTATGTATTAAACTAATTCAAGTCATTTTATTTTAACTATTTTTTTTTTTTTTTTTTTTTTTTTTTTTTTTTTTTTTTTTTGCTTTATCTCCCTATTTTAGAATCTATGGTCATCGAGTATTAATAATATGCATATCAACGTCACAGATAATAAGGATTATTCTTCTCCTCTTATTATTAACAATAATATCTTTTCCCCTTCTCCATTAAATTATTGTAAGTCTTATTTTTTTTATGTGTGTTCCCTCTTTTTTTTTTCTTTTTGTTCTTAATCTATATATTCAGATAAAAATCAAGAAATGGCCACTACTACAACTACAACTACTACTACAACTACAACTACTACTACTACAACTACCACAACTAATACTAATGCTAATGCTAATGTTAATATCACTAATACTACCGCGAATACATTAAATGATGATTTGAGTGTAATAACAATGAAACTCTCTGATATAACACGGAATATACAACAATCTCAACTTGATTCTTCTCTTTCAACTAGTCTTTCATCAACAACAACAGCTATCGATCGACCTCTTTCTATCCTTTGTTCAACTACAAATTCACTTTTAGAATCTCGTTTCGAGTACTTTACAGATGATGAATGGCATGATGCTTATCTAAAATTAATGTCAACGCTTATACAATGCTCAGAGGATCTTGAGATGATGTCTCTTGAACTTCTTAAACTAGAAAATCAAGTAACTCAACTCAAGATAATCGAAAGTGCCATGTTGGATGAATATGAGGAACACGAAAGGATCTATAAATCTCGACTAGAAGAATGTGAGGAAATTTCGAGGCAACAAATAGAACTTATACAACGTCTTATAGATTTGGATAAGGATCTAATCACGAATGATGTAATAGAAAGGACAAGTTATTCAGTTAATAAAGATGGGGTTCTACTGGTAGCACCTACTAAAAGTTTAACATCTATTTGTCATCATCAAAGCTTTTTTCATCGTCAAGAGGCAATGGTAGATAATGTGATGGCCTTAAGATGGGAAGCTGGACTTTGGTTAAATAGTAGACGTCGAGGACAAGTTTTACATCGTTTTGAAGGGGCCTTAAATAGTTTAGAATTAATCATTGCTGGATCGGGGCTTATTGTTACTCCTACATTTACGCTAGAAGATGTAAGTTCCATTCATTGCTCTTTTTCTTTTTCTTTTTTTTTTCTTTTTTTAAACTATTGTTTGTCTCTCTCTCTCTGTGTGTGTGTTTATGTGTGTGTGTGTGTGTGTATTTTTTTTTCTTTTCTTAGTCATTTATACAGTCCAGGATAATAAAACATATACGGCTTCATAGACATCATTATGTACTTCATATTAATAGACATGATCGTGAAACAAAGTTCAGACTACTATCTAAAATACAATGGACACCTGATGAACAAATAAATCAATGTCAATTCAGGTTATGTACAGTTCAATTTAATTTATTTCAAAGAAAACATCATTGCAGAAGGTATTCTTGTGTAAGCCTTTTTTTTTTTTTTTTCCTCGGATTAAATGACTTATTTTCTTTGTAGATGTGGGCATATTGTTTGTCAAAGACATAGTTTAAATCAACTTCCTTTATTTTCATCTCCTGATGATAAGAAAGAAAAATGGTATCGAGTCTGTGATGCTTGTTTTCAAGACTTAATTATTTCATAATACCCCTCCCCGCCCCGCCCTGCCTTCATTAATATATAGTGTACATAGAGTGTAAATAAATTATTATTATTATTATTACTATATTTCATAATACTTTAAATTCTTCTTCTTGTAAACTACTGCGAGAAGATGGGCAATGTTGTTCGACTTTCTGTAACATATTTGTCGTGCAAACTGCTACAATATCATTTTGTAGATTAGCTAACTCTTCATCCATCGGTGGTATATTGATATCTAAAAAAGTCAAGGTATGATTCATTTTAATGGAAATTGAAAGTGCTAAAAGTCCTGCTATATCAATCTTGGGATTCTTGGATAGATCAAGTCTAGTCAATACTGTATTCTCTGGTAAGACCTCAGCTAATGCGATCACTGAACTTGACTCTAATTGTGTTGCGGATAAATTTAGACTTTCTAAACTTGAATTATGCATCAATAAAGCACTTTTTAAGGCGAAAATCTATTATTTAACAAAACGGATATTAAGAGTTATTTACATTAGAAAAGAAGTAGTTATAGAAAGAAGGTATTCTTACACCTTCGTCTGTCTCTCCTCCTAAGGGGTTATTCGACAAGTCCAATGATTTTAAATACTCATTTTCTTTTAATGCATTCGATAAATGAACCAAGCCTTCAAAATTAATTTTACAGTTGGATAAACAAAGATGCGTTAAGGTATGATTGATGATTAAACTGCTGGCCAATGAACTCATATGCAACTGATAATTGTTTGATAAATCCAATCTTTCTAGTTTCATCTGGGAGGTTAAAAGTTGAGACAGCCATTGATGATGATGATTGGATTGTATATTACATAATGATAAAGATATTAATGAGTTATTATCCGAAATTCCTTTTACAAAAACGGCTTCAACAGTCGAATTTAATGCACATTTATTCATTTCCACATGTCTTAAATTAGTTGCATAACGTAGCCCCTGTGATAAATATTCCATTGATCTTTTGTCAATTGTACATTGTGACAAATCTATTGACTGAATCGTTTTAGACTATAAAATAACAAATGTGAGTTTATTTATTTACTTATTTTCCATCCTATCTTTTTCTTTACTTGTTTAATAAATATTGCAATATATTTAAAGCCCTTCATTTTTATCGACTCATTTTTTGAAAGATTGAGATGTTCGATCGTATTACTCACTAATAAACTAGATAATAAAATACGAACAGTCTAATTACGAATAAGGACAAGGAATCTCACTTTATATACAAATATATATGTATATATATATATATACAATATGCTTTTTACCTCATCTTCTAATTTACAATTCGATACATTTAAACTAGTTAATCCAAACTTCAACATGAATATACTAGATAATGGATTTGCTTGATGTACAGTAATAGGCTGTTTTGACAAGTTAATTGATTGTAAATCTTCATTTCTAAGTTTTTTTTTTTAAAAAAAAAGAAAACAAAAACAAAAAAAGGGGGGGGGAGGACATGAAAGTTATTATTTCCTTCTTTTTCTTTTGTTCTCATCATGCAAGATTTACCTTTTAGCATGCTTTAATATCATTTGAAAGCGTTCTAGAATTCCTTCTTCTGCTTGAATACAAGCATGTTCATAATGATTTACTAATCTCACTGGCGTTATTTCCTCCGTTGGCATATTTCCTTTCTGCTTTTGATGTTCAAACGACTCATCCCTGGGTGAATCGTCTGTAAAGAAACAATGTTCTGTTGTTAGATTGCCTACTGAAAACGTTACTCGTTTTAAATCTTGTTTAGCAAGTAATAGAGGATTGTTATCATGATGAAGACTGTGATTGCTGTTGTAGAGTTTAGACTGTAGTCGAGATAGCCAAGATTGAGGCTGTTGTTGTTGCTGTAAGGGAAATGAGTTGTTTGCTTCGGGCTTATATTTTAGAATACTTTTGGTTGGTTTGTTCATAATTTGAAAAGGAAATAAATAAATAAAAATGAATGAAAAAAATTCTTTCTTTTTTTTTTTTTGCATTTATAAATAAATATATACATGTATACATTTATAACTAACTTGTGATATGTATTGTAGTAAAGTAATAATGATGCTTTTTCCCTCTTAAATAATTATACATTTATTTGTTTCTTTCCCTTAATAAACTACCAAAAAAAAAAAAAAATAGATGTTCATATATTTATTAAATTAAAAGTTCATGAGCGTGATTGTGTACACGAAAAGTATGAGGAAGTAAATTATTAATTACAGAAGCAGGAGTCCTTCCAGGCTCTTGAGGAAAGAAATAAAACCATAAAAAGGTAATTATGAAACAAACAACGATATACTGAATCCAGTTTGATTCCATCTTTGTCTTTTCTTGACTATAAGATACCTTTTGACCTCCTTCTATCTTTCTCATCAAGGGAGTCTTACCAAAACTTTCACACACTTGATCTGAGGTAAGCTTACTACCTGCTAAGACGATAGGGACACCTGTGCCTGGATGTGTACTAGCTCCTACAAAGAATAAATTATCATAACGACCCGTTGAATCCTTGGTGCTGGGTCGGAACCAAAGGACTTGAAAGATGTCATGTGAAAGTCCTAGAATGGATCCCTTCCACAAGTTAAACTTGGATTGCCAAACACTGGGGTCATTGACGATTTCATTTTCAATGAGTTGATCAAAATGAGTGATACCTAGACGTCGCTCAATCACTTCTAGAACCATGCTACGAGCTCGCTTTACCAAGCTAGCATAGTCTTCATCAGGTATACCCGTCTTGCTTTTACTGTGACCGATGGGTACTAAAACGATGATCGAATCTTTACCTTCAGGTGCTGCTGATGGATCAATACGGGAGGGTACATTCACATAAAAGGATGCCTCAGAGGGGAGGTTAAAGTCATTAAAGATTTCATCGAAACTTTCCTTGTAGGATTCGGCCAAGAAAATGTTGTGTACATCGAGCTGTGTTACCTTGGTCGACATGGACCAATAAAAGGAGATAGAGGAAGAGGTCAGTTTTTTAGAGGCAAGTGATTTTTGAGTCCAACTACAGGAAGGTAAAAGACGGTGATAGGCATAAACTAGATCAGCATTACAAACAACTGCATCTGCTTCAATGACTTGACCCGATTCAAGTGTGATACCTGTAACACGTTTATTGGCATCATCCGTGTTAATCTTTGCTACAGGACAATTATAAAGAAATTCTGCACCATATTTGTCATGGGCAATGGTTTCTAATTTCTGAACAACCATATTAAATCCACCCCGAGGATACCAAATACCTTCAGCGAATTCTGTATATTGTAACAAACTATAAACTGCTGGAGCATCATATGGAGACATACTACATGGAATAAATAAATATATTAGTTTTTTTTTTTCTTCTTTTTTAAAAAAAAATCAATTAGAAACTATATTATTTTATATATATATATTTACCCCATATACATGGTCTGAAATGTAAAAGCCATTCTCATCTTTTTTGTCATAAAATATTTGGAAGCTCTTTCGTAAATCTTGTCAAACAGGTGCAATCGAAAGATCTCCGGAGCATACTTGAGACGAATTAAATCCCAGATGGTCTCAAAGTTACGTTTAATAGCAATACAAGTACCTGTTTCATAATGAATATGTGTTTCCTTCATAAAATCTAGAAATCGACCAAATCCAGATGGTCCTTCGATACGATCTAATTCTGCTTTCATTCGGGTCAAATCAGACGAAAGTTGAATGGCCTCACCATCATCAAAATGAACCTTATAATTATTATCACACCGTAAGAGTTCGAGATGATCTTCAATACGTTCATCGAGGTCAGCAAAGGCATCTTCAAATAGCTTGGGCATTAAATAAAGAGAGGGTCCTTGATCAAAGCGATATCCGTTATGATGAATCAATGAACAACGTCCACCTGAGAAGTCATTTTTCTCTATTACTGTTACCTTGAAGCCCTCACGAGCGAGACGTGCAGCCGTTGCTGTACCGCCAACACCAGCACCAATAATTACTATATGTTTTTTATTTGACATCCTCCCTTTTTTTATTTTCTTAAAAAAAAACAACAACGAAAAGAAAAGATGGAAAAAGTAATATTATAAATACATATATTTATATATAAATGCATTCTTGTCGAGTGACATAAGTAAAGTTTCTATTTTCATCCAAAGAAGTTTAATTCTCCTTAAAAAAAAAAAAAAGAAAGTATTTTATTCTTTCTTGTCAAAAAGGGTATACAAAAACTAAGCAATAGAAAGAAATAGTACATGTGTGAGAGGGGATAGGATAACACTTGTAAATATATTTCAATTTCTTTATACTTTTTTTTCCCTTTCTTTTTTCTTTTTTTTTCTTTTTTTTGCAGAAATTTCTTTGTTGATTTATTTCAAGGGAGAAAGGACCTATAAGCCAATTAGAAATTGAATAGACAATTTTCCCTCACTATGGACATATCGTATTGCTTCTCCTTCTTCGCAATGAACAAAGAAATGCTAAATCAACTAGTTAAAATAAGGGGAATTTATATTTCATGTGTGTACCTTTAATCTTGCTAAAATATGTATCTATAACAATAATTTGATTATATTTCTTTTCTTTTTTTTTTTTTTTTTTTTTTTTTTTTTTTTTTTTTTTTTTTTTTTTTTTTTTTAAGAAAAAAAGGAATTAACACTTTAAAGATACTATTTTATTATTATTATTTTTAACATATAATTCATCCGAATGTTATTTATATAAATTGTTGAACTTTTATTTTTTTATTTTTTTCCCTCTCTCTCTCTCACTTTATATTTTATTTTATTTTTGTATACGTATTTAAAGGAAAATGCTAACTTATATGGAAGTTCATCTGTATTACACATTACCGGTTCTCGGTTTACTCTATTGTCTATTAAAGCCATTTCATACCAATAAAGATAGTATCAAATATAAATTTTTAGTGGGCATTGCCTTTAGTACAGCTTCTATATGGGATAATTATATCGTTTATCATCGTGCATGGTCTTATTGCTCTACTTGTGTTACAGCTGTCATTGGCCATGTCCCTTTAGAAGAATATATGTTTTTCATCATCATGACGTTAATGACAGTTGCCTTTACAAATCTAGTGATGCGATGGCAGTTACCTAGTTTTTATATCAAGCCTAATACCCCTCTTATTCAAACACTCTTTGTTCGTTTTGTTCCAATTCTTGCTCTTTTAACTATTTCATACAAAGCTTGGGTAACCCAAAAAAAAAAAAATCGATTTGCTAAAATAATAATAATCATGAATATTTTTTTTTTTTTTTTTTGAAATCTATATAATAAAGAATTTAGCAATCCCCAACAAACCTCTATTTTATGGATCGTGTATTCTTTGGTACACATGCCCTGTGTTAGCTTGGCTTTGGTATACGGGAGGTGAATACATGTTACGTCGTCCTATGGCTGTTCTTATCTCTATCTGGGTTCCTACTGTTTATTTATGCTGGGTCGATCAAATAGCTATTCATGCTGGTACATGGGCTATCTCATTACGCACAAGTACTGGAAAATTCGCTAGACCTGATTTACCAGTTGAAGAATTTGCTTTCTTCTTACTCATCAATACCGTCTTGGTCTTTGCTAGTTGTTCACTGGATCGTGCCTTTGCCATTCTTCATCTCTTTAAAGAGAATAAACAACATGGTCAGCTAACTTCTTATACCTTCTCAGACCTCATGTGGGCCTCTTGTATACCAGATCAACTCCTTCACAAGGCCACCCTTCAAGACTTACTTACAAGCTGGAGTATCTTGCGTAAGGCATCCAAATCATTTTATACTGCCTCTGTTGTATTCCCCTCTGATGTACGTCAAGATTTAGGCATTCTCTATGGCTTTTGTCGTGCTACAGATGACCTCTGTGACAATGAGGATATCTCGGTTGACAAGCGTAAGACACAATTGGAACTGACTTATCAATTTATAGGTGAATTGTTTGATCAAAAATTAAGTTCGCCTCATTGCATTCGATGGGATCTCTACTATCAAGCTCTGCCGATCGATTGTCTTGCTGCCTTTCGATCTTTTACACGACTTCGTCATGTGTTACAAGTAGAAGCCGTTCGTGAACTCTTGGATGGTTATCAATGGGATCTTGAACGTCGAACGATCCAAGATGAAGATGATCTCAAGCGTTACTCTGCCTGCGTAGCAAGTAGTGTAGGTGAAATGTGTACTCGAATTATACTGTCTCATGAAAGACGTGATGGGTTGACGAAACCGGAGGTCGATTGGACAATTGATAAGGCTCGTGAAATGGGTTTAGTGTTACAATACACAAATATTGCAAGAGATATCGTGACAGATAGTCAAGAATTAGGACGCTGCTATTTACCCAAGAATTGGTTACAGCCTCAAGAATTAGATCTTATCTCACAAGGTCGAGCAAAGGAATTAGGTGATAAACGATTATCAGGACTTTCATTGAGACTTATCAAGAAAGCGGATCATTTGATGTCGAGCGCCATAAACGGTATCGCTAAATTGCCTTCTCATTCTCAGGGAGGTGTACGTGCTGCCTGTAATGTCTATACAGCGATTGGAGCTGTACTTAAAGATCATCATCAACATCGTCATTACCCTACACGAGCTTATGTATCTAAACTGAATCGTGCCAGAATTGCATTACTTAGTGTTTACAATTTATACTCTCATGGTGAAAAACCCGCAACGAATTCGATCATAAAAGGAAAAATTAGAAGCTTTATGGTTGAATAAAGTTACATGAAATCATTTAGAAGAAATTATCATAAATAAAATATGATTGGATATAATTAGCATTTCTTAATGTTCTTTTTATTATGAATAAAAATAAATAAATGATTAAATAAAATCTAGCCCTTTTTTCCTTTTCATTCTTTTTTCCTCGTATATAGGATGAATAAACAATATCCAAGATTACCTTCCATATCGACACTTTTAACAGGCCCTCCTCCACCTATGATGATAATGATGGATAAAACATTGCCTGAAACAGTAGTAGTATCACCTCTATTATCACCTGTAGATTCATACGCTTCTTCTTCTCCACCACCACCAAGTTCGTTACATTCACCTACTCTTACTTCTTCATCATCTCATGACCTTTCGCTACCAAAGAAATCACAACCACATCCTCATGCATGGCCTACTTTATTACCTCGACCACCGAAAAGGGTACGTGAACAACAGTCGATAGAGGACGATCCGTATCCTCCTTTACCACCCATGACACAAATTATTTTGTCAGAATCTGGAGAACCGATTTTAAAACGTAGAAGAGGACGTCCACCGATCATGACGGAGGGGAATAGAATCTGTACTTTCTTGACACCTACTGTCTGGGATGTCAAACATCATCACATATCACCTCTACTTCAGACGTCATCATCTTCTCATCATGTTAATTCCAAAAGGAACAATAACAATACTATGATAATGACCTTTAAAACAGCAGCAGCAACAGCAGCAGCAACAACAACAACTACTACTACTACTACATCATCGCCACACTCCAATTTGAAAATAGAAGCGTCTACTACACCACCACTTAAAAAACGAGGTCGTAAATCCAAGCACCAAATGAAAGGGAATTCATGTTTTTCATGGAAAGATTTGGCTACCACTAAATAAATATATTTTATTGTTCAATGATCTTTCTTTCCTTCTCCTCTTCCCCCCCTTCCTTTTCCTGATTTATTAGATAATAATAATTTTATAACCCCGGATAATTTTCACCCTCCCAATTTTTTTTTTTTTTTTAACAACAACAACAACAAAAAATGTCAATAAAAAGTTTACCATTTCGACTACTTCAAAGACGAGCTTATACAGCATTAAGTTATCACAAATATTCAATCCAATCCTCAACTGACTCACCCATTCTAATTTGTCATGGTTTATTTGGTTCAAAGCAGAATTGGTCATCACTGGGAAAGGCCCTAAGTAGTCGACTTCATCGAGATGTGTATACGATTGTAAGTAAGCCGTTCATATATATATATATATACATATTTGTATGTATAAAGGTTATCACTCACTCATATTAGGATCTTCGTAATCATGGAGCTAGTCCTCATCATCCTGTACATACTTATAAAGCCATGGCAGAAGATGTTATTCAATTTATGCAAAGTCAACAATTACATGACCCCATCTTGATTGGACACTCCATGGGTGGCAAAGTGATCATGGCTACTGCTTTACAACATGCAAATCAAGTTTCCAAAGTGATTTCAGTCGATATGCCGCCTGTAGCCATCCAACTTGCCTCTGATTTTGAAAGATATATAAAGGCCATGAAAGCTGTAGAGGAGGCACGACCGAAACGGCAAATGGAGGCAGACGAGATCCTGAAGGAGTTTGTACCCGACATCGATATTCGTATGTTTTTATTAACAAACCTGAAACGTGATCCTCACGATAAAGAAGGTGTGATGCGCTTTCGTATTCCATATGACATCTTGGGTCAATCATTAGGGGAAATCAGTGGCTTTGACGTCATCCTAAAGGACGAAGGTGGTCATTATGAAGGTCCTACTTTGTTTATTGCTGGTGGAAATAGTCCTTATTTAAAACCCTTTACAGAAAAAGAAAGTGAAATTAAAGCCTTGTTTCCAAACTCAAAGTTAGACATTATAGAAAATGCAGGTCATTGGGGTAAAATCTTGATAAAGAATCATCATCATCATCATTATAATAATAAAAAAAAAAAAAAAAAAAACTTATTCCATTTTCTTAATAGTTCATGCAGAAAAGCCTGAACAAGTTTTGAGCTCCATCATATCATTTATTAAAGAATAAGCAATACAAATGATTGGTTGATTTCAAGAAAAAAAAAATAATAGTAGTAGTGGTAGTAGTAATAATAGTAGTCGTAATGGTAGTAATGGTAGGCCTAGCTTCTCTATTTAACTAATAACCTAGAAACTAATAGTAATACTTATAATAATAAAAGTATTAAATAAGCTTTTCTACTAAGTTTAGTTGCAGAATTATCTACAAAAAAAAAATCTCTTATTCTTCATCATCTCCTCTTTTTATGTTCTTGCAGCTTTCATTTTTTTTTTTGATACTGTTTTAATATCTTTCTAGACTACTACAATGCCTGGTATTTTGTTGCTCTTTATTTTTAAAGTAAATGAAAGTGAGTTTTTTGTTGTTGTCGTATCTCAACTCTATATTCTTCATAACACCATTGTTTCTCATCAACATGGGAATTGTCTTGAGGTTTTTACTCTATTATCATGATTAAGAATACAGCATAGAGTGGCTTCGCAATAGTGTATAAATCGTAAAATGATCTAGACAGGCATCAAGATATATATTATATATTTTAGTTGAACCATTCCCCCCCCTTATCACGGTCTGAAAATAATAGACACGCTTTATTATTATTTATCTGCCATGTATTAATTCTCTTCAGGGAAAAAAAAAATTTTTTTATAAGCTTTTTTTCTCAGTTTCACAAAAGCTATATTATCAATAAAAGTTCATGATAATAAATCATTATGCAGCACGCACAGTAAATAATATTAAAAATAGCTTTTTTTTCACAAGGTTGACCAATCATTAAAAAAAAAGGCAAACATATTAAGGTAGATGGCAAAAAAAGAAGGACAACTTTATTTGTGATTGCATAAAATTATGGAATTATTACAAAAAAAAAAGAAGTGGGAGGGAACTTGTATTATTATTTGACCAAAATTGAAGTTATTTTTACAAATTCAAGAATTTTCCCAAGATAAGACTTCATCCCTCCCTTAATATTTTTTTCTAAAAAAAAAAGAGAGAAAAAAAAACCACCAAATTTCTGCATAAAAAAAAAAACTCTGAAATCCATCCAACACACTCCGGAGAATTAGTAAGATAAAAAAAAGAGAAAATAGAAGCACTTGATGCTATGATGACTACTACTTCAGCTTTGCAAAGCCCTGAGCGAGAAATAAAAAAAATCAAACAAAAATGCAAGTCGACAAACAAATCGAATAAACAAAATAAAAAAGGTGAGGTAATAAAGTGCAGAAGATACTCGAAAATCGGAATAGGATCAAACACAAAGAAGGGAAAAAAAACACTTCAAATAGAAAATCACCCAATTGCTTTTCTGGAGAGAAAACTTTTTTGGGGACCTCTAGAGAGAGAGAAAAAAAAAATACGTCAGAATACTGAACAAATAAAAAATTTGACTCCCTGATTGATGTGAGTAGCTCTGTTCTGTTCTAACGAAAAGGTTAACATGTTCAGTAACAATTGTGAATAATACTGCCCTATTTCATAGAAGGGATTATCACATTCATGTCTTGAGGATCATTGAAAGCTTGAAACAGAACAAGTTGTGTATTGAATTTAACACCAAAAATTGCATTTCGAGACTAGACTAAACCTGTTGACGAGTAAGGAAATTGTTGATGAAAAGACGAACGAAGGGTGGGAGGGAGAAAAAAAAATAAAAAAAGAAAATAGATCAATTCCAACATGTTTCTTCTTAAATTTTACTTAGCGTCCACAAAAATAAAACTGTTCTTCACCGAAATATTCTTGAAACCATTTCATTCTTGTTCATTTTTTTTTTTACTGCGGCAGCAAAAGAAAAAAGAAAACGTTCTAATTAATTTGATATCACCAGAGTTCACAAAACCTAAGTTGGCCTAAGAAGAGTAACAATTTTTTTTTGTCTTTTGCTCTCAAAAGAGCAAAGATCGGATTGGGAGAGCAACAAGCAAATGAATTCGAAAACAAAAAAAAGATATTAAACTTATCAACCATTCATTCGAGAAAAGAGGCTTCCACTAAATTGTGTCCATTTAAGCAAAATATTGCGTATAAACTATTATTTTTAAACATGAGTGACTTTATCAATTATAAATAACAGAATGTATAATTATTACATACTCATCACTAGTTGTGTAGCATATTCTTGAGTTACTTAATAACAATCTTTTCTAGTTGAACCAAACTATGATTATATAGGCTTTTTTTTTTATAAAAAAGAAATGGGAGTTCGGAAATGCATATTGCAGCACTTGTTGTGTTAATGAATTATGTGTTTGTTGAATTAAAGTATACCAAAAGTAGTGTACAAAGCGTAACCAAAGGTAAAAAAGGAAGTTGACAACACTATTGTAAGTAAAAATAAATAAGTAAAACTAAATAAAATAAAAAAGACAAAGAAAGAATGAAAGAAAAATCAGTTATTGTTCTTTATTTATAATTTTAAAATAAAACCTGGTGATTTTAATCATGAACCAACCGGAAGCATTGCATTAATTATTACTGAATTGGGTAAGACGAGTGTTTCTAACTATAGATTTTGATTGGATAAAACAAAAATTGTGCATTTATATTTTATCATAAAATGCGGCATAATTGTTAAAAGGATTCTAACTATAATCAAGTGTTTACCAATTAAATAATTTGATACTAATATTTAAAACCAAAGAGGAAGAAAAAAAAGGTTTGATAATAATAATAGCACTATTTTTTTTTCTTCTTGGTGTAATCATCAATAATCTTATTTTATTTTTATATTCTAAATGAAGCTGGAAAATATTGGTTAATTTAGAAATTTAAATAGTGATAGTAGTAAAAAAAATAATTTGGCGCTTGTTAAAAAAAATTGTTGCCGAAAAGCTGAAAAATGATTGGCCATTTTAAAAAAGTTGTTTTGAGCACTTGAAGTTTATCAGCGATTCTTAAGAATAAAGTACCTTTAGCCATTAGATTCTTCCTCTTTGCAAGAACCCAAAAATTTTCAATTGAATTCAGTTTTGGAAAATATAGAGTTAAATACGTGAGTCTATAGCCTCTGACCTTGCGCCCTTGATTAAACTCATCGTTTTAAAAAAAAAAAAACTATTATTGTAGACTGATACGCATAGTTAATTTGAACAAGTATGGAGAGAGGTATGTATAAGAAAATATATATTAACAGTTTTATTGAAGCCTTTATTAATGGTGTTTAGAGTCTGATCAGTCTTCACAATTCAATTATATCTTTGAGATGTATATATAAGTGTAAACAAAAAATTTCGCACATGTTCTAATAAACTATGTCTATCGATAATGGGCTTATATAACTGGAACATGCAGATCAAGGGTTTTATTATAAAACCAGCTTTATTCTAATTGTTAATAAGATATTGATAAGAGTTCATGTTAAAGTTTATTTACCTGGCTTTGGTTGATAAATTGATAGTTATTGATAAATGCAAAGAAAAACATAATAGTAATGATAAATATATATGTGTTGGGATCTATCAAAAAAAAAAAAGTAGTTTGCATATGACTATATAAATCAGTGTTTATCTCTCTCTCTCTTCTCTTTCTTATTCCTTTGCATTTGTTCCTCAATTATACAATAAACTAGCAAAGTAATTCTCTTTTTTTTTTTAATACTCCATCCAAAAATCCTGAAAGCAAGTAGCCGACAAACGTGTCATAGCGGTAAAGACAACTGTAAAGAACATTTGGAAGCCGGCATATATCAAGCCAATACAAGATCTAGTAGATATTACTAATACAATTGTCACTCCCACTTTTGCCTTTATCAAGTATATCTTTGTAAGTGAGTTGGTGAAAAATATCGAATTTGACTTGAAAAGCTATGTCAACAAGAGTTTTTTTGTTGAAGTATTCTTGAGTCTTACCCTGAGACGAGTGCATGATGGTACCAAATCTGAAAAAAAAAAAACACGCCTCAAAGAAACAACGAAATTATATAGACAATTGATTGCCAAACACAAAGGCTTATATTGCTAAAAAAAAATGCCGGCTATATTCCATCTAAACTAGCATATGCGCAACAAATTGCTTTGTACGAATGTACGAAAATTGAAACCGCCTATTACCATAATATCAAAGCCTATTTTGGAGATAGGCTCCACGAAATGCTAAACAAACTTTGCAAAAAAGAAAGAAAAATCAAATGCTCTTCAAGAAAGAATAACGACAGAAGGATATAGCGCAAAAGCCATACAAGCAGCTGTCCGTAAAGAGGTCTTTACTCCCTGCACCCAAGTAAAACTTGCTGTGGCGAAAAAAAAAAGAAATGCCCAATTCTGACATCTTGGATGAAAAGTCAATATCAGAAATAGAAATTCTATTCTCCATGTATCCTACAAACTACAGATTCCATAAAGATTCAATTTTCTACGATGTGCTGGCTCGACCAGTAAATCACTTCAAGGCGTTTTTATAGACTTGCACAACTTGTTGAATCAGAGAAGTTGAAAGAATTCATTTGCTTTCCTATACAAAGCACATTTATTCCCACATATATGACAGTGGATAGTAAGATCGTTCACTTCCATATTCTCAAAAACAAGAAGCCTGCGAAGGATAAAATTAAAACCTGGGCTCAAGTGGCTGATTTGAAAAAAAAAAGGCTTTTAAAGAACAAGGATTAAATAAGTCTCTTCATTTTGAAGGATGACGTGATATTTTATACTGTATGAAAGAAACCAGTGTGGTCAAGCACAAGAAAGTTCTTGTTTTTACAAAAAATGACAGATCAAGAAGATCAAGTCACTTTAGAACTTTACGAAAGTCAACTAAACCGTCCATGGTTGAATCCGCTGAAGCTCTTCTTTCCAAAACCCCGTCATCCACTGTAGATGTAGTCAAATTTGTAGATTACATCAAGACAAGATTATCGGTGGGAAACGTATTAAACCAATACTATGGAAATGAAACAAAATCATCCAAAGATCTTTACTTTCCCGGCTCCTTGTTTGACTTTCGTGTGGATGAGAAAAGCAACTTGTATTTGGACATTTATTCATCTTAAATATTCGAGGCATCGTTTCTTCTCCTGATACTCGAACGCAATCTCAACTGTACCATACGTACTTGCAGCTAATGTTGCAGCAACGACATATCTCAGAGAGATTGGACGATAGAGTCAAAAATAGGGTGCTTGAACTTGTAGAGAAGATGATCGCGGATGAAGAAGTCAATCTGAAACAACATATCAGTGAATTGTTGGAGAAACTTCAAGTTTTGCCATTCCGAAAGCTGAAGTTTTCATCCAAAATTTTCTATGATCAAAATGACCAGATGTTAGTGAAGAGGTTGAAAAAGAAGTATGGTTATGATACGATTCTTGTTATTGGTAATTGGTCGGCTTCAAGCACAAAATATCACGAGCCAACCAGGAACAAAGGTCTCATTCGAATGCTGAAGAAAAACCGCTTCCAAGTAAAGTATTCAAGATTGACGAATATAAGACTTCTTCATGCTGCCCAACCTGTGAAAGTTCATTAGAAACGTTTAAAACAGTCGCCAACCCTCGCCCCCATAAGAGAGCAGCCAAAATGCCAACTGTAAAATGTCATGGCCTATTGAGGTAAAGTAACAGTATGAATTGTATTAATACGACAGAGAATGATAATAATTACTGAACCATTAGATGTAAAAATCGTAACTGTCTGTTGGCCAACCTTGAACAAGTCAAGGAAATTCCACGAAAGCTGTGGAATCGAGATATGGCAGCTGTTTTAAACTTTCGAAAGATCTTGATGAGCTTGAGAGAGACAGGTAAACTCCCTGATGCTTTTAACAGAAAAGAAGCGTCAAAACCAGAATGAAGGAAACAATAGTAAATCTTCTCCAAAGTTATCGTTTTAGTTATTTAATGCAGGTATGTTGCTCTGAGCTTACTTAAAAATATTGGTGAGCCAATCATTTTTTGGTTTTTCGCCAATACTTTTTTTAGTAAGCACTAAATTATTTTGTTATTATCATCATAAATTAACCAATATTTCCCAGCTTCGCTGTATTCTAAATGAAAGCTACTACTAATAATTATTAATGTATTGTCTTGAATGGTCTTCTTCTACTACTACTACTACTATTGAATGATGACGTAATACACTTTTCTACCAATTAAATCTCATAAACAGGAATATAGGTTATTTCTCTATAATATTACTATTCTCAGAAGAAGAAAATGTATCTAAATCACTTGAATACTTGCAAGTAACAGAAAAACACATATATAATAGTAATTATCTTTTATTTATCAGCTTTATAGAATTCAGCTTTTATCATCTTGAGATATAAGGGCCTTTTCTAGTTTAATTAGTAATATTCTCTTGTTGATTCTTAATACTATAACAACTTGGTATATTAAAATATTACTTATTATAGTCGTTATTGTAAAATTAGTGTACATCATTTAGACTACATTCAATCATGACTGCTGCTTTTTATTATTATTATTATTATTATTATTAAACTATGGTTTCTTTCTTTTTTTCCTTTTGTGTGACTTTTATTTCAAATCTTTTAAATTCGAAAGCTGCTGTAGCATCAAATGCAATATCATAAATGATTAAAGACCATTCAAATAAAGCATAGATTGTATAAGCTATATTTATATGTATTATAAAGAAGAGATATGATTAGTAGCTGTTCAATCATGATTGTTGACTCTATATAATAATACCTCCTGGAATATGATTCACTTTATGTTGAATATAGAAATAAATCATAAAGGGTAAAGTACCAAAGAATGCCATTGTCAAATAACGTCTTCTTTTTAAAGCAGTCGGATATAATTTAGCATCTGTTGTATAGAGTACGCCTAATTGCCAAGGTAAAGTACATAGGAGATAAATAATCATAGCGATATCATGAATAGAATGATCATCCGTTGAAGTAATATACACCCAACCCCCACAAGCCACAGTACGAATTAATCCAATTCCTAATAAAATTTCACTCAATCCAGCTTTTGTTATTCGTGTATGTTGATAAAGGTAATTTAATCCAATGAGTGCAAACCGTGGACCGGATGTAAGGGCTATCAAGATTTGAAAAATAGCACGAGCTGGATATCTATCACCTATTGTAGCACTTACACTTGGAAACCATTCCTGTTATTATTATTATACAGCTACTTTAATTGGTTGAACTACTATTATTATTGCTATTTTTTATAAATTACTTGAGGAAATCCAAAATATTCATTTTCAACTATTTTATCATAATGTGTATAGCAGCCAATGATTAAGGCTATAAAAAATGCACCTATTTATAATATAATAATGATATATAACCTAATAATAGATTTGTATTTTTTTTTTTTTTTTATACATGTATACAAATATATTTACTGTAGGCAAATAAGGTATGTGCATATATAATATACTTTGCAGGAATCTAATTTTATTTATTTATTTATTAACTTGAAGAAAACAATATACAATTATATTTAAGCCTAATTATGACAAAGTATACCTTTACTAATGCATCATTATACATTGACATTCTTTTTTTTTTTTTTTTTTTTGAAATGAATACAATAAAATATTTTTTTTTTTAAAAAAAAAGAATATTCTAAAAAAAAGGAAAAGAGGAGTGTAAATAAAATTGTATCCAATCATATCTTGAGGAAAAGAATAAACCAAATAAAAAAAAAAGGTACATCTTTGTAATAAGTTGAATAGAAAAAAATGAATGAATTGGATGAATAGGCCCTTTCATATATATGAAGCTAGCTTAATTATAATTAGTATTAATAAAAGATTATTTTTCTGTATCTAAAGACCCTATTCTAATAAAAATAGAAAGGAAATGGATTATGTAGTCTTGCCATATTTAGTAATCATTATAACATGCCATTATTATGTAGATAAATATAAATATATAGATGTAGATATATTTATATATGTGTATGTGTATGTGTATGCCTATGCCTATACCTATACCTATGCCTATGTGTATCTATCTATCTATCTATTTCTATAGTTTTAATATCATAATGAAAGAAAGAAAAAAAGAATAGTAATTAACAGGTAGTATATATTTCAATGATAGTAATACTCAATTCTTATACATGTTCTTTATGTAATCATAAGAGTCTGATGATGACATATATGCAAAATAATATTATCTACAATAAGATCTGAAACAATGCCATACTCATCATAATAAATGGCACTTGTTGGAGATACAAAATAATATGAATATTTCACCTATTTATTATCAACTTCTGTAACACGTAGAATAACTTTATTTTGTTAGTAATTAAAGTAAAGAAAAGAAAAGGATATACAAACAGCAGTAAAAAAAAAAAAATAGAAAATAAAATAAAATTAGAGAGATTTTGATGAGTCACTTATGCATGCATGCATACATGTATGTATGTATTCAATCATTTTAAAATATAGCATCTTAATGTGACAATGATAAATTTATCAACGATCCCTTGTCACACTCTGTACCTTAAAAAAAAACATCTAATCTGAGTTCAAAAAATATGACGTGTAAAACAAAGGATCTTTTATCTTGTAGCTGTATCTACCATTGATAATGAAATTGACTACATGTATTTTTCTACTTGATTGATACAAACCTTTTTTTTTTAAAAAAAATAAAAAAAAATAAAAAAAAACAACAATGACTGGCTTTTAAATATATCCATTATTACTATTATTGATTTTTACTGTTTCGAATCATTAATTTGCTTATTAAATAATTCGCTATTATTTTTATCTTATTCTTTTTTTTTTTTTTTTTTTTTTTTTCAAAATAATAATAATAATAATAATAGTAATGGATTACAGCAAGAAATTAAAGCCACTCGAAGCATATGATATTTCTACTAAAACTGGCTTCTTACCTTCTACTCCACCTTTGCGTAGACTATCAAACCCTTATTTTGAACCTTGGGAGTCTATGATGGATGATGTGAATGGTTTACTTTTGGCTGGAAAATTAAGAGAAAAAATTCATAAAGTAAATTTTACTTATTTATTATCCCTGTCTATTTAGACATACACACACACACACACACACACATACACATACACATACACACATACACATACACTCACTCATAAAAAATTAAACACTATTCAAAGTTACCTTTATTAGATTATACACTTTTAAATTCAATAGAAGAATATAGAAGAGCATTTTTGATACTTTGTATGCTATCTCACAGCTATGTTTGGGGTAAACATGAAGCTACATCAGAGGTGTGTGACTTTATTTAAATTTCCCACGAATTATTATATATGTGAACATTAACTTTTCTATAAATGTATATCCATATATGTATTTATATATATATATATATATGTGTGTAGACATTACCTGCTAATCTCGCGATTCCCTGGACTGGTATTGCAGAATATTTAGGCTTATGTCCTGTTGTTTGTCATGCAGCTGTCGTATTATGGAATTATCGTTTATTAGACTCCGATGGTCCAATCGACTTGAGGTAATGTTTTTTATAAATATTCATTTATATTTACATAGATGTGTATACATCATATATCAATAGTCTGTTATATATATATACCTATTTAACTCTATACTTTATAATAGTAATTTGGCTGCATTAGCTACTTACTCTGGTTCACTGGATGAAGCTTGGTTTTATCTTGTGACAACAGCTATTGAAGGTTCAGGTGCTCCATGTTTATTACCTATTGTCACTCTCATTGAACTCATTCAAAAGGGTGCGCCCCCCTCTGAAATTAAACCTCATTTAGACGTCATTCGAGATGCTATTGAAAAGATGAATGGAGTTCTTAAACGCATGTATGAAAAGTGTGACCCCTATGTGTTTTATTGGAAGATTCGTCCTTATTTAGCAGGTTGGGAAAATATGGCTGAAGCAGGTTTACCGTTGGGACTTATTTATGAGGGTGTGAATGATGATAGCTGGTCTACCGATGAATATGCTGACATGTCAAATGAGGCAGAGCGTTTATTGAATCAATATCGTAGATATGCTGGTGGAAGTGCTGCTCAATCCAGTTTAATTGCTGCTCTTGATGTCGCTCTTGGTGTTGAACATCATCGTACAGGCGAGAAACCTCCTTCGTTTGTCTTGAATATGAGTGATCGATATACGAGACTACCTGCTACAAATCCTGCAGATGATCTCTTACATCATCAAGTCGCTTCACCTGTTACTTCCTATAAACGTACAAATCAAAATAGTTTCTTGAGAGCCATGCGTAAATACATGCCACGTCGTCATCGTGAATTCCTGGAGGACCTTGAAGAGACGGCTAACATTCGTCCTTATATCTTACAACTGGAAGAAAATGATCGTAATGGGAACCTCTCAGAGGATGAACTCGCGGTTGTAGAGGCCTATAATGCTTGTGTACATCAACTTAAATTATTCCGTGATAAACATGTCCAGATCGTCACACTCTATATCGTAAATCAAGCTCGTAAAGGTCCTAATATCTCTCATGGTGGCTTTGCTATTGACCATCAAAAGAAGAAGATAAAATCTGAACCTGTCAAGAATGGGGTTCATAATGATCTTTATCCTCAAACTCAATTAGAAACTGCCCCCGCTATTCGAAAGGATTCTAAAACAGATAAAGTATCTCAAATGTTTCCTCAATTGGGTTTGGCAAGAACATTGGCAGCAGATACAAAGATCGTTCGTGGTACAGGCGGTACCAATGTGATGCCCTTTCTTAAACAATCACGTGATGAAACAAATGACATGAAAGTACAATTATCATTACAGCAGCAGCAACAGCAGCAACAACAACAACAACAACAACAACAACAACAACAGCAACAGCAATCAACTTCTTGGTCTGATTGGTTTTTGCGTCGTTAATAAAATTAACATTTTTTTTTTTTTTTTTTATATTCATATACATATACATATACACATAAATAATAAAAATAATCATAATCATAATTTAGTTATAAAGTTGAAAAATGATAAGAAACAGTATGTTGATTTGTATTCACGATATCTAATGGATTTGTAGATGTGAATTCAAGTCGAGAGGAAGGCTTGCTGTTTGTCATTAATTCTTCATTTAAAAGAGGATCCACACCTCTTTGTTGTGCTTGTTCATTTAATTCAATTTTAATCTTTGTATATTCAGAGACAATATCATCTCGATTTGAATTTATTGAAATGTACAAGTCAAGTAATTGTTGACAGACATCTAAACCAGGACAGATACATATGCATGCACATATAAATATACACATATACATTTATAACTATATAACTATATATAAACATGTTTTCCTTCTTCTTCTTACCTTCAATATCTTCCATGCGTGATAGAAAATGAGAATCCCAACATTCAGTCCTCGATAGACCTACACATGATTTATCTTGTTGTGTTAAAAGACGTGAAGCAAGATAGATACATCCAGCAGCAATCGTATGTGCAGGGTATTCAAGGCAAAGTGGTGTTCTATAACTGTCTACTGCTAAATTATATGCTTTCTTGGCTAATCTTTTACCATCCAAAGAAGTTTGAGAAGCTATATACATATTACATATTTTTTTTTTAAAAAAAAATGATATTCTTTCCTTCTTCGTTTTATTAATATACCTTGTATCCATTTAATAAATTTAATAATGTATTCGTATGGATGCTTTAGTTGAAAATTGAAACAAAGTACTTCTAACAAAAGTTTTTCATGACTAATAATCTTACGTCGACGTTCTTCAGATATCTATTTTTTATTTCTGGTAAGAGAATAGAAATAAATTCATATACTTCTTCTCTTACTTACATGTTCTGGATCAAGTTCTTTACTATCTGGATATCTTACACTATGAACAGCAACAATAATGTCTTTTAACTTTTTATGGGTTTCTTCAATTTTAGAAGCAACAAATAAGCATGTCACACTAATGTCCTATTTTCAAAGCAATTACTAATGTTTGACTATCTCTTTCTCTCTCTCTCTTTTTTATCTCCATTATTCGTTAAGCCCTTACTTGTGGTGAATAATCTCTTAATGAATAATAAAGATAGAATCGATGATATAGAGCTTGTGAGGTACTAATCGTCTTTTGTGGACTAGGAAGAAGAAGAAGAAAAAAAAAAGAAATTAAAGTGTCAATGAAATCTAATAAGCATCTTCTTGCTTAACAAAAAGACAAAAAAATTTTTTTTTCTCATCATAATTTACAATCCAAGTTTCTTTCCAACATCTTGAATAAATTTACAATAGGATTGTCGTGCATTGGCTTCTTTTACAATAGATAATGGTCCCGCTTTTTTTAAACTGGATAAAATGGCTAATTGCTGTTTAGTGAAATAAGGTCGGTAATATCGTCTGTATGATAAACCAGTTGTAAGGCTGGTTACGAGTTGTTGTTGTTGTTGTGAGGATGCTGTAGTAGTTGTATTAGCCACTAATGGTGAAGATTCACTCATTAAAAAAATGTGTAAATGTATACGAATGTTTATAAAAATAAAATGATTTTTATTTATTTTTTTTTTTAAAAAAAAAAATTCTGGGTAAATTTTCAATTCGTTAGTTTAAATTTATTTTATCCAAGAAGAGGATTCTTCTTGTTACTATAGCTGCTGCTACACCTACTTTCTTACGTAATACAGTGTCTTTTCTGCTATATGAATAGTAAGTAAGCAAGTACAAGTCAACATTTATTTCTATTGAAAAAAACCCCTATTTGAGTATACAATAAAATAATATCGTATTGTTCGAGTCAGAAAAAAAAAATATCTGTTCGTGAACTCAAAATTCCTTTCAGCACTGCAGTATACAATTGAAAAAGCAAATATATACATATATCAAAGTTACAGATGAGTATATTGAGTAGAGAAAGCCTAGCGGTGAGAAGAGTCTCCTGTTGGTCTACCGGCTATCACCCTACTAACTGATGATGGTCATCATAACTTTCTTATTTATCTAATGGATGATGATAGTATAGAGTTGGTTACAAATCAAATGGTTAGAGAGTTTAACCAAAGAATTCATGAGCCTCTTCGATATATTCCAAGGTGGTGTAGGTTGACCCTCTACAAATGTTACAACTAAGAATATGTCGAACCCATCTCAAGAGAAGCACACTTCCAATCTGTCGTTGAAGGGAATAGTCCTGAAAAAAAAATTAAAGACTAATAACAAATAGGTCAAGTTCTGGAAAACAACAGTATATATATCCATAGATGAAGTAGGTTTTCATTTTCACCTATTTTTTTTTTCGTATGATCATTAGAGGGAAACTCCTTCCGTTGTTATCAAGACGCTTAAATCAAAGGCAAAAATGACTATTGTGCTATTTCGCCCTATTATGTTAAGGATATCAGGATTAAGATCCTAAAAGTTATAGCATTCTCAAAAAAAAAAAAATAGAGGATAACGAAGCAGCTGCAGTAAGAAAAAAAGACAAAAACTTTGACTTTACGTTATATCAGAGATGTATACAATTCTATACTGATTTACAAAACTTTTGCAGATATTCAGTAAGAGGATTTATTTGAAGCGTAAACCCATTTAAATTAAAACACATACCGATAAAAATATCTTGCATATCCGAAAGTTTTTGTCCGATTTTTTTTTTTTGTTATTATTACGGAGATTTTAATCAATTTTATAATTTTCCTTCTTTCTCTCTCTCTCTCTTTTTTTTTCCTTACTATTTTTATATGTCCCCTCAAGTTCTTATCGTAGGTTGTATTGTATATGCTACAGATATTTTAGAAAGCCTTCAGTCGAAATACAAGATTGAATACTGTACTTCAAATTCGCGTCAAGAATTTATTCAGGATTGTAGTAATACTGACAAATATAACGAGGTAAAAGTCATCTATCGTTCACCGGAGTCTATGAGCACGATAGGAGCGTTTGATGCAGACTTGATTCAACAATTACCAAAATCAGTGGAATATATTGTGTATTGTGGTGCAGGTTATGATACAATCGATGTACATGCCTGTGCTGATCGACACATCATGGTTTCTCATACACCTATTGTTGTCAATGAAGCCACAGCTGATATTGCCGCCCTTCTGATTCTCATGTGCTGTCGTAATGCACTCGCTGCCAGCGATAATCTCCGTCGTGGTTACTGGCATCATGGTGTACGTATGGGTATAGACCCTGAAGGGAAAACGTTAGGTATCATTGGGGCAGGTGGTATTGGTTGCACACTCGCGAAACGCATGGCTGCCTTTGATATGAAGATTCAATATCATAATCGCCATCGTTTACCTATTGAAAAGGAAAAGGAGTTGAATTTAACCTATGTGGATCAATTAGAGACACTCTTGAGGACCTCAGATATCATCTCAGTCCATTGTCCACATGATCCTGCCACTACCACTCATTTATTGAGTTATCATGAATTTGGATTGATGAAGGAAGGAGCGATTGTGATCAATACAGCACGTGGAAAGGTGATTCATGAGGCTGCCTTGGTCATGGCCCTTGAACGTGGTCAGGTCCTGGCTGCTGGTTTAGACGTCTTTGAAGATGAACCTCAGATCTCTCCTGGTCTCTTGGCTCATCCTCGTTGTGTTCTCTTACCCCATATAGGTACCTACACAAATGAAACTCAATACAAGATGGAAAAATTGGTTTTAGATAATTTAATAGCAGCTTTAGAAAACAATACATTGATCACACCTGTTCCTGAACATAAACCCTTTTTTTCTTCCTCCTCCTCCTCCTCCTCCTCCTCTCCAAAATAAAAAAAATAAAATAAATTATAAATTTTTGTTTTTTATTTCTTTCATATAAAAAGTCATTTGTGTGTGTGTGTGTGTATGTGCGTGTGTGTGTTTGTTTGTTTGTTGTGTTTTCCTTTAAAGAAGGAAAGCACCTGTAAGAGCTAAAATGGGGGATGCAGTAACGCGAGGTAAACTCCAACCAACTGCACCTGTTGTCTCAGCGGAACCTGCAACATCCAAATGTGTATATCCTAATTTGATATCACCATCAATACCATGCTTGTTCAAACCAGATGCCTGCAACATAAAACCAGCAGGGTATTGATGACCACGATTGGTCATGGTAGAAGGTTGATCGTTAGCAGAGACGAGGTCTTCACTTGATCTTCCAGGTCTCACACATGTTAAATCTTCACGACGTAATGTAGAGATCTCAAAGGGGTCTCCCAAGACATGACCCGCATCATGAATACGTCGACTTACCTTATTTTGACGTGCTACACCATTATCTAATGTAATACCATAGCCATCATAAGCACGGATGGCATGGCCCGTCAAGGTAGCACATGTAAATAATAATGAAGGTTGAGAAGATTCGGAAGCAATGGCTCGTTCCTTAAATTCACAAAGTAAGTCGGTCATCACCATACGACCTTCTGCATCTGTGTTGCCTACTAAGACGCGTGTGCCGTTACGTGAGACGATGACTTCATCTGAGACATACATGTCGGGTCCTACTGAATTACGTACAAGAGCTAATCCACCTGTTACATTGACTTTGGTTGGATTCAACATTGAAATCGTTTTGAAGAAACCAGCAACAGCAGCTGCACCACATTTATCGCGAGACATATCACGCATATGTCCACTACATTTGATATCAGCACCACCTGTATCATAAGTGACACCCTTACCTACAAAATAAAGACTATATCATAGAAAGAAAGAAAAAAAAAGAAAACTTAATAAGCATGTATGGATAGATATATACATATATGTATGTATGTATATATATATCATTCCCTCCCTCTCTCCCTTTCTCTCTCTCTCTCTCTTTTTTTTTAGTCAAATAAATAGTTGGAATCAAATCTTACTTTTCTTTCACTTGAGACTGATCAGGTGACTTGTATTCAAAATGAACAATACGTGGATGATGTCTTTCAACAGCTAAAGAAGCTCTAGTGACAGCATGAGCTAAAGGATAATTCTTTTTAATTTCTTCAATATCCTCCATTACAGTTACTTTAACGTTATCAAGGTTGGCAAATTGTTCCTTAATATAATTGGCAATGTTGATGGGTGACATGATTTCAGGATCTGGGTTACCAATATCTTTACACACACGACGACCTGCTTCCATTGCACGAACCTCCTTTAATATTGTTTCCACATCGAGTTGATCCTCTGTCAAGAAAGTAAGTGACTCGAATTGAATAGGAGCACGATGACGACGAACATCGATGGGTTCGAATTCAGCTTCCAACATGGCCAACATGGTTACTTGTAAATAATGTTGATAATCATGAAGTTGATCGTTAAAGGTCCAAGCTGAAGGAGGTGTCTGTGGTGGGTCAGCAAAACAAACGAGAGGACGACGGATACCGACCTTAAGGGCACGTTGACCAGCTTCATAAGCACAGTCTTTAAAACGACGTACATCATCAAAATCATTGGTGAGTGAACCAGTAGGGGCAATCAAGATGCGTTCATAGGGTTCACCATCAGAAGGTAAAACCAATTGAAGGTCATCACCAAATGTACCATCAAGTTCCAAATGGCGTTGGACGGAAGGAATAACTGAAGTCAGCGATTCCTTTTTGGAAAAGATGAGAATAAGACCATCTGCATTTACCTCTAATAAAGCTTCCTTAAGGGAACCTTGTGATGTGATGATATTAAGGTTGGGTAACTCCATTTTTTAGGGATAAAATGTAAGTTAAAAAAGATAGAAAAAAAAAATTTTTTTTTCTTTTTTAGTGCTTATTACTGATTTAACTCCGCTATTTTTATTAAGGATAGCCTTTTTTTTTTTTTATTTGTTTGTTTTTCTAATATTTGTTATTAAGTAAAAAGACTAAATTTTTAATATAGGATTATAAGGATAAATAAAGGAAAATAAACAATGCGGATATTATGTAATATTCTCTGCTGGTAATTAAATGCTGCATGTTGTATACATTTATTTTCTCACGATTATAAATGTTAATTTTTAAATCGGAGAGCAAACAAACAATGATAAAACCTAAGTAGGAGAGGACCCTTATTATTGGAGACGTCACAAATAAGGAAAATAATATTTCCTCTGGGTAATTCTTTATAGAGGTAAAAATAAAGGAATGAATTATCATTTACTCTATTGAAGCTGATATATGAGTAGAATCAAAAAATACAAGGAAAAAAATAAATGAATAAATAAATAAAATTGGGCTTTTATGAACTATTGACTGTTAAATAACATTGCTTACATAAAAAATGCGCTTTAGAAATAATAATAGTCACCAGCGTCATTACTCAAGATAGTAAAAAAGTTATTCCTCATTTTACTGAAGATGACTTTGATCTAAAGAAATCCATCATTGTAAATCTCTAAATGTATGATAATAATAAAGTAATGTCTTCTTTTTACTGCTCTTCTTGAGTAAGCCATTTATATATATACATATATATGTATATATATATTCTCTGATAATATATATATATATATAAAATAGGATTAAAACTTGTTCATTTTGTAGCTTCCAATTATTATTCTTTCTTAATAGAAAACTACTTTCAATTCATGAATAAATATAATTGCATAATATGTGTTAAGACATAACAAAAACAAGAAGAATACAGAAATAACGTTACCAAGTCATATTTGTCAATTTTGTGCAAATTGTAGTATTAATAGAAAGAAAAAAGGGGGGACATATGGGCTATTCTATCATTTTAAAGATAAACAAGATAGTGTGATATTACTTGTAAAATATTATAACATAAAAATAATATAAAAACAAAAGAAATCAATAAGTTCGAATAATAGCTCTAAAGTCAATGATTTTATTTATGAATTCAAATTGATGGGGGGAGTATTTATAAGAATTGTTAAAGAGGCCTTAAATAAAATGTGAATCAGAAAAGTGTTAGTTACGACTGAATAAGATATGTCATAGATAATGAAATCTTAGAAGCTTTAATAATATTTGATGGAGTGGATCAAGAGAGTTTCAGGAGAATCTAGGTAGAATTCCTTGAATAAATTTATAATCTGCATGTTTAATCAAGAAACATGAAGTTATAAGTCGGCTCATAACAAATGCTTGTCAAAAGACTAAGTATCCACCCCAAATTTAATTTAATATAGAAGGAAGAAGAAGTAGAAGAAGAAGAAGGAAGAAGGGGGAAAAGATGAAGGAAAAAGGAAGGGAGATAGATAGACAGATAGAGAGAGAGAGAGAGAGAGAGAAAGATAGAGAAAATAAAATCAGACAAGATACAATAAGTTTGCAAAGGACAGGTGAAAATAGAGGAATAGAGTTGACTATATTGTATTGTATTATATTGTATTATAATATGTTATGATATGATAGGTTAAATTATGATATGTTATATTATCTTAGAGCATATATATATTTATATATATAGTGGAATTAATGAACTGTTGTGATATAGGTAAGTTAAATAATAAAAATATAAATAAATGAAATAAAAGAGAAATAAAAGAAGACGAACAGAATTAGTACATTGAGACTTGCCAATAAGTTTTTATTAAGAGTTAAGTTCAATTATTATTCAAAGTATATAAAATAAGGGTTAATAATGTAAGAGTATTTGTTGATAAGATAAAGATAACAAAATAATAAGACAGAATAAATCTGTGAAAACTTTGTATAAAGCTTTTATTATCAATAAAAAATTTAAAATAAAACTTAAAAACTTAATTTTTTTTTAGAAGATGAGTGCAAGATGGATCCTTATTTATATCTTGTGGAGAACGGGTTACTTCGCGACAGGAACAAAATGAAGATATCTTGAAAGAAGAATATTTTCCCATAGAATAATTAAAGTTATTGTGTTAGAGCTCTAGTCTTTGCCCTGACTGAGAATTAATCTCAGTTAACTCTAATAAATGTCATGATTGTACTGCATTTGAGAGAAAATCTTATAGACAGTAATTGCCTTTTTAAATACAGCTGGCATTTTCCCCCACTCCCTGAACGAAAACTCAGCAGAGACAGGTATTATTATCCAACCTGAGCTTTGAGTATTCCACTTTTAATAATTTATTTAATTAGAACAACATCATTCATTAAACAGACACATAATGCTCAAAGACATATCAAATCAAAGGATGAGTATTTATTATTGTTTTCATAGACCATGCAAGGTTCTTTTTACCAACAAAGTCAAAAATTCTTCTCGTTAAACAAATATGTATATATATTTACTCCGATAAATCAGCATCATCTTATTCGCCTTCATCGTCTTGTTCACTCGCATCATTTTGTTCACTAGCATTACTGCCTTTTCTTTTTTTGCAGGGGGTATAAACACATAGGGAAATTTGTTATTGTTATTGATGTATATGGTATTTCTGGCAATGTTCGTAAGCTTCTTCTTTATCTCAATCTTGCATAATTCTTGCTTGAGTAGAGCGCTTGTGTCTGTCATAAAATACTTCAGCTTGAATAGATTCTGTAAGGTGTTTTTAAATAAACCAAACGTTTCGACATTTTCTGGTATAATCAAACTGTCTATTTGGCTTGCTATGAATACTTGATCGTCTTTTTCTATCCTGAACAAGTATCCGACATTCCCAATCCAATCCATTGCCAAGACTTCTTTAAATTGGCTACCATATAATGAACGTAGTGTAGATAAAATGCAAGTATTGGTTTTCAAGTTCTTTGTTTGTTGTTTGAGAATGACGGCTTCGCTGACAGACGATTTCTTCCATTCACTAGACGACAATTCAACAGTGGTAGATTCATTGAGATTTAGAAGTAGATCAATTTTTCTTGGGTACGTTGGCGATATGTCCGAGGTGTGGAACAAAGCCTTATTGATCTCGATTGCAGTTTTGCTGCTCTTTGATCCCGTTTCTCCATCGGCTATTTTAATGTCAGTACCATTGAACAAAATATCCAACAACTCGGCAAAACGTCGATAGAAAGTTAATTCTGAATCTTTTGTGCTTGAGCCCCAAAGGTTAAAGTTCTCCACAACTCTTTCTAAGATACTGAGCATTATGAACTCCTCCGATGACCTCTTCTTTTACTTGGCCATTTGACTCTTTTTTTCATATATGAATTACAGCATCTCGTCAACATCTTTGATTGCAATAACTTCTTCCATCAAGCCAAAAGAGATTTCGCTGATGCCCTTTAGTTCAAGGGGGGTTGAGGTTGGTCCTGCTTGATTGCTTAATTGCTCATATAAAACTTTTTCAATTGCTGGGTTAATTTTGTTAAAGATGCTTGAGAGTGAGAGCTCTATAGCGCACTGTTCGAATTCATTTAATTGCAACTTTTTAAGAAGAGAAGTAACTGCTTTCAATAAAACTTGTTTGGCAGGCATCATATCTCCAAAACTCGAGTGGAATATGTGTTCGTCCATATCCGTTATCTTATCTCCCGCAAATTTCTTATAAGCTAAAACGTGTAGCCGCTGTTCATTGCTCATCTCTGTTGTCTCGTCGAATACTTCTTCTACTTCATCACGTTCCTGTAACTCCTTTTTTTGATCTCCGTTTTCTTTTTTATCTCCCTGCTCTGGGTCGCCCTCTTCTTTTCGTTGTTCATTATTTGGGGTATTTGCGTCTAGTTCTAACGCTTCTTGGACCAATTTTGAAGCTATACTTGCTACCTTCGCTAATGTCTTGACGCCTTCATCTACGAAAGCTTGCTTTGTTTTTCTCTATAATAATAATTAGGAACGTCACTGTTGTTATACTGTAAACATAACCTCATTCAATGCACTTACTATCGAATTCGCTGATTTGACAATGTTTTCCCATACTGATTTTTCGTACTTTAATTTACTAGAGAGCCTTCTATTGTCATGGTTGTAAGATTTATAACTTAATTCAATAAGATAAATAGTCATAATAGAATATATAAGTGCACTTGTACAATAATTCTGTCTATAAACATATTTAGTATATTTACCCTTGTATAGAAAAATAATTAATTAATAAAAAGTCCTACATCTAAAAATATACTTTCTTCTATTATTGTTCTGCTGAATAAAAATTTATAAAAATAACTTTATAGAAGTTAAACTGGGGTAAACTAAGAATAATACAAATACGCGTAATAATTGATTCTACTCAGAATACACGTACTAGTTATAAAAATAAATACATACAAAAGACATGAATCTATATCTATATCTATAATTATAACTCTTAGCGATCATTCTATAATTGTATTATCGAATACAATTTGTTATATTTTTATCTTCTTATTACTTATCATCAATAACCACGAAATATATAAATACTCTTACGTTATTAACCCTTATTTTGTATACTGGAATTATAATTGAATTAATTCATTCTTAATAAAACTTATTGACAAGTCTCAACGTACTTCTTCTGTCTTATTTTATTTTTATTTTATTTATTTTATTTTTATTTTAATTATTTAAACTTACCTAAACCACAACAGGGCATTTCGAGTAATGCCGATTTCTTTCGAAATGCGACTAATCGTTGCAACTGAGACACCTGTACGCTTACTAACGTCACTATATTGAGAGTTATCACGAAAAATATATTCAGTGTTTTGCTTAATTTCAACAGAAATGGGCTTCATGCTTTTTTATAGATTGCAATTCTTAATTGAAGAAAAATGAATAAATGAACGAACAACAAAATACCTGCAGAGTCCCCATACTCATAGTACTTACTTTCTCAATAGCAGTCACATATACATAAAATCAGTAAATTTAGGAGATGGGATGATCATTTTTCAAAACCAGTAAGTTGACCGTAAAGCACGTGACTATGAAGAAATTTCTACCAAAAATGGAAATATATGTGTACTACTACTGTGTTCTATTTTTAGTCGTTCCAGTTTAATGATGTGAAGAAAAAAGAAAAAAACTGAAATTTTAGAGAACATTGAAACCATTTTTTGAGTTGGTGTAATTTTTTAATGAACACTTGTGTTAGAATGCCATTAATTTACTATATCCTTCTATACAATTATTGCATATAATTCGGTTACAAAGTTAAAAAATCGAAGCATTTGAACAGTTTTGATCCTCACTGTATCTACTCAACGTCCGATCTGTACTATCACAAGGTGGACTCTACAGTGGAATTTATTTCTCCTTCATGGACCGATCATGCTATTTTAACGACTTCCTTCAAATGCAGATCTATGGACACCGGGAAAGGGTTGTGGCGGGTTAATCCTGCTCTAGCTTCCAATTCCAAATTCTTAAATTATATGCACCAAGAGATTGATAACACTTGTAACTCTTTCCGCTTGGGTAACACCCCGCAAGTTCAATGGGATTCCATTAAAACCACAGTTACGAAGGTGGCTCGTAAGTTTAGTCGTACACATGACAATTGGTGCAGAAAATAGTTAGAACGGTTACAGCAGAAACGGCATGAGATTTTTGACAGCCAATTCTCTTGCCATGGTACAATACAGTTTAGACTCTACAGAGTGGAAACCCAAATTCAGAAACTACAGGAGGAGATGGTAGATTATGATTCTCTACGTGCCCAGAAATTTTGCAGAGAGACAGGCGAATCGTCTCCTGCATATCTTAAATGTTCTATAGCTACTCGTTTAACCAAAAGTTTCATAACAAGTTTAACTCATCCGATTTCCTCTGCTTCATGCACTTTACCGGGAACTTTGACAGAGGCAGCTCGAATTTTTTATCAACAGTTATATACATCCGACAACATTGATCTACAGGCTGTGGAAGATTTAGCTAAAAGTATTGACCCTTCTTCAGTTCTAAACGACAAGCAGTGGGAATCTTTGATGGAACCATTTAGTAGTGAGGACTTACTCGATACCGCTAAACGTTCTCCAAATCAAATTAGCCCAGGCACCGATGGAATACCCTATCAGATTTTGTTTCATATCTTAAACAGTTTAGCTGCACGTCGAGTAACTATTCAGGTTTACAACGATACGCTGTCGAAAAGCATATTTCCTGCAAGTTGGAACAAAACTTGTATGATTCTACTACCCAAAAAAGGTGACCTTAAGAATTTAAATAATTATTGCCCTATCAGCCTCATTAATACCAATGCCAAAATTTTCACCCGTCTTCTCAATGCTCGTTTAATAAAATATCTTAACTACTCTATCAGTCCACAACAAATGGGCTTTATGACACATCGCTTTATAGGTGAAAATGGGAAAACTCTTAATACTGTTATGCCTATTGCTGAACATACTTCCTCGACCGCCATTGGTTTTTTACTTAACCAAGAGAAAACATATGATCGTATTCATCCAATGTATCTAGCTCACATGATGAAAAAATTTGGTATTCTTGACCTGATTATCACCTCTCTTTGTTCTCTTTTTTTCAACACGAATATTCGCATCAACATTAATGGTCATCTCTCTGCTCCTGTTATTCAACAACGCGGGCTTCGTCAGGGGGATCCTTTTTCTCCTTTGCTGTTTAACATCGCTTTTGATCCTTTTCTGAGGTCTATTCAACAATCTTCAATGCTTCGAGGATTTACCTTTCCAGGTCTTGCATTGGGATATTCTCTCCCTCCCCTCAAGGTGATGGCTTATGCTGATAACACTCTGGTATTGCTTCAAGATCACGATGATTTTCATAGTTTGGAATTTTTGATCTACCAATACGCACTTGCCTCTACCACGAAACTGAACTTTGCCAAAACTCAAGCATTTTCTTTATCTGGTAATTCTAATCAAAATTGGATTTCTTTTTTGGCCTCTCGGGCTTCCCATATTACTTCTTGGCATGATAAACACTCTCCACAAATACTGAAATACCTTGGCTACTCTCTGTAGTCTAGTGTGAGTCAGAGAAATTATGCTGTTGACCAGCTAATACAGAGAATTCAAATTGCCTATCGAAACCATTCTGAGCGTAACCTATCGGTAATCAGAAGAACGGTAGTAATCAACACGCTGCTGTTCTCAAAACTATGGCATGTGCTAAGGGTGGTTTCCCTCACAAAATCTCAGATTGATCAGATCTGTGATATATGTGGCTCATTGTCATGAGCTGATTTATAATGTCATGTTTCATGATTAAACATGCGGATCATAAATTTATTTAAGAAATTCTATCCTAACTCTCTCTTGATCCGCTCCATCTAATAATATTAAAATCACTAACAATTCATTATCAACAACATACCTTATTCGGTCGTAACTAACACTTTTCTGATTTACATCTTATCCTCAGACCTCTTTAACAATTCTTATAAATACCCCATCAATTTAAATTCATAAATAAAATAATTGACTTTTAGAACTATTGTTCGGTCTCGTTGACTCTTTTTGTCTTAATATTATTTTTTTTTTATTTTCTAATATTTTGATTCGATATTTTAAAAGAAATATCACAGGGACGTTAAATAAACTTTAGAAAGCCTTTCCCTAAAAAAAAAAAAAGATTTCCGTAACGACTGTAACAATGTTTACTCAAATTAATTTTAGATTTTTATTACGTAAAATGTATAAGAAAAATACCTTTACGATTACGGTTATAAGATCAAACACTACTCTGTTCGTTAGAATATTGCCCCTCCCAAAGTTTTGTTACTACATTTTTAATTTAACTCCTTTTTACATTTGAACTTTATGAGGAACGTAAGGTTCTTCAAGGTACTTGACATCTTCTTCACTTAGTATCACGTCCAAAGCACCAATGACATCATACAAGTTTTCCTCTTTACCAATACCTACAATAGGTGCAGTACAATAGCTTTTGGTCAACATCCAAGCCAAGGCCACTTGAGCGGGGCTATGACCCAATCTCTCTGCCAACTTGACTACTCTATCAATAATTGCTTCATTACTCTCACTTGCTCTCCTTGCAAGGAAAAAGGATTGAATACCACGATCGCTCTCTAATCGAACAGACTGACGAGATTTTCCTGTTAATAATCCACGTGCAAGAGGAGACCAAGGGATACAAGCGATGCCACTATCTAAACAATAAGGGAACATTTCGCGTTCTTCCTCACGATAGAGCAAGTTGTAACAATTTTGCATGCTGACAAATCGAGTCCATCCATGACGCTCTGCAATCGTATTTGCCTTTTGGAATTCCCAGGTATAGCAAGAGCTACAACCGATGTATCTGACTTTACCAGAACGAACCAAATCATTCAGAGCCTCCATTGTTTCCTCAATTGGTGTATGATGATCAAAACGATGAATTTGATATAAATCGATATAGTCTACACCAAGTCTCCTTAATGAAGCATCTACGGCATCAAAGATATGTTTACGAGAGAGACCATAGTTATTAATAGAGTCACTATCATCATCGAGTGATTTTAAACCTAATGTATTAGTTGAGATATCCTTGCTGACAGCGAAAAAGCATTTGGTAGCAATCACGATGCGACCTCTATCCATATCAAATATCTTGATGGCTTTACCAAGAATACGTTCACTTTCACCATTGGAGTATGCATCGGCTGTATCAAAGAAATTAATACCAGCTTCATACGCTTTTCCAATAAGTCGAAGCGATTCTTCTTCATCTTTAACCCAAGGTCGCGATTTAGATGAACCATATGACACGCAATTCAAAGCGATTTGTGAAACCTGAAATAGTAGCATATTTAAATATAAACATTTTGATTTTCATTTTTTTTTTAATTATTTATTATGCATACCTGTTTTACCAAAACAGGCATACTTTATCTTAGATCGAAGATTTACTTCCCTAGTAGCCATCTTTTTTTTTGTTAGTATAATAAAGAGACAAAATAAATACTATTTAAACATGAGCATCTTTTATATAATCTAAGATTGAGGCGAAACAAAGTCTTCTGTATTGCATAAGTTTTTTCTATAAATGAGTATAAAATACAATGTCTGCATAATTTGTCAAATTTATATCATCTCTTTTCAAACGTTACTACTATATATCATTATCCTTTAATCGACTAAGTCTTATGACTCTATAACATAAATATACAATACACATCTTGATCATTTTATACAGAATAAATAGAGGCTAAAAAAAAAAAGTGCTTTGAACAGGAGCTTAATGATAACAACGTCTTATTCTATATGAAGGGAAAAATGTGGAAGTCCGTAATTATAAAAAATAATCTATCACTATATTAAGCATAATTTTTTTTTCTTTTAGAGAGACTTCAGATGATTGCAAGTCAAAGTCTTAATAAATATTATCTTTTATATGTTTGATAATTGATTTCATTTCTTTCTTTTAAAATCAAAACTGAATGAGAAACTGTAGTATGAAAAGTCTAAATTTTATTAATTTTGTTACATGAATTTTAAGTTAATTTTGCCTTTAAATCTTCACTAAATTGTTTGATTTCATCTTCGTTTGAAGGACTAAAGTTAATCTTGGAACGTTGTTGACGAACAAATGATGCCTTAGCCTCGAGCTATACAAATATATATAAATTTATATCAATATACATATATATAAAGGAATCAGCATTTGACAAAATCATGACTTAAAACATACCTCCTTTGCTAATGTATGCAATTTTTCTTTTCCTTTCAAACTGTGTGAATGTTTTACAAAACGCTTAATAGCTACAATATCAGCATCTACCATTTCTGGGAACGAAATATGATAGATATATTCTTTATAGTAATTCTTCAAAGCAATTGCACATTGGTTCAAAACTTCATCTTGATACATACGTGTGTGAACATTTTTCTTATTTACTTTAAGAACAAGTTCCCATTCAGTAGGTAAACCTGTATTGGACTTTTTCGCTTTTTCTCTTGCCACTGATCCTTCAAGAACTTCTAGGATAAAGGTAGCAAGAGGAATGAAAATATTAGTATTACGAATAAGTGAAGTTAATGTGCGAATAATATGGAAACGGAGAGGATAGAATTGTGCGGTAGGAATTAATTGAATGACACCGACAGCTACTTGTGTGAATGGATATAAGAGAGATTTCAAAGGTGATTCAACTTGCTCGCCTTCTTCAGTAACCATCATTGAGTTGCTAAATGTGTTCAAGACATCAGCCCAGAAATCAATACAGTGAATATATTGCCAATTGTAAACTGTATTGTGATTTTTTGTGGAACGAACTTTCATAGCTTGTCTTAAATGAATAGCCAATTGACGAACGTAAACAAAACCTTGTTGATAACTCAGAACAGGATTTATACCATATAGTTGCACAGCAAGATTACGCATCAAGTTAATAGTAGGCAATGTGTGAGCATTGGTTGTTTTAGAGTTCTTGACAAAAGATAAGTAGACATTTTTAAGACAAATATCAAGGTAGCCCTGAGGCTTTTCGGAACTAACACCTTTGTTTTTACCTTTAGCAATAACAGGAATAGAAGAAATAGATAAGGATTTAATACTCAAGAATGCTTGAATGCGAACAGTATCTGTAGAAGTAAGACTGGAATAAGCGTTTAATAAAGTTTTGAGATAATCTTTGGCGAGACGATCGAAACAAACAAAGAACTTTGTACATTTTTCAGCTTCACGGATTGTTAAACGAAGCATATCAGCATCAGTCAAGTTTCGTAAAAGATGTAAAAGATTATTAAGGTATGTCTTTACATAGGATTTAAAAAAGTTCCAGCGTCCAGAAGTTATAGGTAATTCGCTTTCCTTTTTAGGTTTTAAATGATGACTAAAGACGACAGGTGCAAAACGAAGTGTACATGTAATCACCTTGGAGAAAACTGAATATATATATTAGTGATACATTTATATATGATCTACTTTTTTTTTTTTTTGCTTGTTATTACCTGCAGGATCTTCAATTTTATAGGTTAAGACAGCTTTATCATCTTCATCTTCTGCCATTCTTGCAGCTGTTCTAAAAGCAGATAACAATTTCTTAAATGCCTTGAAATCTTTTGTTGTCTTTATTGTTTCGACCCATTCGTTTACAGTATTTTTATTTAAAACGATAGCTGTATCTTGAATGATCGTTTCTTCAGGTTCTTCCATATCGCTATATTGTTGATCATCGTCATCAGCATCCAAACCATCATCTGACTCATCAAAATCTAAAAGCTCTTTATCTTCGGCTTCCAAAAATTTATAAAATTTAGGATCACGCTCTTTTAAAGCTTCCATATCTTTTCTGTGTTGTTCAATATCTTTTTTTAATTTTTCTATATCTTCTTCTCCCTCCTCCTCCTCCTCTTCTTCCTCTTCATCGTTGTCATCTACAGCCATTTCTCTTTCAACTTCAGAAGAGAGATCGCTACTATCATCTTGTTCATCAGCATCATGTTTTTCTTCCTTTTCTTCTTCAGAGTCAACATCAGATCCTTCCTCATCCATAACACGTTGTAATTTCTGAAAAAAAAATTAGATCACTGTTATTTTTTAAAGTTCCTAAATTATTCTGCATCTTACTTTAAAAACATCATCGTCTGATTGAACATCCTCCATGGGGGAGTCTTCTTCATTTTCTATTTGACTTTTTTTTTATATATATAATGCAAGTGTGAATAATTTTTACACTGAGTGATATTTATTTTGAACTTACACTTGTTTCTTCGTTTTTTTGACGTTGACTATAATTATGTGGCAAATGTCAATGAATAATTCTCTTCTTTTTTATTTTAATTTATTTCGCTTTTTACCCTTCTTTTTCTTTTCAACTCCTTTTGAGAGTTTTGTGTTTATGCTCTTCTTTTTTGATTTTTTCTGTGTTATAGGTGCCATAGCTGAATGGTTAATATAAAGGTTAAAGATATTTGATGGAAAAAAAAAAAAAGTTGAAAAAAGGGTAATTTGTGACTTTGTTGTTGTGACAAGTTTTACTTCGATTTTATTAGAGTGAAAATTGAAAAATCTTATTGGATAATTGAAAAAAAAGGCAGCCTTTTTGCATTGTCGAAAAATAAACTCAATTTTTTTTTTTTTTTTTTTTTTTTTTTTTTTTTTTTTTTTTTTTTTTTTTTTTTTTTTTTTTGCCCTGGCTTTCCTTGATAAAACATTTCTCATTTTAGAAGTTCTAAATGCTTATTCTTTTCGAACACACCTACGTTAAATTGCATACTATTTTTTTTTGGACAGTATTTATGAAAGAAAAAAGACAAAGTTGAATGATTGTATGTATATATATAGATAATATGTCGTTAAATTAATATGAGTCTGGGATTTTACATGCAAATAGCTAATGCACATCTATTCTATGATAATGTCAAATATAGAACAATGAGTTATTACATTATAGGTACTCTTTTCCTTATCTTAGTAATAATTTGTGCACTGATAATTCTCTTTATTCTTTGAAGCTTCTGTCTAATAACATAATTAAATCCCTAGCTTCTATAGATTCGTTATCAACACTTGGAGTTAACTATAAAGACATCACTAAGATGTCGTCTTTCATTTTTATTCATACATGATCACATATGAGTTAGCTATCAACAGTTTTATTTCATTTCAATACTCTAAACTAGAATATATCGAAAACTAATATGTTTATAAAATACTTTGTAGATTTGGTCATATAATTAAACACTTCTCATCATAATTAAAGTACAACTAATTCTACCTTCCTTCCCTTTTGTCTAGCTACAACTTCCAATAATACAATTCATTGACTATCGATATCATTCATAGATCGCTACATTTATTGGGTGCTTAATGAACATTTAATATTTTACTTCAATCATCTTTTTTCAGTCGTTTCTTATCAAATAAACATTAACAGCTGCAAATGCTCAAAATAATTGTTATTTTTTTTTTCTATTAAAAAAATTAACTTTCTTGTTAAGAAGTTCATGTTCGTAGATTGTGCTGTACCTTAGTAAATACAGCCACTTTTCATTCGTATTATCTTACATAAACTTGGCTACCTCCACTATCAAAGGCCAATTCCTCTTTTTTCTACACCTAATAATGTTTGATGAAGACTCTTGGATTGAGTTTTCTTCTTTTTTACAAATTTGTATCTTTATTTTCTTTCTATCTTCTCTCTCAGTTTTCCTTTTCTATCTTTTTTTTTTTTTTTTTTCGAACCCATTGATTTAACCAAAGGTGTAAGTAAGATACTACATGATATTATATACTATATTATGTAAGTAAAATACCTGTTTAACCATCTAGTTTTTTCTTTCTTTTTCTTAACTGATTCTTTAATCAAACCAACAAAAAAAAAAAAAAGGACTGGACTGTCTAGTATATGACATTGATGCTTCTATTAAGATTCATATCAATTCATATAGTACCTTTCTTTGCAAGGTCTAGCTATAAATTGCAATAAAATTAAATAAAAATAAAAAATAGATTGGGAACATAGTTCATATTTCTAATTATTCGACAATCTGCTGCCTACAATACAAGCCAAGCATGAAGAAAATGAAACTTGTTTTTATCATTATTCCTCTTAAAAAAAAAAAAAAAAAAAAAAAAAAAAAAAAAAAAAAAAAAAAAAAAAAAATTAAGTTTATTTCTATATTAATTAAAATAGGAATGTATTTTCCCTTTATTTATTCATTTGTATGTTTATTCATTTTTTAGAAAATAATTCTTGTAATGAATTCTTCACCATCTACGAAAAGAAAATATAATAAAGATCATTATGAGCAAAGTACTAACTATAAGCGACCTCATTATGATGATACTGTGTCTGAAACAAATAATGAAGAAATCAAACAGTTTTCTTCCGATCAACGATTAGCTCAACTTGATGAACCTATTTGTGTTGTCTGTGGAAAATACGGTGAATATATAAATAATGACACAGAACAAGATGTTTGCAGGTATATAGATAGATAGATAGATAGATGGATAGATTTGATTTTATTAAGATAACTTGTCCATTGGCATTAGTTTGCAATGTAAAGCGATCAATACTGATTTAAATCAACATCGACGTCAACGGCGTCTACGATCACGACGTCCTGTTATAAATACTCAACTTCATGACTATGTAGCTTCTAATCTTCATGCAAAATTAACAAATTATCAAGAGCCTGATTCAATTCGTAATCAAACAAATGAACAAGTAGATCAAATGTTAAAAGCACATGATATAAAAATCAATGGCTCTCATATACCCAAACCTTTTAGCACTTACGATCAACTTCAATCGATCTTGGGAGATACCCTTTTAAGCAACATTGAATCTATAGGATGGTCCATGGCCACTGGCATTCAACGTCAAGCTGTTACTATTAGTCTAGCAGGTCGTGACTTGCTGGCGATTGCACCTAAACGTTCAGGTAAAACAGGGGCATATCTAATTCCTTTGATAGTGCATTGCATGTCTTTATCTAAATGGGACCAACATAAACGACGTGCTGGACCTTATGCCTTGATCATCTCCCCTACACGTGAATCATGTATTAAGATTGAAACAGTTTGTAAACAGTTGACATTAGGTATTCGTAACCTACGTACAGGACTATTGATTGGTGGCGAGCCATTACCGACTCAGCTATATCGTCTGAAGAAGGGAGTACAGATTGTGATTGGCACTCCAGGACGTATCTTGGAGATAGCAAGCCAACATGCACCCTTATTAAGGTTATGGAAGATACAGATGTTGGTGATGGATAGCGTGGATACTATGTTGAGTCAGGGCTTTGGGAGTCAAGTAAAGCAAATTATGGGCAAATTCCCAAATACCACAGTTCGACAAACACTTTATTATTTCACCAAACTGAGTGAAGACAAAATGATGGATGGACTTTGCCGTCACTTGAATTCGCCAGTCAATGTCAAAGTATTATCAAAGGAAGAAATAGAAGACGAAAATAGAGTTTATTATCACGATACTGGACAATCAGAACAAACGAAGCCAATATTCAGATATATTCAAACGATTAAAAAAAAGGACAGAAGATAGTTTTTTTTTTCTTGTGTACATTTATGGCAACAAATATATGTAGACTTGTTTCATTCTAGTCCTTCTCCTATTTCTGTTGCCAAAGCCGTAGTTTCAAATAAATAAACAAATAAACAAACAAATAAATAGACAATTCTTATTTAAAAGAGTCATTTATCAATATACTCTTTTTTTTTCCCCTTGTTTATAATACTTATATAAATGACAGAGATAATAAAAAAGAAAGGAATCATTTCAGGCACAACAAAGAAACGATTCTTTGCAGGCTCTTCTCTTTCTTTCTTTCTTTCTTACATGATGCCAAAAGTGATCAAAAGAGCAAGAACGAATCCCGGAGTGGTTAAATTAATATCTAATCATTATACTACAGTCTTTGTGATAGCTACTATTGCATCCTCTTTATTTTGTTACTACCTTATTTATGGCAGCAAAAGAAACGATGATATTGAAACATTAAGGAAAAGAAATATATTAAAAAGAAAACCATTAGAGACTCCAGAAGAAAGATATGCAAGTTTAAAGGTAAATATCAATATTCCCAAAGCAGTCGATATAAACCATCATTTCCTTTGTTGTATCATAGATAGGAAGAAGGTTTGTTAATCCTTTTGATGAATGGATCGAAGTTCCCTTTTATAAAACAATGCTATTTTGGATGAAAAGATGGAAAGGAAATGGCGTCCCTCGTAATGAAAAAGAATTAGAAAAGACTTTACCCGTGATGAAGCCTGACCTTGACAAAATTAAAAATTTAAATGATAGAATAACATTTACTTGGTTCGGGTAAAATATATAAATATATAAACATGTATACACATATAAATACTTCTTTTCTGTTGTTGTTGTTATTGTTTTGCTCTCACCACTAAATTCCTGTATTACAGACAATCTACTTGTTTGATAACATTGGATGGATTAACTATTTTGTCAGATCCGGTATTTAGTCGATGTTCTATTAACCATTATCTCGGTCCAAAAAGACTAAGACCAATACCTTGTCAATTAGAAGACTTTATAGATACTATAGATGCTGTCATCGTCTCTCATGATCATTTTGATCATTTAGGTATTTATGTATTTTGCAGTTGGAAAAATAAAATAAAAAAATAACTTTTCCTTTTCTTTTTTTGTAGATGAATCAGTAGTGAAAAAACTAGGAAATTCAGCTGTTTGGTATATTCCGCTCGGATTAAAAAGCTGGTTTACGAAACGAAATGTGACCAATGTGATTGAACTGGATTGGTGGCAAGAAGTGTATCATGAAAACAGACCCGATATTATGTTTGCTTGTGTTCCAGCCATGGTAATCTTTCTTTCTTTCTTTATTATCATTATCACTCATAAACTAAAACTATTGTCTATAGCATTGGAGTGGCTCAAGGACTCCTTTTGAAAAAAACAATACTCTTTGGTGTAGCTATGTTATTAAATCACAAAACGATAAAATATTCTTCTGGTAAGAATATATCATCATTTTTTTTTTTACACTAATTTTTTTTTTTTTTTTGTTCGTATCCAAGTGGAGACACTGGTTATTGTTCAGAACTATTTAAAGCCATTGGAAATTTATACAAACCTTTTAGCTTGGCTGCAATCCCAATTGGTAGTTTTATGCCTACACATTTGATGCAACACCTTCATATGGGACCAGAAGATGCTATCAAAGCCCATTTAGATTTAGGTAGTCCATATTTATCCGTTGGTATCCATTGGGCTACATTCATGATGTCGGATGAACACTATTTAGCACCCAAGATAGCTTTAAATCGTATCTGGCAGACGATAGCCACTCATACCACTACTACGAAATCAAGATTCATTACGACAGAGATTGGACGGACACTAGTTTTGGAATGATGTCTATAAAATAAAATAAATTCTGTGTTTTATATTATTATAAGCTATGCTTTATTTATTTTCATTTGTTCATGATTGAAAGGAAAAAAAAAAAAAAAAAAAAAAAAAAAGACAGACATTTCGAGTCTTCTTATTTTAATATGATATTTATGAATACATTTTATCAATCATTGACGGCATAAATTATGAATTTTAAGACAAAATTATTTGCTTATAAATATATCATAATTCTACATAAAATATGAATATTTATAAAAAAAAAAAAAAAAAAAAAAAAAAAAAAAAAAAAAAAAAAAAAAAAAAAAAAAAAAAAAAAAAATTATACATTTTCTCCCCTCCATTCTATTAACAAAAAAAAAACATGACTGACATTAACCAAAAAATGGTTCCTAAAATGCAATATGTGCGATTTGGTAAAACTGGAATGTATGTAAGTTATATAGAAATATAGATAATGTATACATGTATTATTATTATTATTATTATTATTACTGTTATTTATACATTATTTAAAAGGTTTCCCGTTTTGCACTCGGTTGCATGTCATATGGCTCATCTAAATGGCAACCTTGGGTTAAAGATGAAGAAGAATCGCTTCGACTTATTGGAAAAGCGTATGAAGCTGGTATTAATTTCTTTGATACAGCCGATGCATACTCCAATGGTGAAAGTGAACGTATTCTTGGTAAAGCCATCAAGATATTTGATATGGATAGAGGTCGCATCGTGATTGCTACCAAATGCTTTTTCGCTGTCAGCAAGGATATCTCAACTAATACATTAGGTTTAAAATCACTCGATGATGATAGTGACTCTATTAATAACTATGGTCTCTCTCGTAAACATATCTTTGATGCCGTAGATGCTTCATTAAGGAGACTTGGTGTAGACTATATCGATTTATATCAAATTCATCGTTTTGATCATCATACACCAATTGAGGAAACAATGGAGGCTCTGAATGATTTGGTTCGTTCTGGTAAAGTCAGATACATCGGTTGTAGCTCTTGCTATACCTGGGAATTCCAAAAGGCAAATACGATTGCAGAGCGTCATGGATGGACTCGATTTGTCAGCATGCAAAATTGTTACAACTTGCTCTATCGTGAGGAAGAACGCGAAATGTTCCCTTATTGTTTAGATAGTGGCATCGCTTGTATCCCTTGGTCTCCTCTTGCACGTGGATTATTAACAGGAAAATCTCGTCAGTCTGTTCGATTAGAGAGCGATCGTGGTATTCAATCCTTTTTCCTTGCAAGGAGAGCAAGTGAGAGTAATGAAGCAATTATTGATAGAGTAGTCAAGTTGGCAGAGAGATTGGGTCATAGCCCCGCTCAAGTGGCCTTGGCTTGGATGTTGACCAAAAGCTATTGTACTGCACCTATTGTAGGTATTGGTAAAGAGGAAAACTTGTATGATGTCATTGGTGCTTTGGACGTGATACTAAGTGAAGAAGATGTCAAGTACCTTGAAGAACCTTATGTTCCCCGTAACCTTATTCCTATGTAAAACAACCAACAAAAGAGGCAGAAAATAAAATAAAATAAAATAAAAATGTATATTATAAAGTAATAGGATCATTCAAAATTTTTATGTGTTAATATATTATGATTATAATTATTAAAAAATAATAATATGTAAGAGAAATAAAAAATAGATATGTATATACATATAGGCGTGTGTGTGTGTGTATATATATTCTAAAAGTAGTATGAAATTAGATAAGCATACCAGCAATCGAAGCAGATAACCAAGTACTAAGTAAACCACAAATGAGTGCAGAAATAGCTAAACTAGAAATATCACCAGCTCTATTGGGTGCAAGTGCATTAAGAATACCTACTTGCATACCAACTGAACCAAGATTAGCGAAACCACAAAGAGCATAAATGGCAACCACTTCTGAACGAGGTGACAATACACCTTTATAAGTAGTTGTTAATTCTTGATAAGCAACAAATTCATTAGCCCAAGTCTTGATAGCCATTAATCTACCGACAGGGACTAAATCCTTATCATCTGCACCAATAAGCCAAGCAACCTAACAAAAAAAAATAATAATATTACTTTAGTCATCAGTTCATTATTATTATTATTAAAAAGGTAAACTTACAGGAACAAAAATATAACCAGTAATAAGTTCAAGTGTTAAATTTTGAATGGTGATAAAATTACCAAGCCAAGTCAAGAATGAATTGACAGCATATAAGATGGCTAAAATGGAAATCAAATTTGCCATAATCAAAAAGACGATATTAACACCAATACTTGCTCCCTTTCCAGCTGCATGAATGATATTGGTTGTATCCTCTTCTACATGAATGTCAGTAATATGGGCAACCTCTGACTCTTCAGATTCGGGATATCTTAATTTAGAAATAGCGATAGAACATGGGATTGACATGATACAGGATGTTAATAAAGCTTGACCTGAGATACCCATAGCGATGTAACCATATAGAGTTGAACCTGAAATAGTAGCAAAACCACATGTTAAGATTTGATGGATTTCAGATTTTGTTAACTTGGGGATTAAAGGTTCAATTAATAAAGCATTTTCACTTTGACCGAGAAAAGGCTATGTTAATTCAGATTATTATTCAGATTATTTGTTGTTGTTGTTATATAAAATAAACTTACTGAAGCTATGGCTACAATGGATTCAGCACCAGAAATATTTAAAACAGATATACAAACAACGGATAATTTTTTCAAAAGCCAAGGAATGGTACCAACATAGTATAACATTTGTACAGTAGAAGCAAAAAAGATGATAGCAGGGAAGACATTCATAGCAAAGACACCTGAATTTGCAGCAGCATCACCAAATACAAATTGTGCACCATACCACGCCTTTCTAAGATATCCTTCAGCAAAAGAAGCCAACCATGAAAAGATATCATGACCAGCACTTGTTTTGAATACGAATAAAGCTAATAAAAATTGAATAAGAAGGGCTGTTGATACAGTATTCCATTGAACCTTTCTATGATGCTATATAAAGATAAAAGAAAGGAAAGGAAAGGAAAGGAAAGGAAAGGAAAGGAAAGAAAAAGATAAATTAGGATACTTTATATCTATATACATATACAACAACTTCTTTATCAGATCCAACTTACTTTAGACACAGCAAATGTGCCCAAGATAAAGACAAGTAAACCAAAGAGAGAGATAAGACGACGAAGACGAGGGGATTCTTCTTTTTCAGGCATGGAAAAGACAGTTACGACAATAACAGCAAATACAAAACAACCATAAACAATCTTTCTTATCTTTGGACTTAAATTACTATATATAAATGATCTAATTTTTGACAGACAGAAACTCCAGGGCTTAGTGACGATAGTAGTAGGTACATAACAAAAGAACAAAAATAAAGAGAAATAAAGATAAATAAGACCTAAAATCAATAATTCTTGATTATAACCCTTTGGAATTTGTAAAGCATAAGCAGCACATAGAAAGCCAGTAAAAATAAGCCACATAGCAAGACTATATTAAAAGTGAAGTAGGTGTGAATAGGAATAAATAAATATATACATATATAAATCTATTTCTCTTTACTGGGCATATTTTCGATATCTTTGATATAATGATATCTTTTTCGGTTCTTCTTTTATTTCATTTTCTGTATGATCCACATCAGCTTCTTCTACTTCCTTCATTTTATCAAAAATAGACTCTTGTTTTATACTTGATGAAACAGAATTTAATTCTTTTTCATCATAAACCATTCTTTCATCTTGATATTTTATTGAATCTGATATTTTTTCTTTATCCATTTTAGATTAGTTTTAAAGAATAAAAGAAAAGAAAAGAAAAAAGAGGCGGGAGAAGAGAGAGGTAGGAAGGAAGAGGAGGAGAAGAAGGAGGCAATTTTTTATTGTATTTAACCTTCGTCAACTTAATTTTTGGTGTATTACTCACTGCACAAATGAAATAATATCTGAATAGGAAATCTTGATCAAAAAGAGTAAGATACTCCATGCTGTGTATTTATCTTTATTTCCCACGGTGTTTTTTTTTTATTTTATTTAAAAAAAAATTAGGCATTATTTCTATTCTAGGCTTACTCTACTTTAATCATCTTTGTTCTACACTTATGTAAATAATACCCTTATACTTATCAGATGACTAAAAGTAGGTGAAATATATATATATATATATAAAAGGGATGCTTTCTTTCATTTTTACTTGCTTATACTTACAAATAAGAATACACCAGGGCGGGTTGATCCCTTTTTTATTTCCTTTTATAGAAAGCATCCATTTAATGATAATAAAATAAGTGCTATAAAAAGAAACGAAAGAGAAGAAGAAAGGAAATTGGTTTTGACATATAGCTATTTTACTTGTATAATTCAATTTTAATTGGTGAATAGATTCATTTTCTTTTTTTTTTTTTTTTTGTGATTTAAGGGTTCTTAATACAGTTAAGGTTCTTTTTGCTATTTGTATCACCACCCATTCATTCACAAATTAGTAATACAATTGTATCTACCAATCAAATGTGTAACTATACTAATTTAATTAACACATGATAATGGTATTATATTATCTAAATACTTTTGTTGACGTGTACATACGGTATTATATCTTTCTTTTTTTCTTTAGAAAAGCAGTGATTTAAGTATGCCAAAAGTATCAATAATACGTTATTATAAAAGTATCTTTTTTTTTCCCCTCCAAGTAATAATAAGAATAAAGAAAGTAACACGTTTAGATGATATAAAATAGAATTAGTAGCATGTATATAAGTCCATAAGGCATGAGTTGCAGCAGAAAGATATACGTTGTACTTGAAAAATAATTCTATCAACAAGTTAAAAGTCGCCTTATAATAATTGGTCATGAAAGATGAATTTAGCTTTTAAAAAGGAAAGGAAAAAAGAAAAAAAAAAGGGGGGGGGAAAGGGCTTATATTTATAAACAAGTCTATATATTTCCAAAAAGTGTATTAAAGAAGATGTTGGAACTGTAATAGTAAATGATCAAGTTAAAATTGCAATCAAATATTTAAAGTTGGATACCTTAACTTTATATAATAAATTTCACTATAGACTGTATAATAAGCCTTGACTTTATATAATGAATTTCACTATAGACTGTATAATAAGTCTTGACTTTCATAAATATAAACATATTCATATTAAATAAAAGCACCTTTGAAACAACAATAAACTTTTTAGCTTATTGTATGTTTATTGATGAATAAATAGATATGCATCATAAAATATTATACAGTCACTGTTTATTTTATTATATGCATACTAAAATGATGATTGTTGTCAATATATCTTTTTTTTATTATTATTATTATTTCTTTAGTTTAACAATATGGAAAACTGTAAAGTAGAAATGCATATATAGATATAAGGTCCTTTTATAATGAACCTTTTTCTTTTTCTTTTTTTTTCTAGATTGGCAGAATCAACATGAATATCAAACAGGTAAATATGCATATGTATTTAAATAGATATACAATCGCCATCTTCTTTGGGTAATCGTTGTGTTTGATAGTAAACGAGATGAATAAAATGACTGAAGTCGATATCAGTCTTGCACAGTTAATGCTAGATAAATCCGACAACAATAGCAACTCTACTCTTTCTCAAGGTATATGAAAGAAGTCATTCATCTCATTTTTCCTTTTTTAACCTACCTGATAAAAAAGATAATAATTTAGTTACAACAGGTAAAGATTTTACTTGCTATCAAGATTCATTTTACTCTTTATTTTTCTTTCTTTCTTTCTTTTTCTTTAATAGATTTGTATAAAAGTCAACAAACAGTTAGAGTCAAGCTTTATGATGACAGAATAGATCCAAATAATCCTTTTTACTCTTCTCTTACAAGTTTTGAAGATATGAATTTGTAAATAGTTTTATTCATTCATTCATTCATTCATTTCTTGTTCTTTCTTTTCCTTATTCTTCTCATTAGAACTCCAAAATTATTAAGAGGAATCTATTCGATGAATTTTGCAAAACCATCTAAAATTCAAGAGCGAGCTTTATCATTATTATTAACTGATCCGTAAACAACAACAAGAATATTATATATATATATGTGTATATCATGACTGACTTGTTAATTTTTATTTTATTTTATTTTATTTTATTTTATTTTATCGGATCATCTATAGTCCTCAAAATATGATTGGTCAATCACAAAATGGCACAGGCAAGACAGCAGCCTTTATTTTAGCTATTTTACAACGTACAGATTTCTCTCTTCAAAAGACACAAGGGATTTGTCTTGTTCCTACACGAGAACTTGCACGTCAAGTGGTGGAAGTGATTGAAAAGATGGGTCAATTTACGGGTGTCACGACCTGTCTTGTGATAAGAGATTCTAAAGTCAAATTTCGTCAGATTCATGAGCAGATCGTGGTTGGGACACCTGGCTCTGTCTTGGATGTGATAAATCGTCGTGGTATTGAACTGGATGAGCTGAGAACATTTGTATTAGATGAAGCGGATAATCTTTTAGAACAGGGTGGATTAGGAGATCAAAGTATTCGTATCAAACGTATGGTCAGAAATCCAAGGACTCAATTTATCCTCTTCTCTGCTACATTCCCAGAACGTGTACATACATTTGCGAATCGATTTGCACCTAACGCGAATAAAGTCTTTTTAAAGGTAGAAGAATTAAGCATTGATGGTATTACACAAATCTATATGGACTGTCAAAGTGAAGAACACAAATATGAGGTTCTCTGTAATCTCTATAGTTTGTTAACCGTGAGTCAAAGTATCATCTTTTGTAAGTTTCGAGAGACTGCTCATAAGATCGCTATGCGTATGGAAGCTCAAGGTCATGCTGTAAGATGTTTACATGGTGGTATGTCCTCCACTGACCGAGATCAGGTGATGGATGATTTCAGACGAGGTCGATTCAAAGTCTTGATCTCTACCAATGTTGTATCACGAGGTATCGATATCCTGCAAGTCTCCCTTGTTATCAATTATGACATGCCCTCTGATCATCTAGGAAGACCTGATCCTGAAGCTTATATACATCGTATTGGTCGTACCGGTCGATTTGGAAGAGCAGGTGTGAGTGTTAGCTTTGCATATAATCGAAAGAGTTGGGAAGAAATTGCATATATGGAAGATTATTTCAAGACAAAAATCAGACGTATTCCTACAGAAGATTGGGAAAGAGTAGCAGAAATCTTGAAATCGATTTTATAAAGTTAAAAAAGAGAAAAAGGAACGAAAGAGAAAAAAAAGAAAAAAAAAAGGAAAGGAGGAAATATATAAGTTACATGCTATTATATGAAAATAAAATATATGAGTTATTAAAAATAGATACCATACATTTTCTTTATGATTTTAAAAGGAACTTTGTTGGTTTAATTACTTTATTTAGGTGCTGTTTAGCTACTAAGACGGCCTTCAACCTGTCAGAATGATTCTATCAAATAGAATACCAGATCCATGATACTGTTGATAATAGCATGAAGATGCCAATATATAGCACAACACGAATGGAAATAGCATCTATAGCCAGATAGTTTGTACAAGAAGGATAGATATTAAACTTATTCTTACTTGTGCCTGTGTCTCATGATTTAAATCATACCATACTCCATTACAAAGTTCAAGGTTAAGATATTTAATTACGAAACATGATATTACAAGTTAGCCCATCATCGTGAGTAGCCTAAATTATCTCAATTCGCAAAAAAGAAAAAAAAAAAGACACTCATACTGAATTAGGTATAGCTAATAGACCAATAAGTCTAACAATGGTATTTAGGAAATTGTTTGAACATTGTCTTTATCCAGTATACTAAAGAAAAAAAAACTAATTGATTGGTTGTTTAACAGAATTTGATTGTGTATTTCTTTCTATCTGTCTGTCTCTCTCTCTTTCTCTCTCTCTTCCTTTCTCTTTTACCTCTTGTGTCTTAAGAAGGTTTTTTAATCACTTTTTGTTTTTCATGTATTGAACTGGCTTGGATAAAATCCAAAATGGTATGGATATTATGTACTTATTGATCGTCTTGATTGTTTTTTTTTTCTTCATAAAAAAAATATTGGATCGTGTATGTATGATGATAGGTCATTATAGCTATTTATTTAAATGCTTTTATATAAAAGAGAAGAAAAGAAAGAAACAAAAAGGGTCGTCTGAAGTTAAAGTGGTTGTACATAACACGAGGATGTTATCCATTATAAATTGGACAAAGAAACAATTACCCTTGATATAAATAATGGTAAGGAGAGCAGTACAATAACTGTATAACACTTTCAAAAGAACAAAACCTTCTCCTTAAATTTCATTTAATACTCCTTTTCGACTTTTTTTTTTTCTTTTTTTTTTCCCTTGTTCCCCTATTAAAAGTTTATTTCATATACAAATTCAACATAAACTAGTGATATTTATTTAATATTTTTCTTCTTCCTTCCTTCCTTCCCTTTTTTTTTTCTTCAATAATAATAGTCGTTTTATGTACGAAGGAAAAAGAGAAAAAAATAAAGATTATTCACTTGGTTTACATGGTGCTGCTTTGAATGGCAATGTTGGTAAATAATAAAATGAAAAAAAAAATTGGACTGAAACGAATATGTAATAAATAAATATACACACATATATTTTAAGGGCTTGTCAAATTTGCACTTGATCATGGTGCGCCTATTGATTCAGTCATTAATGGTTACATGCCTTTACAATTAGCATGCATTAATGAAAACCATATTGCAGTTGTGCAATATCTCATTGATAGAGGTGCTGATGTTAACGCACAAAGGTAATAATAATAATAGTGATTATACACATGTGGGGTTTTAGGGGGGGAGAGAGTAGGAGGTTTAAATACCATATACAAAATATATTTATAAATCTGTATACATTTCTTTAATTGGCCAACCATATATCTATATATTGAAAAAAAGATGGTCAAAGAAACATAGTACAGATAAATCGCAGGCAGTGGCAGGCGCAACAGGTTCAACGGCTTTACATGTGGCATGTGCGAATGGATGTACTAAAATTGTCGATTTATTATTAAGAAATGGAGCTAGAACAAATGTACGTGATAAATATGGTTCAAGACCTGTAGATGTAGCAGCAGCTCGAAATCATATTGAAATTGTTAAATTATTAGAAACATTTGATTCAATGCAATTGATGCTGAAAGGATTACAGGAAGGTAAAAATAATGTGATTGAGCTTGAAAGAGAACCCTCCTATCGTCGCTCAATGGATACAACATATCGACAACAACAAAAGGCAGCAAAAATGGATAGATTACGAAGGCCGAGTTTACCGAGTGTATTTGAATCACAAAAATTGAATATACCAGACATCTCTACTTTACCCCCGCCTAGACATAGTTTAAATACAATAAGGCCAACACAGGATGAATTAGGATTGTTAGATCAAAATGATAAACACTCTCAACCTATTCCAGTTTCCTTCACTTATTCATCTACTAAATCTTCCTTTGATGATTCTTTCACAACCTCCGTTTCTACAACTGACAATTATAAAGAAGATTGGTATAGCTATGGTGTAGTGAATCATTATGATGATGAAAATTATCTTTTATCACTTGAAAGAAGAGCATTTGGACTCTATTCACCTCCTGCTACAAGCTATTTCAGCCATTATACAGAGCATGAGAATGAGAGTCGAGGTCGTGCCTCATTTGATATTCATCAAAGATCACCCTCTCTTGAGATGAGTTCTAGTCTAAAACGATGTAGTTCAGATGGAGGTCATTTACGTACTACAGCACTTATGAATGCAATGGCTGCTAATAATAATGACCCATCAGAGCCACGACCTTCAGTCTATGAAGGAGGAAGACCCTCATTAGATCAAATTGAAAGTTTAGCAAGCAATACAAAGAAATCATGGTGGAATCATATGATGGGTGGTAGTCCATCGAATGAAGTCCCTACTGTTGATACAGTAGCACGTAAATCCATCGACATTATATATCCAGTCGGTAGACCTTCACTGGATAATAATAGTGGACGTAAAAGTACAAGTCTTGATTTTAGACCAAGCTTAGATAGTTTATCTCAATTTGCTAAAAGGAATTTATTTGAAGGATTAACAAGAAGAAGTAGTTTAGAAACCAACAATGGTAACCTTATGGATGATAATAAAAGTAGTATATCAAATCGTAGTTTCCTATCAAAATGGTGGTCTAATCATAGTAATTCTATTAAAAAGTAATATGTTTTTTTATATATGTGTATGTATGTATGTATGTATATATAAGCGTATTGATACCCTTTCTTTTCTGCCCTTGATTTAAATAATAAAAAAAGAAAAAAAATACATATTTTTTTATTATCGTTATCATTATCATTATTCCCTTTCTTTCTCTCTTTCTCTCTCTCTCTCTATATATATGCATCATGTTTATGATTTATCAAACCAAAGTTTAACAGACTTATCTTGATCAATTGAACCTGAAGCAATAATATTCATTGTAGGATGACAAGCAATACAAAGAACAACGTCAGAATGGCCTTCTAGTTTTTGTACAATTTCTTTGGTTTGTAGATTCCAAATGTAGATATTATGATCTTCACTACCACTCACAATCCATTTCCCTCCTGTCACACTAAAACTAGCAAAGATACAATATTTGCTATTTTCATGTCCTCGGTATGTTTTGAGACATTTACCAGTATGATAATTCCATAGTCGTAAGGTATTGTCTAATGTGGATGCAAGAATATATTTACCATTAGGAGAAAACTTGACAAAAGACCTAATAATACATCGTTATTATTATTTCTCCTTCCCTTTTTCAACTTTATTTGATCTACTCTACTTACACTGGTGGATTATCATCATCTACTAATGTCTTTAAACATTGTCCACTTGCTGTATCCCAAATACGACTAATGATAATTCATTCTATTAAAATCTCCATTTGTATGTGTATGTATATATGGGTTCTGTTCTGAATACTCACATCAAGCCATCATGACTACAACTTACAATCATTGTACCATCTCTATTAAAATGAACTGCTGACACTGGATCTGAATGTGCTGGTAATGTCTTCATACATTTTCCTAATAAAAAAAGAAAATCATTGAATACAAGCCAATATTAAATATTAAATCTATAATTTTACCCTTTTTGACATCCCAAATTTTGATACTTTCATCAAATGAACCGGAAACAATTAAATTAGATTGGGGATTATAATTAACGCAGAAAACATAATTAGAATGTCCTTTTAAGACTTTAACAGTTTCACGCTATAATAATAAAGTTAAGCACCTCCTTTTCTTTTTCTCTTTTGTTATACTTTACTGTAGCAAGGCTCCAGATACGAATTGTTCTGTCATCAGAAGCAGAGCATAAATTTTGAGAATCCGAAGACCAAGCAACGTCTGAAATACCTTGTGTATGACCTTCTAATGTGGCTTCATATTTACCGTCCAAAGCATGCCAAATTTTGATTGTTTTATCAGCAGCTAAGTAAATAAATAAATAAATAAATATATACATATATAAATAAGGGGAATCACAATGCACTCTGGAATAATTGTTGCACTTTTACTGTATTGAATACTTACAACAACTAGCTAACCATTTGCCATCAGGTGAAAACTTCACACTAGAGACAGACATACGATGACCGACTAAGGAATATTTTAATTCATATTGTGGTTTACGTTGTTCAGGGCGTGGCTTTTGAGCTGGTGGTGGTTGTGTAGGTGTTTCGTGGGTGGACTCTGGTGGTTTTTGAGTTAATGTCTCTTCTTCGCGTGGTCTTTTGCCTTCTTCTAATTTAGGTGTATTTGTGTCCACTTTAAATAAAATAAAAGAATGTCAGTTTTTTTTTTTCCTTATAGAAATAAGTTGATTTGAAAGAGCAATAAGAATACACTTACTTTGTTAATTTGGTTAAAGTGTAAATAAGTAATTTTCAAGCAATGCGTATGAATTTTTTTTTTCTATCGTATTTCTTTATTTTTACTTTTTGTTTAATATTGCTGTTGCTCTTGAATGAACGTCTATTATGATGTTAAAAAAAAAAAAAAAGTTGTATATATTTAAAAAAGGACGTGTCTTATTATATGTATCTAAATGTAAATAGAGATAGGAAATGAAAAAAAAAAAAAAAAAAATAATAATATAAAGAAATGTGACGGTGTTCTGGGAATAAATTATTATTGTGGTTTCCAAATTATTTGAAACACAAATTCGATTTTTTTGAAATACAAATTCAAGTTATTTGAAATAGAAATTTCATTTATTTGCAAAGATAAACGTAATTAATTGAAAAAAAAAATCAAGTTAAACAACTAGATATTCGTTTACTTTCTAAAGATACTATAACCATATACTTTCTTCACTCAAAGAATAAAACTGACTGCCTAATAATACAGTTGAAACTGTTTTATACGTTCCGTATGTAATTATTCAGTATCAAAAGGGTTTATATTTTAAAATAATTACAACAGATAACATTTAATATATCAAAAGCCTACTTATAAAAACTGCAAAATTTTTATTTTTATCACCTTTTCTTTCTTTTTTTTCTCTACCTATTATTGCTATCATAGTATGAAACGTAAAAGGAAATCACCACCCTGACCCTAAGGAAGAGGTGGGGTCACTCTTCCAAAAAAGAGGTATGTAACAGAATAGGGAAAGCATTACTTAATAATATGCACACGCATGATGTCTTTGTAATAGTGAGTAAAACTCTTCCCAGACCTGCTACTACTCTTACCAACTAGGATGAACTCCTAGAAGTCTCTGACAATGATTTTCAACCACAAATAACAAGTAAGTTTCATTATATTGAATTAATAAAGTAAAAACCGATAAAATGTAAATTAAGATCAAGAAAACTTATCATTCAAGAAATTATAAAGAATATGAAGAAACAGAGCGTATCACTGTCCAAGAAGAACAATTCACTGAACAAGGTAATCATTTATAATTTATTTTTTTTTCGAAAACAACACTCACAGTTTTACCAATTAAAACTACTCCCGCTAAAAAAGACAAAGGTAAAGGAAAGGCAATTGCTACAGCTCCTACTACCAAAGAAAAAAAAGGTAAGGTCTACTCCCACTGTATGATTGCAAAGCCAAGTCTGTTCAAATAGATCAACAAATATTTTGGAAACTTGCAAGAAAAGTAGTAAAGGATGACAAAGAAGAATATAAGGAGAGTATTCGAAAAAAAATCCTAACGAAACAGATTTTAAAAATGGTACTCAACTCTTTTTATTTTTTCTAAAAAAGGTATTAAACGAAACAATAACACTGATAATGATAACAGATTATTTTGGTAAGTTTTTTTTTCTTAATACAACCTCCAACTACTAAAAAGTATATCAACAACATAGGAATTTAATTCAAACAAATGGTTGTTATTCTGTTAAATTTCACTTTAAAAAGAAATCCAAAAAGTCAGAGAAGAATAATACTGTGGATGAATTGACTCCTATGGGTTTTGCTGACGATGTCAAAAACAACAATGCACTTATTTGGGCTATAGATCCTCGACAAACTGATATTTTCACTGCTGTTGACTCTAGTACCTCTGACAAGAAGAAAAGGATCCCTAATGCTCCCAAAGATAACCAGACCACCGACTTTTCTAGGAAAAGAATTATTGTCTTTGGTAATGCTAAATTTGGTAGCTCTATGAAAGGAAAACTTCCGGCTCCTACTAGACGGATAACGGATGTAATTAAGAAAATGTCTAAAGAATTGAAAGGAAACACTTTTATCTATGTTGATGATTATTTGACTAGTCAAACATGCAACCATTGTAAAAATCGAAACTTAACTAATATTACTACAACCAAATCGAAGCGTGAACTTCATGCTGTACTCAAGTATAACTCTTGCAGTACGGTATGGAATCGTGACGTGGTGGCTGCTAAAAACATAAACTACATTTTTACATACATGTCACAACTTAAAAATAAAAAGACCTCGTGAATTTCAAAGATCTTCTTAAATGTATGCGATCTCTATAACGGTTTCGTATCCCTTACTTAACAGGTACGTTGTATATATTATATTATTATCTATCACTCTCACTAACCTTTTCATTTTACCTTTTTTTTTTTTTTTCAAATAACTCTAATTGATATTTCAATTAATTTTTATTTATACTTCAAAAAATTTTAAACTTTTATTTAAATTATTTGAAAAATACAGTATACAGGAAATGGTATTTATGCCTTTTATCTACTTCTGTATCTATATGAATATGTATATATATATAAAAAAAGAAAAAGAAAAAAGAAAACTACATCAGCTTGTTTCAGTTAAACAATTTACCTTATTCGAAATAAAATAGAGCTTTGTATTTATTATATTATACACTCAATATTCGTTCCTGAAAAAAAAAAAGTAATATCATAAAAGACTAGCTATTTTTATCATGTATCTTTAGTTTTCTTTAAATCAATTTTATTGTGAGCTCAACATAAAAGCACAAATCAGTTTAATAATAATAATGATTATATAATATGTATATAAAGGGGATTGAAATGGAGGAGGAAAGTTACAAATGGGAGTGGAGGTGGGGGAGGGGAAAGAGAGAGAGAAAAAAGTCATCTTTAAACTTGTTTAAAAACTAATTTTTGTTATGATATTGAAAGTCAAATTTAGGTAATTGAGATAAACAATTTTGACAAATAATTTGGCTAAAGTCTGAGCTCGGATAAACCGTTGTCACTGTGGACATGACATCAGTTGAGAATCTGTTTTTTAGTGCTGCAGTAGCTATGTCCATATTTTTATCTAAAAATTTCTCAATGTCGACTTCCTTTGGTATGATATGTTTAGGTAGAGTCATTGATGTAGAATTTGTAACTAACGTAGCACCGTTAAAGGAAACAGGTGACTGAGATGGTTTCTCGGGAGGATTAAAGGATATAATAGAGGCCTTTTTAATTCTTGATATTTCAATATCATCATCATCTTCTTCTTCGTCTTCATCGTCTTCATCACAACTTTCTTGACCTTTATTCCCTTTACTTTCTTGTCTCTTATTCATTTTAAATTGTTTAATTAATAAGTAGCTTGTAATAACCCCTAAAAAAAAAAAAAAAAAAAAAAAAAAAAAAAAAAGAATCTTATTTAGTAAAGAGAAATAAAATAATAATAATAATAAGACTTTACAATCAAAAGAATACAAGTCGGCTGATAGACCACCCATAACACGACAAGAGATCAAAATGGCTGTAATAATATTAGAAGCAATCACACCAACTCTATAAGCATTAAAAATAAATAAATGAATAATTAAATAAATAATGTCACATGTAAATTACTCTACTTTACGAGAAAATAAGACCATTTGATAAAAGTGATTTATGAAGACTATTACCAAAGACACGATAATGTCGATGAATTACCATTAAAAAGGCAAATGACAAAAAGACATTGCTAGCGATATCTAAAGCTAATTTAGCTAATGCTGGCCATTCAAGGTTTCTCATAACACAATTTCCCACAATATCTTTATAGGTAGGTACTCGACCTAGAGTTGCATAGATAAAGATTAAGGCAATATACCCAATATTAATAAAAGAACCCAGAATAATGAGCCATTTACTACGATCATAGCAGATATAAGCTTTATATAATAAGATTGTTTGAATACAACAGCCACCAAGGTTAACCGCAACAATAGACACCCAAAATCTCTATAGAAATTGAAACAAAATTAATATATGAGAATCACTTTTGATTATAAAAAAAAAAAAAAAAAAAAAAAAAAAAAAAAAAAAAAAAAAAAAAAAAAAACTTGTATACGTACAAATCCACAACTAATTGATGTTAATGAATTTAATATACTACAGAGGATGGAACTAAAGGAAAGTAATGCTTCAAAAACAACAGCGAAATGTAGCCATTTTCGTGCTTTATAAGCTAATATTATTGCTGCCTTAATTTGCCAAATTGTACAAGCCAAACACACACTCATATAAACAACTGCTGCTGTGGTATGGCGAATATAATTTTGGGTATCTGTATTCAAATGATCATATCGGACATCTCCAGCTATCACATTTTCGAATAATGGATGATATAAATCATAATAAAGATCATCTGCATCACTCATCGAATCAAGAAAGAAAGTATAAAATGCGTATAAAAGAAAAGAAAGGAAAGAAAAAGGAAAAGAAAAGAAAAAGAGAATAATATTTATATGTATTTATATATAAAACGATGTTCTGTGAATAGGTTGATTTAAACTATCAAAATGCAGTTAACTCCTGAAATATGAGGAAAAGAGACACGATATACTTTTTTCTTCTTCTTGATTATAAGATTATATTAACGTGACCAGAAAAGAAAAGAAAAAGATCTATAAAGAGTAAAGCAATAAGGATTGTTTAAAATAAAGAAAACATACATGTCGTTTAGCTGCTGTTCTATTCAATAGATATTACTTTATTTTAAAGAAATGTAAAAGTTGATGGCAATTATCTGAATACAGACTTCCTTTGTTCGCTTAAAAAGGCAATCAAAGCATTAATGAAATATAGAGAACAGCATCATATACATATAAGCAGAGATAAAAAGTACATATAAATACTACTTCTATACCACCAAAAAGAAAAGAAAAGAAAAAAGGGCGTATACCCAAATTGACTATTAAAATCATTTGCAACTTGCTTATCATGAAATATTTCTTTCAGATTGTTTAAATGCTTTTTTAAACTATGAATTTTTCTTTGTAGTAAATGATGGTCCCCTTGTTACTTCTATATATAGTAAAGTCTATTTTTTCTTTTTTTTTTTTTTCCTGCTAGAAATGACAGGTTAATAACCTTATTTCAAATTTAAACACTAGTTATAACAAATGACACATAGTATATCCTCTCATCTATTTAGCAGTAAAGTAACGTTTAACCTTATATACACTTTATTATGAACAGACTAAGTTAGCCATTGTACTTTCAACATACTATGTGTCCTAAAAAAAAAAGAAAAAGAAACTACTCACTTGTTTGAGAAGAATACTTTGTATATATTTTTAATCGTTGTATTGAAAGATATTTTTTTCTTAAAAAAAAAATTCTTTGAGAATAAATGACAAAGACTGTAGAAAATTTCAAAAAAAAAAAAAAAAAAAAGTAACAAAGAATTGAATGCAGAATAGTTTATTCTTATTATATATTTCCACAACTCATTATCAGTCCTCTTCCATAGTATACTTTCTTACTTACTTTACTTTTATAAGCAACTAACAATAACATATATTATAAACAGTAAAGATCGAATAATAGGAATGAGTGATTACCTAACAGAATTGTTGAATAAAGATAATTTATTCGAGCAAAATATTTGTAAGCAAAAGAAATTAAATATCAGATATTTGCTGTATTATTTAATAATGCTCTCCACCTCTGATACATTACTACAGAATTGAATATTTACAACGCTGATAAGTATTTAGCGAATTTTTTTTCCCTTCTATAACCACTCTAGTATATCTTTATTTAATTGCAAAGCGTTTATATCAATTAGATTAATGAATATTCGTTTGTTTGTTATAAAGAATATCATCTTTCATCAAGACATTTTTTACCTTTTTTTAGATCGATTTTTTACTATCATGTTTAAATTTCAGCTATATTTCACACGTACTTTTTTAACAATGTTTACATAACAGTTTCGTCAATTAAAATTCCGTTACTTTAATTTTTTTTTTTTTTATTATTATTACGCACATATAAAAAGAAACTTCTTTTTTCTTATTAAAATACGAAAAGTAATGATAAGATTTGCTTTTCAAAATAATTATTTAAAAACTTGTTTAAATCCTTATCACTCTTTAATTTCAAAAAAGCGTATCGTTTCAATTTCAATTAGAACTATGGTCACTATTGTAGATATTCCCAAGGTATAAATAAATATAAAATAATTACAACGTACGGATAGTTGACATCTTTTATATTATAGCTTAAAGACCCTTCTTTGTTTAAGGAAGCTGGTTTTATTAATAATGAATGGACAAATATGGGGGTTACAGAGATGTTCCCCGTCACAGATCCTGCAACTGATAAAGAAATAGGTCAATTACCAGATATGGGTGCTAATGAAGTGAAAAAAGCCGTTGATATCGCCCATCATGCCTTCAAGTCTTGGTCACAAACGACTGGTGAACAACGTCATGATTTACTCTTGAAATGGTATCGCGCTATAATGGAGAATGTAGATGATTTGGCTATTATCTTAACTCATGAAAATGGAAAGACATTAAAGGAAGCTAAAGGTGAGGTTGCTTATGGTGCTTCCTTTTTCCAATGGTTTGGTGAAGAAGCCATTCGTACTTATGGTTCAGTTATTCCTGCTCATGTTCCTGGACAACGTTATGTAACAATCAAACAGCCTGTTGGTGTAGTGGGTATCATTACCCCATGGAGTAAGTGAGACATATTACTTAAAAAAAAAAAATAAAAAAAATATCAACATCTTGTTATTAGATTTCCCTGCCGCTATGATCACTCGTAAGGTAGGCGCTGCTTTAGCTGCTGGTTGTACAGTGGTCATCAAGGCAGCCTCAGAAACTCCTTATTCTGCTTTAGCTTTAGCTGAGCTCGGTAAGCGTGTCGGTATCCCTCCTGGTGTGATCAATATCATTCCTACTCATGAACATACAAAAGAGGTTGGCTCTGAATTATGTACTAATCCTACAGTTAAGAAAATTTCTTTCACTGGTTCTGTAAGTCGTATTTGTATATGTAGAAATATATATATATATTCATATATTCATATATATTCATACTTTATTCTTTATATAGACTGCTATTGGTAAATTATTAATGTCTCAAGCTTCGGGAACAATGAAGAGAGTTTCTATGGAGTTAGGTGGTAATGCATCCTTTATTATTTTTGATGATGCTGATATTTCTAATGCTATTGATGGTAAATAAACTCTTATATATATATACATGTGTAGAGAATAAAGAAGTTGAATATCTTATATACATTTATTTATTTTAGCTACAATTGCCTGTAAATTTAGAGGCACAGGTCAAACATGTATCTCGGCTAATCGTATTTATGTACACAAGAAAATTTACAAGGAATTTTCAACTGCTCTTGTTGAGAAAGTCAAAAAGTTTCAAATGGGTCATGGTTTTGATGATAAAGCTACCTATGGTCCCCTCATCAACAGTAAGGGTGTCGAAAAGGTCAAAAGACATGTTGAAGATGCTATCAAAAATGGTGCTGAATTATTAGTAGGAGGAAAACATCATGGTGGTAATTTTTATGAGGCCACAGTTTTGGGGAATATGCGTCCTGACATGTTAATTCATAATGAAGAAACCTTTGGCCCTATAGCTGCCCTTTTCCCATTTGACTCTGAGGAAGAGGTTATCAAGCTTGCTAATGATACCCCATTTGGTTTAGCAAACTATTTCTTTGCTCGTGATATTGGCCGATGCTGGCGTGTAGCTGAACGCTTAGAATCAGGTATGGTGGGCATCAACACAGGGTTGATTTCTAGTTGCTATACACCATTTGGAGGCATTAAGGAATCTGGTTTAGGTCGTGAGGGATCTCATGTTGGTATTGATGATTATATGAATATCAAATATATTAACATGGGTGGTATTTAAAGATACCATATTGAATGACTTTTAATAAAACTTTTCATGTTATATATAAATATATTAGATGATGTTGGAGAGGGGAAGGGGCTTCTAATAAATTTTACGTATTAAGAGGAAGGGAGGGAAGTCAGTATGTTCAGCTTTATATTAAAGTTTTTACAAGTTTATCTATTGCAAAAAAAAGTTTCTATAATTAGCCTTATAGAAATTGAATAGTAATAGCATAATTAGGAACCAGGTACTGGCAATTTGAAACAAATGATGTATCCTCAGCAATATAGATAAATACAATGATCTCTAATTCTGAAACTGTTGTTATAGATGTTTTGATATTACTAAGACTAGCTTTCTAGTATCTGTCCCATAGCATACATCAAATGAGTTAAAACCATTTCGAGAATTTTATTATATATTTCTACGTTATCTGCTTTGTAGAAGAACATATAGATCGTTCACTTACGTGTAGTTTTTCTTGGTAATAAAAAAGCATAACACTTTTTGGATTGTACTATTTTTTTTTTTTTTTTTTTTTTGTTGCATTCGTTTTGGCAGGTGTAAAAAATTCAGTGGGAAAAAAAATAGTGACAGACATGGTATATAATTAAAATACTTTATTACACATTGTATGTATGACAGTAATCGACCAGCGATATAAATATAAAATGAATACTTTTTTTTTTCAAGATAGAAAAAAAAAAAAATAGTCATCATAGTTAATCTTCATCAATAACCCAACTTTCATTAGCCTTCTTGTTTATGAAATTATTTTCAATGTCCATCCTGGTTTTGACGCTTCCTCTTTGTACAAACGGTTTAAGACCTTTACCAAAGTTGCGCATACAAATATATCCTAAAATACATGTACATAATGTTACCGCAACACCAATCCAAACTATAAATAAAAAATAAAATAAAATAAATAAATATTAACTTGCGATAAATTTCATAATATACTTTACTTAAAGTAATCCAAGTATACCAATTATTATTTGGTTGAAGAGTTTGAGAAAAGATTAAGGCAAAATGAAATAGGGCTATGCATTCAAACGTAATAAATATACACATTCTTACTTTGCTTTCTGTACTTCCCTAGAAAACAAAAACAAAAGATGTTAATTATATAGGAAATATGTGTATGTAATATTATATTTGATTTACTTACTGCAGTACGAGCAAAATAAAGCATTGGAATACTAAAGACAGTAACAACAACCTGAATGATTGTTTCCCACATAATTCCTTGCTTCATTGCAAATTGGATAAGATAGAATACCGATACCATAAATTGAGTGAAGATATCGATTTTCAATGATAATACAAAAAATTGAAATATACGATACATGCCTAAAAGTATATGTTAATTTATAGTTAATAAAAAAAAAGAAGAAGAAAGAAAACTTTTATAATTATATACTCTACGTTGAATTTGTACGTCTGCTCCAATCTTTTTATAAATGTTCCAACCAAATTGTTTAGACATTTGATAACTAAGAAATGACATGATAATAGCAAAACTCATGGTAATCACAGATAGTGTAATTTCAATTTTTTCTGCCATGGATAATGGATAAACAGGATATGAGGTTAGTATTAATCGATTAAGCCATTTGACACCATCTACTACTTGTAACGCGCCCAGAATTGCACAAACAACATTTAAAACAGCTAATGCTAAAATCTCCGCTGTATTCTGATACACTGTCTAATTTGACATGCAAAAATGTTAATATATTATTATTATAATTATTATTATTATAATTATTATAATTTACAGCATCAAAGGCCATTCCTAAAAACCAAAATTGAAATCCGATAAACGCAATATTTTCCCATTTTATTCTACCAAGTCGATCAGCAGCTTGTATTGGGATCAAATCATCTGATGTAGAAGCTCGAATAAGTACATTATCTGTAGTAGGCTCTGGTAATAAATGAGCTTGGTAAGTATTTAGATAACAAATCGATGCTTGTAGCGCAACAATAATGATACATTGGCAACAAGCCATAGAACAATATAATTTTGACCATTTTGTTTCTGTTATTCGATCAATCTAATATATATTTGTATATTCAGTTTATAATACTTTATTATTTTTAAACATAAAGTATAGATTTACAATTTTCTTAGTTGACACCATAATAATAAACGTCAAAAAAAAAAAGAAAAAAGAAAAGAAAAGAAAAGAACCAGCCTTTTTACAAGAAAAAAATAGAAGAAAGAAAAAATAAATAAATTAAATCTAATAAGCATTTTATTTAATTGGAATTATTTTTTCAAGATCCGCGTTTCAATATATTATAATTATTGTTTACACAAAAGAAGTATTGTATTGTTGTCATGATCATACTCTTTTGATTGACTTTGTATTTCCATAACAACAATAGATTTACTACATTATTTCGTTGCTAAGTACTAAAAAACAATAAGCTTCTCCTTAAATAATTCCATTTTATAAACAGCATTACTGATAGTGTTTTTAAAGAAAAAATGCAGCGATTTTTTACTGATCAGGGAACTTTTCTTTTTGTCCTCCTTAAATTAAAAAAAATTGCCTAGACCAGTAATAGCCCGGCCTAGTTTTAATTTTTGTTTCTATCATATATTCATTTCTATCTTTAAATCCAACGCAGTAATTTTTTTTTTTTTTTTTTTTTTTTTTGGATATGAATGTTGTACTAAAACTACTTTTTTAAGAAATTGATATAAATTACAAATAAGGTTTTTTTTTTCTAAAAAAAAAAAAAAAATACTATATCTAATCTACAATAAAGCATAAAACATAAGTTGTTACCATTGAAGAAACAAATTAAATTAACGCCAAGCTTCAATAGTTTTCTTCCCTTTTTTTTTTTTTTTTTCTTTTTTTTTTTCGAAGGCAAAAAAAAGGAGAAAAGGAGAAACGGAGAAAAGGAGGAAGGATAAATTATATTTCTTATTTGGTATTTTCATGTCTAACTGATCAATTTCCGTTGCCCATGTGGATATTGAATGAAGTGTTCTATGCAATTATTTATATCTTGTAGGAAATGCTGTCATTACTATAAAAGCTATATCCTATGTAATTGCCCCAGATCAAGCCCATATGTATATGTATATTTATATACTATACCCTCTGGGATATATAACGTATGATTATAATCTAACATGTAATTGATTGTCTATGCTCCATCATCACCTAAAGAATAAAATATTATGTTTACATGCTCTTATTTAACAATGTTCAGTATGTAAAGTAATATTATAGTGCACACTTAAGTTAAATATTCTAAGCTTCATTGAACAATCTTTTTATTTTTATTATGTAATAAATGATAGTTTATTTCTGTAGTCTTAGCTACATAGAAAACTACCATAATCATAACACATACTATTCTTTTGCCTTATTATACTTCTATCAGTTGTATTGTACAATAATAATATATTATTTTCGGGCAATCATCTATATTTATAATATATATAATGCTAGGAATTCGTTTTAGTCTTTATATGTATATGTATATATCTTTAACTCTTAATAAACATATTAAAAGATATTGGAGTATTTTGCCTTGTTCTTTTCCCTTCCCTTTTCTCTTTAAAAACTCACATAAATCACAGCACTTATTATTTAGTCTATTATACCATATCTTTTGATTATTATTTTATTATTATTTTAATTTTTCTCGCAGCCGCTATCTTCCCCCCACCCCCACTAAATAGATATTGATTCTCTTCCTGGTACTCCAGTCAGTTTTACGAATATCTGTAGTTCTTTGACACCAGGTGCCCGTATTCTGTCTGTAAAGTCATATATTTCTAGCATTGGTTGTATAGAATAGCGTATTTAAACATTAGAAAGCTTTGTAAAGATTGTACATACTGTAACTATGCATGTCTATTTTATCAGCAAAATTTTTATATCACAAGATGTCTTAACAAAGATTTTTTTTTTGCAGAAGTTTGGCTTTTGTTAACTGCTTACCGAAGAAGAGGATCTAGTATTCTGACTGCAGAAAGACTTGTGTTCATCAATCAATATCTTCAAGATTGCTGTGACTTGTCAAACTATGAAAGCTTGTTATACGGAAAACAAACTTCGTTAATCGAAGGAATTAAAAATATATATGGTGTACACATGTAATCTTAAACTGACATTTGGCAATCATTTTCGATGTGTAATCAATGTTCTTTCGGATATTTAAGTGAGAGTAGCCAAATTGAAATCAAGAAGAGAAGCAGAAAGTGTATGGAAGATAAGTCTATATTAGATTAGTTAATAAGAAAAAACAAAAAATGATTGTAAAGATAAACAAATGGCTCTTTCATGAGCTTATTGGAATTTATATACAAATAGATAAATTAATATTTAAATGATAGTACCTTAATAATTTACACAGTCCCTTGTATGTCTTCCTTTTCTCTTGCCCCTAATGCTGTAATGGTCTTATTATTAATATATTTATCATTAAGAAAAGAAAAAAAATAAGACCCTATCCTATCACAAGCTTTTACGGAAATGAAAGGATATGTATATAAAATAAAAGAGCCTAGCAAGTTAAATACATAAATAGTAAACATATATTTATAAATAGAATCGATATCATTTGTTGTTAAATGGATTAAACTATATTGTCTTTTCAACAACTAAAATTTCTATATGTATATTCTGCTTTCCTTTTATTTCGTATAATACTCCAAGCAGCTTTTATTATAAAATGAGACCCAACTAAAAACAGTGTAGCAGATGTATTCGAAAGCTTTAGCTAAAAAAACAGAGAGAGAAAAAAAAAAGTGAAACTACAGCACTCGAACTTTATAAACTACTATCAAACTTATTTGTGTATCTTTTAAAGGCTGAAACACAAAAAGCCGCCCTGAACTAAACCAAGTTTCTATTAGAGGTAAAAAAAAAAAGGGGGGGCCTTTTCCCTTCTCCTTTGAAAAGAAACAATATTTCGTTTCTCTTTTTTGATAAAAAAACATACACACTTGTAACTCGATCAAGCATGTCGGACGTCAAACGCAAAGAATGTAAGTGAATTTCTGTTATTTTTCACTACCATTAATATTTCAACATTCAGTAATTTATAGGTCTCTTATAGAGTGAAAGGACTTGGATAATGTAGTCTTTTGGACAGATATGATGGCTACATGCAGAGCTGATATTGTTCAAGACTATACAACAGGTTCAACTGATACCTCGCGTAACCTAAAAGGTGTCTGGAAATATCGTGTAAAAACTATAGCCAAAGAGTTCAATATAACCGTCAAAGTGAATAATGATAACTGATATGTCATTGAAAAACTTACTTACCTCCTTGTTTTGTAAAAAAAAGAGAGAGAGAGAAAGGTATACTAAATAACAAAAATTTAATATACCTAATAATATACATATCAGATAACGAGTGCTGTAGTTTCACCTTTTTTTTCTCTCTGTTTTTTAGCTAAAGGTTTCAAATACATCTTCTACACTATTTTTAGTTGGGTCTTAAGGATTTAGTTGCACTGATTAGTACGTATAGAATAAACGAAAAATGAAGATGTATCGAAAAGAAAGAGAAAATTAAATAGATATGTAACTAATTATTTTGTTACAGAAACAACATTCATAGTATTCACTTTGTGTTATATTTTCTTTTTCTTTACAAGTGTTATATCACTCACCAAGAATAACAGGAACTCCAGGAGCCACACAAATAGTATTTGATCGCTTTTTTTTTATGAAAATCCATTTGTTGTTATAACTGATGCTGTAGAGAGTTTGACCACAGCTTTTGAGGGGCTTAATATCAAGAAGTTTAGAGCACATGGGTTTATGAAAGACGAATGCAATCTTTCGTTAAAAGTCGCCATATTGCATCCAGTCCCAATTGGTCAACTTTTTGAAAATTTGGACACTTTTTTGAATTTCATTTGATCATGAAGCATTATCAGACTAACAAGGGGTTAGATGGGTAATTTATTCATACACTTGGAAAAAATATTAATGGAATGCTGAACATAGTTTTGTATGTTTTGGAGTGATACTTGCTTACAGGCATCCATTATTCGAGAGGTAAGTGTCTCATTGTCCTGAAGCTTTTCTCTCTTGACGTATTCTTTTAAGCCTTTCTAGAATTGCTCGATTGGGTTTCGTTTTGGCGAATAAATTAGGAGATATATAGGTATATATCTACGGTTGACAATAAGAGAATCAACGATACTATGAATGTGAATGGGAGCATTATCCAACACTAAATGATACTCTTTCATCTCTGGAAATTGATCTATAATATCCATCGCATCAACAATAAACTGCATAAAATGTCCGCCAGTGGTTCCTTTGGATATGCTTAATCGACCCACAGGAGGTTTTCTTTTTGTGGCGCCAACTACTCTTCTTCTTTTTAAATTGCCATGCTCTCTGACACTAATGTTGACAATTCCAGAAGACGACACTACACCAAGAGTAGTCTTTGAAATGGCTCTGGTAGACGGAGTAACAACAATTGCTGACTCCCCACGCCTAGACCATGCCTTTCCTCTTGTCATAATTAAGTTAAAACCCGACTCATTAATGAATACGCAATTGTTATGATAGTTGATTCCTTTAGAACTCCATTCAGCAACCCAAACTGCGCGAGTTTCAATGGTTTTAGGACTATTTCTTTAAACTGAATGACGAGTAACATTCTTTATACTAAGGTTGCATCATCTTTCATAAATACAGTCACCCTTGACTTTTTAATGACGAGTCCTTCGAAGTTTTTAATCAATTCTTCTACACCGTCTTCAATAATTGCTGTCGGCTTCTCATAAAAATCCACAAATTGTTTTTTTATGTTGATTGTTAAGTTGTGAGACCTGTTGCTTTCCAGTCTTATTCGTTTTTTTTTTTCTTTTCTTTTTTTTTTTTTTTTGGAGGGACACCCGCATCAGGGTTAGCTATGTATTCTGTCTTCCATTTACGAGTTGTGTGCGTGTTAACGTTCGCAAACTTAGCTGCAGCATCGTTCTTCAAATTCTTTTCAAACACGTAATGGATATACATCTCCAATTGAAAGCTGGTGTATTTTATATATTCAGTGCTCCTACTGTCCTTTTCAGCTATCGTTGCTTCTTTCATGATAATATCAGTATTGTTGTGAGGAAGTCCTGACATATCAACTGACGTATGCTTGATAAACTTTTGCAGAGTCTTAAATTTCGACAAGCGAAAGGAGGGTAACTCATCAACCGACATAGTTTCTCTACTATTATTATCGTAAATATTTTCTTGGCTATCCTCAGTGTAAAATGTTAAGTTAGAAGTTATTGTGTGTTACTATTGAAATGATCAAATGAAGTTAAAATTTATTAATTTTAGGTGACCAAATTTTCAAAAAGTTGACCAATTGGGGCTGGAAGCTCTGTATATGCTTATATGTATTTATATTTGTATATATTTATATTTGTATATGCATTTATGTATACACAACAAATTAATACTTTATTATTACTCATCAGTTTTTTTACAATGATAAAAGGAATTATTGGACTAGTGTAAGTTTACAAAAAGAGTCACGTTTATGCAACGAAAAAAAAAAAGGTTCCATCATGTTGCCTAATTATTCTAGCCTTCTTTTTTTTTTTCCACTCTCTTCTCTCTCTCTTCTTCATATGTAATACATTTTACAAGAAATATACATGCTTATATTAGAAATTTAAACAGAATGAAAAAAAATACATGTATAATACCTACAGAATTATTAATGCAAATAGTAACGTATTTGGAACCAAATGATAAAAGAATGGGTATGCTAATCTGTAAAGAGTGGTATCAAGTATTTCGATATAGCCTTTATCATACTATTTTCGTAAAAAATAAAAAGCAGCTTATGTTGCTTTTAACCTCACTTACTTCACTTCAAAGAACAAATGGCTATTTCATTAAGCATATTTACATTCGAAAAAGAACAACACTGTTACTACCACAACAGAAACAACAATCAGTTACACTTGTGCCACCTTTTCTATTTGAACAACTTCCTATCCTTTGTCCCAACTTGGAAACTTTAGATTTTGATTCTTCCTCCGAATCATGGAAGAGTATTTACTTTCATGATAATATTTCAAAATGGATTTATATACGACAATTACCCACCTTAACGAGTTTAAGCATGGCTTATCCCTTTTTACATTTTATTGGGGAAAGATTAAGACACCTTTCGATCAAAAGTGATATACTTGTTGATCTATCGACACAAGGACGCTTAGTGTCCATTCTCACGCTTGTTCCAAATATCACGAGTCTAGAGATTAAGGGAGATGAGGGAAATAGTCAAGTTACTCTTCATCTGACAATAGACGATATTGAAATCATACATAATATCTTGCAACGTTTAAAGCGTCTCTATATCACTGGAGACCGCATTCAACTGCATATCAATCAAAGCCATGAGAAACTCCCTCTTCAACAGCAGATCAAGAACTTCCTCATTGCACCAAATCTTGAATCATTGTGTTTCAATACACGCTTTACTTCTGCTAAATGGCTTTTTTATATTGCTCATAAATACCCAAATCTTCATCATTTAATCATAGATGTGCAATATGATGATCATGATCATGATCATGACAATCAACAAGAGCTTAATACTATGGCTACAACTTCTTCTTTGACAGAAACTCTTTATATAGAAAAAAAGGCTTTATTTTTAAATTTAATAAAGAGGTGCTGTCATCTAGAAACCATTTCATTGTCTTGTCCCACACTCAGTCATTGGTTTAATTCGGAGTTCTTTGAAATATTAAAAGAGCGAGTAAATTCTTCGTCACGCTGTAGTAGTATTAAGAAAGTACAAGCTAATGTTCACAGAAATAATCAGATCAAATTTGATTCTGAATTTAGACTTGCTTTGCAATATGGTAAAGATTTAATCACTTCCCTTGAAATTGATCAATGGCGATTAAATGCGACCTTGTCAACTACTTTGAACTCTCTCAAGGGTTTTAGTCAACTCTCTTACTTGGAGATGAAATGTGATTCTTATCACGATGAATATGATATGAAAGTGCTCCTGAATAATTGTCCTGTACTTGAAACACTTGTCATCGAATGGGGTACACTTTATGTATCTGATTTGAAACCAAAAAAGACGACAAGATATCCTTTAAGAGCTTTGTATATTACCTTTGTGTCCTTTACACCACACGTCTTTCATTATTTATCTAAAGTATGCCCTTTATTAAACACCTTATACATCACAAAATGCAAGCAACTTTGTAACATAAATAATACTTTATATCAAACTATGATTGAAATTGATATGCCATTGCATGTCTTTGATTGTATTGCAATTCATGGTGTTCGATTCGAATACTCTAATGCCTCTCTATTTTACCATAAAGTCTCTAGCTATGTCCAAATTGCAAATATAGAAAGATGTAAAAATGGAGGACTTGAAGAAGAATGGTATCAGTATGTTGGTTATAAATCAACTCATTCTGAGGATTCTATCATTCAACAATTAGGTCAAGCTGACTCAAGAATTGCTGAGGATTATTTTGTATTACGAGGGAAAGGTGTAATAAATACCAGCAGTAGCAATAATAGTAGTAGCGATCAATTTCTAAAAATGCTAAGTGAACAAAAATTAGATGATAAGTTGAAAATGAATTTGACGTTTGGATATATTAAAATAAGGTGCAAGGAGATAGAAAACTTTATATTAAATGAAAGTGCAAGTCATTTTCCTTTGCAATTGTAATAAGAAGTTATTATTATTATTATTGGTGGCTGTTATCATTCTTACACCAGTGCTTAGATTTAACAAATATTTCAGGTTTTTTTTTTTTTTTTTTTTTTTTTTTTTTTTTTTTTTTTTTTTTGTATATAAATACTGATATTAAAAATTTCCAGTAAATGATCCTATCCACACGTATTAGATTCTGTTTTTCTCCTTATTCTTTTATAAAAATAACTTTATAGTCATCTTAATTCAGATATAATTTATTGGGATACATGTACACACGATTGGTTAAATTTACTCATTTTTGTTCCCGTTTTTCTGGGAGTCCAGGACATCATATCCTTTTATATACAAATATATACATATTTGAAAATTTTGACCCCTTATTTTTTTTTTCAAAGTATGATTTCCTGTTATAATAATGTATTTAGTTTATTAAAATATATTAAAATAAAATCATTCTAAGTATGTATACAATATATATAAATATATGTATAAGCATATGGTATATAATGCTATTTTCTTAAAAACATAATGCAGCACATGTAATTCATTAATTTAGAAAGCATCAATACAAATGTAGACTTATGTCTCATAATAATTGATGAATATAATGAATAATTTATATAACCCTTCGTTTAAATACATACTATACTACAGCATATTACATCCCTAATAAAATGTAACTAAATGGGATCAAAAATAATATATAAGGGTTTTCACACAAATACAGAAAGACTTACGCTATAGATATTTTGTTTTTTATTAGTATATAAAACATAAGAATAAGATTATAAAAATTACATAGATCCTCGAGATAATGGATTAAGTTAACATTCAAGATACTAATGATAGCAAGCAAGTTTTCTTGTTTATCGATGCCCGAAAAAAAGGCGCTGTACTATAGTTTTTTAGTCAATTTCCAAGCCAAAGTCACTTGGGTAGTGACTATGTCCTAATATTTCTGCCAACTTGATCACTCTGTCAATAATTTCTTCATTACTCTTACTTTATCTCCTTGTAAGGAAAAAGGATTGAATACCACGATCGCTCTCTAATCGAACAGACTGACGAGATTTTCCTGTTAATAATCCACATGCAAGAGGAGACCAAGGGATACAAGCGATGCCACTATCTAAACAATAAGGGAACATTTCGCGTTCTTCCTCATTATAGAGCAAGTTGTAACAATTTTGCATGCTGACAAATCGAGTCCATCCATGACGCTCTGCAACTGCATTTGCCTTTTGGAATTCCCAGGTATAACAAGAGCTACAACCGATGTATCTAACTTTACCAGAACGAACCAGCTCATTCAAGGCCCCCATTATATCTTCAATAGATATATTCTATGAATTAAATTAGTATATACATGTATATCTTTATAGTTTTTAGTACAAAACCAAACAGTTTTTAATACACTTGTAAAATATAACTTGTGTATAATAACTTTTTTTTTTGGAATAATAAAATACAATATTTATTTATATGTATTTTATATGTATATTATTTGCTAATTTTTTTTTAAGAAAAAAAGTATGAGTCGTAGTATAGAACAAACTAATAGGCTATCAAGGTTTAGAGGTAAAGGATATACTATAGTTTCTATATGTAATATAAATATATACATATATGTATATTTTAGATATTTATATTTATAGATAAATGCTATTAATTGAGTTTTCCTAGACCTGCACAAACATTTGAGCTATTAAAATGACTTTCTTAAGAATATACGGTAGACATCGATATATTATAAATATATGCATTTTAATTTTTTGTTATTTTCTTTCCATAGTATGTTATATAATTTTACATTCCAATTGCTGCCCCCCTTCCCTTATAGAGAGTAAAGCGTAGCTTAATTTATGTATCTATAAATTCTATATTTTATTATAATATTCTATATAACTTTCCAAAATGTAGTGCTATATATTATTTATTTTTCTAGTATTGATGGGATCGTTGCTCTATTAGCAAATCCAATACTTTTATTTTCATTATTATATACTGAGACAAATTGTTGTAAGAAACCATAACCAAGGATAGCATCCACAAAAGGTGGACTTTCCTGAACATAAGTATAACACCACTCAGAAGAGAAAGAAATCTATAAAATATAATAAGTACATGCTAATTAGAATGAATATACATATACTTTACAGAACCAGCAGAGATAATATAATCTTCAGGTTGAAGTGTAAAGTTACTTCCATTCATAGTAAATGTAATATTTGGCATATTGGGTGAGTTGCATGGAACAATATACTGCCCAGAAAGATCCATACGTAAATCCGTTACATTTTGAAACACGTTTGTAATAATATCTCTAGGTAGATATATGAGGGTTGAGCCTAAAAATACCGTTAATATAGACTCTATGAAAAAAAAAAAGGGAGGAGAGGAGGAGAGAGAGAGTCTCGGCAATGTATACCTGTATCTATCAACGCGGATAACTTCTGTTCATAAACAGTAGTATATTCACCAACATGAATCATATCAACATCTACTGCCCAGTATTCCTAGTAATAATTGAGGGAAAAATATAAGAATAATTATATATTCAACAGTTATGAACTTACTGCAAAAATAGGGTTTGAAGTAATTGGAACGTAAGTGATATCACTAGCAATATGTCTCTCTTCAACTAATATAGATATAATTGATATATTGTACTATCGATTTGTTTCTATTATATTACCTCCTCCAAACACAATCTCACCATTAATACGATTTGCTCTATTATTAGTAAAATTGACGGGTTGAAAGTAGATTGAAAACATATTATGATCTATAATATTTTGTTGAAACATGGTAGTTATTAATGTTGGTACTATTTCATGTTCTGGGTTGTTATAAACGGTTAGCTGGTCTGGTCCTATACCAAGAATACCATCTAATAAATTATATTAGTATATGCATTCTATTTATATTTATATATTATTTACCAGCTCCACTTGCGGGTAGATCTCCATCATTCATAGTGGATATAGCAAAATTCTTTTTTTTTTAAAAAAAAAAAATCCTTTATATCATTAACATATACATATAATTATGTATATATAACTCTGGTGGTCATACTTACAGCTTGAGGAATTGGAACACCATCGATTGTAGCTGTATCTTTTGCATAATATCCACTTGCAAAGCCTTCTCCATATTGAATACCAAATAATCGATTAGGTAACTCTAAAGTAGATGAGTTACTAGCTACAAAAGTATGTACTGGGAATCCACATGCTTGTCTACAACCATAAGCAGGAACCCAAGTACTTGAGGAACCTGTATCTAATAATAATGAAAATAGCTGTGGAGGGGTACCTAAAGGATTCAAAAAAAAAAAAAAAAAAAAAAAAAAATTAATTTATAGATATTAAATGAATACTATTCTATATATACCAAAGGAGATATCAATTAAATATGCTAAATCAATATTTTCAAGTGGAACATCTATTGGTGTCCCTAGTGTATTCCCTTCTCCTTCATCAGCAGTAGCAGACAAAATCTTACGTTCTGCAGCAATAAACGGAACTGTAATTAATTTAGAAGCAACAACTGTAATTGCGCTTGAAATTAAAAAGAAAGCAGTAGCTGATTTCATTTATCAAAATATAATACAAGCACAGAAAAAGGAATAACATGAGATCGATTATTTATATTATTTTAGTTTTTTAAGAACGTTATCCAAAAGTAAGTTCGATTATTTTATAGATTGAGTTCAATTTAAAAATCCACTGCAAATGACATACAACGCATATCTCATAAATATGCACACATATACACGTACGCTATTACTACTACTACTACTACTACTACTACTACGACCACTACTAAATCCTTTCCAATTTTCCTATACACATCAACCCATTATCAATTTTTTTTTCTTACAAAATAAAAATAAAAAGAGCTTCTACACTATCATTTGTTTAATTATAAAAGAATATGCAAAAAAAAAGGTAAATAAAACACACAGTTTACTCCTTTCTGGGCTTCTTGGACTTTCTGACACCACGGAACTTCTTCTCACGGTTCTTCTTTTCCTTGCGTTGCTTACGACCACCCTTGGGAGCTTCAGCAAGACCGATACGAACAAGACGGTGCTTGGGTTCAAACTTCTTGAGAGCTTCAACAGAGTCGTAGATCAAAGCGAAACCAGTGGTCTTTCCACCACCAAAGTGGGTCTTGAAACCAAAGACAGAGACAACTTCCTTGTCAGCCTTATACATCTTGCTGAGCTTTTCACGAAGTTCATCCTTGGAAACATTGGGAAGACCAGGATGGATAACATCAACGACCATTTGCTTACGTTGAAGCAAACGGTTGGTAAGGAACTTGCGAGTTCTAATAGTGACAGTAGAAGCGTCGGCCTATATTAAACAGAAAAAAAAAATAATTGTTTAATTCTCTGTCTATTTTTTTTTTTGGCTACATGTCCTTCCAATTCATAAAATTATTTTGGATTGTTAAATTTCTTCAAATAATAGAGCGGTCCTCTATATGTATTCCGGTTAGAAAGAGAAAAAAAAACTGAGCTGTGCTTTAACATTACTGTTTTCTGTATTCTTTTTTTTTTCTGTCATTTATATTCATTTCAATACTTTTAAGTTGATCTCCTTTCGTGTATATATAAGCTGCTGATATAGAATTTTTTTGTTTGGCTTTTTTTTTACATCATAATTAATTATATCCTTTGTTGCATTTATCAATCCAAAATAATATTTATGGATGGATGGATGGGCTTTCATGTTTGATACATTACCATAATTGATATTATTTGAAAGAAGGCTTCCCCCTTTACACTGTAGGCTTAAATTTTATTCATCTTCTCTTTTTTTTTTTTTCTCCTCCGCATTATTTTATAGTTTTAATGCGGCAAACTATTATTTCGTTTTTTTTTGTTTTTTGTTTTTTCAATATAATTCCGGTCCGAAATTAATTAACATTTTTGTTAGCCGAACAAATTTGACTGCTTTCAAGTTGTACCTTTTTTTTTTTCTTATTTAACGCATTGGGTTAAACAGAGTTTTATTATTGAACTTCGTAGCTCCATTTAATGAATAATAAGAATTTACACTCTACTCTGGGGATATTATAAAACACTAAGCCTGAATTTATTATCTTGTGCAATAAATATCTTCTTACAACTCTATTTTTATATTTATTTATTTTTTAAGAGAGAGAGAAAAAAAAGGATATGTAAACTGGGGGCCAATGTATTATTGTGTCTATTTACTTTGTAAACAATACCTTTTTTTTTTAGAAAATATTATTATTAAAGTATATATCATGATAAATAATAATGCAAACATTTTAAAATCCAGTACAGCTGTTGTATGTAGTAAGTGTAACAATTCATCGTAAATTAAAAAAAACACACACATACATACAACACATAAATTATAGTCGTTTTCATGCAAAATTCTATTTTATTCTATTTCAAGATTTTCAACATTTAAATCAATCCTTTAGCTACTGCGATTTCTGCGTTAAGAACTGAGGAACCAGCAGCTCCAAGTACAGTATTATGAACTAAAAGGACAAATTTAATATCTAATACAGGGCACTTTCGAACACGTCCAACAGTAACAGCTTGTCCTTTCAAATTCTCACGATCCAAACGAGGTTGTGGACGATCCTGTTGACGAGTAACGACAATAGGTTTAGAAGGTGCTAAATGGCATCCTAATTTTTCAGCTTCAGATTTATAATTCTCTAATACTTCATAGACTTTTTCAATATCGGGACAGCCATTAGCAAACTTGACAGAGACACTTTCAAGATGTCCATCCAAGACAGGAACACGAGTACAAGTAGCAGAGACAACAGTATTTGGTAAATGTTCAAAGGACTTTTTATCAGCAGCTACAGCACCCATGATCTTTCCAACTTCCCATTCCATCTTTTCTTCTTCTCCTCCAATGTAAGGTACAACATTATCAAGAATATCAAGACTGGGAACACCAGGATAACCAGCTCCACTAATAGCTTGTTGAGTATTAACAATGATATGTGTCATTGGTCCAAAAGCATCTTGAAGTGCCTTCAAGGGTACAACAAGTCCTGTTGTGGAACAGTTGGCATTTGTGATCAAAAAGCCCTTCTTGAGGTTGTAAAGTTCACGTTGATGATGTACAAGATCAAAATGATCGCTATTTACAGTGGGGACAATCAAGGGAACTACAGGATCACGACGATAATTCTTTGCATTTGAAAATACAGCAATATCTTGCTTCAACATAGCCATTTCTAAAAAAAAGAAAAAGAAAAAGAAAAAGAAAAAGAAAAAAAATAAGGGTTATCAAAAGGCACTCAACGCACAAAAAAAAAAAAAAAAAAAAAAATAGGTAAAAACTACTTACCAATTTCTCCAGCTACATCAGCATCAAGACCAGAAAAAACAACATCACAATCTTTAAATAATTCAGCATCACAAGGCTTAACAATCATATTAGCGACTTGATCAGGAATAGGACGAGCTTGCTTCCAACGTACAGCTTCTTTGTAAGCTTTACCAGCAGAACGAGAGGAAGCTCCCAAAGCATGGATTGTAAAAACTGGGTGTTCACTTAATAAAAGAATAAAGCGCTGACCTACTGTACCAGTAGCACCAAGGATACCTACTTTTTTAGAACTCATTTCTTTTTGAAAAAAAAATTGAAAAAAAAAAAAGAAAGTGTAATAAATAGTAAATTTGTATTAATTTTGACATTAACATTTCCAAAAAAAAAAAAAAAAAAAAAAAAAATATATATGTATATATATTTCATATTTCCTATTGGCTGTTTGTGACTCATTATTAAACATAAAATCCTCCTCATGATGATGATCTTGATTGTTGTTCTTTACTACTACGTTTAAAATTGAATTTTTATTATTATTATGATTTTTTGACCAAATGAGCACATAGCATTTTTCATCTGCTGTATTTCCCCTAGTCAGTTTTAATAGTATATAAGTAAGAAAAACCCTCTTATGAGACAAAAGGGAAAAGGATAAAAGTATATGTGTGTTCTTCACTACTACAGTGTTTCTACTTTAAACTCAGACAATGTTGGACGAATGAAAATTAACTTTCAGATGTTTAGCTTGCCTTTTTTAGACAAACGAAGAATAAAAGTTAGAAGAAGTAAGATTAGTTTTTAAACAAAGTAAACATAATTTTCAGACGCTTACCTGTAAAGCATCCAAACAACAGAAGTTGAGTGAATGTGGTCATCTAAATACACTAGGTAAGCTGTGTTTATTACAGTGATGACTGTGGTGGTGTGGTGGTGGTAGTGGTGCGTTGAAAAGGTGTTGGTCTTTCTCGTCCCTGCCAAATGCTGATAGAGATTGTCATCATGTTTCGGGAGGCATTAATGTCTCTTTGACAAAGAAGAGTATGGCAAGAAGAACGGGCCAGCACACTCAATCCAGTAACAGGCGAGGCTGGCATCAAGGTTAGAGTTTGGCATTTACTGCATACTTTGGATGTTCGGAACTCGTCAATTGTGATTGTGATAAGTTGTCCAGCCGCTTCTCGCCTTTTCAGCGCGCGCCATAAAATACTTGTGACCCCACATCTGAGCGTCCTGATCTTGTTGGTGTTCCTTATTGAACATTCCACTTCCAAATACTATCAGAGGAACCTTCGTCTTGTCTTCTTTGTATTTGATGGGCCTCCATTTGTTCAGTTTTTCTCTAAAGTAAAAAAAAAAATTGAATTAATAACTGTTTGAATATAATCAAGTAGAAAATATTTATACTTGATAGCATCGTTCTTATTTGGTCTCTTCTTTCTTTTCTTCTTTCGTTTCTTCTTTTTCTGCCTCTTCTTGTTTCTCCTACTTCGATTATATTTGGTGTCACCGTTTATAAGCATATTGACCATAGTTTCTTGTGCTTTTTGCCTCCCTTGATAAAGTTGGAAGCATTTTTTTTGCAGTACTGGAATTGTAAAAGTTAAATAAAGTATTTATGTTGTCAAATAGATATTGAACATAGTCTAAAAAAATGCTCCGGGTTTGATGTCTTGGTTGTGGGAATTCTTGATTCCGTTTTGACTTTTCAAAAATTGCTGCTGGGTAGAAAGAAACAGTCGAAGCAGTAAGATGATAATACTCTTTAGTACTGCAGCGGATTATTGGGTACCTAGGCTCGTTTAAATCACTCACAGCGGTGAATACAGACTTTCGCCCGGGGTCAACAAAAATTGGATGATAATCCTTTGCTACTTCTGGTAAAGTAAAGTCGTGAAGAGTTAACTCAAAGTGCTGCAAAGAAGGACCATAACTGGCTTGACATCTTTTGTAAAACAAAAAAATTCACAATAAAACCATCAGTCCGTATCAAGTTTCCAAAAAAAAGGATTTGGTTGTTTCCATCTGGTGTTAATTCAGCAATGCTACAAATATAAAAGTAAAAAATACATAAGCCTGATTTGATAGAATTTTTATCTATACTCACCCTCTGTAGCGCAGTTTCCCAAAATTGAAAACATCATAAAACAATCTTAGCTGTCTTCAGGTGTTATATTGTATGGGCATAAGGGAGGTCTTGCTGTAGAATGATTATCACCACGGCATTTCTTACAATGAAGATCGGTCACATTATTATTTGTGGTCTTTTGTCGTTTTACTGTTTGTTTAGCTTGCTTCAAACTTTTGCTTTGCCTTTCTTTTCTTGTTTGAAGTTCCAACTATACATGATCATTATTGTATAATATTAAACTGCCGTACCATCATCAGCGGCTGCTCCTTTATAAAACTTGCATTTGTAATAGTTTTTATTGAAATGTCCTACTTCTTCACAGTCGGTACACTTCGCGTTTGCTGTAATATCAGTTAGTAAAAACTTTTATATACATTTTTTATTAAGTTCTGACCTTCATTAAATACCGGTCAATTGTTGAAAACTGTTTCTTTCTTTATTTTAATAATGCTAGACCGATATTCATTAGACATGTTCAATAAAGTAAGAAAGTGAAAGAAAAACAATTTATCCAAGATTTTTTTTTTAAAAAAAAAAAAGGTGATTATACAGACAACATTTATCTTATTACTGGTGGTGGGTGTGGTGTGGGATCCCGCCGAGCGGAGGTTGTCATTTTGATTTTTCGACCTTTGCTTATGGTTCAAACGCTTGAGGCTATCACCAGTTGTGTTGTAAACAAAATGTTTACAAAGGATTATTTGGCTTATGATTATAAAATTATGCACACTTACTTACCCTCCAAGCTAAGCTTTCAAGCTTTCTTCAAATAAATTCAGTCTCAGAGATCCACCTGCATCCACAGTCTCTCAGCGTACAGGACCAGAAATTATTACTTGGCAATTATCAATTAGCATTCTAACATTATTGAATGTCTAGTAGGTGAAAAAAGTCTAAACATACATCTCACTTCTTGTAAATTTTATTCTTCGTTTGTCTAAAAAAAAAGGTAAGCTAAACATCTAAAAGTTAATTTTCATTCGTCCAGAAAAAAACTAACATCGTCTGAATTTTAAAGTAGAAATACTACTATTAAAGAAATAGGCGGACAATCAATTTAACTTTTTTTTTTATTTTTTTTTTTTCTCAGTCATGTATAAAAAGTCTATCAAGTTTAAAACATCTACAGATGCAGTGGAATTGATCAATGCAATAGAGGAAGAAAAAAAGATAAAATACCCAGTGAATTTAAGAGCTATTGTGTCAACAAGGGAAGCAGGATCTATTATTGGTAAGGCAGGATGTGCAATACAAACGATTTCTGAAAATTATAATGTCAGCATCAAGTTGAGTCCTGAAAAGACAGGTAATAGACGATTAGTGCATGTTACAGGACTTTATCAGTATAGTGCAAATGCATGGGTTGCTCTATTAAAGCGAATTATGGATATTGTTAGAAAAGATGAACATTATAATTGTCATAAGGTAGGTACTTGATACATAAAAGTAAAACATATAAACTAACAAGTTTACAATAGAATTATGGTATTGATTTTGTATTACCTGATGGATTTATACTCTATTTAATACAAGAAGATGTATTGGACATGATAGCAAAGACGTCTTGTACAAAAATCCATGTAAAATCTGATTATTTACCTCGATCGACTGAACGCATTATTCGTATTTCTATACAAAATAAAGAAAACATTCATCATTTTGAAAGGGCTGTACAATTATTATTCGAACAATTATCGATACATGCTCGACTGGCTCTTTCATTTCCTGGAAATTCATTTTATATTTATTCTGAAGAAGACGATCATGATTTATATTCAATCTGTAGTAATTCAAGAGAAGATGAAATTATTTATAATTATTGTATATAAAATAAATTCTATTTTTATTATTATTAGCATTTCTATTCTATTTACAATTCTGGAATCAAGAAAAGTCTTCATGTTTCTAAGCAAGCCTAGAAATAAGAAGAGTGTGATTATGTAATTACTCTTTTCATTTTGATGATCCATGCTTGCTTTTTACGCTCAAAGAGACGAGATAACTTGTTTCTTTTTTCGCTCACAAAAAGATGACTACAAAAGGACCCCATACTAGTGACGGATCGAAAAGAAGAAAAACTAAGTCGATCACTGCAATAATTAGGTACTGATAAAGAAGGTGATAGGGTACAACTCCTTTCTGTCTTTTGTTGACAATACCACGGTAAAAATGAATTTGTCCGAACCAATTCTAGAATTGTTTCTGCTGCCTCATCAAAGCATGTATGATTCCTATTACGGGATGTTAACAAATTCTGACGCATATGACAAGGTATATTGATTTCATAGGGTGCATTAACAGTAATGTATCTCTCTATTATGGCTTGATAGATTTCTAATGTAGGGTTTGATTTGTACTTTTGAACGTCTTGCCAAAAATATATATTTTCTATACAGTAAGTATGATGAAGATACATGATGAAACTATGGTAATATCTATCTTTTGATTCTAATATGTTTTCTAATGAAAATAGTTCATCAGAGGATGACATAGATAATAAAGATGTTGATGGAGTAGTCATGTTAAGAATGATGATACATAATTATTGAAAGAAGAAAAAAAGGGGAAAGAGAGAGAGAGAGAGAGAGAGAGAACAAAAGTATCCAAGTATTTCAACTTATGCAACTTGTACAGCGTATATTATTTTCTATACATGAAATCTTTTTTTTTTTTTATGTAGTACATTTAGTCAAATTCTTTATTGATAAATTTTTATACATCAGTTTCTATTTCATTTATTTTTTGAAGTATTTTGATAAATTGTAGTAAGGAAAAACGTGGCTTTCGATCAACAAACAAGTACAAAAGTACTCCTTAAATTACTAAATTTGTTCATGTACAAAAGAAAAAAAAAACTTGTTTAATATCTTACAGTCTATGATATAATAAATAAATAAGAAGAGAGAGAGAGAGAGTGTGTGTGTGTGCATGTGTGTGACCGAGAAATGAAATGTAAATTAATGATAGAGTACAACTTTCCTCTCCCTTTTTTTTTTTTTTTTTTCTCTTTAAAGAAAAGCAGTTTTCTTAGAGATAATGTGATCTGCACTCTTTCTTCTTAGCTCAGATGACACAGAGTTTTGGGGTGTTATTAAGATATTAGATTGACTAGTAGCACGTATTATTGGTATTGCCTTTAAAGTACAATCATAGGGTCGCTCAGTTAACATAACAGTACCAGCGGGGACCGACACTGGGTATGGCAAATAGGCAGTAATGGAAGTAGTTGTACTAGAAATCGAGCTGGACTTTAATAATTTAAGCCATTCCTTTCGATTCTCTTCTAAATGATTCAAAAAGATGGTGGCTTTTGGAAGAAGTCCTGTAAAGGCTTCAAAATAGGGACGTACTACAAAATCACCAAATTTTATACTGATACCAGGTTGAGTCACTATATCACGATCCATACCAGGAGATACCTCTAATTGTGCTGCCTTTTCAGCATCTCCCTGACGAAAGAACTCTTGAACTATCAAGTCCGACCATTGTTTTGAGATAGGCCAGGTACGGACAGTATTGCTAATATCAGCTGCATGTAATAAGATTCGGGAGAACGAGAGTCGTTGTGTATCGTTTAATGAGAGATAATGTGTCGTAGTAGAATAACGCATCGTGTTTCTAATAAATTCAGTAGTAGTGATGTCGTTATCATAACTAAAACTTGATAAATGATGGTGGTCGTTCTGTTGTGTTTCAGATGGTGTGACAGTTAGATCTTCTTCATCTTTGTCTTTTTTTTCTTCTTCTCCTTCTTGTACGCAAGATAGAGCATCTTCAAGGGCAGTCACTTCCATCAATAAATCATAATGAAATGTCATGTCTGTTGATAAAATAAGTTTTCGAATTGAATCGATTTGTCTTGAACTAAATTGTAAATGATGTTTCCGAAATAATTCAAGGGTAATATCAACAGACAAAGATTCAAGTACCGATGTATGATGATAGCGAGTTGCGAGCTCTGTATTCAGCTTGACATGATAATCATTATTGTAGCCAGCCTAGAAGGCTTATGTGAATATTTAATGAATATAAATATATAGGAGATTATATAGAAATCATATTTACATGACCCGCATCATGACATATGGCAGCAATAAGTAAGAGCGAAATATCCATGTTTGTTAAATACTTGTTAGCTTCTAAATCGAATATCATATAGTAGAGAACGATAACTATATCAACAGCATGATAGAATGAATGGTACGGTGTATTTTGATAAGTATGTTGAACATCAATCAAAAAATCAAGAAGCTGTGATTGTGAGATTTTCAAAGTTTCGTTAATATTTAACTTGGTAAACATTCCCAGCAAATAACTATAAAGATCTGTTGGGTTACAATTCAATACATTGATATCTGTTACTATATGTGCTAAAGGATTTCTATGGCTTGAATGTAAATCCAACCAACGCAAATATTTCTAAAAGAAATACTAGTACAATGAGTTTTATATATTTGTATACTTTTAGTCTTATCCTGTTTTCTTTACTCTTTCGATTTGAAAAAGGTCTTCTGGAGGTAATATATTGTGTCGAAGTATAAGCATTCAATTTATATATATAAATATATATATTTGTATACAGTGTATTTTATTTGTATGTATTTATTTAAAAGAAGAAGATGAAAATAGGATAAATATACGAAAATAAAGCGGGATAAAAAAAAAAAAAAAAAAAAAAAAAAAAAAAAAAAAAAAGTTATCATTGTTTCAATTCAAATGGGTTGAAACAAGTCACTTGCATTGATAGATGTGGGGGAAGGTATAATTATTCCATCGTCAACGACCATTTTCGCTTCTTATTAGAAGATTCTATTTGTTTCATAGCATTTGCTTCCAAAGCAACTAAATCAATTTCTCCAAAATCATCGAAATCATCATCATCATCAAAAACGGCATGAAAATCATCGTTTAAAGGATCATCTTGCTGAATAATATTATTTGTTGGCTTTAGATTACCATTATGGACTTTATTATTTAAAGGTGATGATATGATTTGTTGGTTCAAACGAAGAGGTGTAGAAGTAGCAAAAATATGATTAGGTGACCATAAATATCCTGTGTTTTGAGAATCAAGATCTCTAATGGGTGATTCTACAAATTCTTCATTTGTAACTATTTTGTTTGGAGATGGATAAGAAGAAAGACTAGAAAACATTACAGTCTTTGTTTGTAATTCCTTTGGTGGTCTATTCTGTAGTATTTTTAACCAATGATATATTTCTGCTGTACAATCTTCTTCTATTTTAAATCCTCCACATCGCAAAACAATCTCATTTTCAACAAATAACTCAACTTTTCCAAACACAGTTAATGAAGTCCCAATATCTATTGATTCGCTTTCTTTCCTTAATAATATGTTTTTTGAAAATAGAGTCCTAATTACACTTGTTCCATCGTCTTTTATCCGATTGATTGTTAAAAAGAGAAGAATAGAAAGAAAAAAAAATAGTCATTTTACCTAACCAAACATGTGTTTCTTGATTACAATCAGATACTTTAACAACAAGTCCATTCAATCTAATAATCATCTCGAGTCATTTAAAATTAACTGACCATCTCACCTTCTTACCTCGCCTTTCTATATGATAGCTGAGACCAGTTAATTTTAAAGCAATCATTTGATCGATCGAAAGTTGATGTTACAACATCTTTTATAAATAATAAATGGTGGCAATATAAATTTTCTTCTGTAATGTCTATCATCCCATTTTTTCCAGTTACCATTTGAAAGAAAGAGAAAGAATCTGCAAAAAAAGAAAAAAAAATTTTGTTTTAAAAAAATAAAATAAAAAAAAGCCATATTAATACATTTTCTACATAAATTATTTACTATATTTAAAGTTAAATGTAGTGTTCATACATCTACATAAAAGATTAGATTGTATCTAACATATCCTCAAATTATCCGATGTTAATTATTAGGTATAAATAAAAAGAGAACAATAAAGAAAATGAAAACAGCAGAATAAATCTTTATAATATTCGAAAAAAAAGATATTATACATATACATATAACGACTGCAAAAATAGATCGTTTGGAGTGTAGTTGTTTCTTTGCGACACGCGTATATATGATGAAGAAGTTGTTCTATTGTAGATCATAATTTATGCCCTGACTGTAGATTAATATCGGTCAACAAGAATAGAGCTATTATAGAAAGATAATCTATTCTTATGATTGTATTTAGCATAGAAGATTTATAAAACATAATATTATTATTGTTTAATACTTATATCCTTTAGTAACTGTTTACTCTATGTTTCACAATATAAAAAGTATTTATTATTTTATTCAGAGATCAAAATAGATTTGCATTTGCATAAAGTGTGTAACAAATAATAGTCTATGCTCTTGACTCTAATATTGTATTATGTAAAGTAAATCATCGTTTATACAGCATCAGAATAAAAACAATAGATTCCGTCTAGTTGTAATGATTTTGTAATATTACTGTTTACTCGAATGCTAAGCTTATAGAGACTGCAGTGAACACATGTTTTTATTTTCTCTTGTTTTATTAACCTTTTTTTTTTTTTGTATTACTCTACTTTTTATTCTATGCGTCTCTGATGGCTGAAACATATAGAGTACCCCTTTATTTTTATTTTATTTTATTTATATATTTTTTTTTTTTGATCTTCCTTTATACATATTCGTATAAAGTCGTACTCTTTAAGCGTTTTCATTATCACTTTCTTTTAACCTGCTTCCATATTTAAAGACCCCTAGCTCTTTTACGTCCCAGTGCATCTTTTTTATAACCTGAATTTATATTAATTTATTAACAATACAATGGGTTATTATAAAAGAAGCAGTAAAGAAAACAAGTTTAAGAATATTCATTTCTTTAAGGATTTGAATGTAAGTAAATAATAAACGCGATGATGCTGATAAAGTATTCAGGATAGTCTAATTGGATAATACTTTAAAAAACAAATCTCTGATTTCATTTGCTCGAAAAAATAAAATAAAATAAAGCAGTAGAACTATCGCATAAATATATTCTATCATATGTTTTATTCGAATAGTTTATGATTTGTCATATTTAGCCTTATTTCTTAGTCATATCGGATTAGATTAGTGTACACATATTTAAAAGATATTAATAATAATAGATGTCTTATTGATGGTAGTTGCTTAAATGTTGTACAACTAACAAGACTACTTTGACTGTTTTCTATCATGAATCGTTCTTGTAGCTATTTAGTTGAAGTATAGATTTACAACTATCATAATAAAAAAAATTTTTTTTCTTCTTTTATTTAGTTTCTTATTATAAATAATGAAAATTATTTTCGGCCAAATTATAGTAATAAAAGATCTCAAGAAGATTCCTTTCTTATATTTTCGTCTTTATTCTCTACCAATAATCAGATTCTTACATTAAATATTATATTATTATTCTAAAATTTTTTGTTGGATATTAGAGAATAAACAAGCTTACGAATACTGTATTAAAACAACTAAATAAATGAAATACTTTGAAAAGAGCCTTAGCTCTCACATGAATGAGGAAGAAAAGACAACAGATGAAATGACTGAAATTTCCTTTAAAAGACAGAAGACTACATAGGAAGAAGCAGTAGATCTATCAACAACAAAATCAATATCTAATTCTTCTAGTCATATCTCACAGTCATCCTCAGCCATTTTGGCTAACATCTGGACAGTCTGGACTGACCTCCTCAGAGTAACTTATTCACAGAAAATTGTTAGTAATACAGACATTAACTACTACAGATAAAATGGAAATCATTTGTCATGAAAAAGAAAGTTGACTTTTATTATTTAGTCTAAAATATTCGAGCATAATCCAACTTGGTGAAGACATAGGAATAAACAATCCCAAAAAAAAAAAAAAAAAAAAAAAAAAAAAAAAAATGTATATAGTAACTATTACAGATATGATGTTGAAGGGAGAGCAACATAACATTTTCTCCAAATTTAACTCACTTTTAGGAAGAGTTTTTTTTTACTGTATTAGTAAATACTATACCTTGACCAATGACTAATTTTATGTCTTCATGATAGACTGTTTCTATTGATAAATACTTCACACTAATGTTAGGAAACTGTACGTATATAAATATGTATATAAAGTAATAAAGTCTGACCGCTATTTTCCAATTAACTGTATTATGTGAGCTTTATTTTTTATGGTTTGCTGTTGTACAATATATGAAAAAGAATGGTTAAAAAAGGTAAAAGAAAGTATGATTTGAATAGTTAATAAAACTTTTATTGACTTTTTATTATTTGTGAGATGTTCTATGCTGCATAGTTTTTTGTATTATTATCTATTTAAGCTTATACAATAAATATAAAAGTAATCGAAAGCATTAAACTTTCTTGACCCTGTTTCTTTCTTTCTTTCTTTCTAACATGACTAAAGTAATTGTCTCCTTCAATTTATTCATTTTTTTTTTTTTAGTTATTGAAAGATGCACCATGGAAATTGCGGAAGTTTACTGTTGCAACACAATAAAGTAATCAAATCTATTATTTGTCATACATACCTTCCCGCCTTATAATATATCTCTATAAAAACGCCCTTTTTCCTTTTCCTTTTCTTTTTAATTATTTCTTTATATATATACCTCTCTTTACTTTATATTTCTTTACATCCCTACCCCCTTCCTTTCTTTTTCTCTAAAATAATAATAATAATAAATCCCATTGAGTCATTTAAGTAATAAATAGGTATATAACAAATGCAACTTAAAAGCTTTTCTTTAGCTACAATCGGATTCCTTTTACTCAGCAAGGGAACTTTTGCAGCAGATTCAACAAATAACTTGGCAATTATTGATGATGGTCAACAATATGCTGATTCTTATCTTTCTGTCTTTTCGGCTGATGATGATGACGATGAAGTTGACTTTGAATTGTCTGAGGATTACATTGATAATAACAAGTTAACTAAACGTGGTGAAGAATGCACCAAATATCATACTGGTAAAAAAAAAAAAAAAAAAAAAAAAAAAAAAAAAAAAAAAAAAAAAAAGGCATAATAAAATAATCATATTATTAAATATAATATACTATGTATAGTCTCTGGTAGTGATAGCTGTGTAAAACTTGCCAAAAAATATGACGTTTCTTTAAATGATATTTATGATTGGAATCCTCAAATCAAAAAAGGTTGTTCTAATCTAAATAATGGCAAAAAATACTGTGTTCAAATGACAACTGCATCTTCCTCTTCTTCTTGTGGAAAAACTCGCAAAGGTAACATAAGAATATGTGTATAGAGTATTATTCTAAGTTGTCTTTGTGTTTTATTTTCCTAATATTATATATATAGCGACTAGCTCTGATACCTGTTCAAAATTAGCTAAAGCAAATGATATCAGCTTAAGCACATTTTACAAATTGAATCCATCTGTAAACTCTCAATGTAGTAACCTTCGTACAGGTAAAGTGTATTGTGTTAAACCTACTTCTTCTTCATCTACCAAAGTCAAAAACTTGACTTCCAAAAAGACAACGAAAAAGTCTTCTAAAAAATCAAGTACCAAAAAGACTTTATCAAGCCAAAATAAGGAAGTTCGTAAGAAGTTACAATCTAACGCTTCTTTTACTTATTATTGGATCGCTCAACCTAGTGACTATAAGGGAGGTAAAGACGTGAATGTCAAGACATGTGCTGGAAAGACGATTGGCTCTGTTGGTGAAAATTATGCAGATGCTCTCGTCATGGAAGGTACTGGCGTCGTTGGTTCCAAGATTGTTAATCTCGGTGGCTGTACCTGCATTGGTTACAAATGTTTCGAATTAGTTGATAAAAAGACAGATCCTTATGGTTTGACCTCCTATGGTTCTCCTCTTCGTCCCTATGTCACTATTGCTTCTAATGATATTAAGAGAAATTCAAAGATCTATGTTCCCTCTCTTGATGGTTGGAAGGTTCCTGGTTCTAGTAAGACTCACAATGGCTGCTTATTAGTTGATGGTAATAAATATGTATATGAATATGCATATACATTGTATTCATTTTCTTTTTTTTTATTTTAAATTTTCTCTATTAGATGAATCTTGGAGTTTTGGCGGTAAGCACATTGATTTCTATGTTTACTCCATGGATAATTATGAAACATTGGATAAATCTCACAAGATAACCAAGGTTGATATTTATGAAGGTGGATCTTGCAAAATTCTTAATTATTTGTAAACTTATTTTAATTTATTATGTATATCAAGTGGAAGTCTATATAATAAAAAAAAAAAATCTACTTGTAAACTTTTATTCACTGTAGAAGCAAATAAAATAAAAATCTCCAGCTTGAAATGATTATAACTATTATGATTTTCTTGTGAATAGAATAGGATAAAATAAGAATGATACGTGAATTGACTCTATGATGAGCCTCCATACTATTCTATAGGGTTTAGTAGAAGAAGAAGATACTTTATTGATGAGACATGACGACTGACCCCTTTTTTTACGGAAATTATCCTTGAGGTTCTATTATACTAGCGTTCCTAATTTTCTATAATATCCTTGTTCAACATAGCTTTTTATACTATTACAGAATTTTATATTTCTAAATATATCACTAGTAGAAGTTTATTATATCATGTATACTATATTACTTCCTATTATTACATGTTTATCATATTTATAGACTATATTATAGTTACACGTATATATTAGATATTCTATTCTATATATCTACATAATCTATTAATGGATAATAAAAACTACTACTATGTAAAAGACTTTTTAAAAGACAAAAAGAAAAAAAAAAACGTTCATACAACTTGAGATAATTTAAAAGGACATGTCCCTTTTGCTCTGTTTGATTTTATTCAAGTATTGCCTATTTTGTGCACGTTAGAATAGTATTATTATGCTTGACAAAGAAAAAAAGCAAGATATATATGCATATTTATATTTTTTTTTTTTTTGTTCTTAATGACTTTATCAGTGGTTGATTCTTCTTCTTTACATTGGATCAATTATTACAAGTTGATTTTTGCCCTGTTTTATTATATTTCCTTTTCAAAAAAAAAAAAAAAAAAAAAAAAATTAATAATCTGTGTGTCTTCAAATTCTATTCGTCCAAGAAATTCTAAACTATAATAATACAATATGTCTATAATTATTTTCTTTTCCTTTCTTTTTTTCTTCTTCTTCTTCTTCTTCTGTTTTTATTATTGTTATTTTGAAATTATGAGTCTTTCGCCTGCTTCGTTTAAAACTTCAAAAGCTCAACTTACACTCTCTTATAAAGTTAATAACAAAGACATTCGTCATAAGAATGAACTGCTCTCATCCAATTACCCATTCAAGAATGAAAATGTGCAAGTTTCTGTAAAGACTGAGCCCTGTACTGATGGTAAAGGTGGCCACATATTGTCTATCTTTGTCAAAGCTTTCAAGGATATAGAGTTAGTAAGTTTTGAAACTGTTTATATGGCTGACTTGCGAAATCAGAGAATGATGGCCAACGGTTTTCAAAGTTGGAGTCAAGCCCGTGAATTCACAAAGAATGACAAGATTCACGCCATTCGTTCAGGTATTGCTTGGTATACTCAGCTCAATCTTCAAGGGTAAAACGAAAAGAAAACGTATTTTTTTTTTTACCTATAATATCGCTATACTTATATTTTTGTATTTTAACCTTCCTTCTTCTTCTCTCTCTCTCTCGCTCGCTTTTCTTTTCTTTTTTTTTCCTTTTTTGCAGTGATTATGATATATTTCAACATTCTGGTGAAAGGGGGCTGATTCATTCAAGTAGCTACACCCACTTTCGTGATACAGCAAATATAGTTTCCTTTTTCGGATCTCTTTCCGAACATCTTGGTTATACATATTTTAAAGGAGACTTTAATAATAATAGTTTAGGCATTTATAAAGATGTACTTGGAAAAGAATTAAAATCAGATGAAGAGATAGAGTTAGTACGTGTCTTTATTGCACAGGGTTTAGATGCTGAGGCTCCTATTTGGGATAGTTATAGTGAATTTTATGAGGATCGTCGAGCGATTCGACATGATGTACATCGACATGTGAATGGGTGGACATCTTGGTACAACTATTATGGTGACGTGAGTGAAGCGATTATTAATGAAAATGTGGAGGCCCTTTTACGTTATAAATACCCAATCAATATCTTTCAAATTGATGATGGTTTTCAGACAGCTATCGGTGATTGGTTATCCATCAACAGTAAATTCCCCAGTGGCATGAAGACGGTAGCTCAAAAGATTAAGGGAGCGGGCTTTAAGGCAGGGCTTTGGCTAGCCCCTTATGCAGTAGGATTTAATAGTCGGTTAGCCAAAGAGCACCCTGACTGGCTTATTATTGATCCAGAGACCAAGAAGCCAGTTGTAGCAGGACCCAACTGGGGTGGCTTTTATGCCTTGGATTTTTATCAGCCAGGTGCTCGAGCATATCTAAAGGAAGTCTTTCAAGTTGTATTAGAGGATTGGGGATTTGATATGCTTAAATTAGATTTTTGTTTTGCAGCCGCCATGATTCCTCGTAGAGGTAAATCGCGTGGTGAAATTATGTGGGAAGCCATGGACTTGATTCGTGACCTGGTTGGCCCAGAAAAACTGATTTTAGGCTGTGGTGTTCCATTAGCTTCAGCATTTAGAAAAGTGGATTATTGTCGTATTGGATCTGATGTAGCGCCATGGTGGGAAGGTATATATGTATATATATTAAAAAAATAAGAGGAAAAAAAAAGGATTCACACTAATTCTCTCTTTTTTTTTTTTTTGATTCATTTAGATTCCAAGTTAAAGTTACTTCATGTACGTGAACGTGTTTCAACAGCCAATTCACTTGTGTCTACGTTGACTCGATGGCCAATGTCAGATCGTATGTTTGGTAACGATCCAGATGTCATGATTCTTCGTAACAAAAAAAATAAGTTAAGCCCAGATGAACGTTATACACTTTGTGTATTAAATAATATCTTGGGAGCACTCGTGTTTAGTTCAGATAATGTAGCTTTATATGGACAAGATGAACATTTACTTTATTCAGCGACTTTTCCCAAAGTGATTGCACATGTCTTTAGTGTGTTAGAGTTTAAACGTGATTGTTTCATGGTCAAGTTCGATGTTGTCCAAGCCAATGGTACAAGTTATCGTTACACAACCTATGCAAATCTCACAGATGAAGAACAAACGATTTATTTACCAGAATCGTCCAAACATACCCATCTTTTATTTGCTACAGATAATGACATGCATATGAGTCAAGTAGACCGAACAGAAGCACTCTTTTATCATCCATCTTCAGCTGCAAGATTAAAAGTACATGAAACAAAGACATTTATGCATATCCCTGAGCCTACAGAGGGATTAGTGTTATTAGGATCCTTTAGTCATATTGTACCAGGCGCTGAAATAAATGAATTTAGTGAAACAAAAGGAGAAATCAAGATTAGTTTTAAACAAGAAAATACAAGATATCATAAAGTCTTGATAGGCTATGGGCCCTACCTTCATCAGAACCGTCATAGTTATGTGCCACCTATTTGTAAAGTAAATGGTAAACAAGCAGATTATGAATGGATTCCTGTTGCTGGTCTAGGCGAAGGAAGACCTAAAAGTGAAGTTTTGGCCTTTATTATAGAAGATCAAGAACAAAGTTTTTTAAAATAGAATAAATTGTTTATCTTATATGTATAAAAAAAAAAAAAAAAAAAAAAAAAAAAAAAAAAAAAAAAGAGGCAAATTTTCTCGCCCTTATTGTGGGTTATTTAGTTTATACCCTTTATTCCTTTAAAGAATAGATAACAGACAAGCAGTAGCGTTACAGATGTTAGATAAGAAGGAACTTTTGTTATTATTTTACGAGTGATCAAGTAGATAATAGAATCATCAACTTGTAGTCTTTGAAAAGAAAAAATGATTACACTATCTACAATATGTTTGTGATTATTTCATGTCAATGTTCTTCTGTTCCCAAGTCCAGCAAGATGTCGTATCATTCGACATTACTCAACAACAACAAAAAATCCTCAGTATACAGCAATTCACAACAAGAAAGTTACTCGTAAAATTAAAAAATGCAGTCATAGTAAGTTTTTTTTTGGGGGGATTTTCTTTTTAAGGAAGACAAACAGACAACGAAAAGAATTAAATCACTTTACTTATTCTATACTTACCCTCACCACGCCTTTACTACTACTACTACTACTATTTGGCTATTGTTTTTTATAATAGGAAACTGCTACTCTAATAATGATGATATCATTACTACTCATAATTCATTCAACGACATTTATTAGACCTTGGAATCTCGATTCTACTCTCTCTCCCCCCCCATGTTATTACCTTTAACATGAACTTATTATCTCTAATCTATATAACTGCTTCTCCTTCTTTATAATAATAGCTTGATGTTATCTTTTTTTTGGCTTTAAACGTAAATAAACCTAAAGAACCTGATTTTGATAGAATAAGTAGATTTCAGTTATTACTTGATACAAAAAATAAAAATAAAATAAAGAATATGATACATTTATAGATTTATATGCATCTGTACACCGCGAGATTATGCTATCTGTATGTATTATTATAATAAATGTAATGTCGGATGTAAACAATGATTATATATCTCAAGTCAAGAATAGAGAAATAGACATAAAGAAGATCATATGACAAAATAATTAAGTTTTTTTTTTTTTTTAAAAAAAAAAAGCTAGAAAATGACTATGTTTTTTTTGAATACCGCTTTCATGCAGCAGCAAATATAAGAGTGAAGAAATAGAATTAAAGAATAATTGTAAACCAAAAAAGAAAAAAAAAGTAGAAGCTAGTAGTAGTGATAGGTTTTAACAAGCAAAAAAAAAAAAAAAAAAAAAAAAAAAAAAAAAAAAAAAAAAAAAAAAAAAAAAAAAAAAAAACTTACTACTGAACTAATAGCAATAGTTCATCCTTTTTAGTATCATTTAATGAAGATATGCGTCATTACTTCAGCAACAAAATTATATTTAAATTCAGAATCATGTTTCTTATTTAAAACCATTATTAACCTTAAAAAAAAAATAGAGAGAGAAAAAAAGAGAGAAAAAAAAAGAGAGAGAGAAAGAGAGAGTAGTGTGTAAGAAAGAGAAAAGAATTATTTTTTTTTTTTTTTTTCACTTTCATTTTTCATTTTTTCATTTTTTTTTTCTTTTTTCTTTTTTCTTTTCCTTTTCCTTTCCTTTTTCATTTTCATTTTTTCTTTTTATATACATATTATTTATTTCTATTTATTTAATTTTCTTTAATAATGTCTTTTTTTAATAAAATTATTGATAAAGCTAAACAACATAATACAATAGCACAAAATGAACAAAATAATAGAGGATTATTTGATTTACATACACCACAACCACAGTCTATTCCAAAGCATTATGCAACAAATGGTTATGTGACACCAAGACAATCACAAGAAAATATGGAAATTGACATTTCTTCTCGTAAAATATTAAAAAGCATCCATCATTTCTTTTATGTGTATAAATATTGACTTGCTTTTTTCTTTTTAAAAAAATAAATAAAATAAAATGATAATAATAGAAGAAGTAGTAGCTCAACAACAGCAGCAACCACAACCACAACAACAACAACAACAACAACCACAACAACAACCACAACAACAGCAACAGCAACAGCAACAGCAACAGCAACAGCAACAGCAACAACAGCAGCAGCAACAGCAGCAACAGCAGCAGCAACAAGGTAAAAGAGACAACACACTTAAATCATATTTATCTCTAAATAAATGAAATTTTCTTTCTTTCTGGTAGCTTACTTACGAAATAAATATCAAAATTATGATCAAGTCATTATGGAACAACGTAAAAATAGACCAAAGCTTAAATTGGATGATTTTCATTTGTTACGTACATTGGGTACGGGTTCATTTGGTAGAGTCCACCTATCACAATCAAGACATAATGGTCGATATTATGCTATCAAAGTACTTAAAAAATCAGAAGTCGTTAGATTAAAGCAAGTTGAACATACAAATAACGAAAAACATATTTTGGAGTCAGTCGCTAATCCCTTCTTGGTTAATTTATGGGGTACATTTCAAGATGATTCTAATCTTTACATGGTCATGGATTATGTACCAGGAGGTGAATTATTTAGTGTCTTACGAAAAAGCAAGGTATAAAAAATAAGAATTATTTATTTATTTATTTATTTCTAAAATACTTTTTTTGTTAGCGTTTTCCTGATCATGTTGCTAAATTTTATGCTGCTGAGGTCACTTTAGCTATCGAATACCTTCATAAAAAGGAATTCGTTTATCGTGATTTAAAACCAGAAAATTTATTATTGGATGCAAATGGACATATCAAAATTACAGATTTTGGCTTTGCAAAATATGTACCGGATATTACATGGACGTTATGTGGTACACCTGATTATTTAGGTGAGTGAGTGAGTTAGAGTCTGTTGTTGTGTAACGCTTTTATTCATCTGTATTTCAATAAATAGCACCTGAAGTGATTCAATCAAAAGGCTATGGTAAAGCAGTTGATTGGTGGTCCTTGGGAATCTTAATATTTGAAATGTTAGCAGGATATCCACCATTTTATGACGACGATCATTTAAAACTATATGAGAAGATTCTGCAAGGTAGAATTCGATGGCCATCTTATTTTGATCCTAATGCCAAAGATTTATTAAAGCATCTATTGACTTCCGATTTATCGCGTCGTTATGGTAATCTTAAAAATGGTGCTGATGATATTAAAATCATCCTTGGTTTCATACTGTTGATTTTGACCGTATTGCAAATCGACATATCAGGGCTCCTTATATTCCTCAAATCCGTGGGGATGGCGATGCTAGTCATTTTGATAGATATCCAGAAACAAATGAACAATATGGTTTACCTGCTGAAGATCCATATAAGGAAAAGTTTCCTGATTTTTAGTCATCAATAATAATAAACTTTTGACAGCACATGAAAAATAGATTAGAGAAAAATATTTTTTTTTTGCATGCATAAAATTTCCTTATTGAAGGTATATAAATTGTAATAGGAAAATATGTATACATATGCATATACATTTGCTGTTAAAAAAAAAAAAGAAAAAAGAAAAAAGAAAAAGAAAAAAAAAGAGAGAGAATCATGATATGTTCCTACTTTTTCATCAAGACTCTTTGTAATTTGGGAAATACACATAAATCAAGATAACAAACATATATATCATAATGTTGTCAGATTTATTTACAAATATATAAATGGAACGTTAAAATAAGATAATCTTTTTTTTTTCTTTTTCTTTTTTAGTCATCAAAAATAGCATTCACGGAAGGAGTAAAAATAGATGCTGTTGATGATGAATTTGTTGTTCCTTGAGGTACATAATACATTGGATTGGTTAAAGGAGCTACTTGATGATGAGCCTTATCAGATTGAAATGTAGTATAATTCTCTTGTGAAGTAGCAGCAGCAGTAGTAGCAGCAGCAGCAGTAGTAGTATCTGACATATTTGTAGAAGCAGCAGAAGTAGGAGTACTTGCTGTTGTTGTAGAGCCAAGATAAGTACGAATGAATAGTGGTCGTAAAGTACGAGTAGTAGAACGTGTAATCATAGTTGTTGTAGCAGAAATCATTTTGTTTTGTTTTTTTTAAAAAAAAATGAAGAGTAAGGAGAAAAAGAAAAAAAAAAGGAAAAAGAAAAAAAGGGATTTATGAATGATCGTGTGGCTATTTATATCAATGATTAATATGCATAGAAAATAATGCTGTGCGTGTGTGTGTGTGTGTGTATGTGTGTGTGCGTGCGTGTGTGAAAATGATACATTTTTAAAAAGGAACCAAACATGCAAATGAAACAACTTTTTCATCTCTCTCATCTTTAAATGGCAAAGTTATTTTAAACCCAGATGGTAAATTTTAATTGGAAGATTTTCAATACTTTTAATAATAAAAATTGATTTAATGATGAACAAACATTTATGAATATGGACTTTATTATAGGACACTGACCTTCTTATTCTTATCTTTGTTCTTTTTACTAAAAATGGACTCTACTATTTTATTTGAAGAGTGAAATGGATTAAAAGTACGTTTCATTATAAATGGAAAAGTAAAATTAACGATGTTGCTATGTAGAAAACTAATAATAAAACCCCTGACGACGAGCAGTTATATATCATTGTTTATTTTAAATAGCATCATTTTATTCATAGTAACCTCTTATTTTACATAGTTTCAAATTATAGGCTTTTTATTTTTTTATCTTCAACTAAAATAAGCTTATTATAATTTGCGGTTTTTATTATTATTATTTCATAGCATAACAGGATATAAGACTAGATTTAGAAGAGATGCTCTTTTTTCAAATAAGTGAGTTATTTAGTTTCAGCAGGCCTATCCATAGTTAGGATAGGATAGACTATGAGTTTATGACTAGCTTTTAACACTATGGTGTCGAAGTTCCCCTTTCTAATAGAATAATGATACACTATACTTATTAATTTGCAATAGTACTTTTCACTAAGAATATAGCTTCAAGTAGTAATGCTTACAATGAATAATGATATAGATAATAAAATCTACAAATCCCTTTTATATTATCATAATTAATCAAGTCGTATATTGAAGTGTCATTATCTAGATAAATAAACTGCAGCTGTAGTTAATTGCGTATTGATAAAACTTAAATTTAAGTTTTTTTTTTTTTTTTGTAATTAGAAGGAAAAAAAGTCTATTTTAATAATCAATTCCAAGGAGCCAATAAAATGGGCTCTCGTGCAGGAATACGCCAAAGTATAATAAAATAAAAAAAAAGAGCTTTTCCTCAAATATGCATTTCCTAAACTAACACGTTTTAAGTCGCAACTTATTTTATTAGCTCTAGAGATTTTTTTTTAAAAAAAAAAATATGACAGTCTAAATATCATCGTTATTTTTATAATAAACTTTATTTATTTATATTGATGTTCGGATGATGCTTGGGTTTATATTATTGTTTGTTGATCAGGAGACGGAATAAATAAATTAGGTCGCCATGGTGACAGGTGATGTACGACTGTAATTGCATTAAAAATGCATCTAGTAATGAGATTTGAAAGAATTACGATAGACCATACTATGATAGAAAAAGTGTAAGCAGCTTGTTTCTTCCCTATGGCTCTTTGTAAAAAATAAATAACTAATATATAAATAAAAAAATAGTATAATATTATAAAACATACTCTATTCTGGTTTAAATGGCTTATTTTTTGAACATATCAATAAGTACCTGTCTCATTCCGTTGTTCTTTTCTAGTGTATTTGTATACCTATTTATTAGACTTGTTTGTATAGATTGATTGATTGATTGATTGAACATAGCAATGAGGGATCATTATTTAGTAAAAGTCTTTATTATTTACGTGCTGCACTAAATAGTAAAGAGGGGTAAGCTTCGTACTTTACCGAATAGAATAGTTTCCCTCTTGGAAAAAGCTATTTCGTATTTTATTCTATTTTTTAGCTCATCCAAATTAGGTTTGTTAACGAAATAAACTATTATCATTTATTATCATGCCAAGTGTGAACTATTGTCAAATTTAAGCTCATCTGCCTTTATTTTATTTTTATTTTTATTTTTATTTTTTTTATTTATTTCTTTTATATGTAAATACATATACATTTATATTTGTATTTGTATTTATTTATATTTATAAAAAAAAAAAAAAAAAAAAAAAAAATTCATCATGGCCGATTCTTCTGTTATCAAACTCTCTCTTACAGAATGGACACACGATCAACGTTTAGCTATTGCACGTATATCTGCACAGGTACTCACACACTCTTCTCTTGTCCTTGGTGAACAATGGTCTTGTGAATGGTGGCAAGAGATCATTAGTTATTTACAAGTAACTCAGTCACAACTTGAACAACATGTTTTAGCGTTCAATAAGGCACTTGAGCTTCTCAAGGGTGAGAAACGAGACATTCGTGTTGAAGTGATGATCGATCTTTTAGCATTAGCATTACACATTACCTCAAATAAGACTAAACAAAAAAAGGTTGATAAAAGACTCGTCATGTTGTATGATGCTCGTGCTAGAGCCTTTTTAATTGAACTTGAACATGCATTGGAACTTTATCCAGGTGACCTTTCCTCTGTGGAAAAAAGTATAGCACAACAAATGTATTATCATTTATTGGAGCAACAACAACAACAACAACAATCTAATAATGTACAACAATCCATGGATAATGAGGCTCAAAAGGCAATTGAAGCTACGAACCGACGTCAGCAAGCCTTTCGTTGGATAGCAACAGGTGCTGGTGTCATTGGGGGAGGTGCTGTTATTGCCTTGACTGGAGGACTCGCTGCTCCTCTCTTGGCTCCCCTTTTGGCAGGTGTGACGGGAGCTGCTTTCTTTGCTACAGCAGGTGGTGTAGCTCTCATGACAAGTCTTCTTGGGTTAACAGGAGGTGGTTTAGCAGGTTGGAAAATGCATCGTCGCATGAAAGGGATTGAGCAACTTGGGTTTAAACAGATTTTACAAGATCCTGATTTACCACCTGTACCTGCTTTACATTGTTCTATTTGTATTTCTGGTTTCTTATTAGATTCAGAAACAGAAGCCATCGTAAGTGAGAATATATATATATATATATTACAGAATAATGTTTGTTTTGAAACTAATTTTCTCTCTCTCTCTCTTCTACATATATATATACATACATATGTATACATATTTATATATAGTCTCCCTGGGAGCTTGCCTTTGAAGGAAAAAGAAACAATACAGATCTATTTTGTTTAGAATATGAAACAGAGACTTTATTAAAATTGGGTTATTCATTTAAAAGATTTATAAAGGATACGGCTATAAATTATGCTGGTATGGAAGTTGCTAAGGCTACCATCCTTCATTCATTTTTTGGTAATAGATTTTTATCTTGTCTATTATACTCAGTTACTTATATATATGTATACATATAGCTGCTGTTGCGTTACCAGCTACTATATTGAAAATTGCTGATGTAATTGATAATCCATGGCAAATGGCAGTTGATCGATCTAAAAAAGCAGGTGCAGGTAAAGAAGGATTCATATTATAATTAAGTATAGATAGATAGATAAATAGGTAGGTAGGTAGATATTAACAGATGATTATAATAGTATTAGCAGACGTATTACAACAAAGAGTTCAAGGCAATAGACCTTGTAATTTAGTAAGTGATTTTTTTTTTTTTTTTTTTTTACTTGAATAATTACTTGTAGACAAAGAGTTCATAGTATTCTATATTAGATTGGATATAGCTGTGGATGTTTAGTGATATGGAATTGTTTACAGGAACTTTATGAAAGAGGATGTCATGGACTGATCGATAATGTAGTCATGATGGGTGCTCCTATCTCTACAGATGAGTCTTGGGAATGGCAAAACGCACTGAGTGTCGTCTCTGGTCGATTTATCAATTGTTATACGTCCAATGATTGGGTTTTGGCTTTTGTCTATCGATTACATTCATTAGCAACAAATGTAGCAGGTTTAGAAGCAGTGCCACATTCACGTATTGAAAATATACAAGTTAATTTAGATGGACATACTAAATACCCATATGTTATTAAAGATATCATGACTCAATTAAGGATAGAGTAATAATACATTCTTATTTTATTATGTAATATATATATATATATATATATGATATGCACACTAGTTATTCCTTCCTCCATTCATTCTGCTTTGAAAAGATGATAATGAAGAAAGTTCTTCATCTTATTCCATTTCTTATTATGAATGGCATTATCATCTTCAATGATCACGTTATTTTGTGTGATATCTTCCACCTGATCTATATCTTCTTTTTGAATACTTATTGGAGGAGGAGGAGGCAAAAGTAATAAAGGTTTCTTTTTTTCCAGTCTTTCATTAGCAAGAAGAGTCTCCCATCCATCACATAATAACATCCAATCATACAAGGGCTTATCCTTTTCTTCACTTAATTTTCCCATTAATTTTTTAAATAATTCTATTAACCATGAATAATTTGGCTCATCTGAGAATCCTATGGCACGAACATATTGCATATATTTCACAAATTCCTCTATATAGATAGATAGTATGATCAACAATTAATAATAACAACAAAAAGGGGAAGTGGGAGGGAGATGGGGATTATACCTGGTAAACCTGCACATAACACTTGAGGACTTGAAGATTGTTTCATCTTACATATCTTGTTATACTTTTCTTCAATACTTTGAGCATGTATTCCTTGCCATGGAAGTTGACCTTTTAGAAAGTAAATCAAAACATAACCTAAAGATTCTAAATCATCCCTTCTTGACTGTTCTATAAAGTGCAAATGATATATCATGACATACTATGTATGTATGTATGTATTATAATTATTTACCATTACCCAGGTGCATATGAATACTCATATATCTTGCTGTACCTGATATTCGCTTTCTTTCACGATAAGGTATATGTTCATGTGTATTTGAATCACGATATTGTTTAGCCATACCGAAATCAATAATGGTGATATTTTTATGAGATGAATCTGTAGTAGTAGTAGTAGTAGTATTGATTAAAAAATTATCTGGTTTTATATCTCTATGAATAAAATTTCTTTTATGAATTCCTTCAATCACAGTAAGCTGATAGAATATGAAGTTAGCTATTGTTAATTAGTATATGCATATATATATATATATATATAATACCATTTCGATGGCTAGCATGGTGACAGTTTTTACAGAAAACTTTTTATTACAGATATTAAACATATCTTCCAAACTGGGTCCAAACAAGTCCATGACCAATACATGATGGTATTTTTCATGCCCAAAATAATGAACATTAGACACACCCGCTAAACAGATGTATAAAATAAAAAGGATGCATGTTTGATGATAAGTAACTTGTATGTATATTTATATATAAAATGTGTGTGTGTGTGTGTGTGTATTTACGTGAGCCCTTTAATGATCGATATGTAAAATATTCCTGTTTTAACTGTGGTGTATAACAATCTTTGGATTCAAACTTCAAGGCAATCTGTTGTTTATTGTATAAATTACAACCTGTTAACAGAATAGAAGAATGTGTTAAATTAATGGCATTGTTTTATTTGATTATTATTGCTTTACCTTTATATATTTTACCGTAGCTACCTTCACCTATCTTTTCTCCGATCTCATAACGAGAACAAATGGATTTGTAAAGTGAAGGATTATTTAAAAAGTCTTGCTTTGACATTCTCTCTCTTTTTTTTTTTTTTTTTGAAAGAAAGCAAAGGGAAAAAAAGTGGAGAAAATTAATGCAACAGTTAAATTGTTTCAATTTATGCTGAAAAAGAAAAAAAAAGTGCACGTGACGTTTATTAGACATAATAGAACAAATTACTGTTTGCAATTTATTTTAGTTATAAAAACAAATGTAAACATGCTCCTTAGTAGGTTAATAACTATGCTTTGATCTATTTTTCTTTTTTTTTCTTTTTTTTTTTTTACTATCCATTCACATGCTTATAAAGAGCTAATAAAAATGTAACTTTATAATCTTTTTTTTTTTTTTTTTTTTTTTTTGTAGACTAAAAATTATTCTATTAAGGATCGAATGGATGCTATCAACTCATATGGATTGATTTCATTTACATCTGCTTCAAGAAATTGCTTTTGAATGATTTCAAGCTGTTTATAGACTTGTTTATCTTGTTCAATTTCTATCCGATTAATCCTTTCTCCGTTATTATACTTTATGCAAAGGTCTGAAGCTATAAATGGAATTCATTCATATAAAAGACGAAAAAAAAAAAATAATAATAATAGTGCCGTTACCTCTTTCAAGTATATGATTAGGCAAACCAGCTATACTGGCACACCATATACCATAAGAAGATTCTTTATGTTCTTGTAGACGAGGTATAATACGATACAAGAATGCGACTTCATCTCCATATTCTTTATTATGACTAATAATTTCTGTTTCTGATATCGTAATACCATCTCCAGCCGATAAAAAGTCTTGACTAATTAAATCTATTATTCTATTATCAGCACATGTGTTTTACTCTAAATCAAATATATATGATGATATACCATGAAAATGAGTACTAGCAACGATTTTTGGACAATTCTCATTTTGTGCTAAAAAATAGCCCAAGACAGAGCAAAATAAGGCTGCCCCATCTATACTCTCAGTTCCCTAAATATGTATATAATCTAGTTGTGTTAAATGTGTATATGCAATTATTAAAGTGAAATAGAAATGACCTTTCCAAACTCATCTATAATGACTAGACTATGTTTTGTTGAATGGATCAAGGCACGATTTAATTGTTGTAAATCAAAGCCAAATGCACTTTGAGGCTAAATCATATATCGTTTAATTGATATTTTATATATTTGTATAAACATATTAAAATAAAATACTTTAGAAACAGTCTCTGATGTTTGTATTCTTGTAAATAATTTATCTACAATTCCAATTCTTGCACTCTCTGCAGGAACAAAACTTTTTTTTTAAAAAAAAAAAAAAAAAAAAAAAAAAAAAAAAAAGACAAGTAGAATGAGTATATGAAATCTTTTATCATGTTATAAATAGATATCATGTACCTTCCAATATGAGCCATATAGACTATTAGTGCAATTTGTTTTAAATAGACACTTTTCCCAGAGAAATTAGCTCCTGTCACAACTTGAATACTATTCATCGTCATCTTATTATCTTGGTTTGATCTCTTGGATAAAAATCCTTGTCCTCCTTTTAACTGAGTGTCATTTGCAATAAATATATCCACACATAATTCCTGTAAAGGATGTCTACAGGATGTATTTATTGTTAAATCAAATATAATAACATCATTTTTAGTTAGTTACCTTCCCTGTGTAATAACTAATGAGTCATCTTCTGTAATGACTGGTTGAACATAATTAAATTTTAACGCAACCATTGTAAATGATATCAAACTAAAGTAAAGTAAAAGGACAAGAGAATTAAAAAAAAAGGAGTCTATAAGGTCCTTCCTTTTTATTTTACCAATCGATTTCAGACAAGATATGAACAATTTTTGTAAATTGAGTCTTATGTTTTAAAACATGTTCTGATAATTCCTGAATAATTTCAATTTCTTTATCTGTTGTTAATGCATGGATGTCTCCAATCGTTTTATCCAATTCTATATATAAAAGTCAAGTCAATAGACTGTAAAGCTGTTAATTCTAATTACTTTTTTTTTTGTTTGCTGTACCTTTTGTTTTATCATTTTTATAATACAAATTATCTAATGTTGTAAACTAGATATATTCGAAATGTTATATACGCATTCCATTTATAAAAATAACTTACTTGTAGTTCAAATCCAACCAAGTATTGCTGATAATAGTCACTACTATTACTGTCACTATCTCTCTTTTCGGATTGACGTTGAAGATGAGACTGTGGTAAGGTAATCAAGTAGCCTAATTGAGGAAAGTAAACGACATTAAGTGCAGAACCGAGACGGACTGGTAAAGAAGCACTCACTTCTTGAGATACTTGAAGCTATATATTATAATTTATATCAAATAAGTCAAAATACAAACGATGTATATAATGTTTATATCTAACTAAGTAATCGTCTAATTTATTATATTTCTCTCGTAATAAATCAAGTTCCTATATAATGATTAAAATACTATATATTCATATTTTATATGTGTCCTATATTACATGATCTATTCCTGCTTTTACAATAATACGAGCCTCTTCTTTACTTGCTTCAAAATCAATCTTTTTTTTTTTTTTTTAGTGTACATGTCTATGAATACTTTAAACAAATATATACGTATTATAATGCTATACTTTACAATACAATCAATAGAGGATCCTAATTCTTTCATCACTTCCATCATTGATATGGCTTCTTTTGCTTTTTGAATTATAGGTAGATCATAACAAGTCAATTGATTCAAGATACCAAAGATACATATAGTGTAATAAGCAAACTACGAAATAGATAGATTAGATAGCTATATATTCCATTAAATATACATATATATATATATATATATTTAGATAGCTACTTTTAAAATGGATTGCCAATCATTAGGTGTTGCTTTGGACTCTCTTAGTTTTGATAAGAGTCGATTTATGTTTTTAATATGCTTTAGAAATGATGAGATCTCAATGATTTTATCTCTTAATTCAGGCTTAGAGAATACGTGAATAGTAGCATGTCGATCAGCAATTACTTGAATTTCTTGTGTAGGACGAGAAAGCCATTCTTTCAATAATTGTTTACCTAATACACTCTTGGTTTTATCCAAAAGACCTTCATATATGTATACAAGTTTCTTTTTGTTTTAATGACATGTAGTAATAGTAGTTATTCTCTATTCTACATACCAAATAATGACAGTCTTTCTTTTTCCCTTTTTTGATGCATGTTAGGGTGAGTTTCTAAATCAAAGATACATAATGATCTGTGTATATATACAAGTAAGCATATAGTATTCATATATATGCATATGATGTCTTACTTTATCGTATCTGAATTGATATGCATACATTTTTTACTAGTATTATTAGTATTATTAAACATGCTTCAATTATAGAGACTCTTTTTAACTTACTTTGAAAATGTTTTCAATACAGTAGGTTCATGTAAAGAACATGATTCATCATTTATTCTTTCTTCTCGTTCAATTTCTTGTAAATGTTTCAATAATACACCAGCACATCCAACCTAAGTAAGAGCACCAGGCTTTATTAGTTAGTTAAAATATAACCAGATTAAATAGATAAGATTTAATCTAATTTACACTAATTCGACTTTCATCTAAATAAAGGATACCTTCCAGATGCAAATAAGCATGTGTCTTATTGCCTTCATCTGGATCTCTTAAGTAGATATGTTCTTCATCATCTCCTTTATTCATATGTTGAATATACCAATTTAACAATATAGAATGTCCTTTTTCATACATAAAGTCCTTTGCAGGTACTTTTTTAATTTCAATTGAAGTACCTTATTACAGACATAAAAATAAAATAAAATAAAATAAACGATACACAAAGACATGTAGGCATATACCATATTCAACTTTTAATACTTCAAATAGTCTATTGTATTGCTCTATAGCGTCTGATATAATAATGAATGTAGGTAATATTTGGGCTATCACTATATATAATAGTTGTCAGTTTTATTATTTATTTATTTATTTTAGTGAATCATTTTAACGCATAGTTGTGTATTCTAATTGCTCTGTTTCATTCACATCTTCCATTAAATAAAGCTCTAAACTTGTACTTGAAAAATATGAACATCCTAGTCTATTAGACTTCCAATGTAGACACATACAAACTTCCATTCTTTTTAAAAAAAAAAATAAAATAAAATAAAATAAAATAAAATAAAATAAAAGGGACAGTAATCAACAAGCATGAATTTTATTCATGTTAACTATGTTCGGAGTTCCAAATTAAATTAGGTTTTTATTTTGTTTATCCTTTTTTCTTTCAGCTTTTTATTTTATTTTATTTTATTTTTTTTAACCGAAAAATAAAAAAAATGGACTATTTACGTTATGATGACCAACGTCGTTATGGCGAAAAAGAAGACCCTAGACTACTTGAAGTAACTCAATGTCCTACTGATGCTGCTGCTTTAACAAATTGTGCCTACATTACTCCTGGTTTCATGGATCCCAAAATTCATTACATTATTGTAGACCGTGAACATGCTTTTTCTGTCAAGTAGGTACAAAAAACAAATGGGTTAAGAGAGAGAGAGAGATGGAAAGAAATATGTAACTAAATTATCATCTTTATTTAGATTTGATAGGTCAATTCCAAAAGGCCAGATTGGCTTTAATAGCATACAACGTCGCTGGGCATCTTTTTCAATAGGCCAAAAAGTAATTGTAGAACCATTTGACGTTCATTCTGAAGGCATGGATATCTATCTTGGTATTTTAAAGATGGAGATTGACTTTTTTTCAAAAAGTAATAGACTCCCGGATGAATTTAAAGAAGATGATCTCGCAAAAGCATTTTCAGAAGTAAGATGATGATATTTATAAAAAGCATTACTATTGTTAATCCTCTTTCTTTTTTTTTTTCCACCACTTTCCCTATCTCTCTCTCTCTTGATAGACCTTTTATTATCAAATATTTTCAAAGGGACAATCTCTAGTATTTGAATATTGCGGTGTCAAGTTTAAAGTAACCATTCAAGATTTGGCTGTAGTCGATTTGAATGTATTAAAGAAGGGTGAAGTGAATGCTCGTCAAGAAAGTCAACCAGACGCCTTTCGTGGTATTTTAATGCGTGAAACCAATATTGAGCTTACAAAGGCAGAAGGTTCGTTCCTAAATCTGAAACCATCAAAAAATAAGGCGTAAGTTTACAAATAAATAAAATAGAAAAGGTAATTAAAATAATTCATATATAGGATGAGAACAAAAGCATTGATAAAACCAGATTTTAAATTTGAAGATCTTGGCATTGGTGGTTTAGACGATGAATTTAATGCCATCTTTCGTCGTGCTTTTGCTTCCCGTATTTTCCCTCCTGCTTTAGTAGAAAAATTAGGTGTTCAGCATGTGAAAGGTATCTTACTTTATGGTCCTCCAGGTACAGGTAAAACTTTAATGGCACGTCAAATTGGTAAAATGTTAAATGCCAAGGAACCTAAAATTGTGAGTGGTCCTGAAATTCTTTCCAAGTTTGTTGGTCAGTCTGAAGAAAATGTTCGAAAGTTATTTGCTGATGCTGAGGACGAGTATCGTAAAAAGGGAGAGGATTCAAGTTTGCATATCATTATCTTTGATGAGTTAGATGCGATCTGTAAGTCTCGTGGTACGCGTAGTGGTGACACGGGTGTAGGTGATTCAGTAGTAAATCAATTATTAGCCAAGGTAAATAATAGATGATATATCGTGGTTTGTTACTCACCATTTTTTTTTTGGGGGGAAATAGATGGATGGTGTTGAGCAATTGAATAATATCCTTATTATTGGTATGACTAACAGAAAGGATATGATTGATGAAGCCATTTTACGTCCTGGTCGTCTTGAAGTCCATATGGAAATTGGTTTGCCTGATGAAAAAGGTAGACTTCAAATTCTTAAAATTCATACTAGTAAAATGAGGTCGAATGATGCCTTGGATTCTGATGTCAGTCTTGAAGAACTAGCCGACTTAACCAAGAATTATAGCGGTGCAGAAATTTCAGGTGTTGTTAAAGCTGCCACTTCTTATGCATTCAGTCGACATATCAAGGTTGGTTCCCTAGAAGGTGTTTCGACTGATATGGCTGAAATGAAGATTTGTATGGATGATTTTTTGAATGCTCTCAAGGAAGTTCAACCTGCCTTTGGTGTCTCTGAAGTTGAACTACAACAATGTGTTCAAAATCATATCATTCCATTCAGTCCCCGTATTGAGCAAATCTTGGATGATGGTCGTCTTTATGTAGATCAAGTACGTCAATCATCTCGTACACCTTTAGTTAGTGTCTTATTGAATGGCCCAACGAGCGCAGGCAAGACAGCTTTAGCTGCTACTATTGCTATGCGAAGCGACTTTCCATTTATCAAACTAATTTCTCCTGAAACAATGGTTGGTATGACTGAATCTCAAAAGGTGAACGAAATTAATAAGATCTTTAATGACTCTTATAAATCACCTATTAGTGTAATTGTTATTGATGCTATTGAACGTCTTTTAGGTATATATATATATATATAAATATAAAAAAGACAAAATTTACTTAATTTCTATTTTGTAGATTATGTACCTATTGGACCTCGATTTTCAAATGCAGTCTTACAAGCTCTTCTAGTTCTCCTTAAAAAGAAACCACCAAAGGATCGTCGTCTCTTGATTTTGGCCACTACATCACAACACGATATTCTGGAACAGATGGGTATGACCTCTGAATTTTCTGCCGAAATCTATGTGCCTACAATCACATCGCTTGAGAGTATGGATATTATCTTGCAACAACTTGAATTATTTAATGATTCAGAAAGAGAAGAAGCTCTTTCACGTTTGAAGGAAGCTAATATGGATCAGAAATTGACGCTTGGTATTAAAAAGTTATTGATGATTATTGAAATGGCAAGACAGGATAAAGATAAAGTTGATAAATTTGTTAATACCATTTTATATTTATAAACATATTTTAACTGTAATAAATATCCGTTTCCTTATATGCACTATTTCTTTAAATTACACTAGTTGAGGAAAGGTCTTTTTTTGTTATATCTTTTTAAATAGATTAGAGAATATCAAAATATGAATGATGACATATTAGTGAATCTTCTTGGGCTTTATTATTATTATTAGAGAGCATCTAATACCATGATCAATTGTAGAGATTACAGACCCACTATTATGTATAAATTAAACGATTAGCATACTGTAATTACTATCTGATTTACAATAAAGTTTCCCCTTAAGAAATAATAATATATATTATGTATATATTCCTTCAAAGGAGTTATCTATGTATAATGAAGAGACAGCAGGAAGAAAATATAATCTTCTCTTTGATATAGCTAAATACAAATAATTTATAAAGCTCAGTGTATAAATTCTTAAACAGCATTCATCTATGATGGACCTTAATTTATTATAATTCTAGTTCTAACGTATTATTGTATTCTATTTACATTTTACAAAAAAAAATAAAAGCTATCATTCTATACATATATATATTTTTTGGAGTAGTCCTTCAAGTGGCCATCTTTAAAACGACAAAATGAAGATCTTTGCTCTTTAGTTTATCAGGTACACTGAAAGAAACTTGTTCGCCTGTTTCTTTAAAACCTATTTTCTTATACCAAGCCAAAAGCTCAGTTCTATTGTTGAAAACATGTAGGACACAGTTCTTGAATCCTAACGTCTTCATCTCTGAAAGTGCAGCACGAATCAAACGACCTCCGAAACCATGGGATTGACAAGTAGGTGATACAGAAAAAAGACTAATCGCAGCCTCATCTTGATTGAGAGGTTTGATCTGTACTGTACCAACAACTTTGCCTTCGTCAAATGCAAATAATAATGTATATGGGTTACCATTTGTTCGAATGAATTCTTCCATTTCATTTACAGTTATTCGTTCACCTTCCACATGTTCTTTTTCAGATGTCCATCCACCTATACAAGATTTGATAGGGGAATATTATTATTATTATACATACAAAAAAAAAGGAGAGAGACGGATTTATAAATATATGTATATGTATATACATGTGTGTATATTTACCTTCGGATCGGTAAGCGGCATTTACTACTTTAGTAGCTTCTTCTTTATATCGAATATCTTCAAGGGTCACTTTACGAATACAAAAGCTAGGCTGGACCATCTTAATTATTTTATTTCCCGAATAAAAAAAAAACTTCTCGAATTTGAAGCCTCTTTTATATATTATCAGTAATGTCAAAAAAATTTTAAAAGTCAGTTGGAAGGCTTTCAACAAAGAGCCGGTGTTTCGGAGAAACCTAAATGTTGTATTTTATTGGTAATATTACTTGGATCAAAATATAGTAATACTGGTTTTTTGTTTTTTCACAATAATAAATTTGCGTATGATGGTTTCTTTTGCCTTTGCACATAAGAGTTAGTCAATTTTACCTATATCAATCCTTTATTTGCGCATTTCCATCTTTGATAGTTTCAAAGTGTCTAACAACCATGTTCCTGACGAGTTTATGTATTGTTTTAATGGTGTGATTTGGGACTTCTAAAAAGCGCCAATTGTTCCATTTTTGTCAAAAAAAATAAATAAATAAAGATTATCTAAGAAGCAATGAAATTAATCTTATTTTGGGCACGGCACATAATTCTGTATTATCAGATATATAAATATTCAAGTAAGTAATTGTAAAATAATACGTACAAGTGTTTAGAATATTACTTCAGAGGCTTTTCATCCCAGTTAATAATCCCTTTAATGAGTTTTAATGCAGAGTAAAAAAAAAACATTTCACATAACTTTAAATTGACACATTTAGTAATTCTAAAATAGTTTCAAGATGAGAGATTATTCATTGAATCAAACTTTACATGGGGAATCCAACATTATAGATTTTTATGTGAACAAAGGAATGAGGTTCAATGATAAAGAGAAGACTACTGAAGCTATCTTTAAAAAGACAGTTGAATAAATTCTGAGCAAAGATAGTGAAGATACAGTAGTTTTGAAGGAGTCTTGTAATGAAATATGCACTGGTGAATATATGGTGTATGCAATATTATTTATTTATATGAAATAATATTATTGATTTTAATATTGCATACACCATATATTCACCAGTGCATATTTCATTACAAGACTCCTTCAAAACTACTGTATCTTCACTATCTTTGCTCAGAATTTATTCAACTGTCTTTTTAAAGATAGCTTCAGTAGTCTTCTCTTTATCATTGAACCTCATTCCTTTGTTCACATAAAAATCTATAATGTTGGATTCCCCATGTAAAGTTTGATTCAATGAATAATCTCTCATCTTGAAACTATTTTAGAATTACTAAATGTGTCAATTTAAAGTTATGTGAAATGTTTTTTTTTTACTCTGCATTAAAACTCATTAAAGGGATTATTAACTGGGATGAAAAGCCTCTGAAGTAATATTCTAAACACTTGTACGTATTATTTTACAATTACTTACTTGAATATTTAATTTCATTGCCTCTTAGACAAACTTTATTTTCTTTTAAAAAAATATATATATCTATTCATCATCTTCACTTAAATTGTCTACATCATTTGTCCAATGAAGTGAAGTATCTACCGCTTTTTTCCATATTTTATATTTTTCTTCCCTTTCTTTAGTTGTTGTGTTAGGTATAAAAGTTGTCACATCATCGCCATTAGTCATTTTTTCTTTCAGTTCATCAATGTCTTTCCAAACACCTACTGCTAATCCAGCAGCAATAGCAGTCCCCAATGCTGTTGTTTCTCTCATTGAGGGTCGTTCAACATGGATGCCCAAAATATCAGCTTGTATTTGCATAGCAATATCTGAGTTAGATACACCTCCATCTACTTTAAGTACTTTTAGAGGAACACCTGCATCTTGATTCATGGCATCTAAAATAGCCTTTGATTGATATGACATGGATTCTAATGTGGCTCGTGCTAGATGATATTTATTTGTATAACTCGTTAATCCTATCATTGTTCCTCTTGCATCATCTCTCCAATAAGGTGCAAATAAACCTGAAAATGCTGTGACAAAATAGACACCTCCTGTATCAGGGACATGTTTAGCTAACCAAATGAAAAAAAAAAAAAAAAAAAAAAAAAAAAAAAAAAGAGGTTAAAATAAAAATAAAATAAAAATAAACTGTTTCATTTTTTTACCTAATTCACTCACTTCTTCCATGGAATTAATAAGTCTTAGATTATCTCTTAACCATCTCAATGAAGAACCAGCTACTGCTACTGATCCCTCTAAAGCATACGTTGCTTTTGCTTCTTTACCCAGTTTAAACGCAATAGTCATAATCAAACCATGTTTAGATTTTACCATATCTTCCCCAGTATTAAATAACATGAATGCACCAGTACCAAAAGTACATTTTGCCTCTCCTTTCGAAAAACATTTTTGGCCTAAGAGGGCTGCTTGTTGATCCCCTAAACAGCCACTAATAGGTATACCTTTGAGTGCACAATTTTCTATCTCTAATTTACCATATATTTCTGATGATGAACATAATGTTGGTAATAATTCCTTGTCAATGTCAAAAAACCTCAATAGATCATCATCCCAATTTAATGTCTTGAGATTCATTAATAATGTACGACTCGCATTTGTTACGTCAGTTACAAATGATGAGTGATTTGTCAATTTGTAAATTAGCCAACTATCAACGGTACCCAAACAAGCCTCGCCTGCTTTCACAGCCTCTTTCACTTTTTCATCATGATCCAGCATCCAGCGAAACTTGACTGCTGTAAAATAGGACGAGAGACTGAGGCCTGCAATATCTTGAATTTGAATATCATTGCCATCTTTCTTTTCCTTTTCTTTAAGGTCGTGAACAAGGTCATCGGTTCGTACATCACTCCAGACGATCGTGTTACGTAAAGGTTCGCCTGTTCTTTTGTTCCATGCGACAGCTGATTCACGTTGATTCGTGACACCAATCGCTTTGATATCCTTGACATGATGGCCCATAAGCTCGAACCGTTTAATTGTCTTTTCGATACATTCGAGAACTGTATCAAGAATAAGTAAAGGATCATGTTCCAACCAACTAGATATATATATATGTATATATATATGTATATAAGAATAAACAAATGGAGAAGAAGGAAAGAATATATAGTGTGATATGTACGATATTTACCCAGAATGTGGTTGTGATTGCGCTAGTTCAACTTGATGAAAAGTAATCAATTTTCCCTCATCATCAAATATTAAAAACCGTGAAGAAGTCGTTCCTTGGTCGATAGCTCCAATAAATTGCTTTTCTGTCATATGAATATTTAAATACAAAAGTAAAATAAAATAAACAAAAATAATAAAATGCGGGGGCAAAATTATCTTTAACCATTTATTTCACTAAAAACTCAGCATAAAGACAACAATTATTAAAAAAAAAGGGTCTATTTATTTAACATTCAAAATCGTTTTTATTATTATTATTATTGCCTTCATAACCTTACGCACACTACAATAATTAAAACACACACATACAAAAATAAATAATTAAATGAAATCCCACCGAGAGTTTACGAGTTATAAAGAAAAAGCCCAAATGTGTGAAAAAAAAAAAGGAAAAAGTCCTTGTAAGAGAACAAATCCAAACAATCAACCAACCAAATAAGGGAGGGGAAGTATATGATTATGTCTAATATATACATCCATATTTAACTTACCTATTCTTACCTGATATACTATATAAAGGGTAAATACATTATATAATTAAAAAGAAGGGAAAGGAGAGAGAAAAGAAAGTGCGATAGAGAAAAGGAATATATAAAAGAGGAGGGGGGAAGGTTGGTTGGTATAAAAAAAAAAAAGTGTACATTCAGGTAACTCGTGGCGACGCATGCATTAACATGGTCCGCTCATAAGGGTCTAATCTCAGCCGACTATATAACGTCTAGCACCCCTCGGTTGTTCCTTTTAGTACACAAAATAATGTATCCAAAAATAAAGAAAAGGCCAAAACCTAATGCGCATAATCCTACCATCTTCTTTCTATAGAGAAGCTTGACAGCAACCTACCAAAAAAAAAAAAAGGAGAATGAGTAGAGGCGATTGAGGCAAAGGCGCTTTTCCCTATATGGTTGAAGAATTTATTAAAATGCGATAAATAAGTTAGTAATAAAATGATGTTCTAAAATGGGGATATACTCCTTTTTGTTGTTGTTGTTGTTGTTGTTATTCCTCTATTCAACTTATTATTTGACAGGGTTAAACATACGATCGATCTCTTCGAGCGTTTTACCCTTTGTTTCTACTAACATAAAGCTACCTAAGAAAAGAACTGTACAACAAGCGCCGGAAAAGTAATAACCACCATAGATGGTTTTATCCATAAAGATAGGCATGATAAAGGTCAATAGGATACCAATTGCCCAATTCAAACCGTAAGCTAATGCAATTACTTTAGAACGTGTACGCATATTAGAAATTTCAGCAGGATAAATATAGGCTACAGGACCCCAGCTATAGGCATAAGTAGCTTGGAAGATAAAGATAAAGGCAATGACAGCAGCACAGGCATGTTTGTTGTAAATACTGACTTCACCTAATTCATCTACGTAATGATAAGCTTGAAAGAGTGCACCAACAGCATACATCGAGACACCCATAATGAAAGCGCCTGAAGTAAAAATTAGACGACGTCCCAACTTGTCTACAAACATGACAGTCAAGAGATTCATGATAAGGACCAAAATATTACTAGAACCCGTAGTAGCCAATGAAATAGATGCAGATCCCACACCAGCTTGAATAAAGATTTGAGGTGCAAAATAAGTAACAGAATAGGTACCCGTAAAGGCTGCACCATTACCAGTAAATAAAGCAAGTAAGGTACGCTTCAGATTTGTTCCGCGGAAACATTCAATGTACGTACGATTACCAAAAGAATGTTCAGTTTCAATCTCTTCACAAATACTTTCAAATTCATTACGGACTTCAGGATCATCAATAGTAGATCCGTGTAGTTTAGCAAGCACTTCAAGAGATTCCTCATGACGGCCCTTATCAATTAACCAACGTGGAGAAGGAGGTAAGAAATAGACGACACTTAATAAGATACAGATACCGAGTTCCATAAGGAAAGGAGCGCGCCATGCCCAATCTGTTGTAATATAAGATGTACCAAAATTGACAAAATAGCCAACAATAGTGCCTACAGATAAACATGCACTAAACAAACTAATAAGACGGCCACGAATATCGGGTGGTGCGATCTCCGTATGATACAAGGGAATTGCATTAGTTAAGAAGCCTTCACCAAGACCAACAAACAGACGTCCGACTAATAATAACCCAAAGCTGTATCCAATTGTTTCAAAAAGTGCCCCTATTGCGAACGCACCTGTACCAAGAAGAATTGCATTTTTACGACCCATAAAATCTGAAAAAAAAATGGATAATTGATGTTAGTAATATGTTGTATATATATATACATACATATATATTTTTAATTTTACCACAAACATTGCCAGAGGCTAAACCACCAATTGTAGCAGTTAATAGCATCATAGCAACTAAGAGACCATTACGATAAGTGCTATCTACATTCAGGAAACGATTGATAAAAGGTTGGAGTACCATTATACCCGAAATAGCACCTGTATCAAAACCTGTTACGAAGCCACCAGTAGCAGCAACAACACCAGCCATATAAAGTGACTTTCGACTACCTCTATGAATCGATTTTTTTGTAGTAATTGACTCATTATCAAAATCAATTGTATCTTTGATATGTTTACTAGACATTATATTATATGGTATAAAAGATAAAAAGAATAAATATAAAATTTTAAAAAAAAAAAAAAAAAAAAAAAAAAAATATGTTTTCTAATTATTTATATTTTTTTTTTTTTTTTACGATTATCAAATCAAAACCAATCTCGTATATCCCGATTTTGAATATTTTACATTCATATCAAATCCCTGCTTACACTTTTGTATTAATATCATTTGTGTAATAATAGTGCTTGTTACTTTACTCTAAAATTGTATGAAAAAAAATTATTTATTATACAAGACGTGAATATTATATTATCGTTCTCAATATTTTTTTTAAAAGAAAAAAAAAGCTTATAAATCATTCTAATATGAATTTATTCAATTTTATTATTTAGCAGATCTGTTTAAACACATCTAACTCATTTTTTTTTTTAGAATTTAAAAAGGTCGGGATGCTAATATCAAATTCACAAAAAAAATTACTTCCAATGAAAGGGTCGTATAAGGGAGCTGAGTTTGCGCACGTGCTCTTCCCCTTTAAGTATTGATAATAAACTATATCTTATCTTGTAAACCATTTTATTACTATGTTTTTTGTATTCACGTAGAAATAGTTAATTTAGTACAATAAAAAAAATATGTATATACTACTATAGTAACTAGTTGAGCATTTAACAAGCGATTTTGAGTTGCAAATATTTGTAATATATATTTTTAATATTACATTATCATGTTAAAATAAATAATAGCTTTTTCTGAACAATAGGCAATTGACAGGTGATATTTAACATAATGAAGAAGCTGATTGCAACAAGTGCTTATTTTTGTCAACATCAATCATTTTTGATTCCATTATTTCTACAAAAACAAAGTCCTATTCACTACAGTCATATATCAAATTATATATTTGTATATACACATATATTATAAAAAAAAAATGTTTATTAAAATAATTTTATTTTAAAAATCAAATATGCAATTATCTTTATAACTAAATTAATAGAGATTAGCCATCTTTTATTACATTATAAAAAAGATGATTGGAACAAAATTATTAGTATTGTTGAATTTTACGACATGACATTTTTTCAGTGCATAGTTTTAATACTAGTCATTGTCAAAGTAATTGAATACAATAGTGATACAATTCAACGTAGAAGAAATATAATTATTGTATTCGATTACATATCCACATATATATATATATATATATATATATATATAATGCTTTCTGTTTGCCTTTATGTATCTTTTAAATTTTTTGCACTTCTTTGATTTTGATTTTACGTATAATGCGTTGCAACTATTTTGCGTATCATATATATAAATATATATATGTATATATTTCGTACTTGATCATTTTATTCATCTATTGTCATTTTCATTTTTGCATATGCTTTTAATCTCTCAAAATATAAAGGATTGCTTGAAGTCTGACAATTTTGATTAAGATATCCATAACACTATCGTTTTTTTTTTCTTTGTATTCAAAAAATTATTTAATTACTTTAGTAATAGAAGTGAGAAACACTATCTTCATATTTGATCAGTGAAGTCGAATTTGAAGAAAGCATTGATATTTTTATTATAAAGTTTTCAAACAAGAACTGGTGGAGCGGATTTGCTGATATTTGTGATATTACTGTAATGATAGAGTATATCCGTCTAATTATGGTTAGGATAAACAGGCTGTCAGTAACTGGAATCAAACTTAGCAGTGAATTGTTAAATCTATTCACTAATTAAGGCGTTTTTTAAAAGGTTTATGGCTTCTGAATACACACCGCTAAATTAAATTTACTTTGATTTATTATAAGCATACTCTTAGAGTATATGTCTTTTTTTTAAAAAAAAAAAAAAAAAGGGAGGGGGAGATTCAATATTTATTTTGTCTAAACAAGATGCACTATGTAGAGGTAGAACATTGAATAGTATCCATTTTCGTAATCATAATTAGTCACTATCGAGAGTTTTAATCCTCATAGTACCTACAAAAGTAAAACTTAATCTCAAAATTTATTTATGAAAAATTCAGGCACTCCCTACAACTAGTGTATTTGATATAATTATGACTAAATAAATAGATACTTGTATATGTTTTAAATGTAAAAGATAAGGAAATAGAAAACAGAAAAGACAAATCTGTACCAAGAAAAAAAAATATAGAAAAATAATAAGGGATATTTATATGTTTTTGCAAGGTAAGTGATATTAATAGCAGTATGATTTAGATAAGTGAATACTAGCATGATAAAGCCTTTATGTACGAATATTGTTTTCAAATAATTCTGCATGCAGTATTCATTTTTCTCCCTAAGCTGTCACTGTTAATAAAAATATACCCAATTATTATTTCTGGGGTAAGCAACACGTTAATATTAATTCACAGTGAATATTCCAGCTATAACAATACCAATTATTTATGTGCTACTATTATTATCATCATCCTCTAAGATGATATTAAATAACAATATTTAATATTATAGATGTATATATAATATGTATGACCTCTATGAATAATTATGTAATTGAATATAACAGTTCATAATCCTATTGAATTCTTATAATTACATACTATGATGTATATACCTATTTTTAAATGCTCAAATACTCTAACAATGACTGTTATTAAAACTGAATGTAGGTAGAACGTATATAATGCCGTGAAGTACAATACACTAGTCTTATTTGAATAACCTCTTTATTATGTAATAAATGATGGTTTATTTCTATTAACTTAGTTGTAAAGACGACTACAATCATAACACCTTTGTCAAGGTTATGAAAATAAATATTTAGAAATGATACGATGTCTTATAGTTGACACATTTAAATGATTGAATGTCAATAAGTTTCATATTATCTATAAGATATTATATACCGTAAGATATGATTTCTTTTATAATATTACTTATGCTTATATCCAGGGCTTGTTCTATAACAGTTCCTTCCAATAAATATAAATAAAATTTAATAATAATTTCAATAATAGCGGCGAGCAAGATGAGTCATACAATATAAGCAGTATTATTGGCTGTCTGAGTTTAAATTATAAAAATAATGTATATATAATAATTCAATGATCCATAAACATGATACGTCTGCGGTGCTTAAGTGTGAAATTGTTAAATATAAGCTGATAAACTAAAACAAAATATAATATCCAAATAAGACTCAATAAACCAAATCACAATCTTGACAATATTCTCTTTTTCCGAGTTCTTCTCTTGACAATATTTATTAATAATCCTTTTCAATTGCTTCAGCTGCAATCGTAGTACTCAATGTACACAATTAATTTATTATCAAAAGAAAAGCTCTCTTTATTAAAGATTTAAGAAAAATAAAATATTTATAATAATTATTAAAAGCACCCCAAAGAAGTAGTAGTCACAAGTCACGTGACTGCTAGATTTTAGAAGTGTAATTTGACAATTATCACACACCGTGTCAAACAAGAAAAGAGGAATTAGCTCAGCGGTAGAGCGGAAGATTGCAAATCTTTAGGTCCCGTGTTCAATCCACGGATTTCTCTCTTCTTTTTCCTTTTTAACGAAAATGTGGTGCATGTAGTATTCTCGTAGTAATAGTTACTGTATGACTGGTCACACGTACTTGTGCTGTCTCATTGTGAGTATAAGAGTTTATCACAATAGTGTATTTACCTTTCTAATCTTCTTTCGAGTTATCTTAATTGGCATAGTAGTAGTGATGTTTTTTGTTATCAATGTTGTTGATTATATTATACAAAGAAAAGGAAACTAAGCTTGTTACAATTCGTTTATTATTAGATTATTCCAGTTTGTAAAAGTTAATTTATATGTTTAAGAAAAAAAAAATGTGACAATTAGGAACATTACAAATATGTATGTGTATATTTATCAGTAAAATAATATTCATAATTGATATATGTGTATCATTTCAAATTTATGCAAGTCAGCTATCCAATCTTGAATCCTTTCATTTTCTTCAAAGTATATGATTGTAACAGACTATTAATAATATAATAGCCTTTTATATTGTATGCATCGAGTGTATCTAAAACGAATATAATAATTTTTTTTTTTATAAAAAAAAAGTATTCTACTTTAACCCATCCCCTTCCACTCATTATTGAAAAGAAGCTTTGAGGTTCCTAGAAAAGCTTTGTTCTACAAAGCTCTTAAGTTTCTCTTGGAAATGTTTATAATGCCATGGATAAAAATAGGCTTGTGAAACAGTTAAAAATATAGACACATCTTTTTCCATTTTTTCAAACCATGTACACATTGAATCCAGCTTCATCCACAAATATTCTTTTTTTTTTTTTTTTTTTTTTTTTTTTTTTTTTTGAAAACATTCAACATATGAAACGATCGTTTTTGATAAAAAAAAAAAAAAGCTCATCCGGCTATTCGATTAATTTGGAATTTCTTCCATCTTTCTTTTATTTCCACTAGTGAAATGTAATTTTTCTTTTCTTTCTTTGTATCTGTCTCTTATGCAGCAACCCATTTCTGCGCCGTTCTTGAATGAATTATTTACCCATAGTTCAAAGCAAGAAGCTCAATAGTATATGTCTGTCTTATGTGGAAGAACATGGCGATAAAGTTGATCATCCGTATATCGTTTATGAATCCTTTTTTTTTTGTTTCTCTTCTTTAGTCATTAAAAGGGTTTATAGTTAAATTGTATTTATTTACATTAGGTTAGTTTGTATGTATTGAATAAAGTAATATGTGTTTATTTAAGTTCAATTGATATCAACGTGTAAAATTGCTGTTTACGTATAAAAGAGTGTATGTATATTTGTATATATTTGTATATATTTATATTTAAGCATACTATATTCTCCTTAATCGTCACTATCACTTTTATCAGTAAATATTTTTTCAACTGGTTCTCTACCTCTTATAAAACCAAAATGGTTTACGGAACCTTGCTTTACAAATCCCAATTTACCAGAATATAATTGAAATATAAAAAAGCAATCGCTATAGATAATGACTTTGTCTAGAGCTCTTTTGCATTTAATAGTAACTACACATGTCTTTTCAGGATCCCTTTCATTTCTGCTAGCAATCGTACATTCTTCAACTTTATATGTCATTTTCTCTGTTTTAATGAGTTCGAAACAGCTATTTCTGCTTTCATCCTCATCATCGTATAAGAATTCTATAAATACTTGATCATTTTTAAATTCTACTTCATCGTTAAGTTCATAGTATAGAGTATGCAAACATGTGAAATAGTTTAAATTCACAGTGTAGCGCTTAGTGATCCGATAACTATGATGATTTTTGTTGATGTATCCTTTATTAAGCATGATCTGTTCAATATTAGGTAAGCAAGTAGATAACGTATATGCGAGTTCACTTGAGAGTCCCACACATCCTGTTAATTTAATACGCGTTATGTTTTCTTGTGTCGTTTTCTTTCTACTAAACGCGTTGTTATGATGATGATGATGAGGAGGAGGGGTTTGTTTAATACCAGCAACGAACTCCAGATCAGCATTCATACAACGTATTTCCATAAACGAGAGGTATGGACAGTTATTGAAAACATATTGTAATAAAGCTATAGGAATTTGATATAATTCCTTTTCAAGTATATAAAACGTGAAATCATCCATCATTTCTAATCCAGTTCTTGATACTAGTGTGTCAGGCAGAAATAAAGGACGAAAGGGATCAGCTCTCCATTCTTCATTATTTCTGTCCATGTCCAAAGGGAAATCGGCATAGCTCATACCATAATGAAATCGCAGATACTTGTCATCCACAATAGAAATTAAATTTTGACCATTTTTATATTCTGAATAAGTACAAGAGCAATAGAGTAGTTGTCTATCCCCCTTTAAGGCATCTATGAATCTGTAAAACTGGGTTATTTTTGTATCTGCATCTTCTTCTATTTCCTCATTTATTTCTTTAGCATATTCAGGATTAGCATAGATAGATAAATTCTTAACAAGACTCATTCTTTGACCTAGCTTAATGATAGGCTCTATCCCTTCTTCTTCAAACCAGTCAAATAAATCATCTTCCATCAGACGAATATTTATGGTCTCTAAACCTGCTGGACTGTACTTTGTGATATAATTAATATAAGAAGTAATGATGGATGGAGCAGCAAGATCCAGTTTTCGCAAGTTCTTATTTTCTATTTTGTTATAAGGGTTGATAAGCTTGTTCATTGATTGATTCATATAGTTATCAGATACATCAAAGTTACTTATGTAGGCAAGAGTTATTAAATTGGGACAGATGGTCAATATATCAAATAGAGTCAGTCTCGTATCGTAATTATTTTGAAAACTCAGATGTGTTAAATGCTTAAATTCAGGTAAAAGACTAATACAACTGATATTATTATTGATGACACAGTTTGATTTATAATAATAAAAGAACAGATGGGTAAGCGTGTTGCGAAAATGATGACACGTTAAATAGTACTCTAGATGATTCATGCCGTTACCGCCTTTAGGGATCTCTGCCAACTGATGGAGATTATGGACTTCACGTAAAAGGTTTATATAATGTCGAAAGTGTTTACTTTCAGATAAATCAATTTTCTTGACATTAGTAAAATTAGACACTAATGTAATAAATTCATCTTTAGATAGTCTATAGTCGTTTTCTTCATCTTCACTGTGCCAAACTTTTAAGTTTATTCCTGGAGTTTCCTTTTCATCATAACTAATTTTGAGCTCATTAACAAGAGGACCCCAACTAAAGAGTTGATTTCCTTGTGTATTGGATAATATTAAGTGTAGCCTTTTAATATTTTCTCCTGTCAATTGTAGCTTCCCAAAATAGAGATGTGCTGCAATTCTATGCCATTGTTTACATACAGATAAACAAGGATATAAGGAAGACTTATGAAGTAGTTTAAATATTGGTGCAAGTATTTCTGTTGGAAGACTATGAGATTGCATGATTAAATTTTAACAAAAAGGAAAAGGAAAAGGACAAAAAAAAAAAAAAGAAAAAGAAATGGAGGAATAAAAGGAGGTGGTGGTGAAGGGGAGGGGTATTTTTTTTTATCATATTTTCATTAACGAGTGCATACAATAGCAATCGTGAAATTTGATCTGCTTTATTATTTATTTATTTATTTATTTTTTTTTATTTTTTTTTTTTTAAAAGTCCACTTTCCCCCTCATAGCTCAACCCCACCCCTTCAACATTTTAAAGTGGGAATGATTCAAAAGTCCCCGTAAAAAAAAAAAAAAAAAAAAAAATCGTAACTCTTTCATTTTATCAAAATTGTCTCAGCAATGTTAAAACAAATAGTTCAATGTAACAATACCAAGATCGGCCATGTTGCTATAAGACAATTTTCAACAAGCTCTATTATACTTGCAGGTCGCCAAACAGGTTCTCGTAGAAAAGCGGAAAAGAAATACGACGTTGACTTTATGCCAACCTTTGATTTTGATGACCAGACAACCATTGGTCATAATTTATTTGAAAATATTAGACATGTACGTCAATATTTGAGAAAGACAGAATATGAATTACCTAAATTGAGTGGTAAAAAATATTATTATTATTATTTATGATCAATTGAATTGAAAATTAGTAAACTAATCCAACTTCCTCCTCCACCCCCTGGCTTTTTAGCATTTGCCAAACCTTTTGAACCACCTAAAGAAAACGAGATATTAAAATTTAAAACACATACTTATCTCGGTGAAGGACATCCTGTAGAGCGTAAAGTTGTATTGAGTGTCAAAGTAGACGATTTAGGATTGAACGAGACGGAAAAACACAAGTTTTTATTATTGAGTGGACCAAGGTATAATGTCAATACTGAAGAATTGATCATTTCTTGTGAACGATTTCCTCGTCGTAAGCAAAATAAAAAATTTATAATGGACACATTACAAAAGTTGATCAAGGAGGCAAAGGTAACAAAAAAAAAAAAAAGATAGGTTATTAATTATAATAAATCTTTAAAATATATACACATATTTATAATATAATAGGATACCAAAGATACTTTTGCCGATATTCCTCTTAATTTACCAAAACCAAAGCAAAGATTAGAGTTTCCTAAGGAATGGATACGATCACCTGTTACTGCTTCTGAAGAGTCTCCTGTCATTTCTACAGAAAAGACAGCTCAAGTATTTGAAGAAATTGCTGAAACTGCTAGTACAAAACATAATGTAATCATTGATGAAAAAACAGTTCAATAATGTTTATAAACAATTGTGTATATTATAATACATGTTTTATAATAGAGTATTTTTATTTTATTTTATTTTATTTACTAAATATATAACATATACAAATATATGTGTTTAACCTGGCAAGTTGGATTTGCAAATAAAGAGGGAGATAAGTTGCCTTTTAAGGCATGATTAGCGTACATAATGCCCCAATTAGCTTGATCGCTTTCTCTATAAGGTTGATCAAAGGCAGAAAACCAAATTATATCAATATTATTTTTTTTTACGAGTTTGACATACAACGTTAGATAGATAAAGTTTTTGATTAGCAGGGGAAGCAACAGAGTTGCCAAAATGACCACTTGCAGTAGGCCAACCTGTTTCAGAAATTCGAACAGGTTTTCCATTTGCTTTGGTGGCTACTACAGACTGATATTGAGATAATAAAGTAGAAATACTTTGTTCAGCACTAACACCCTTCCCAATAAGAGAATCCATTTCTAAAAAAAAAAATGACATGTAAAAAAAATAAAATATATAAATACACTGTCTTTCTCTACTTGCAATAATGACTGGAGGAAATGTATAGTATACATCTGCAGTTGTTACTTGAATCCCCTTTTGAATGAACTAAATCACGTACAGTGTGAATATAGTTGGCTAAAGTGTCAGGATCAGTATCATTACGATAAAGTACCTCAGAACCAACAATGAGAGCATCTACGTTTGTCAATGGCTGATAATCACTATTGTCAAGGATATTCTTTAGAGCATTCATCTCTTGATTAAACGTATCTGGACTATCAATCCACATACTCAAATAAGTATACATACCTAATTCATTTGCAGCTTGAAGTGCGAGTAGGCCCTTCATTGCAAACAGATAAAGAGTAAGTACGGACTCGATTTGTGTATCTTTGTAAAATCAGATTTGATCATTTCAAATGTAGGGCAGTTATTTTGATTGATACCATAATTAAGACCGTAGAAATAATTCTCAGCCATGACAATAATGGTGAAGAACAATAAAGCTGCTGAAAATTTCAACATCATTTGTTGATTTTATGCTTCAATAAAAGGAACTAAACAAACAAACAAGTATCTCACTTTTATGTTGATACTATCCATAATAACCCAGTAGATCTCTTTACGGCCCACATAATACAACTTGCTTCTCAAAATCATTGGTAATGTATTAGCTCTTATCACACACACACATATTTATTAAAAGTATGACAAATATACAAAAAGGAATATTATCAGCTAAGACAGCATATGAAACAATGTTACAATTTGAAGGATTTTATTTATGCTTAATCTTTGGTCTTTACATTAACTAAATACACAAATATCAGACACTTTGTTGAAAATAGATAAATAATGTCTACTCAACAATAGTGCATCTTCTCCTTTTTGGTTTCCATTCTTCTTTAAATTAGTTGTTTTCCAAGATGGGACCCAGATAATATTCTATAGGATTTAAATCAGGACTTTGTGCCGACCAGAAATCAAAGCTTTCTCTTCTCTGGAATTATATCAGTGTGATAAAACCAAAAAAAGACATTGGCCTCTACAAATAATAGATTGGGTTATTAAAACTAGGAATATATAAATTTTAGGATAAGCTTCTCCTTACAATGATGAGATGTATCGACTTCAAATGCTCTACCATTGATATCTTGCATTTTTTTTTTTTGCTATTTTTCCTCCATCCTTCTGCATAAACACTCTATTATTATCTTGTAAATAGAATTTTATTGCCGCCAAAGGTTTTCTTTTTTTTTTTCAATTAATCCTCCCATTATTTCATGAGAATAGTTATCAACGCTTATTAGAGGTTTTTTCATATAGTCATGGTTGCTTCAAACTCATGTTGGTAAAAAATAAAATAAAATGTATAGATATTTTACCACCATGTAAGGGATGAAAAAAAGAAGGAAAGAAGGAAAGGAAAGAGACCTATGACATCTTGAGTTTTTTTTTTTTTTTTTTTTTTTTTTTTTTTTTTTTTTTTTTAGAATTTATATTCTCAACGAATGTTTATAGAATCCTCAACCAAAGGCACAATTACTCGTATAATGGACACCTAAATTAATTAATAATAGAAATTTAAGAGTTTAAAACATTAGCAAATAAACATACATCTGGTTAGAGTGTTATAATAATATTTAACCTGTTGTGTAGATTGTTTTCGATCCACAGCCTTGTTATTTTCACGTCTCAAAACATATATAACAAATAAAAAAAAAAAAAAAAAAAAAAAAAAACGCATCAAATTAAAAAAAAAAAAAAGTGACGCTATTGTTTATTATGATGACGTAACGTATTTCTTTGCTCACGTAATTTTTTCGAACAATGTTCAACTCGCTCCAAAGAACATGTTACAGAAAAAAAAAAAAAAAAACTTCTATTTCCTACTTTAAAATTAGCTCTACGCTCTTATTATTGTTATTACCATTATTACTTTTTTCTTTTGACCAAAAAAAAAAAAAAAAGATAGATTAAATGGCAGGAGAAAATTATATTGGTTCAAAGATTTCAGTAAGTATTCAAAATGATGACCAACTATTTTTTACAAAAAAAAAAAAAAAAACCACAACTAATTCAATTATTTAAACGTAATAGCTCATCAGTTTGAGCGACATTCGTTATGTTGGTATTCTTCATAGCATTAATGCTAATGACTCTACTGTAGGATTAAAGCAAGGTAAAACCCATTTGAAATAATAATATACATATATAAAAGCATAACTTATTTTGATATTAGTTCGTTCTTATGGTACTGAGGGACGTCGTGAGAGACCCGAGGAAGAGATTTTGCCCTCGGATAATGTATTTGACTATGTTGTTTTTCGTGGATCAGACATTAAGGATCTTCAAGTCTTTGAAGCCCCTCCTAAACCTACCCCTCCTCAACCTGTTATGCCCCAAGACCCAGCTATTATGGTAAATTTAAATGAATATGAATTATAATAAGAAGGGTTTAATAGTTTATATACATATAGAGTATGAGTAATTATCCCCCTGTAAATCCTTATATGAATAATAACTTATACATGCAACCTCCTCAACAGCCGCCTCGAATGCAACCAGCTCCTTTAAATAACACGAATCAAACGCCAAATTACTGGCAGCCTACTTTCCCTACTGAGCCTAATGCTGTCCTTAAGCAAACACAACAAGTTGAAAAGGATCCTTTAGATGAACTCAAGGCAGAACTTGAAGAAACAGATGCCTTACAACCTACCATCAATGAAGCTGCTATTGAACAATTAGCAAAGAAAGTAAGCGAATTAAATCCTAGTGAGGATAAAGTAGTCAAGACATTGGATGAGCAACCTCAACAAAAACAACAAGAACAGCCACAACAACAAAATCGTCGACGTTATGAAAATTATCGTAATAATAACCGCAATTATGGCCGATATAATGGAACGTACAATAATAATAAAAATAGAAATGATTTCACTATTCCTAACTCAGAGTTTGATTTTGAAGCAAGTAATGCAAAGTTTGATAAGAATGAAATTGTTAAAAAGGATAATGAAGATGATGAAGAAGCCGAAATTGAAATTCCTCCATCTGATGAATTTTATGACAAGGTAAATAATCATGATAAAACATGTGTATGTATTCTATATATAATATGATTAATAATGAATATGTAGAGCTCAAGCTTCTTTGATAACATCTCTTGCGAGTCAAAGGAACGTAGTGAGCAGCAACAGAATCCAAAGTAAGTTATGATAACAGACTTAAAACAAGGATAAACTAATTAATATTATACAGTGAAACACGTCGTAATCGCTTCCAAGAAGAACGTAAATTAAATTTGGAAACATTTGGACAAGCTTCTGTTGATCAAACAAGATACCGCAATTATAGAGGACGTGGTGGAAACTATCGTGGAAATCGTAATAATGGTTATTACCGTAATAATAATAATAATCGTAATAATTATAATAGACAACAAACTAAGGTAAAAAATGAAGAAGATGTATACAAGTAATAAAGAAGTAACTTACGTGTTTCTTATTCTTTAGCCTCAACAGCAACAAGATAAATAGAATATCATTTTTATTATTTATCTCTTACACAGTAATTCTTTCTCCTTTTGACATGTAAAACTAAACTAAACTAAACAAAAAAAAAAAAAAAAAAAAAAGCACATCATATAACATCTATTCACAAAATAAAATAAAATGAAATAAAATGCAACTTCTTCTTTCTTTCTACACTATTATTGATATGTTATGCAATTAAATTCTAGTCTAAACCAATATATCTTTTCCTAACATAACATGACGCTACTACCCAACTTGTCTTTATCAAAAAAGATAAAACTGGCAGTTATCTATGAAGCGTCATCTCTAATATTGACGTAGATTTCAACTCCAAGTAAAAATAAAAAAAAATGGAGACTTGAAATGATGGCTTATGCTTTTATTATCGTAATTCAATGGCTGCATTGCTTCATGGTAGAAACTAATCATAATCCAGCATTCATCTGAAGATAATTAAACCAAAAAAGGAAAAATATCTGCTTATTTACAAACTCCGGATCTACTTTAAATTGAAAAAAAAAATTTTTTTTTCTCTATTATTATTGTTATTATTATTGGTTCCCGACGATTAATTATAAAAAAACAAGAAAGACAGTAATATTACTCTTCTTTTTTCTTTTTTTTTTCTTCTCCCAAAAAAAGTTACTTTTTGGGTAGAGCGTTTTTTTTTTTTTTTTTTTTCCTTAGTAAAAAAAAAAAAAAAACCAAAAAAAACCAACAAAACAAAACAAAAAGCAAAAAAGCAAAAAGCAGAAAAAAAAATGGAAGAAAAATATAGCGATAATTCAATTGATCCTACTTTAGCAGAAAGCTATAGTCGCCCATGTTCAACAAGTTTAGCTACAGGTCACAAGTTCTTTTCTAAAGAGACATTTCTCCATTATTTTCCTAGATATAAATTAAAAAGATCAGGTAATAAATGATTTTAGTACTACTACCACTCCAAACAAAAAGAGACTTATTTTTTTGAATGAGTAATTAGGTGTTATTTATATTGATGAACGACCGCCTGTATTTCAGTGTCTTTTAATGGGTGTTCAGCATGTTTTAGCCATGTTTGGTTCAACTGTTCTCGGTATGATTTTAATAGAAAATAAAATATATAGGACTATTTCTAACTTGACTATCTTTATAGCTCCTCTCATGATGGGTTTTGATACAAATAGTAACTATTTTCCATTTACACTCATACACACACACACACACATTTATTAATATTTTTAAATAGCTGCTTTATTCTTTTCTGGTATTGGAACTATTATTTTCTACATTATGACGGGTGGAAGAGGTAAACAGTCACAATGTAGTTTATGAAGTTGAAATGATTGACATCTTCAATTTTTCATTTTAGTTCCTTCTTATGTTGGATCCTCTTTTGGTTTTATTGGTGTTGTTGTATCAGCTACGGGTTATAAATATACACCAGGTGCATCTGAAAATGCACACGTTGATATAGCTGCAGGTGGTATCCTTATTTGTGGTCTCGTTTATGGTTGCATTGGACTTATTATTTATGTTGCTGGCTATGGCTGGATTGAACATGTGATGCCTCCAGGTAATAATAATAATATAAATATAAAAAAATTCTTGAATGTTATTATTCATCATGTATAAATTCTATAGTTGTTACTGGCACAGTTGTAATGACAATTGGTATCCATTTATCTACTTCAGCTTTTCAAAATGCAACACAAACTTCATTTGACGGTTGGATGGCTTTTACGACAGTCATGTTAATTTCATTAGTAAGCATTTATGCACCAGGCATGTTGAAACGTATTCCAATTTTGATTGGTATGGTGATTGGTTATCTTATTTATTTTGGTGTGGGCTATTCAGGTCATGGTCCCTCTATTGATTACACAGGGGTCTACGATGCTTCTTGGTTTGCTGCTCCCAAGTTTGTTAAACCACGTTTTGAGGGACAAGCGATCAGTATCATCGTACCTGTTTGTGTTGTCTTATTAGCGGAGAATTTAGGTCATATTAAAGCTGTAGGTGCCATGGCTGGAAAGCCTCTTGATAAGTATTTGGCTCGTGCTGTTTTAGGGGATGCTATTGCAACTATTGTATCTTCTTCTGGTGGTGGACCTGGTACAACTACTTATTCAGAAAATATTGGCGTTATGGTAAAAAAAAAAAGCAAAAGCAAAAGCAAAAGCAAAAAAAAAAGATGTATTTGTGTAGAATAATTAAGTTGTTGTTGTTATAGGCTGTTACACAAATTTTCTCTACTTTGATTTTTTTAATTGCAGCAGTCATTGCTATTTTCTTGGGTTTCATTCAAAAGTTTGGTGCAGCCATTCATACAATCCCTGATGGTGTCTTTGGTGGCTTATCTATCATTTTATTCGGTTTAATTACTGTTTCTGGTGCAAGAATCTGGGTTGAGAATGAAGTTGACTTTAAGGATTCAAGAAATATGTTGGTAGCTGGTATTCCTGTCATTATAGGTGCTGCCATGCAAACTACTTTGAAATGGGGTAATTTCCAATTAGATGGTATTGGTCTTCCAACTTACTCTGCTATTATTTTATATCAAATTTTACGTGGTTGGGATGGTATCAAATCTCTATTAAGAAAGAATATTTTACGTTCAAAAGAAAATGCTGAAACTGTTTAGTTTTTTATATATTTATATATCTTGTATAATATCTTTAACATGTAATACTATTTTAGAATGTGTGTAGATACATAAAAGTATTTTAAAACGGTTTTTTTTTATTATAATTATTTTTTTTTTTTTATTTTATTTTATTTCAGTTTTTTTTTTTTTTTTTTTTTTTTTTTTTTTTTTATTATTATTATTATTATTATTATTATTATTATTATATAAAATGGCTTATGTGCCTAATGAGATCCTTGGTGAGATCAGTACTTACCTCACCTTTTACAATAAACTTGAAGCATCGTTAACATGCCATAGATGGTATCAAGCTATTGCCGGCAGTGGTAAGCTCTACGAAGCACTTTGCTTTTTTGATGCCGAATCCCTCAAAGGTGCCATTAAATTCTTTAAAAAGCATCCGCAATGGCGTGATCGAGTTCTTGATCTCGATCTTTCCTTCAATTACGATGCTGCCAAGGTTGCACAAACATTTCCTAATATTAAACGTCTTCGATGGGGTATTGAGAATGACATGGCCACAGGTTATGCAGATCCTGATGATGCACCTGATCAAGATCCTTCTTATTGTCGTGCGATTCAAGGGTTTAAGCAGCTTGAAGCTGTTGTTGAACAAAATGGAGAGTTCTATCCGATTGTGGTCCCCTTATTGAAGTGTCCTCGCACAGCCAATAATCTGACATCGATCACATTCCATTTCTTTAATGATAGTCCCACAAGCCAACAGACACAGATGGTCTATGCGCTGACATATAAGGAAAAGGTGAAGCGAATACTACCGCTCTTGAGGTTTGCACCACGACTTAAATACCTTGAATTAAGCAAACTGTATTTAACATTGCATGATATGGAGGATTTGCATAACTGTTATGCACCTCGTCTTGAAGAACTTGTATTGAAAAACATGCTGTATTTATTCACGGATATGACATTAATCGAGTTAATGCGGCAAACGTTCAAGTTAGAACATAGCGGACAACCGATCGTAGTCAAGGAACCTGCAAGGAAGATAAAGAATCTTTATATTGACTTTAGTCATAATATTGATCGGTACGATGTCTCTAAAGGGGATGATAAGCCCTTATTATGGTTAGATTATGTGGCTAAAAAATACACGTATGCTCAATCGATTGCATTTGGTGTAGCAGCTATTGATGAGGGGCTCATTCAACAAAACATCTTTCAGGGACCTCTCATATCCCCTCCTTTCCCATGGCAAGCCTTGACCGCCTTGGATCTCGCCATCTGTGATCTCACAAAGGAAGTCCTGACGGCCATGGATGCTGCTCAAATTCATTTGCGTACCGTCACTGTCTATTTTAGAAAACAAACGGCACAATCACAGACAGCGTCTTTACTGGCTTCAAGGCAGCGTGAATCGATCCGAGAACTCTTTATCAAGGCAAGAGGTCATATCGAACCCGATACCGAGGAAGGTAAAGCGATGTATGCCCTTGCAGAGGGGTTACTCAAGCTGACCTACTTTGATGTCACACAAGAATTTACTTTCAGTGGTCTTCAAATCGAACATGCCATGATCCCTGAGTTACTTGAAAGGGCGCCACAACTGGAGGGGATGTTTATCGAAAAGATCTCTGTTGTCATACCCAATCATCATCATCATCATCCTTCTCCAGAGGGACAACGAGAGTACAAACTGAAAGAGATAGGCTTTGGTAATGTCTATTGTCGTACTAAAGGACAAGGTGAACTATTTAGTAAGACATGGAATGAGAGGATCTTACCTGCTTGTCCTAAACTTGAAAAACTGGATATCTATGTGGGACGAATCGGAGGTCCCTTTGATCAGATGCAGACAGAGATGGTACTTGACTTTAAGTTGAAAACCAATCATCGTATACGTGAAATAGAAATGAATTTCTATGATGAGACTTACTTTTGTATCCAGTTGCATGGTGAGACACAATGGTGGTTACAGGATTGTCCAGGTGCCCCCTTTGAAAGAGTAAAGCAACGTCCAGCTGGAAAACGGTATATAAGTCTTGACTTGAACCATTCCTTCTTTCTTAATGATAGACTATTTTCATAATAATAATAAAAGATGTGTTTATATAAACATTATTTATACTCTCTGTAATCTATATAAACGTCTTTTATTTTATTTATTTATTTATTTATTTTTTTAAGAAAAGACCAAGCTTTATACTTTATATAATAATAATTTAAACTATTTACAAAAAAGAAAAGAAAAGAAAAAAAAAGAAAAAATATAATATTAATATATATAAGCATATTTCTGTTTACAATAAACATTCTTCTAATATTAATTCTTCTTCTTCCAAGGTATTATTCACTACATCGTTCTTGATAGTTTCACGATATAGTTTGTTTGCTTCCTTTGCTTTATTTACAGAGTTATACATTAAAGCAGAAGGAGGTCTTGGTTTCATCTTCTGAGCTACCTCCAAAGACACTGTATTCACTGTACTTGAAGATACAACAGGAACTAAAATAGGGATATATAAAGATTAAGTATACAATTTTAGATGATTGGATCTAACTGCTTACCACATAAATCACGTTTAATAGTAGCCTTCATTAATACTTGTATCCATTGCTTTATTTCTGAAGGTGTTGTATAAAAGAAAAATGTTCTTTCAAAATCATGATGTAATTTGAAATAACATTTCTTGTTCATATTATTATTATTTATATTAATACTACTACTACTACTATTACTGCTACTAGAAACTTCTAATATAACACGATAACCATGTAAATGAATAATGCCTTTCATTTTAGAATCCTAAAGAAATTTTTTTAAAAAAAAGGGTTAACATGTCTGTATGCTTTTTTTTTTTTTCAATTAAATAAAGCTTTCCTTACCCTTGGGTTTTTGAAATAAAACAAGTTGTTACCATAAAGGACAAACCAACGTTTATTCCAAGTTTTATAACGATCACTTTGTTTATAGAGCCAACCTTCAAATTCAGGGAAAGACTGTTGAGCGGTGGTATCTTGTTGTTGTTGTTGTGGATGAAGAATGTTATTAGAGATAATAGTAGATGCAGGACGAGAAGGTGTTCTTGTATCAGAAAGGATCGAATGAGACATAGAAGAGGCATCAATAGTAGATCGTTTACTGTTTAATAAGCCATCAAAGTGATCGCTTCCTGTCGTCACTCTAGGTGATAATGAAGATCGATAAAATGAATCTTTATGGCCCAAGTTGGCAGGATGCACTATAATGATGATTCTATTTAGTGGATGAGAGAACAACTGTGCGGAGTTTTTATAATTTACCTGATTTAGGTGCTGCAGAAGATGAAACCGTTGTTTTTAAAGAGGAGATAGTATTGGTTTTATTCAAATAATTATCAGTCAATGATGCATATCGACCGAGAACAAAGCTATTTGTTGAATGTCTATTGTTTAGTATTGTTTGCTGAGACATGGAAGATTTTAAATTATTGATAGCATTTATCACTTTATAACGTCTACCGTAGGCTGTAATACCTAATTCTTTTAATGCTTCATGATCAAGATCTAATAATACATCTCCTGTAATTTCCTGGTCTAGAAACAAAAAAGAAAAAAGAAATTATTAAATGTTTTAAGTATCCAAGTTACTATATTTATAATTTACCTATAAAATTGTCTACAACGACTTCTAGGCCTACAGATTCTAACCAAGTCACAACATCTTCTACATTCCAATAAAAGGGATCTGGATTACTCACACCAAAGACTTCATTGTTGGTATCTGTAGGTATCTCTTGTTGTGTATTGACACAAAAGTTATCAGAAGAACTACTGGCGCTACTTGTTCCAGAAGACATACGATGTTGAAAAGATTCATCTCCATAAGACGATAAACGATGATTGGGTATAGGTTTTTCAGATGAAGTATAATTCATTGGGAAAAGTCCAGTTTCTCCTTGCATATTACGACCCTATCATAAATGAATGAATGAATGAATGAATGAATGAATAGACAGATAGACATGATATATGCATTCTGTACTCACGTGCCACCAGCCATCAAGATATTTGTCATCTTTTTCCAAAATAACAATAGGTTCACCATATTGTAAATTTACTTCATCGTCATTTGTAGCTTCAAAATCATGAATAGCATAAACAATATCTGGAGAAGTCATAATCTAACGAAAAGAGATAAAGAAGAACAAACAAACAAAGAAAAAAAAATCCACTTTTTTTTTTTTTTTTTTTTTTTTTTTTTTTTAAATTTCTTCAAGTATTTAAAATAATCTGTAATTTAAAATAAATATTTATATACATTTATATATTTTTTTTAATGAAGAGATTAGTTTCAAATAAGACATTTAAAATAATAAAAGTCTCCCTTTCTTCTCCTACATCGCACTTAATTTAATATTTTACTTAAAACAGAGAGATTATTTTTTTTTTATTTTTTATTTTGTTTATTTTATTTATTTATTTTATTGAAAGAACAAATTATACATTTTTTTTAATGGGCTTCTTTTTCTTTTTTTATATAAGAAAAAACAAAGTCCGTTTTTATCTTTTAGAAGCATCCTTTTTTTTTTTTTTTTTCCCCGTCTCAATAACGTGACGAAATCAACTTTATTTTACAAGTAAGTGTAATGACTTGCATTCATATGAACCCTTTTCTTTTTCTTTTTTCTTTTCTTACCCCTCATTTTATTGTCTTCTTGGTTTTAAATAAGAGTTGCATAATAAGAATAGAACTACTCTTTATGCTAACTTTCCACGTGGCATGTCTGGTACCTTAAAGGCTATCAACAATTCTTTTTCCTTTCTTTAAAGTTATTCAATTTCCACTCAGCATATATTAGTTTGAAACTGCTAAAATGACTTTTATTAGATGATGCTAATTAGTATCATCATAAAATATAACTCTGTTTTGTTTTGTCGTTCTTTTATAAGTCCACATTCTATTTTATTTAGTATTATATTATATAAAATATAATAAGATAAAATAAAATAAAAAGAAAAAGAAAAATAAAACAATAATAAATAGAACGATGTATTGTTTATGTATATCCTTTTATTTATAAAGAATAATAAATCAACATTCACTTATTTTAAAAGCTCTTATAGGGTCCGCTCCATTATTAAATTAAACTCCGTTTGATCTTCTCAAAATATGGATGTAATTCTTAGCTAACGATTTATCTTCTTTGTAGATCTCTTGTTACCAAATAGTTTTTTTTTTCTTTTTTGTTTTAAAAAAAAAGAAAACTTATAACAAACCTTTTTTTTTATTTTTCTCCTTTTTACTGTCTCTTATTATTACTACCTAAAACATCATTTTTATTTTATGCATTTATATAAGACTTCGGTTTTTTAAAATGGATGCATGAACGAATACAATATGAATTATCGTAATGATGCAGGAAAAAAAATCTTCTGAGGAAAAAAAAAAAAAAAAAAAAGTAAAACAATAAAGCCTTTTGTTACTGCTGTTGTCTATAGTATTTCTACTTCAAATTCAGAAAATGTTAGTGTTTTTTTTGGAAAAATCAAAATTAATGTTCAGAAGAATAAGAAATGAAATTGAGACAAAAAGGAATTAGTTTTTTAAACGAATTGAGATTTATGTTTAAACTTTTTTACCTGTAATGATCTTAATCGCATAAGCATCGAAATTCTCAGGATGTTTCTGCCTGGTTCTATCGCTGGCCAGTGATGTGTACCATTCTACAGGAAATGGATTACTTAATGCACGACAAACTATCCCCCCTCCACTTCTTGATCCAGGCAAGAGTATGACTCAACTGGTTGTCCCTTGAAACTTGTTAGCAATATTCCACCCTTTCTTTCTCATCTTCTCTTCTTTACCTTTTTACCTCTTGTCCCCGTAAGAGGGTTTTTAGATACCTTTTTGTTTTTCGCATAATTTGAACTGACCTGGGCAATCCAATATAACAAACATAGTATGTGCTCATAGGTCGCTTTATAAATTTTAATTTATAAAAATAATAAAAATAAAAACTGTTTAATCGTATTAGTTACTATGACACACACACACCTCCTTTGATTAAACCCAATAATTATTCTCCCACACTACGGTATTTAATTTATATGCAATTAATTATAGATAACACTTTTGAAAACAATTTATTTTTAATTATTATTAAAAAAAATATCCTTTTATAGCAATAATAGATGATCTGATTGCTATGCAACAGAAGTATAATGATATTGGTTTTTATTTTTGTACAACTACATGCATTTAATTCCCGAAGAAGAAGAAAAAGATCAAAAAAGATCAAACTAATAAACAAATGATTAGCCATCAAGACAAATGCCCATAATAGATAACTTACGAAATAATCTAAACCTTGACCTACTTCCCAAAGCGCTACACCAACTATTTTTTTTTTTTTAAATATCATCATTTGTGAGTACTTTATTTTATTTTTTTACCTCCATAATCTTTTGCTAAACGAAGACGATTTCTAATTGACTAATTATTTTTATTATTAACCTATACTTGATGATAATCACGCCATTTTTTTTTATTCTCTCTCCCAAACAAATATACTTTACCCTTAATGTTGGTAACCAAATAGTACCTAGTCTATCACCATTTTCTTTATCAATGTCAATAAACCATGCTTCTTGACTTTCTTTATCCCAATTAAATTCTTCATAGGCTCGATTGTCATTACTTAGTTTTTCAATTATAGTCTTCATGACTAAAGGTTCCGGTGATCTTGTAGGTGAATAAGACATGGCATACATGTTTAAACCAATTAATAATTTATGTCTATTTTCTGAATTAGTTAAATATTCAATATTATCCATGATCCATTCAATAGGTGCAGCAGGGCCACCATTTCTAGATGTGTAAAAAAGTGAATATAGATATGAGATACGATATGATACAATATATAAATGATTACTACATACGGGATATGGCTTGAATAATCATAAGTCATTAAACTAAATCGATCTACGTAATTTAGCATCATATCAAATAATTTATCATTTATAAGTCTTTTATGTTCTTCTATTAGAATAGCTGGTAAAACAACAATCAATTGACGGTTTTGTTGATGTAAAAGCTGAGATAATTTGATTAAAAAGGCTTGAAAGAATGTAGGGAATCCACATTCCATAACAACACCATCAAATGCATATTTTCTACCAACAAAAAGAAAAGGGTCAATCACACGTTCTTCTTTTTGTATTCTTCTTCTTCTTCTTCTTCTACACTTACTCGACTTGTTTATTGATTTGTAAAGCTAATTCTTCTGCTTCTTGTTCATTAGATATAAAGGCCCTTAAATCGTCTCCAGACCAATTTCTTAACTGAAATCGAGGTAAAATCTTTCCTTTGCTTTCTGATTTCACTTCTTTCATCCACTATTATAAATCGTTATTTTATTTTTTATTCTTGAAAGAAAAAGGGATCATTTACACTTTGATCTACATCATGTTCTCCATCTATATCATATTTCATAGTAGATCTAATTACAAGGTTAGTTATTACACACACACACACACACATATATATATATATATATATATATATATATATTCTTAGTTATTCATGAAATCTAATTTTATAATCACCTTCTTTGAATATAATACCATACAGGTGAGACACTATTCATAATTTGATTAACGAATGAACAAAGTAAAATAAAATAAAATAAAAAAAGTGTATATGTATGTGTATATATAAATATCGATTTACTAGTCAAATTTTCCTTTAAATTCCTTTACAATATCATAACCTATTACCGGTCATTTTAATTTATATCATCACAATACGACTTATTACATACCCCTATTATTCCAAGGCGTTACATAAGCAAGCGTTTCTCCTTCAAATTTTTTTACATGAGCCTCTATAACATTGGTCTTATTATGCTGTTCTATCATGGATTTGACATTCAATAGAGATGAAACTACTTTTTGTTCAACTGCATTCAAACATGATATGAATAGAATATATATAATTAAGATGGAAAATTTCATATTTATCTAAAATATAATAAGAAAAAAAAAACAAAAAAAAAAAAAACCTAGATAAAATGCATTAATTTATTTCAAATTATGTAATAGTAATTCTCTGTCTTGTTTTTATTTTTGAAAGAACGACATCTGTACACACATATTTGAAAGTATTAAATAGATGTCACGCAACTTCCAAAGAAGCGACGAATGATTTCTCTACCATAAGGAATATAGCTTGCTCTAAAAAAAAAAAAAAAAAAAAAAAAAAAAAAAAAAAAAAGAGACAATAATTATAAACAGCAGGACTCATACAAGATGAATGATAACTTACGAATACCAAACAAGTGCAGCAAATTGAATAATAACCAAAACAATTGATAAAGCAAAGTTTTTCAACTAGAAAAAAAAAAAAAGTTAAAAAAAAGGGTTGTGTTATATGATAACATTGATTTTACCCAGATAGAAAGTGCAAGTGTCAAGGCAAGTAAAACAATATAAATCACAGTTGCCCAGAAACGAACTTTTATTATATTTATTATTCCGTGTTAAAAAAGAAAAGGCGTATATGCGTATGTGTATGCGTATGTGTATGTGTATGTGTATGTGTATGTGTATGTGCGCGTACTATCTATGCTATTTCTTACCTGGTGCAAACATGGTCTTGATTTGTTTAGGAATACCAACAATAAATGTTAAACTATGATTTAAATATTAATATTACATAATATATTCTACATTTATAAATTACCTGAATAAAGAAATAATATTACCACAACTATAAATGACTGCAAAAGCTACCACATTACCCACTAATAAAATAAGTGTAGACTATTTAAAAGGAATTTAATAACAGGATTGTCTATTCATGTCTATTATATTACCAAAATAGATAAAAGAGCTCCTGCTACAAAACTAATATAAAATTTAAGCATGACATTAACACTTTTACTTTGTTGTTGTTACCATAATCCAAATGCAAACATGCGTTGCGATCTATCTAAACCACAAAACTTCCAAGAACCTTATATATATATATATATACAATATAAAACCTAATGAGTATATAATTTGATTTTTATAATACATTCATACCATCATCTACAGTTCCTTGATCACTAAAATCAGAAGAAAAGAACCCAAATTTCATTTATAAATTAAGCTTAAAAAAAAAATAAAAATAAAATAAAAATAAGTATGAATATGAATATGAATATACCAAATAATAAAAATATGTATACATATAATAATAAAAATAAAAATAAAAAAAAAAGCAGTCTACTTCTATTGTTATTGTTATTATTATTCTGACTTCGTATTATGTGGGTTCATTGTGATCGTTTATTACGCCAAATACGGCATTATAGTAAATAACAAAACATTGCTTATATACCATAAGATTATAAATAATAGGAGTCATTTCTATGAAATGTGAGTTTTTTCCCTAATTAGATAACAGTAACACATAATTTTTTTGTCCCCCTTTTTTTTTTTTTTTTTTTTTTTTTTTTTTTTTTTTTTTAACTTCTGCTACTACTAATAATGGATTTCTCCTATATATAAAAAGCTTACTATAAGCTCCTCTTTCTTTCTCCTTTCTCCTTTCTTATTTCTTTTTGCTTTTTACTTTTTTTATTTTTTATTTTTTTATTTCTTTTTACATTTCTTTTAACAATTAAGGTTGAATTAAACTCCATCACTCTCCTTTCATGTTATAACATTAACCTTTAATTCTTCCTCTTTTCTCTCTTTTTTTTTCTTTCTTTTTATTAGAAAAAAAATCGCCCTATTATACATTCTAATTATCATAATAAAAACCTAGTTTTTTTATTATTATTACTATTATCCCATTCCTTTTCTTATCATGTTAAGCAGTAATATAAACTCATCAAGAAATTCGGTAACACATAATTTGCAAGCTAAGGTAAAATAAGCATTTCTGCATGCAAAATATTATAATTTAATTTTTTTTTTTGAGAAAGTTAGCTTCGGATTATAATGAGTTAGTGAAGGAGCTAACCTCTCACGAAATGACCTCAGTTGGTTGCTACACAATTGGAAAAACAATTGGACAAGTAGGTTTCTCTCTTTTTTTTTTTTTTTTTTTTTTTTTTTTTTTTTTTTTTTTTTTTCCTCTCACCTCTCTCTCTCCCCCCAAAAAAAATTAGTACTAATAAAAATCGGCTGTTTCTTTTTTACATTTATATATTAGGGCACATTTGGTAAAGTGAAAAAGGGTACACACAAGTTAACAGGAAAGCATGTAGCTATAAAAAAGATCAGTAAAGAGCATGCACCTATGATGGCTCGAGAAATACATCATCATCGACAACTTAAACATCCTAATATTGTTATGCTTTACGAAATGATTACGACCGAAACAAGTATTCATATTATATCAGAATATTGTCCTAATGGTGATCTGTTGGATGCATTGACAGAATCGGGTCGATGCTCTGAAATTAGAGTTAATCGTTGGTTTCGTCAATTGACAGGTGCTATTAAATATTGTCATCAACATGGCATTGTTCATAGGTAAGCTATAAAGTTGTTACTTATACCTGACTAACATAGTATATATATGTATATATTTATATATTCGACATTATTAGAGATTTAAAATTGGAAAATATATTATTAGATGCTGATGATAATATTAAGATTTGTGATTTTGGATTCGCTCGTTTTGCACAAAAAAATCAATATTTAGAAACATTTTGTGGTAGCCTTAGTTATTCTGCACCAGGTATATATATATATATATTCATATATATTATAGATACATTTATAGATTCATATTGAAAAATCTTGTATAGAGATTATCTTACGTAATAAATATACGGGTCCAGGTAAAAGCATGGTATACTCATAATATAAATAATAAATCTTATAAATATCTATTTTATCTAGAAACCGATATCTGGTCTCTTGGTGTCATTCTTTATACCCTTATCGCAGGTGAATATCCTTTTGACGATAATTCTGAAGTGATGACACAGAGGAAGATTGTTCAAGTGGATTACGAAATACCATTTTATTTTCCTGCAGATTTACGTGATTTAATTCAGCATATATTAATTTTTAATCCTGTAGATCGACTGTCAATAGACGCAATTATCGAACATCCCTGGACAACAACGAATCATGATAGTAGTGATGAAGAAGAATCTTGTTTAACACCATCTACAACGGGTCATGATATATTTAGTCAGCATATGGAATATAATGATGATGATGTTGATGTTGATTATTTTTCTCAACAGTTATCACCTGATTTCAAATTGTTTTCACCTCAAGTAAGATCTAGCTTAGGTATCCAAAAAAAATCATCTCGTTTTTCCGCTCCAACACCACGTCAACGCCCTGCTATCACTCCTACTTCCTTTAGATCTTCGTTACCAACCTCATTGGGTCGAGCATATAGTAATACAATGTCAGAAACAGAACAACGTTTGTTTGCTGCTTTGACGGCAGCTGGATTTGATCGAGATGCACTTATCAAAATGCAAACCGGGCAATGCGATACTTCAAGTACATTGTGGCATCTCCTTTTAGAAAACATATCCCATTTCTCGGACGTTGGCACTGTCTCTGATGTCTTTGCATCTGCTATCGAAACCCATCATAAAGAAGGTGTTGATCAAGGAGTTCAGACTGGCGATGAAGAAATTAAACCCTATCCTAAACCGACCCCTATCAATCGACCTATTCAAACTGTTGGATTTGGTTCTACTACGCCACCAGCAGAAAAGCAGTCAGGATGGTTCACATCTGTCAAATCCTGGTTTAGCAGCAGCAGCAGCAGCAGCAGCAGTAGTAGTAGTAGTAGTAGTAGTAGTAATACAACAAACCACACCTCTCAAAGTCCCCTTCATTCTTCTCCATCTATAGATGTTATGTCACCCCCTATATATCGTACAGGCTCAACCCATCAAAAACATAGACGACGTGCGATGCAATTAAGTAAACCACCTATAAATGAGCTTGATCAACTCACCTATAACGGCACAACAGCAGAGCATACACCAACAATAGAAAGAAACCCAGTTACAATATTACCACCACCTTCATTTCCTAGCGTTATACCAATACCACCCACAGCTGCGCTGACAAGTTTTTCAACTACAGCAGATACGCTATCCATCTTAACCAACTCAAAGTCACAGCCTATAGAGGAAGTAGATATATGTTCAAAGCGGTATTCGATTTATTATCAACAACAACAACAACAACAACGACAACAGCAACAACAACTAACACCTCCGCCTTCACCGCCTGCATTATTATTAGTAAATGAGCAGTTACAAGAGCCTATTGCTCAACCAGAGGTGATACCTTTAACTGAGCCAATAGAGGAGGCTACTACAGTCACTGTAAGTTTTATTTTTATTTTTATTTTTAAAGCTACTAATTCATAAATATATCTATCTATCTATTTTTTTTTTTAAAACAGGAGCTTCCATCTACGCCCACTTCTCCTTCATTTCATCACGGTCGACATCGATCCTCACGTTTTGATTTTATACCAAGATCAAGACTAAGTATTTATTCACAACCAACAAAGACAATTATTGAAGAAGAAGAAGAAGAAGAAGAAGAATAAAGTTTATTACATACGCATACAAATATACATACATACATATATACATACATACATACATATACATATTAGATAGCAAAGAAAAAAAAAAAAAAAAAAAAAAAAAACTCAATTATTATTTCATATTCCCTCCTCCCTCTACTTTTTTTTTTATTATTATTATTATTATTTACGTTGTATAGATTATATTTTTATACATATACACATATATATTTTAACTAATGGATTTAAATATAACAAAGGATGTACTCATTCTTGCTTTAGAGGCATATTTACATAATAATGTATAATCTTCTTTTATCCATTGTTCTTCTACAGGTATTGAATCATGTTTTTTATTTCCATATTTTTCTTGATACTGTCTATATCTTTCATATAATCTATATACAAAGTGTTAGTAAATACTATTTTTTTTTTTTTTTTTTTTTTTTGCCTATCCTATGGTCTTTACTTTTTATATTCGGGAACATCACGAACACCACCTGAAACGACTAGAAAGGAATTCTCAGGAAGTCCTTCATAAAGACGACGTAAATAATCATCCAACGTTTGTAATTGAACTGCACGGTCCTTTGAGACAGCAGTAGCCGCACTAGGTACAACAACATCAGGACCTTCCTCCTTTTCACATTGAACGGTATCGGCTGCCTGCCATCGTGTAAATAAAAAGTGAGTGGTGGGTAACTTGGATAAAGTCAAGTCGACCAATTCCTCATCTGTATCTACGCGATAATATTCACCTGCCTCGGTCGATCCAAAGGATCGATGTTCACTCGTACTACTTTCCAAAATAGCTGACGTTCTAGGGGGTCTGAAGGCTTGCAATCGATCAAAGATGAGTTCTGTCTTTTTGAATTTCCCAAAACTAGGTTTATTGGCCAATTTAAGTTTAAATAAGTCCATAGTCGCACGAGCATCTTCTGCTGAATCGTGACCTTTACCACCATGTTGAATCGTTCGTTTAAGGTAGGTGCGAGTCAAGAACTTGAGAGAAGGTTTATAGGGAGGGCCACGATGATGGTCATAAAGAAGAGAGGTATCGACACAATAAGGATGGGCTAATTTCATTGCCTTTAAATCGTTTTCTAGACCGTGTCCAACTAGAATGGTATCATGGTTGACAATTTTACGAACATGCTTTTGAGCTCGACGCAAAGAACAGGTAGCTTCAGACATAGCAGCTGGTGTAATACCTGAATACTGAGTCAAGTAATCGATAACAGGGGCATCTGGTTTGACCAACTCATCCAATAAAACCGAGCCATCCTCATCAATCAAAGTAATACGTGCTAATGTGCTCCCCATTTCAGTTAAAACCATTTCACAATCGACTGCTACAAGACGTTTTTGTTTAGCGGGTGCGGTGGTATCGATAGCTGGGTGAGTCTCCTTCCAACCTTCTGGTAAGGTCACGTTAGCATCTAAAAATGGTGGGATTGGATAATCAGCTCTCTTCATTTCCTCCAATGTCAATACATAAAACTCTCTCATATTGTTGTGAAAGCGACGTATCTTTTCCGATTTTTCAGCTGCCAGACGTTCACGTTTAGAATAGGACATATTACATTGTAAGATATCGGCAACTGGAGAATTAAAACGACCGTTATGACCTGAGATTTGATTCAGAATCATATACTGACTTCGACTTGTCAAGAAGGGCATGGCAGCCTTACCAATCCATTCTTCAGACTTGAGACTATTTAAATCAACATAGCCAGTGGAGGTCTCTTCAGAGACACCAAAATCAGTACAATTAAGGCCTTGAGCATAGACCATGACGACATGATTGACTTTAGCCTTATGAATAATACTGCACCATGTTAAAGGTGTTGTCTCTGAAAGTGCATATAAAATAAATTCACCAAGTTGCTTTGTAGAGATCATCGTTTTCAAGCCTTCAGGTAAAATACGGAAAGTGGGTTTTGCAACGAGTTCACCATTGATCTTCACCTTCGCTTGACGTTTGAGTTGTTTCTTTTTACGAATAGCTGCAACTTTAGCGAGAATCTCTTCTTGAGTAAGTGGTTTTTTATTTACTTTAAATTTTTTTTTTTTAGAGGATGTCGTATTATGAGTAGAGGGCACCGAAATGGGAACTGCTGACTTGTGTTGTTGTCTTTGTTCTTGTGTGGTTGGTGCTGTAATGGGAACTGCATCTTTTTTTTCTACTTTCTTTTTCTTTTCTTCCTTTTTGTCTATTGATTTTTTTACCTTCTTTTTGCTATCTTTGTCATTATCGGAATGAGATCGCTTTTTAGATGAATTGTCAGTTACAGGATCATCTTCAAAAGTAACATGTATCTTTTTGGATGCATCATGAAGAACGGCAAATTTATCAATGTTAGGTGTAAATTTCATAATGTTGAAAAGGTTGATCGATTTTACAGGATCAAAACCTTTTTCTCTAATAATAATAATAATAACAAAAAAAAAAAAAAAAAAAAAAAAAAAAAAAAAAAAAAAAAAAATGCAAAATGAATGTGACTTTTGTTATTATATATAAGCAGTCTCTTGGTAAAATACTTCTGCTTTGAACGATTGCCTAATTTCTATAAGGCTCTTAAAAAGATTAAGTTTCCTTATAAAGGTATTTTAGTGTATTATTTTTCCTATTAATAAAGTTATAAATATATAAACAAACATATTATATAATAGATGGATTTAGTGATTAATATTGTTACTAAAAAAAAAGGAATACCATTAAGAAAAAATAATTTATCTATAGTTCTCAAAATTCTATAGAATTGGTACTTGACTATTCTTTTATAGTCCTTATACAGTTAAGCTTATCAATATACTCTTAAGGGACCATACAATTCTTCAAATTATAACCAGACCGAATTATTATAGTTTTTACCCAAATAACTTTACAACTTCATTTTTGGTAAACGCAGTCGCGTCAAAAATAAGTTACATTATAGCAACTATACAGCACGATTTATTTTTTGCCTATACCACTTGTTTCATTCTTCTTCACATTTCATCTTACCAAACCATAATGCTATAGCGTGAATCACAAATATCACTTTACCCTATCCTAGCATATATTTATTCACAAATATAATTTCAAATTTCAACATGAAATACATTGTTCACTTCAACATAAGTTTAATGACCCTTTAGAAAAGCGTAGTTCCAACCAGGAAGGGTACAATATCATGAGCTGATTTATAACGTCATGTTTCTTGATTAAATAAGCAGACCATAAATTTATTCAAGGAACTCTATCTATATTCTCTTGAAACTCTCTTGATCCACTTTATCAAATAATATTAAAACCTCTAACACTTCATTATCTTTAACATATCTTATTAAGTCATAACTAGCACTTTTCTGAATCGCATCTTATATCAGACCTCTTTAACAATTCTTATAAATACCTCATCAATTTAAATTCATAAATAAAGTGATTAACTTTAGAGCTATTGTTCAGTCTTGTTGACGTTTTTTTGTCTTTTTATTATAATATATATTTTTTTTTATTTGATATTTTAAAAGAAATATCACAGTGTGGGACAAAGGAGGGTAGTTTTCCTCAGGGTTTTGTTGGATAACAGCGTATCCTGCACCCATGAACACATTCCAGGTAGAGTCTTTTTTTTAACTCCCACATCGAAAATTGTACCAAATTTAGATACGGCATATGTGAGTCCTTCTAGAATTTCACTTTCAAGAAGGAACGGAATATCAGAGAAATTCAATTGGATGACTTCCCCCTTGCCCTCAACTGCTTTGCAAGGTAGAAGACGAATTTTATTAGTTTCGTAGAATACACCTTGGGAAGCAAGCAAAATGGTCCATAATTTTAGGTCTGGGATTAACTTCAATATATCGGCCCGTTGTTTTACTGACAAAGGCTTTGATACCGAAAAAATTGAGAAGGTGGATACGATTTAAAAATCGTTGCAAAATGTTGGACATCTGTCAGGTCAGGAACTTCAGAGGTATCAAAGAAGTAAGCGCTTGGTGCGAGTGTATGTCTCCATAGTTGAGTCGAAATAACTTTAACGTCGTCATTTACAATTACTTTGGCTGAAGGATTCATGAGGGACGTGCGAGTAATAGGTCGCCTGGATAGCGGGATGTCTCGCTTCGTTACTGATGTATAAGTGGGTGCAGGGGGCGGATCTCTATGGTGTAACCGATTAATAACACGAAGAGTCATGATTTTTCAGGATATTCAGTAGTCGAGCAGGGGCGCAATTCTTTAACAGTTCTTACACTTTGAATTCTGACGACGTTAGTTTTTTTTTTTTTTTTTTTTTTTTTTTTTTTTTTTTTTTTTTTTGAACGAATTATAATTACTTTTCAGATGATTTGCTTACCTTTTTTCGGATAAAATAAAAAAACTTCTTCAAACACTTTAACAACATTTCTTTTTTCTTCAAGATTCTATAGTATATAATAAAGCGAAAGCGTGAAAATAATCCAATTGACGATCTAACGATATCAAAAGGAAAAAAGACTTTAACGAGTAAGTATCAAAAACATACATAGCGAGAGAGTATGTGCCTTACTTTTTTTTTTAAGATGTGGATTATGATACACCTACTTTGACGGCATTTGTTGCAACTTCACATGCTTCAAATTCACTTGCTTTTACGCCACTTGCTTCTACAAATTCTTCTTATAGTGATTTATCTCATATTTCAAAGATGATACAAAAAAAAAAAAAAAAAAAAAAAAAAAAAAAAAAAAAAAAAAAAAAAAAAAAAAAAAAAAAAAAAAAATAGAAAAAAAGAGTGCCTTGATCAACTTTAGAATGGAAACAGCAAGCAATACAGTGGAAGAAACGGATACAGTAAAACATAAAGTAAAACAGTGTAAATGCGGCTCAGCCACCCATATAAGAGTAAACAGCAATGAATACCCCCTAAAAAAGCAAAAAGAACCAACGCACGGTCCAGATGAGGAAAAAGAGATCTTCGTGATCAAATGCTTCTTGAAAAATATCTGTAGAAACGCTAAGCTTATTGATCAAATATCTCTCATCACGGCACACACAACAAAAGTGATGTGGGTAGAATCGTTGTTTATCAACTATCTTTTTTTTTTTTTTTTTTTTTTTTTTTTTTTTTTTTTGAAGCTCTTAACGAAGGGTGAAGAAGTTCCGATTATGAGTCAGAATGATATCTACTCCATCTTTACCGTCGTCACTGGTAAGGGCAAATAGCCTCCCAGTTATATTATGCAATGAATGTGAAATTAATGACACAATGCTACAATCCCTCAAGAGTGTTGGATGTTCTTCTCTTTTACCCATTGTATGTAAACAATACAATGTGCTCATACGCAACCACGTATGTGAGAACCACGAAAGGAGAACAATTCGCTTCTTTATGGAATCTTTGTCCGATAAAGGCTCTACATTTTCTTTTGTAAGGGCTTATCTGTTAGCGAAAGAAAATCTCTAGCTAACTATATCTATTCGCTAAAGCTGAAGCAGGAATACGTGTGGCCGTCATCTGTCGAAAAAAAAATCAACATTTTAAAGAGATTGTACAAAAGATGGAGTCATTATGATCTAGCTATCAAGCATTAAGCTGTAACTCGAAAGATCTGTACTCTCAACCACATCAATTCTTTAAATGACTTTTTTTTACCTTCAGCAAAAAATAAGTGAAAAAGATGTACATTATGGAAGAAAAATTAGTCACCGTTGCCTCCAAGTTATACATTAATAGGAGGTTAAAAGAACTAACGTTTACTTCAATACTCAATAGACGAAGCTTCAAATCTTTGCAGGAACAAGTTCTCCAAAGCATTAATTCAAATGTTCCACTCATCCTTGGGCGGAAATTATCCAAAGCCAAGCTTCATTTACCTGCTCTGGAAACGCTTGTCACAAGTGTCAAGTCAAGAATTGCTGATGAAACATTCACGTGTGAAAAATTTACAAATAAACGTGGCTATCGGGTTTTCACTCTATTACCGATCTATTCATTTAAAACAAAGTTAGTCCAAATAGATGCCACAGCTTTTTGGCGACTAGTGAAAGAATCTAATATTGAAAATTACCCAAAAAGTACTAAAATAGAACCGGATCTATTAGGTTTCTACTATAAGCTTTTTGACTTTTCCAAACTGGGATTTCGCTCTCGAAAAGAATCTTTCACAAGGAAAAAAGCAGTTCAAGCAAGTCAATTCTTCAGTTGTATTGAAATATAAAAGTATCGGTTTGGTTTAATTTGATTAATTAATTAATTAATATATAGAAAAGTCGTGCTTACTGATGAGTATTCTATTTCTTTTCTTTTTTCTCAAGCGGTAAAGAAAAAAAAAAGAAGTTTCCATAGAAAAACAGCCAGCCGACTTTCTTGAAGATATTGAAAACGGCTGTATTGTCTGGAGAGTAGACCCTGGTGTCAATACAATCTTCACCGCCGTAGATACACCTGGGAGGCAAAGGACAACCAGCTTAGACGAATATTATCATTTATGTGGTTATAATGATGCAACGTTTATACAAAATCAGCATCAGAAGCAACACATGGCTGAATACTCGAAAATATCAAACCTGAGCTCATTGAAGACATCGATTATCAAGGATTTTATTAAAGCATGCAAAGAAAGACTTGCCTTATATGACGATATTAAAAAGTATTATAACGAGAATAATTGGTAAGTGTTTACTTGTTCACTTACAAAAGAGAAACTTTATAGGAAGTCCAAACTGAAATTCCAATATTACATGAAGAAACAAAAAGGTGTGCATGAGATTTGCGAGAGGTTCGTCTATAACAGCAGCAAATATCATCAGAAGTCATCTACTGGTGTAAAGTCAGCTATTGATAATGTAAGCAAATTCTATCCACCTACCCCGACCGATCATAAAGAAAGGCCAATAAAAACGATCATTGCTTTGGGCGATGGTGTGTTTAATACTAGTTCACGAGGCAACAGGTCGTCGCCAGTCAGAACTATTACAAAAGCGCTGAAGAGGTATTGCAGACAGCAGTTAGAAGTAGTAGTGGTTGATGAATAACTCACCAGCTAAATCTGCAACAAGTACAAGATCAGAAAAGTCGAGAATGTGGTGACCAAAAAATCAAAGCGAAGAGTACACACAATATTACAGTGTCAACAAAATATTTGTAATATTGTATCGAATTGCGACATTATGGCAGCTCACAACATCTTGGACATGTTTTTATTTGCTTCGAAAAACAATAATCAGCGTCCGAGCCAATTCAAGCGTAAAGACGCAACCATCGATGAACCATCCCCGTGTGACTGATACGACTCTCTCATACGTCCGTACAGCGTAAGTTCTATATTTTTTTAAAAAAAAATATAAATTTGTTAATTATTATTATTATTATTATTTTCAACAGTCTTTACATTTTTAAAGGTATGAATGATTTCTTGTTGGAACTCGTCTAAAACTAACTTTTTTTATCTGAATTTCCTTTTTTATTTCATCCGAAAAAGGTAATTTTAATTCGCCTAACGTCATCTGAATCCAAAGTGTAAAAACTGTAAAAAAGAAACGACAACGAATGTAGTAAGAATCCAAGTTCGTTAAGTCTGTTCGTTCAGTGTATTTTTTTGTTCGGTTCAACTAAATATTATAATTCGCTTTTTATATTTTTTTACAAGATGCAAGGTTAAAAAGACAACATGCTATATAAATATGCTTATATGTGTATTTTTTTTTGTCTTTGTTCGCTTGATAAAAAAAAAAAAGAAAATCCATAAGACTCAAGAACATTAGAAAGCTTTTCTCAACAGTGAAAATCGAAAACGAATTATAAAATTTAGATGAAGCAAGTTCGAAAAAAATTATCTAACAAACCAAAAAAAAAAAAAAAAAAAAAAAAAAAAAAAAAAAAAAAAAAAAAAAAAAAAAATAAAAATAAAAATAAAAATAACTTAATGAACTTTGATCCTTATTCACTGTATTAATAATATTTAATGAATTACGTAAGAAATATACACTTTTAAGACGACAACTTGATAAATAATAATGCAAAGTATTTAAAACTTTTTTATTCATTCATTAGAAACATATATCGATTTTTTTTCTTTTTTTTTTAGGGCATAATTTACTTTATAACGTAATTCTAAATTATGATTAATACAAGCGTTATGATTAAGACTTGTTCCAGATTCAGGTTTAAAAAAAAATTAATTGTAGGAGAATTATTCCTTCATCATCTGGGTGCTGATAAAAAACTATTGAATAAGTTTGAGTTTCAATTTTATAAAATTGTCTTCAATAAAATAAACTAAATAAAATAAAATAACTTTTATCCATTTCTTTTTTACCTACTGCCATATTTTATAGACATACTACAACACATTTATAGTAATGGCCGATCAAGATGAACAACACTCATTTCAAGAATTAAAGAGCAAATGGGAGCAGCAAGAAAAGTCGGTTGAGCAGGCTCAATCACAACAATCATCTCCTCCTCGACTAACAGACAATTCAATACCTCCTCCTATTCCACCTAAACCATCCTATATATCCTTGAATAAAGTATTTATAGAAGGTAATCAGCAATAACAAACAAAAAAAAAAGGGTCAACTTTTTTAATAAATATTTTATTTTAGAAGAGCCAAAACGTGTTTCGCAGTTGGCATACCAGTTCGAAAAACAACAAATTGACAGTGTAACAGCGCTTGGTAATGATATTGTGCAGCAACAAAATGATAATCCAGCTACAACAAAAATAGCTGAATTACGAAAACCACCGCCACCACCACCACCACCAACAACAACAACTACTACTACTACAAATGATGATTCCTTTACAGACACTTCTATTATGAAATCATGCGATGAAGATAGTGATATTGATGTGTATGAAAGTGAAGAGAGTGATGAAGCTTATATACCAACAGTTGACAACGAAGGTGATAATCATTTGATTGAACAAGTCCAAAAAGCTCAGTTACAATATACAAAATTTGAATTACCATCTTATATTGGTGCTCCAGGAATTCAACATAAGCCGACGAACTATAAATCACACAAGAAGCCTCCTCCACCTCCACCTCCTAGTAAAAAATATCATAGTGTAGCTCGTGCCACAACAGCAATGCCTTCAGTTGCCGCACCTATTGTCCAACCTCCTCAACCACCTTCTCCTGTCGTTGATATACCCATAGGTTCTGCCAAGGTCTCTGTTGAAGCCGCTGTTGTCTCTCCTCCAATTTTACCTCCAAGGCCTACAGCCAACATAGTGATGCCTCAGCTACCACCTAGACCCTCACAGTTTTCTCTGGCTCGTGCTCATACTATCTCAGCAGCAGTAACTCATTTGAAAGGTCCATTATCTACTCATATCCATGCTGAGCCTCATGCTCTTAGTGAAGAAGATGAGGATCAGCATCTTACAACTATCAAAAGAGCTAGTTCTATCTCTACCAATAAACGAGCCATGTCTCGTAGTGAACTCTTGATAACCCCCACCACTTACCCAGACTTTTCACAAGCAACTCGTAATGCACCTTTAATTCTCTTTGATAGACCCTTTTCAACTGGCCATAAAGGCTCAATTCCTGCACTTGCTACATGTCGAAATATCATTATTACGGGATCTAATATTCTTCGTACTTGGGATATCTTTTCAGGGGAAGTCCTGACCACTGTCACCTTCTCAACAGATGGATCTACTAACGGCACAAACTCGCCCAATAATGAATACAATGATAAAATTCGTGCTGTTGCAGTGGCACCTACACGATCACCATTAGACGAAGGCCGTTATCTTTGGGTGGCAAGACATGATTCGGTGCTATGTATTGTTGAAGTTCATAATAGAACCCATCGAGTGCTTAGTAAACGTCACGACATTCATGGGGCACCTATTACATTCATTTTACGATACAGTAATACAGAAATTTGGACCATTGATCAAAGTGGCCTCTTATGTATATGGGACGTCAGTAGAGCAGAATATACAAGTAATCAGAATCCTCTATTCAGTATGCCTCGTCGTTATCATGTAACTGAGCGAGCGGTTACTGCTGTTATCTATGGATCCCAACTTTGGATGTCTGCAGGTCGAAAGATGTGTGTTCATACTACAACTGCAGCAGAGATGTCCGTTCGAATTCCAAATGACTTGGGTAATATTAAAAAATTAATCACAATTCCTTATCATCCATATCGTGTATTTGCTGCACATGATGATGGAAAAGTCAGTATTTGGGATTCAAAGACCCTTGAGCGTATACAGGTTATCACAGTTTCCATGTATGGTATCTGTTCAATGGTATCCGTAGGTGAATATCATGTTTGGGCAGGCTATAATACCGGTATGATTTATGTTTATGATACGAGACCTGAAAATTGGACAGTTCTCAAAATGTGGAAGGCCCATACAGGTGCTGTAACACAATTAGTTGTAGATGAAACAAGTTTATTATTAGATGAAATTGGAAGTCGATTACAGGTTGTTAGTAATGATTCAAATGGATTTGTAGGTGTTTGGGATGGTTTATTAACAGAATATTGGAAAGGTAATTGAAGATACATACATATATGTATATATATGCATGCATGCGTGTGTGTGTGTGTATTTCTGTTCAAAAAAAATAAAATAAATTAACAATCGTTCAATATTGGCTATATATAGATGATCATTTGCAAAAACGGTCAAAAGAGTATTGTACATATGATGAAGCACGAGTTATGATTTGTTCATGGAATATAGATGCAAATAAACCCGAAAAGATATGTGAAGAGGATAAAAAAGTAGTACGTGAGTGGCTTGGGACAATGGAAGATCCAGATATAATTGTAGTCGGTATTCAAGAAATTGTTGATTTGGAATCGAAAAAACAAACTGCTCGTAAGTAATTTATATCTTATATTTTCCTATTTTTTTTTTTTTGTTATCTAATTATATCTTTTTTTTTTTCCTCGTAGGGTCCTTGTTTTTTAAAAAGAAAGTAGACCCTAACGAATCAGAAGATGTTTTGACACATCGATATAAATTATGGCATGATTATTTGATCGAAGTGATTGCAAGCAATTACGGAACACATACATATACAGTTATCAAAACAGATCAACTTGTTGGCCTCTTTAGTTGCATCTTTATTCGTACGACAGATTTAGATCGTGTCTTTAACATTGATTCAACATCGGTTAAAACTGGGTTAAAGGTGATGAACAAGAGTATTCATGGTAACAAAGGCGGCATTGCCATTCGATTTGTATATGATCACTCGTCCCTTTGCTTTGTCAACTGTCATTTAGCAGCTGGCCAATCTCATGTGCAGCAACGAAATGCAGATGCAGAAGGTATTCTTCACAGTGCCAGTTTTCCTCGTCATGACTATGCAGATGTCTTTACACACGGTGGTGATGGTAGTATGATTTTGGATCATGAATTTTGTTTTTTAAGTGGCGATCTTAACTATCGTATCAAGATGTCTCGTAATGATGTCCTCAAGATTCTCACAAATACTGACAAATTAGCTGCATGGGAGGAGCTTCAAAAAGAAGATCAGCTTTTGAGGCAAAAGCACACTAATCCACTCTTTAAACTTTTAACATTTCAAGAGGCGCCTATTCATTTTGACCCAACCTACAAATACGATCCAGGTACAGATTTTTATGACCGATCAGAGAAAAAACGTGTACCTGCTTGGTGTGATCGCGTCCTGTTTAAAGGACAGAATATTACTAATTTGTATTATCGACGTCATGAAGCTCGTTGTTCAGATCACCGACCCATATCTGCAGGGTTTAGTATCAAAACAAAAATAACAGATCAAAAGTTACGAGACAAGCTAATGACTAACATTGAAGAAGAATGGCGAGAGCATTTAGATCGATTTGTTAAGGATAGAAAGGCAAGATATATTGCAGATTATGAAAGATGTACACTTAATGAAGCTTTTGATTTATTGGAGCTAAATGATTGGGATGTTAATTCAGTTATTATTAAACTCACTATACACTAATACATATACATCCATTTAATAAAATAGATGTCCTTTTTTTTTTTTATCACGCTAACCTTTTTGACAGCTTTAATAAAAATAGCTGATGCTTTAAAGCTAAGACTATGAATCCTTTTTGCATTTAGATCTCTTGAACTAAAGTGAAATAAAAGTTAAACATAAATAGAATGTTGTATATCAATTTATATAAACTGCCATGTATTTGTGATGGTGTAAGATACACTTTTTGGCTCACTTATTTCTAGCTAGTGCATTCTAAGTATATTTTGCAGTGGAAGCTAAAATGTGATTGCCTTCAAAGAGCATAATAATGAAGTCGTTACCATAATAGCCAATATAAACTTCTTTTTTTTTTCTCTTTGTTTTTTAGTTTTGTTTTCTGTCATAGTTAACTAACTTTTAATTGAACCATTTTGAATTAGAAGAACAAGATGTTATAATAGCTGTATTTATAACCAATTTCTATATAGATCGTCCTAAAATGATGAAAGCTTATTTGCCTTTCCTTTTCAATGCACTATTCACACATAAATTTATGCTTCTATCCTTATTCTCTTTCCTCATGTATCCTATCACACCTCAAATGAGGATTCTACAATAGGCTCTCCTCCCCCTTTTTACTGATGGTATCATTGATATCCTTTTCTTTTATAATATTTGTTACCCTTCATCCTGAAGGAAATTTTCCATTTTATTCGATATTTTGTGCCCGATAATTTTAAATTGCCGCGTTGGAGTAAATTTGATTTTTACTTTTTTTTTTTTCCTTTTCTTTCATACATATTAAATGGACGATTCATTATTAATAAAGGCCATCATCACTACCTCCATTCTTCTTATTACAACGGGTAAAATAGTTGAATACATATTAAAAAGAGCTAAACTCACAAAGTAAAGTTATTGGGATTTTGCTTTATACCAAAAAGCAAACCAAAAATACCATTTTATTATTAGGTACAAGTAATGCAGGCAAGACAGCAATGTACATTTGGGTAAGCAACAACAAACAAAAAAAAAAAAAAAAAGTGATGAACTTGCCGTTATTTATCATTTATTCTGATAGTTAAAAAGTGGAAAGAAACATCCTACTGTGTCTTCTATAAAAGAAAATGAAGGTCAAATTACTGTTAACAAAAAGGTAAATAATCCCATTTCACATATAAAAAAAAAAAAAAAAAGCAAAAGAAAAAGAAAAGACAAATCGCTCATAAATTTAGACATTTGAACTTATTGATATACCTGGACACGAACGTGTTCGTTACCGATATACTGATTTCTTACCTGTAACAAGATCAATTATTTTTGTCATTGATAGTACCTCTATCAGTCGACAGATCAGGCCTGTGGCAGAATATTTATATGACATATTAGCAAAGCCTATAGTACAAAAGCAGCGAATACCTATCTTGATCGCTTGCAACAAGTCAGATATGATTACTGCCTTACCTATTGAAAAGATCAAGACGTTGCTTGAACTTGAAATGTAAGTTAATATACATTAGTAAATGAAGAAAAAAAAAACACAACAACAACAACAACAATAATAATAATAATAATAATAATGATATAGTAATCGTTTACGTAATACGCGTACTGCACGAGTTGAACAGCAAGAAGAGGATGATGAACAAGAGGAGTTTTTAGGTTATGAGGGTGAGGATTTTAAACTAAATCATGTTGATAATAGAATCGATTTTGAATCATGTTCAGTTGAGAATCAAGATTTGGCTAATATCAAAGATTGGATTTTTCAATAACATTATTATTGTCCATTTGTATAATTAAAATAAACATGTTATATTAAATATAGATTCATTGATCTACTCTTTGGAGTTAGAATCTTTTACATTCAGATTTAAAATGAAACATATTTGTTCATGATGCTAAGAACAAGATTAAAAGCTATACACTTTTTTTTTTTTTTTTTTTTTTTTTTTTTTTTTTTAACTTTATAGAAATATAAGCATAATTGGAGAGTCATGCATGTAAGGGAAAATTTAATTTGATTTTTTTTTTTTTTTGATAACATTATATGATAAATAAAGAGTATAAGCTGATAGTATATAAATGAAAAAAAAACAAGTAATAATAGCAGAATTTATTTAGTTAAGTAGAAGAAGGACTTGAACGAGCAATTAATTTCGAAAGAATCAAATAAACAAAGACTACAAGTAAAAATATCCAACGTCTGCCTCGACTAACAGTATTTGTAATTGTATTTTCCTGTTGCACAACTGAATTATTTTGAACCGTATTATCACTACTACTCTTTTCTTTTGCAGTCCTTTTTGTTATATTGTTATAATCTACAATGGATGAAAGTTCATTAAGCTTTACTGTACATAATTCAGGGAAAACCTCTATACAGACACAGATTTATGAGTACATTTATATATATATATGCATGTATGAATTCTTTGATTTCAGTTTTACCTCTAAATTTTGGATTTCGAATATTCCATAGATGAGATCTCGCTGCGAATATTTTCTTTTCATGAACACCTGTCTTTATACTGCCTGTAGTAGCCTCATCACTGACCTACAAAGGTGTGTGAATAGTTGTTCCAAAACGGTTGATTTTTATTATTATTATTATTATTGTTTAGTACCATAAAACTTAATAAACCATTTAAAATGGTCGCAATCGACCAACTTGGATTCCATGTACTTGGATGAAAGTCACTCATACTTAAACAAAGACGAGTATCTGGCTGAAATCGACCTGATGGTGTTGTCATTCGAATAGAAGGTGGCTTAAAAGGATATTCAGCTGGAAAAGTAATTCGACCATAATATTCACCACCTTCATAAGGTGTATCAGGTGGGCCTTGAATAACATAATACCTATTTCTATATTAATAATTACATCTATTTTAAATAACCATTACTTTACCAGTCTAAAATATTACTTTCTAATGGTTTTGCTGTTATAAAAGGAGGCGGGCTTAAAGAAAAAAAGAAGAAGAAAAAAAAAAAAAGATAAGAAATCATTTTAAAGATTGAAGTTTGCGCATTTACTTTTTTTGGATAGCTAAATATTCTTTTGTTAATCTTCTATATGCTCCTTTTGTAGCCATATTATAATATGTGTGTAATAATAGAGAAAAGAAAAAAAAAGAAAAAAAAAAAAAAAGAAATAAAGGAGCAAAGCAAAATTATTTTTTTTTTAATGTAATCGAGTTTAGCAGAAGAAAATTCTTCAATATGATTGGTTCATTTATAATCAAGCTATGATTTCGTATGCACTTGTAAAATTGTGAGGGTTTTTTTTGTTTTTCTAAAAGTAAACTTTGTATTCAAATGAACGAAGAATTCATAGATTGGGACATTCATAAAAGTACAGACACTTGTACTGAACCTAATGATCCACTTTCTGCTTATCTTAATGATTCTGAAGTTAGTTCATGTTTTCTTTTATATACATACAAATAGTAAACTGCTCCTTTTTTTTTTTTTTTTTGGTTAGGAAGAATATTGTTCAACTTTTGTAAAAGATATTGATGATCTTTCTTTAACAAAGAATGGACAAACACCATTTATTGTAAACACTACTGTAGAACAAATAAAGCCATTATCATCTTCCTCAATGGAAATATCCAAAAAAAGACTAGATATAGAGCCGATACCTATAACTATTACTATCAGTGACCCTGTGAGGAAACAAGATGCTTTACAAAATAGCTACATATCCTATCTAATAACAACCGATGTAAATTACAAATATAAATATGTGTGCGTGTGTGTGTATAGAAAGATGGATAAAATGGATATGTATGAATATATGCCACTTTTTTTTTTTCTGTTATTAGACACAACATGAAAGTCTTAGATCAATAAGCCCAGTAAGAAGAAGATATCAAGATTTTGTTTGGTTACATGCATCACTAGTACGAGAGTATCCAGCATGTATTATTCCTCCTTTACCAGAAAGACATAGATTAGGTATGAAATGGGGTTAAGAAAATAAACAAATGTTAAGGCTATTATTATATTTAGAATACATAAAAGGAGATAGATTTAGTGTTGAGTTTATACAAAAGAGATTATTAAGGTAAGATCCATATGTAGTCTACTTGTATATCTTTATTTCTCACAATATACATAGTTTGCAATGGTTTTTGGATAGAGTATCAAGGCATCCTATATTACAAATGTCACCCTGCTTTCGTCTATTTTTGTCATTGACTGATTTTGTAAATAGACATGTATTTTATGTAAGAAACTTTATTCACTTTTTTTTTCTGTAAAAAAAAAGGAAGGTTATAATCAAGAACATGCATCGAATATATCCCAGTCATCTTTACTCTTTGAATCTATTAGTGAAACACTTTTGAATGCATTCACAAAAATAAGAAAACCAGATGAAAGGTTTCAGGATATAAAGGAACATATAGACAGGTTTGAAGAGAATTTAATCATTATTGAAAGACTTTATATGAGAATCAATAAACGACAAAAAGGTACATGTAGAATCTATTTTGTTATTAAAATAGATTTTATCCTAATTTTATTCTATTTTATTTCTAGATTTACAAAAGGATTATTCCCAATTTGCTAACAGTGTTGAAGGCTTATCTAAATTGGAAACTGATGCTACTAGTTTATTATATCAATTTGCAGAAACCACCAAAGCATATTCGAGTGTAATGAAAGAAATGACAAATATAGAAGAAATACAATTTTTGAATGAAATTCATGGATTAATATTGTATTGTCATTCAGCTAAAGTAATTCATATTTATAAAAAAAAACCCTATAGTACTAATCAATTGACTCAAAGAGTAAAAATATAATAAAATAGGTTATATTAAAAGAAAGAGATCAGAAACAAATAGACTTTGAAGGTCTATCAGTTCATTTGCAACAAACACTTTGTTTAAGAGATAGAATACAATATCCAGAACGAAAATATAATGAAAGAGGTTTAAATATAACTGAATATATTACTGATAAATTTGATGAAATAAGAGAAGGTGCAAATATAGCAAAACGAAATAAATTAAACAAGTTAGAAAGACGTATTAATGAGGTAAATCTTTTTTTTTTCCTTTTTTACTAGCAGGCAGCAGCTAAATGATTCATTCTTTTTTTTTTTTTTTTTTTTTTTTTAAACGTTTATCAAGTTACGACAAGATGTATCGAAAACAAATGACGATTTAAACGCATTTTCTGAACAAATTCTTGAAGAAATTAAAATAGTTGAGGAAACAAAGATGTTAGAATTGAAACGTGGATTATTAGCTTATGCAGATTGTCATATTAAGTTCTATGAAAAGGTAATAATTGTTATTGTATAATAGAAAATTAGCGTTATTAATTTCAAAGAAAAGGGAATTACAATTTGGGAAAAATTAATGTCTTTATTAAAAAAGATGGATGATATCAAAAGCTGATATTAAAGTAAATGCTTCTTCATCCAATTAATATAATATTCAGTGATTTGTTGTCTTTGTGGCATAATTTCATTATGTACTATAAATGATAATAATCTGAGTTTGAATGGTTTAAAATAATAATTCATTTAAATACTTTACATTCATGGTATAATCCCGCCCAATTCTTTAATTCTTTATCTTGACTAAGAGTCAATTTATAGGCTTCAGAAGTACCATTGAAGGCATTAATAGGATCAGTATCAGCATGGGAATATAAAATAGGTATCTTAATTAAGTTAGCTAAGGGCTTATCAATCATATTCTGGCCTGCATCAATAAAGCTTCTTACTAAAAGTAAATAATAATAATAAATATTAAATCATGCATGCATGCATGCATATGTATATGTATATGTGTTCAGATAAGCTTACAGGTGGCTAAGGTTGCATAATCATGTACTAATGGATCCTTCTTGTATTTTTCAACTTCTTCTTTATCATGTGAAATACCAGCAGGATCAACACCAGCTCTAATTGTTACACTTGGTACTATATTTGATAATGTACGAAGCGTATAATATTTTACAGATGAAATTGGCATAGATAATGTGATAAGAGGAGAGGAAGCAATAGCACCAGATAAAAAGCTTACGCCTTCATATATATCACTTTTAGCGAGATAATTAAGAATAAGGCCGCCTCCCTGAAATTATATATTAGTCTATGCGAACTAACTCGTATCTTATTGTACTATATGAATTTACCATACTATGCCCCATAAGAAAAATAGGTATGAGTCTATTTTGTTGTTTAATTTTTAGAATAGCATCATCAATATCCCTAAGAGCAGTATTATATCTGTAGAATAATATGAATACATTTACATACACATACACATCTACATTTACTTTACCCCTGATTATTACCATATTGTGTTGATTTTTTACCAGTTTCACCCCAACCACGTTGGTCATAACCATAAGATTCAATACCTTGTCTGGCGAAATTAGATAATAATCTATCATATCTTCCAATATGTTCACCAAAACCATGAATAAGTCTTGTATATTAAAAAAAAAAAAAAAAAAAAAAAAAAAAAAAAAAAAAGGAATTAGTTTAATGATCATGAATAGAATCTGTTCAACTAATTTACACTAGATTAGCAATGGTAGGTGTTGATGAAGGTGGTTTCCAAGTTCTTGTAAAAATAGCAGTACCATCTTTTGTTGTAATCCATTCAGTAATAGACTTTATATCATCTGTAGTCATAATAGATATAAGAAACTTTTTTTTAAAGAAAAGAAAAAAAAAAAAAAAAAAAAAAAAGGAAAAGGAAAAAGAAAAAGAAAGGAAAAAAGAAAGAGAGTGAGAGAGTGAGAAAAGTTTTATTATAAAATATAAGTTGATGTGATTTAATATACTAATAAATTTATTCATTTATATATCAATTGTGCAACAAAATTATAATGCACATGTGCCTACAGTGAATAAAATCAGATTTGGACACTCATATGATAATCATTTTCTGTACATTTTCTTATCTTTTATTAAGACATGTATTTAGCTATACAACGAAATAGTTTAAATCAATAAGGCAAGCCTAGTTATAAGTATTAAAAATATTAGAAAGTGAACAGTATCGCCCTTTATATAATCTATTGCAGAATTATCAAAATAAAAATGGAAATGATAAACTATGTGTTTACTATTCAAAGATAGACTTCTAACTGTCTCTTTTTATGTATTGATGTCTATTATTATATACATCATCATTAGTGAAGGTATGTTTATGTAATTACAAATCAAAGCTTACATCTAATACAATAACTTATTTTTATCCAAGTTAGTTAAAAGATGCTGAAAAAAAAAATGATATAGTTGAATACACTCACTTGCACAGTTATCTTGGTAGTTTTCATGGAAAGTTATATTCTTTTTTTCAAGTACATAGATCTGAATGGATATATCAAGACATATACGTATTCATAATAATACCCAATAAGATCAACCTAAGAAGAACAAGTGTAAATTGTTCTTTCCTTAAGCACAAGTTGAATATCTACAAAAATAGGAATATAATTATACCTATTGTTAGTAATAGCTTATTTTATATATTTATTTATTTAGTTATAGCATCATTTCTTTCTTTTTATTAAAACAATATACAAGCGGTATTCATCGACATACATATACAAGCGGTATTCATCGATATACATATACAAGCTTTTTCAAAAATTTTAGAATTAGACATCATTCATTAAAGTGTAATCTACTGTAAAGAATGAATTATTATCTAATTAATTAACAACTTTTCCTTTCTATCCTTAACAATTCGTTAGACACAAATTAAATTTCTAAAAACTATGTCAATTTTAAAGCTTAAAAAAAAATTATAAAAATAAAAATAAAAACGGGCTGGAAGGCCAATCAAAGCAACTAAAAGTTCTATTTATTTTTGTGACTTTTTTTGAATGCGTTGTTGTCTTTAGAACGAAGAGTCTTTTTATTTTCAATTTGTCTTTATACAAAGGAACATAACATTAAAAAAAAAAATAGACAAGATGGAAATAGCCGAATGGGATAGACTTTGGCAAGTAGTTCATGATACGCCTGATGACTTTAATTCTTGGGAACAACTTATTAGATTTACAGAAACAATGGATGGTGGCCTTACTAAAACATCACCTCCTGAAAATATCACTCGTTTAGAAAACGTTTATGACAGCTTTTTAGCCAAGTTTCCTTTATGTTTTGGTTATTGGAAAAAATATGCTGATTGGGAATTAACCATTCGAGGTGATGAAAGTGCTGAAAAAGTAAGTAAAATAAATTGATTAAAAAAAAAAGAAAAGAAATTATTAAATCATCATTTATTATTCTAGATTTTTGAAAGAGGTGTAGTAGCCATTCAAAATTCTATTGATCTTTGGAATCAATACATTGATTTTAAGCTTTCTCGTTCTACTTCTAATGAAGACATGGAAAGGTTTTTTATTAATACATATATATATAAATATTTACATGTCTATTTTCATACTAATATAATTGCATTAGTTTATTTGAACGAGCAGCAAATTGTATTGGTCTTGATTTTCTCGCACATTCTTTTTGGGACAAATATCTTGAATTTGCTGAGACACGACTTGCAAACCCTAAACGTGTTTTAGAATTACTAAATCGAATTGTTTTGATTCCTATGCATCAATATGCACGTTATTATGAAAAATGGAGAAACATTCGTGCTAACATGAATCCCTCTGAAGCGCTCAAACCAGAACAATTAGAACAGTTCACAAAAGAAATTAAAGAGGAAAAGAATATAACTGACCCTTCTGAAGTTCAGATAGCCTTAAAGGAAAAGTTCGATAATCAAACAGCTACAGTTTATAAATCCACACAAGATGGTACAAATAAACGTTGGGTTTATGAAGCAGAAATTAAAAGATCTTATTTCCATGTTAAACCTTTGGATCGACCTCAGCTTCAAAACTGGAGTAAATATCTTGATTTTGAGGAATCTCAACAAGATAAAACTCGTATTTGCGCACTTTATGAAAGATGTCTTGTCCCATGCGTAATTATTATATTTCCGAATGATAGATTCATAGACTGATTTCTTTTCTTTATAGGCACAATATGAGGAATTTTGGTTAAGATATGGACAATGGTTAACAAAAAATGATTTACTAGAACAGGCTAAACATGCTTACGAAAGGGCTTCATATATATTCTTACCACGCACTTGTTGTACAGTTAAGATTTCTCTTGCTTTAATTCTAGAAGAAGAGGGACGTATTGAAGAAGCTAGAAAGGTATTCAATGGTGTTTTAGAATCTAGTAAAGTATTTATAAATCTAAATCAGCTATACTATACTAAAACTAATTCAAATTCATATAGTGCCTACACATGTTGAAACAATTTTAAACTATGTTCATTTTGAACGTAGACAAAATCCCTCCGCGTTTGAAAGTATCATTCATACATATATTCATTCTGAACAATTGAACGAAGCTTCCAAAGCTTTCTTTACAGTTCAATATGCTAAATATTTACAACAAGTAAATATCCATATTATCTATTTCTAGTTTTAATTATTGACTTTTATTATTATTATTATTACTAGAATAATCAAGCTGATAAAGCAAGAGAAATTTATTCATCCTCAGCCAAGATGTACTCTCAAAACAAATATTTTTGGATGAATTATATTAACTTTGAGCTTAGTTTCTTTGGTAAATTCTAAATTAAATTGATGTCTTTTTATTGGCACTCACACATTATTTTCTAGACGAAAATTCGGATAAACGTATCCTGAATGTATTTGAAAAAGCACGTGAAACTTTGCAAAAAGAATTTCAGGCGATAATTGATACACAATATAGACAATATCTATTGGAACGTAGTCATTCTGTTACTCAATTCAACAGAATTCCTTTATTGATCTCTACAAACTTTACGTCTACTAGCGGTGCTAATGCAACACCCACAGCAACCACAGTAGCGCCCTCATTAAAACGATCTGCACAAGATGATGGTAATACTTACAGTTACGCAAAACAACCTCGTTTTGATGTACCTGTACAGCAGCAATATGGAACTTATTCTCAACCTTCTACTGATTATTATGCACAGCAACCTTGGCAAGTTTAGATTAAGCATATACATATATATCAATGTATATTTGTATGTTTAAAAAAAAAAATAAATAAAATAAAATAAAATAAAATAAATATACAATAAACTATGTATACACATTGAATTATTCATCTTTTTTATGCTTTATATGTATTAAAATTATTAAATTTTTTTGCAAGTCTTAAAGCCGTCTTTCCTGTTTTCTTTTTAAATTCTTGATAGGTTATTTTTGGCTCACCATTTAACACTTCACGTTCTCGTTGTTTCAATATGTGTGGCATTAAACAAGTCCTGGCTACTAAATGGTCTAATGATTTGTTATTTTGAGGAATATAACTATATCGTCGATCACTTTTATAGTCGATTTTTTTCCAATTTGTATAACATTCTTCTAGCCAAATATGGTTAACCAAAATGATTGCTGGAAATTTATTCAAATCTGCATATTTACTAGCACAATGACTTTTTTTTTTTAATAAGTAAAAAAAGTAGTCATCTTTAATAATCAATAATAATGAATACCTTGCACATATTAAATGCGTTGTACCATTACATAGAGACGTAGAAAGTTTTGCTCCAGAAGCAATTACTAGTGCATTGAGGAATGTCCTCTGAGCACCTTTATATCCTGTAATCGCAATAACCTACATTTGACACGTCATATAAGTACTTTTTTTTTTTTTTTTTGTCTTTCATTTTGATCATGAGAACGTACACAATCTATCATACCAGGGATACCTATCTTGGGTATAGGATAATCCAACAAGACAGAAAGAGGAGAACATAGATAGCCTCTTGCAAGTGTATTTGATATCCACCAAAAACTTGCAATGCATTTACCATCTTTAGCTGCTTGTATGTATTCTTCAGATGAACGATATTTTAATATAACAATGGTAGTCAAATCAGAATTATAATCATTCATGACACGGCCACCTAAACGTTCAATATAACTTGTTATAATAGGCATCATATACAATTTACGTTGATCTGCCATTACATCTTGTCCAAAGTAAATGAAATGGTTCTTAAATATGGGTTCTCTGTCATCTATTCCTTGAGGGAGAATAGAATTTAAAGAATTAGTATCTGTTGGATAGGAAAATAGACGTGCAGGACGTGGATTTTGAAAGTAATAAACATAAGGTGATGGAAGGCGATAAGGTTTATAGTCGAACTTTTGTTGAAATCGAAAACAATCATCTAGCCATTGTGGAAGAACAACTGGGATATTTCTTTTTATACATTCATTGTAAGTTTCCTAATTACATAAGATGATAAATCGTAGAAATAGATTTTGTTGTATTCATAACTTACACCACTAGCAGAAGTGCATACCAGGCATGTAATGTTTTTTGTTATTTCATTACTATATTCACCTCCATAACGATTTATTTCTTTGAAGATAGTTCTTTTTCTACTTTCCGGTAGCTGTAAATAATAAATATGTCATGCAATTCTTTTTTTTTTTAGCTATTTTACACACTTACATCTGATAACAAAATTATTTCCCCGGATAAAAATTGTTTTTTCCTATCATGCTTCCTAAAATCGAAATGATGTTAATAATATCAATACAAAAACTAATCCATTTAACGAATTAGCTTACTTTTGAACAATTCCCCTGATTATAGCATTTTTAACCCAAAATGGCTACATAATTAATTCATTAACACATGACAAACTTATTTTTTATTCCCCTTACAGAAACAGTTTTTATCTGTTGTAAAGAACAGTTATTCATTGAGATGTATAAATTAGGAATGTTATTCTCCAAATTCCCTAATGTGCCTCCATTACTATTTAACATGTTTTTTAACTACAGAAATCTTTTAATATAATTACTTTTTTTTTTTTCTTTCTTTTTTCTTCTTCTTTTTAATTACCTCTTGTTGTTGGGCAACAGGTAAGGCATCATCAATAAGATAAACAATATTTTCAAATAATTGTTTTTTTTTCTTATCAGTAACAAGCTGTACTATTCCTGATTTCTTCTTGTGAATGTTAATATCTGGATTAAGCATAGTTCTAAACAAGCACAAAAAAAAAAAAAAATATGAAGAGAAATTTTTCTTTTTTTTTTTTTATTCTTTACAAAGCTCAGTTTCTGCCTTGCGACTCACATAATTTCACTAAATGAGACAGAGTAAATTACTAGATTTTTCCTTCTAATATACAAAAATTATAAACAGTGTTTGCCTTTGTGTGATAATTGGGCTAGCATTTATTTTATTTTATTTCAATTATGCATCTGGTTGTTAACTTATTTTTTTTTTGTTTTTGCTTTGAATAAAATACAATTTTGCTTTCTTCTGGTATAAAGAAATGCAAATTTAAAAAAATTCTGATGAAGATTATAAACAATTAGTTTAATGAAAGTACATACATTATCAAGAAATTAAAAAATTCAAAATACAATGAGAATGGTAAATTTTGTCATTTTGAGAAAATTGAATGTTCATAATCAAAAAATAAATGTCACTTTCCAAGAGAAAAAAAAATTAATGGCACTAGGCCAAAAATGATTGTTCCTCTATGTCCAGAAATTTTGTTCTTTTAAAATAAGAGAAATAGCACAATAAGTTGAATCAAATTGACTTAAAGTTATGTATTTTTTTTTTTTTTTTTTTTTTTGCCTTCAAAGCGAATAGAATGGAGTTTTATTATAACGTCGAATGATTTGTCGTTTAGAATGACTGGCAAAGTTGTATAGACTTTCAGCAGGTATGACATTACATGCCTCAGCAATTCTATCAGACAATTTTTTCTTTAGTCAACAATTTGTGACGTTTCAATTTTCCTTTTAAGATTGCCCCAAAACTGCTCAATTGGGTTTAATTCAGGCGAATATACAGGCGGCTACATCAGCTTATAGCTACGACTTTCGATTTTCCTCATTATCAGTTTTGATTTATGTATAGTGCAGTTGTCTATCATCAAATAACTCCCTTTTAGATCTTCATTAAGATTCCAAGATATCAAGCAGAACATTCATGAATTTGATAAAGTGCACAGTTGTCGTACTCTTTTGATATCATTTCTGAACTATATTGCGCACTGCTCTCATTAATATTATCAACATACTCTGTAGCTGGTTCTAAAATAAATGTATCAATAGTATGTTTTTTGCCCTTTGTTACTTTTCTTTTCTTGCTTGTAGATGCCTTGTTACTTTGATTTTTTTTTTGGTGGTGGTGGTTTCTTTATCGTTACATGAATGAAGCTAGATGCTTGTATAGCTCGAATGATAGTATGAATTGGGATCTTTGTTTTAGTTGTCTTCACTATGGCAGGTATTCTAGTATCAGTTCTAGCCCAATTATTTCTTAAATTTATATGAAATACAGCTTCGTTAATAAAGATACAGTTTATTTTTTGTAAAGTCTATATCAGAGTCTTTCCATTTCATAAACCACTCATATCTCGCCTCTAAGTCATCAGCAGAGTGTTGTGGTTTAGGTAAGTTTAAATAGTTAAAATAACAAATAAAAGAAATAACAAATAAGATAGACAGAAGAAGTACGTTGAGGCTTGTCAATAAGTTTTTATTAAGAATTAAGCTCAATACAAGTATTGTTATGTGTTATAAATTACCAAGTAAGTGTTAATAATGTAAGAGTATTTATATATTTTGTGAATAAGGATGATGAGTAATAAGAAGATAAAATTACACCTTTTCCGGAAATTATTCGTACACTTTAAAAATAAAAATTCGTGCACTAGAAAAATAAAAAATCAAGCAGTAAAAAAATAAAATTTCAAGCATTATGTTTTTTTTTATTGGTGCATTTTTTCATTGTATCAAATGTACAAAATGTATCAAGTTTTTAAAGTGGTTTACGTTCCAAGCAATCATCAAACTTCCGGATCGAATATCTGCAGAACCCTCTCAAATCACTTAAAAGTACGCTATTGCATGCATCCCTTATGCGACTGGTAAGGGTTTCGCTTTCTAAGAGTGGCTCTCTCTTCAGTTTGCTTTTACAGACGGACCAAAACTGTTCAATTGGGTTCAGTTCAGGAGAGTATGGGGGCAGATACAAACAAAAGTAACCGCGACTTTCGATATAGCTCTTTATATCCTGGTGCTTGTGGATTGGGACATTATCCATAACAAGATAATTCCCTTTAAATTCCTCGTACTGATCCAAGATATCAATAGTATCGGCGATGAAATTGAAGCAATGGCCTATAACTGTGCCAATTGAACTGTTTCTTTCTTCTTTCTCCTTTCCAAGCTTTCTTTTCTTGGATGCTGTTACTTTTGGTGTTCTAACCTTTACGTTTATAACTCCATAAGGTGAAATAGCGCCCAAAATAGTTGTCATTTTAGCCTTGGTTTTTGGTGTCTTAACAATAGCGCGATTACCGACACGAGACCAAGAAAAAAAGCGTTTCATATTGATATGAAATCCTGCTTCGTCAATAAAAATACAGTTGAATTGATAATCAATATCAGTATTACCCAACAGGTTTTTAACCCACTTGTATCTCTCCTCAATCTTTTCAGGGCTGTTTCTATCTTCAGGATAAAAATAAGATTTCTTACAGCTTATTCTGCATTTTTCCTTTACAAAAGTATAGAAGGCAGATTTTTTTATCTCAAGTCCTTCAAAGTTCCTGGTTAATCTATCCCTCATTTGATCCAAGGTCATGCCTGAATCATCCTCATCAACCGAATTGATAAGGTACTCGCGATGGGCATCGTTCAAGATAGGAGGTCTTCCCACAGGCCTTCCGCTTCCGGGTTTTCCTTTGTTGACAAGTTCGTCTGGATCCTCAAGACTTTTTTTGTATCATGAAGTAGCTGTACTAGCAGGAACACCTATTTGTTTAGCTGCCCCACGAACGGACATACCCTTCTCACCTACAAGGAAGAAGAAATAGTCCATTTCTTCCTTTCTATAGTTTCGATACGTTTTCTTGTTGTTTTGAGACTCTTCATTTACTACCCGTTTTTTCTCTTTGGATACAACTTTGTTAGCCTTATGAGGTTTTTTGGGAGGCTTTAAATCTAAATATTCCCCATAACTTGTAATATCTGCAATAGGATAATCAGGATCGTCGACCTCCATCTGAAGTACTTCAACTTCATCCCCTTCTTCGTTGAATGATTTGCCTTTTCCATCTTCATGTATAAATTGATCCATTTTAATTCAAAATAAAAATGTGATATTTCTTTGAAAATAACAAATAAAAAATATTATAACAAAAAGACAAAAAAAAACGTTAACGAGACCGAACAATAGTTCTAAAGTCAATTATTTTTATTTATGAATTTAAAATGATGGGGGTATTTATAAGAATTGTTAAAGAGGTATGAGGATAAGATATGAATCAGAAAAGTGTTAGTTACGACCAAATAAGGTATGTTGTTGACAATGAAGTGTTAGTAATTTTAATGTTATTAGATGGAGCGGATCAAGAGAGATTCAGGAGATTATAGATAGAATTTCTTAAATAAATTTATGATCCACATGTTTAATCAAGAAACATGACATTATAAGTGAGCTCATAACAAAAAATTCAAAGTGCACGAAATATTAATTAGTCTAATGTGTTAATTTTTATTTTTAAGTGTACAATATTTTATTTTGTCTGTGATTGAAATTTTATTTTTTTACTGCTTGATTTTTTATTTTTCTAGTGCACGAATTTTTATTTTTAAAGTGTACGAATAATTTCCGGAAAAGGTGTATATAATTATTTTTAAATGCTTGAATATTCTAACAATGACCGGTTATTAAAACTGAATATAGAATGTATATATAATGCTGTGAAGTACAATACACTAGTTTTATTTGAATAACCTCTTTATTATGTAATAAATGATGGTTTATTTCTATTAACTTAGTTGTAAAGACGACTATAATCATAACAACCATAACAGGATTAGAAGAAATTACACTAGGTAAAATGTTGATATAATCCTGCATATGTACTTGTTGGATGTATTTTTCCATATACGTGAACTCTAAACCTTCTTTATAGTTAATATCAATTGCCTTGATATCACCATTAGTTCGTTCGAAACTATATAGCCAAGTAGAATATAAAGGCCCAAAGTCTTCAATAGTTTGATGAATATGTAAATGAAAATGCATATTTGGTGTGATAAAATCTTCACCATAAAGCACAACATTTGTTCTAACAAACTCAACTAGAAGGTTATGGGCTTGGTTGATCTCATAAGAAGTGATAGAAGGAGAGGCAAGAATACGATTTGCATCGACAAATCGCATCCAATTGATCATATGTTCACCAGTTAATCTTCCTTTTAATAAAATAGGTGAATATACCAGAATCCAAGATCGAAATTCGTCACCTTTCATATCCGAAAAGTTTGCTGAAATTTTTGAGCTTAATGGTGTAAATCTTGGAGGCACAATTATATTTTTAGCTTCTTCAGCCATTTCAGCAAGATCATTGCTAGTTAAAAAAGGTCTGATATTATGCTGTCCATTGCTTTTTGGTTTAATCCAATGCTGAATCATTCTCTTAGCAGTACCAAGATAAAGATTATGTAAACCATCTATAATGTTACAATGTATAATATCAAAGTAGTGCAATCTATGTAATTCACTCCATCTGACTCCATATTTTTGTTCAATATTTCGTCGTTCTAATTTTGTACTGGCATTTTTCCACAAAAGTGCCTGTTCATAGTTGCTATGTCTGTCTCGAAGACGCCAAGAAGAACAACCAACATTAGAAAAACACCTTTGGACTGGATTATCTGTACGGGCCCGAAACATGTCTACACATTTGTGACAGGGAACAAAGGAATTGATAGCTGTAAAGCCACATACTTTTTTAACTGCGGGTAAATCACAGTTAACCGAAGCCAAAGCACAGCGAATCATTCTTCCATTAGTAGCCATGTATGTAGGTATAGATACTCCTTCATATAGTTCAAGTAGCTCATTCACCATAGGTCGAAGAAAATTATTTATTTCTGAAAGAGCAGCTTCACGAGGGCCAGGCATCAAGCCAACAAGTATCATGTTTTGTTTTTTAAACCTCTCGTTACGAGGAAGGTTATTAATGATCAAATATATGGCACCTACATGATATTTCATGCCTTGAGTAGGAGTAAACCAATCAACATTTAAGCTTAACATTAATGAGCCTTCTTTTTGAAGAAATGGTTCGTCTTCATCATCCTTTTTGAATTCTTTAAAAAACTGACCATCGAAGATATCAAACATTATTCCAGGCATTACAGTTTTACTTCTCCATTCTTCAATTTTTTGCTCAAAAGTAGGGCGCATGAAAAACTTCATCAAAGTTGCCTTTACTGAGTTGTAAGCATAACGTTTGATTGGTTTGACCGAATCGTTGCTAGCATTTTTAACTACTAATAGATGATTGCATCGTGCTCTCATTCCATTAGCATACGAGGGAAGTGTTCTATTTCAGCATTTTTTGATTGTATTCGAATTATCTATAACTTCCTCGTAGAAATAAATTGCATTGCACTTCTCACAAACAACATATTTTTTGATATCTATTATAATGAGAAATTAGTATTAGTAAAAAAAAAAAAAAAAAAAAAAAAATACCCTTGCTAGCATAATTAGCAGAAATTTTAGATTTAATTGTTTGGAGTTTAGAGGGGAATGCATAATTAATTCCAAGTAGAAAAAGTATAGCATTCATAAACTTGAACAAGCTTTCTGTAGCTGTAATGGTTAAATTATTGGCTTGAAAGAATGTCAAGAAAATCATAATGAAGTAAGGTAAAGCTTCATTTTCACTAATGTTGAATAACTTTGTATCGTTAGATGCAAAGTTATCATTAGCTTCATCTATATATGAAATAAATAAAAAAGTTAGCATAAATAATTTATATAAAGATTATCATAGCAATATTATTTTTTAAAAGGTAATACATACATTCATCTACATCTTCTTCTCCTTCTAGATAATCCATGTCCTCTAATTCAATAGCATCAATGGCATTGTTATCTTCAAAAATAATATCATCGTTTGCATCATAAACATCTTTAGCACGATAACAAAAAAAAAGTTAGCATTATTGCATTTATTAATTGTAACATTTGAAATGCATATTTTTTATTTACTTTGTTCAATTGCATTTGCATCTGCAAGACCTTCATCAATTTCTTGATGTATACGGGCTGTATGTCCGTAGACAACCCTATATCCCAACTCACTTTGAGAGCAAGTTGAGCATTTGTATTCTCTTTGGTCTTTGTTTAATTGAACGAACATGTTGGAATGAATTTGTAAATTAATGAGTTGAGATGTCAATAATTAGTATTAGTAAGATAATAAAAAAAGGAGAAATTTTTTTTTTTTTTTTTTTTTTTTTTAGGGAAAGTCAATTGACTTTCAAATTTTTATTTAAGGTCCCTGTGGGACGTGCTTTAACAAGAAGTGAAAATTATAAATGGGGCTTGTCTTTTTTGTTTTTTTTTGTTTTTTTATTTGGATGCTGTTGTTGGTCTTGTGGAAATTCATGGCCACTAATTGGAATAAGGATCTACAATTTTTACGTATTTTGATGGTGGGGCTGCCAAATGAGCGTCTTACAAGACTTGACAATGACAGAACTGACAAAAGGAGTTTCATCAAAAATAGTCTGCCAGTGGGCTTTCCAGATACCAAATAGAATACTACCCACACTGCAAAAAAAACGAAATAGAAGGCGCAGTAGGCGACCTTGTTAACCAGAGAGGACAATGAAGTTGGAGAATAGTGTTGATTATTTGTTGAGGTGGGAACGAGTTATTGGGGGAAAAGAAATTAAGCGTATTGACCCAAATATCCTGTTTTTTAGGGCATAGGACCAAAAAGTGTTCTTGAGTCAAACAATGGATACAACGAGAACTGTCATGTAGATTAAGAAGAAGGAAGTGTAGTAACTTTTTGGTGGGAAGTTTACGATGAATTGCTCGAAACCAAACCGTGTAACTAGATGGAGGGAGTAATACAGACCAAAAAATGCGCCATCGAGGAGTGGACAGGATGATAGACGATTTTTGAGGAAATATTGACCGCCGCAAATGCTTAGCAAGTTGTTTAGGAGAGTCAAACATATCTTCGAGGCTTGAATAGAGAGGGGATAAAATCGGAGTGAGATCGATCAACTCAATGTTGGATAGTGGTTGTTCAAAGAGAAAATATCGACTGAAATTGGGCGCAAAGGCAACTTGATGATTAGCAAGGGCAACCTGGAATTTATGCAAAAGTATGGGATACCGAGCTTCACGGTCAAGACGATCACGAATTTTACCAGTCGAGGAGTCAAATAAATAAAAATCCGAAACGAGGATACGGCTCAAGTTGTTG